CACAATTGTTTGTTGCTTCGGGCTTCGTTTACGCGCTTCGCTCCAGCTGGTCTATGTATTTGTTCGCTTGAAGCGAAACGAGAAGTTGTGCTGCCGCGGGATCTCGAGCCGCATCTTCTCCATAAACGAGAATCTCGTCAGAACGAGAAACGAGGAAAACGTCGACACACTGTGATGTCACTGGCATCACGAAACATAGGTACCTGTTCCCTGCCACCAAAGGTCATCGACTCAAGGACGTGAGGAAACGACAATTGAAATGAAGAGTGAAACGAAGCGCGTGCGCAATCTCTCACCCAACTACGTACTGCTGTGGGTAAAGATAGACATGAAAGTGCCACAACGCAAACGTGGCGGCCAAGTTCTGCCAACAAGTGTGGCTGTCGAGCCCCGCAAATCCGAGCAGCCAAAACATGGTTTCACACTTGACCGTCCACTCAGAGCCTCATACTGAGCCACAGATCAGGAGGTTGTATGGACATCGCGCGATCGGGAGGGACCTCCCTCCGAAGAACTTTGCACTCATCGGGTCGTGTCCTTGGATGCCTATTGGACGTGCTAGCTATCGCGACGATTTTAACCTTCTTCGACTTCTTGTCGACCCACCTTTCGTCAGACTTTACACAGAAATCAACTTTTGAGAAGCATCTTGGCGGTCGATCAGCAGGGCGTCACCTGCTTTACGCGTCCCACGACTCAAACCCCTGCATTCCACGATCCATCGGCTTTTTGTGAGATGCTCGACCTGCGTTTCCAGTCAAGAAGGTGTGGATACAGCTGCATGATGTCCAACGCTAATTTCCTTTGTAAACATTATGCAATAGTAGCTTTTTGAGACAGCCACCCACTGTACATATATCCACTGGTGTACCCTGACAGCCTTGTCTTCCAACTTTCCTCTATCGCATATTGACCTCTTAACTCGGACGTGTCTACCGCCTGTCATCTCTAGCAATCCTCCGTGCTCACTTGGACAACTGCATTCCTTCCATCACCCTACCAACCCACTGGCAAAGCAGTATCGAATATCAACTTGACTGAAGCCGGTCTTCTTTCAATCAACAACTCATCGCCGATCAACAATCACATCGAAATGACTTCACCAAGCCCAGAAAAGGTGCGTTATACCTATTCCTTCTCGCTACATGACCTCTCAACTAACAGACAAACTTCAGTCCCAGCTCATTCAAGCATACATGATCCTGCACTCTCAGCAGACCAATGTTCGTCGACGTCTATCAGTCGACTCGGACTGCTCATCAGGCAGCCCTAGCTCGAGCATTTCGTCCTCGGCAAACACATCTCCCATGTCCTCATTCACCGCACCTTCGCCCGAGTTCTCATTCTCAATCTCAACAAAACCTTCTCCCTCGGCTGGCTTCAGAAGACATTCACGATCATCTTCAATGGGCTCTCGTCGAGGTTCTTTATCACCACCTACTTCGCCCAACAGGACAAGCATCACATCTATTCCAGAGGAGCCTTCAGCACCAGCACCGTTGAGCGTCGACGAGGCAAAGCTTGTGGACATCTCATCTCGAATCAAGACCACCCTTACCGATCTGTTAAACTGCGACGCTGTCAAGACCGATCCCAGGATGAGAACATGGGTTGCGACACGATTGATGGATGTCGAGCACGAGCTCAAAGAGCAGAAGCGACGACGACACAGCTCGTGCGCTGGAGATGCAGACATGATTGCATCACACCTTTGTGTGTAGAAGGCCAAACCAGCATTCCTTGGACCTTTTCCTTTTATCTATAAGACGTTCTGGCTATGTTCACGCATACACCACGCAACGATGTGAACACGAATATCCATGATGGACACTCAATTTTATTGTACAGCAGGCGCTTGAGGCTTTTGGTCTACGACAGTATATACCCCCAAACAGTTTGATTTCTTGTTAATGTATCAAAATTCTCTTTACCCTCACAACCGGCTCTCCTTTTGAATCATACGTGACTTCCATCCCCTTTTGCGTCTTGTGATGTTTCAAGAAGACGTTCCTGTGTTTCTTGACTGCATAATATACAAGCCTATCATCACCGGGTGGTACCTATAGTAGTGACATGGTTGATCTGTTCCTCAGTATCGTCTTGTCCGTTTTATCAGCATGAACGGGCAAGGCCTCCTGTTCGTTCAACATTTTTTCTCTCCAGTTCATGTTCGCATTATTATTTACCTTCTCCCTACCGTGCATGAACGAGCGCACACACCCACATGCATGCCTTTGTTCCGACAAAGCCGCAGTCCCCAAAGAGTGCCCGTATCAAGCGGCCGATAGGAGAGCACTCTGTCCCAAGATCGCAAACTTTTGGCGACATCGAACAACCTTAAGTTGTGGATACAGTGCAGGCATCGGCTTCTCGCAATCGAGGGTCATGGTAAAGTAGGCAGAGATCTTCCTATCTTGTCCCCATGCGGTAGTCGCAAGGTGTGGCTGTGAAAATGACCGGGATCGGGTTTCTTGCGCGATGTGCTGGCAAGGAGAATTTCTCCGTGATTTTGGCGGTGTCACGGCCTCATAGTGATCGTGGCACGAGGTCTGCGATCTCTTGAGCTCGATCCGAAATCTGTATTGACGTTTGTGATGGGCGGGCGATTCGACTCGAGTTGTCACTGTGTCGCGGTGTGTGTTTGACGCCTCGATGATCGACATATGCGCGCGTGGAGGATCGATCGGGTCATCGGCATCGAAAGTGCATGGCAGAAGAAGGTCGTTCGACTCCTGAAAACCTCATGACAACCAATATTAGCGCGCATAAGAAACAAAAAGGAATTCCTGATTGAGCTGTGACTGTTTGAACATAGGGGCGTGTTTTGATAATAGGCGCAATAGATTTTCGATTTCCGCTGCTACATGCTCTTCTCTTGTCGCAAAGGGCTAGCCCAAGCCGTATCAACAGGATAGTCGAGCATCAGGATCGAGCTGATTTTACCGTGTCCTGTTGCTGCAAAAATACTGCCAGAGGTCGGTCACTTCGAGAAATCCACCGTCGTTGTTGAAGTCATCAGACATCCCCTTTCGCGTTCGGGACGTCAATCTGCCTCCAAGCGAAGAAACACTCGTTTTGGCATCATTGCTAGCGACGAATAAAGTGCAGTATATGGATATAAGGAAATGAATCGAGCGGGAGTTCACGAGTGGCGGGTCAGATTGCGACGACAGCATTCTGCAAGTCGCAGCCGAGATGAAGCACTTGCAAAGGGGCACTCGAAGGTCGAATCAATGGCGTCATATCCATAGTATTGTAACTTGTCATTATGACCGTGCCGTCCATAGGGCTATATCTACTCTGATAAGAGGCGAGCTCAACGATTGGCGGCGATAAGTTCCACTCGAGTCTCAAAATACCCAGCTGACCCAAGGGCTGACCACGATCGTGTGTTCTTAAAGAGTCAAGGTCCTCCAAGTTCCAACCCAACTCCACGAGCGCATAGACCTCCAATCGAAAGCCACGTACCAAGATCAATTTCCTGGGTGCGGGGGGATGTGCAGAGCTCGGTTCGAACAGCAGCACACTCATGGGTTCGTCCCTTGCGATTCTCCCGTCGACACAAAGCAGCATAGTGGCAAGAAGTTGATAGAATTTGGAGACTGAGACAAGCTGCGCTGGAAATAGCACAGTTCGTCCTTGTCACCGGCGATGAGAAAGCCAACAAGTCTCGGACACACCGCAAGAGTTTCTCGAGTCGTGGTCTCAAAAGTTCAATAATTGTCGCCTCAGGCCCTAAGGCCGGCTGGCTGACGTCGACGAGGAAGTTGGAACAGGCAAGAGACCGGGAATGGCTTTCGAAAACTCACATTTTTCTTGGAGAAAGGTCGCGGGGAAACCGGTCGCTCTACTCAAAGAGCCTGCACCTGCTTCACTTGCGCCATTTGACTGGCGCTTATCTGCATGGCTCACACGAGGTAAACTTTTCAACCTTCAGCCTGTTGGGCATGCTTCGCCATGCGTCGACGGACATGTGTCTCAGTCACACATCAGCAAATGCTACTTTACTCCTCCAGCTATCAGATTGAGATTCGCGCGTCGCTTCAGCTGAGATACGACCTTGAAGATCCTGTGCTCGAATAGCAATTCGCGATGTTGCCTTTCATCTCGCCATGCTTCGGCCTTATGCAGGAACCCATGTTGCCCTTGCAGGTTCCCACGCTGAGACATTGAGAGCGAAGAAGGGTGGCGCCCAACGGCGAAGTTTAATCACCCAGAAATCACCAAAATTGTCCGAAAGTGCAGAGCGTAAGCGGACATGTCAGCCAGGCAAGCCGGGGCGCGCATGAATAGTGACAATTTTTAGAGTCAATAGTCCATTTAGCGATTGCGCTAAACATGTTCCTCACCATTTGCCAAAAGACTCAGCCACTGGCTGGAAGGATACGACTGTCAGTGTCCCGCATTGGGGATATGGGAAATTGCATTGGCACATGGCTGTCGCCACTCCGGACCTCAATACGGGGAAGCCTGGCCCTGAGTCCTGCGTGCCTGTTCCTGACATGCTTGATTTTGGTCTTCTGCTAGTTGCTGAGAAGGCATGACGCCGCAGCAGAATACTACAATTGCGACAGTGATACTGCCGGACGTTACTTCAGTTGAGAAAGTCGTTCGCGGAACTGCTCGAAGAAGGGTCAATGACAGCAACGGCAGGGCAAATTCGAGAACCTAAAGGTGAGACAGACTCTGACTCTCCAATCCCAGGGCTTCTTCTACACATTTCGCTGGGATCCGGGCGTGGGCACTAGCAATTAGCGGACGAGCCGGCTGAGGGTGAGGCTTGCGCCAAGGGTCAATGCGAACAAACACTTGACCATGGCAACTTGGTATATAAGGACCGGACTTTTGCCCTGCTAAATGCTTTTCCCTCTCTCCATCCACTCACTAATCAATCAATCCAACTTCGACTTCGGTCTTACACTCGCTTCAGCAACCAATCCAATAATATAATCCTTCGCCTTTTCCCAAACCACCACCACTCCAACACCATCACCATCAAAATGCAGTTCACCATCGCCGCCATTGCTGCCTTCGCCGCCTCGGCCTCTGCCATGGCTCTTAACACCACCGCCTCCGTTGCCCCTGTCTATGTCACTGAGGTTGTGACCCATCTTACGACCTACTGTCCTGCCGTATGCAATCCTTTCTCCCCAGCGAATATGGGTCGATTAGCTAATTCTTATAGGNCCACCGTTGTTACTGCCGGTTCTCACACCATCACCGTCACTGCTGCCACCACCCTCGTAAGTCTCCCGAAGCCTGTGGACGAAAATATGGGTTGGGGCATTCTTGAAGCCTCGGTCCCAAGCTTCAACCACCTTTTTCTCAACCACGATATTAACTAGAGACGTCAGACTATTGAGGACTGCAGCTGCACCATCGTCAAGACTTCAAGCGCTGTTGCTCACCCTACCGCTCCTGTTGTCTCTGCCCCCGTTGTTACCGGCCCCTACAACAACGGCACTATTGCCACCAAGACTCAGGGTATGGCCTCTGGCACTGGTGTCGGTGCCTCCAGCACCAAGCCTGCCAAGTTCACCGGCGCCGCTTCCTCCATGAACGTCGCTGGTGCCGCCGCTGCCGCCCTCGGCATGGCCGTCCTTGTCCTCTAAGCACCTCACACGCTAGGACTGGGGCTGAGATGATCATAATGTTTTCCGGGATCATCTGAGGCTTCACAGTATTGTGATAAATGACAAGAGACCTCTCGTATATCTTGAACATTTTGTTTTGATGCTTGCTTTCTTCTTTTTCTGTTCTTAATGATACCCTTCGTCTGTACGGATGAGGATGTACGGTTTATATACCCTCCTGCAAGGGCTTTTGTATATTGGGCTTGCTGTCTAAAAACCAATCAAAGAAAAGCACTTGAGATGCGAATCTCCAGGCTACAGTTCCAAAACCTTTTCGTGGACATCGCTGTGGATGACAATGCTGTGCATCGTTTATAGGTACATGTGAAATTCAAACCTGTCCGTGAAGAAACTCGAAGGAGCAACAACGATCTTCGCTTTAGGAAAAGACGTTAAGAACGGAACCAACCCGTTCCGACTCTTTCATAAATTGACTTCGACCTTCTGTTGGGCCGACGAGAGAGATCACAGCTAACAAGGATCCGAAGGATGGGATGGGGAGCTCTATCGTTTTTACTTGTGAGTACTGTGCAGATTCAAGTACGAGCATCCCGGTCACAGTGCCGTGACTCGCAAACAATTTTCTCCACTCGAACGGGGTCTGATCTCAGAACCGAGGAAGCAAACCATGAGGATCATTATTGCATAGCACGAGTCATGAAGCATAGAGGTTGCCTCATTCTGTGACGGCGCCTGCGGTTCGTGACCATGTTCGAGCTATAGTACTGCAATTCTTACACGGTGTCGCCGTCGGATCAGTGTTGAGTATCTATACTGCGGAAACAACCACAAGGGCAGACAACATGCAATCCAATAGACGAAGCTTAAGGATTGTAAGACGGCTTTGCACGTCAACCGACGTCGAGCATCAGGAGATACGGAAGTAATGCACAAGGGTGAACCGTCTAGAGTGCGGAAGTCGAGAATATAGTGTGGTTGGTCATCGAGACTATGCCTGCAGATTGTTAAGTCTAAGGGCCCTTAAGCTTTGGAAAGATGTATGAAGTGAAGCAAGATTAAAACACTTCTAAAAGAACACCGACTTCGACTATTAGCAATTGCCGTGGACTCTTTCACATTCTCTCTACAAGCAACATGCCAGACACCTCCAAGAAATCTACACCCACCAGAGACTTTCGCGCCGAACACAACGCAGCGAAAGTACTCTACAACAACGACCAGCTGGACGAATGTATTGAAGCTGCAGATGAACTCCTTCGACAAGGAGACTTACCCTACTTCACTCGTATGAGGACTCTTATCATGTTGGCGCTCGCGACCGAGGGCTGGGACGATGATGATGAAACTCGTTGTACCTACAAGACTCTCTGGACCGTGGCAAGCAAGAACTACCGCGACCATCCTGACGAGAAGATCCACCCCGCTCTGGCATCTACTCGCGAATCTCTTCACATGGTGTTTGAGTGTTTGAAGGAAGATATGCTGGAGATGGAGAAGTCGAGGAGACTTATGGAGCTCGAGATGGGGAAGCTCAAGACTGAAGAGACAATCTTGGATCCATACTCTGTAAGGATCCAGGAAGTTGGGTCTTGTTCGCCGCATGTAAGTGCTGAGTCTTCTTGGCACACGAAAGCAGTAATGCTAACGTGTCTCCATAGGAGCATCGAGAGGTTTGCGCGCGACCGAATTTGCTGACTTTATGTAATATCACATTATGCATACTTACCGGATCGCCTCGAGATACCAACCACCAGAGCACAGAATGGGAGAATGATGGATGAGGAATTCAAGTCAGATTGAAATCTGAAGAGTAGAACCAGAAAAGCAGAACCTCAAGAGCAGAACGAGAATATTGAGGAGATAAGAGATGGGTGACTCACAACTGGATACTAACATCCTTTTTGCTCCTTTAGGAAGATGCATGTTCTGGCGCAATGATTCAAATCAGATGGCATTCTCCCATCCGTATCAGTCCATCGTGACCAAGCTCTGAGAAGCTTGCCAAACGAGATGATGGCTGTCAATAGGAGGTTGCCATGCTTCTATGCATTGAGCGTCTTTACAGCCTACCTAAAAATGATCATCACGCTGTCTGTATGTTTGCGTGTCGTGAGCTGGAGAGATGTTTCCATCTCGCTGGAGGTCTTGCTGAGTTGCCTAGTGGACCTGTGTCTATTCGCGAAGTCCAGACAAGCTGAGTATACTGAGCTAGTTGTCGTAGGAACGGTTGCTGGTGCTTTCCCGTCGTGCTAATAATGGCAGCTCTGTATCTGACACGAGCAAACAGCGGTGTTGGTATGTTTCAACTCTTATCCCAGAAACGATGAAGGCTAGTCGAGGGAGATCGACACTAGACCCCAATCGAAACGATATTTGAATCGTGGCAGGAACATTCAGATCATGGGAGCCGCAAACCGTTGAGCCATCGGACGCCTCTAATCCATCGAGGTATCTGATGGAAGTTCATGAAGAGTGGCAGGAGAGGCATTCTTGGGCTGCAATGAAACAGAGCAATCGCATTCTCTTCGGTACTGCAGTGGGATTCCACGGTCATGCCGGCACAATGGCATCATTCTTTTGATGGACAACCTGTCTCAGTCTCTGACCTTGCCAGTTGGGGGTTGGTGTTGGTAGGACAAACGCTACGGCGGAAACGGTGGGTGGCACAGAGAGAGAGTCGCGTTATGCAGGAAGCTTACTTATGCATGCATGGAGCAGCCAACGCCCAATCAGATGCGAGGACGGACGTTTCTGCCAATGCCGAAGATGAGGGACATTCCAATTTCGGCAGGAGTGGTACTTGGATTGGCGCTTCGACCAGACACGAACGACGCGCGAGGGAGGAGCGAACGCGACCTGCGACGAGTACAGGACATCCACGTCCCCCTTGTCTACCGCTGACACCATCCTCTCCATTCGCTCTCTCGTCCAATACGCTTACACTCTTTCTACGTGTCGGCGGACAATCTCTTCATATCCTGCATTATTATCATCGCCGTTGAGCAGAAGTCTGTGACTGCCAAGTAAACAGATTGTAAACACAGAGGCACGACCATCTGATCGGCGTAACACACCTCGCAAGCGATCATGGCGACTCTCTCGATGCCCAGACAGCCTTTCGGTGTGCTCGACAGTCCTCGTCTGGCTCATCTGTCCGGTATCAAGAACCGTCAGAATGGTGAGTACAGGCTTCAGCAGGGCAGATGGTGTATTTGACATATTGATGGCTGACATTAGCGTCCATGCANNGGCATAGTCAAGGCTCCCAGTCCGCTGTCTGGCAAGGCAAAGATGGTTGTTCCAACATCGTCACCCAGCCTGAAGCCTTCTGCGAAACGCCGCATTACTCCTTCCTTTGACGACTTTGATGGGCAGAACGACGACGCCGAAAATGTGAATCCCAACATGTTCCTGTCTCCTGTGAAGCGTACCAAGATGGACCTGTCTTCGACAACACTCGAGCCCAAAGGCCTAAGCACCTTGCCATCCTCGTTCAACTTCACATTCAATCCTACCAAGACGACACCTGCGACTTCCATGCCTCCTCCAGCCATCGTTCCTTCCCGTCTGTCCACTCCGATGAAATACTCTGGTGTGACCAAGCCTTCGACGAGGACACCTCTCACTGCTCCTGCAGGACGATCCCCCAAATCAAAACGCGACCGTCGTAGACTCAGTGCCCACACTCCCACTCGTATCGACGCCTCCACTCTTTCTCGCTCAGCTGCTCGTACCGGACTGCCTTTCAGCATTGATGCTGCTCTCACCGCCTCACTGAAGACTCCTGTCCCCGCTGTACCTTTGCCGAAGCCTGCAACCTCGATTGAAGAGTCAATGCCCAGTTCATGGTTCTTTGCCATTCACGAGGACACTGCCGAGGAAGAGGCCGAGAATCTCATGGAACACTCTACTCTGACTCTGGACCTCTCTTCGGATGACGAATCTGCCACGAAGGCTAATGAAGACCGAGGCAAGGAGAACGTTGCTCCTGCCGACTACGATCCCATCTCTTCTTCATCTTCCTCTCCTCGTGCATCTCGTCGTTCACTCAAATCAGCAGCTGATATGGATACCGACGAGGCTGCCCGTGCTCCTCTCGGCTCTCTTGACACTATCGAATTCATTCCCGAAGGCTTGACAAAGGACTCGATTGCTGTTATTAGTGAACTTCCTGAGCCGTGCACTTTCGNNGAGTCACCTGCCGAGGAACAGGAACTCAGCTGCAACCCACCAATCATCATCTCCCCACCCAAGAAGACATGCATGGCAGATCTCAAGGAAGATATCTTCATCTTTGAAGACGAGTCTGCTAGTCCCGCTGTGTCTACTGGTGGAAAACGCAAGAGAAGTGCTGATGACGACGAAGACGAGTAAAGTGATTGTTCCTTTACAGTTGGCGAAGAGTCAGTACAACAACGTGGTATCAAGCGACACGGCGTACCTTTCGAGCGATTTTTGAGTACCTTTAATGAAAGTGGGTATGATTACGACGGCATTCTGGCGCACACAATGGCATGGAAGAGATGGGACTTGTTTGGGCGCAATTCTCCATGGTTCTGGACTTTCGGAATCTTTTCTTGCTTTGCTCTTCTTGCTTGACACATTTGTTATTCTTATTAGCGTTGCCTGGCAGCACACTCATGTCTTTAGATTAGTAGCTGTAGCATTCAAATCAAACGACAGCCTTATTCTTATGCAGTGTCTGTTCTCGACCCATTTCTCACACGACAAGGTGGCATGAAGAATGCACACGCGACTTTTGAGTCTCCGTTCATGGCTTCAGCCTTGCGTAGGACAGTGGCTTCGTGTGATGGTAGCACGACATGTCTCTAGGATGGCCTGTAGTGACAAGAGACTGCCATCTCCAACAAGCAAACGTTTCGGTTGCTGTGGAAAGTAGTTTCGGGTGCTCGATAACGAGTTGTACAAAAGATGTGGTCTAGACCATGTCGGCGCTACCCCGCTCGTGCCAAAGTCAAAAACCTGGAGCAGGCAGGTGCGTTCGTGCTTCCTTCTCTTTTTGTTTTCCAGTCATCTCGTCGAGCTGGTCTGGTCGCCACTAACATTCGTGACATGTAACTTAGATTTCTACAGAACAAATAATCCTACTCTTTCCAGTTGCTCCACGTCCACTTTCAAGACAAAGCGTTACAGTACCATTGCAAGACCATGGCTCCCTGGTGGCCCTCTCCGTCAGGGAGCANNGACGAAGCTCGTCGTGATGATGACCCCTTTGCCGACTTTCGCCGTTTCGCTGATGAGCAAATCAACGCTCTCGTCGAAGGAGTCAACTCCCTTCCAGGCTTCAGCTCTGCCTCTCTCGGTGCCGAAGAACAGCGATGGTCAGACGAGATGCGAGACTTGCGCAAGCGTCTGGAGGAAGACTTCCCACCACTCTTCGCCTCCCTCCTAGGTGCTCCAGAAAGACGATCCTACCTTGGTGGCCCCATCAGTGAAGAAGCCCGTCAAGCAGCTCGCGTACTGCTCCTCCAAGCACGCAATGCCAGTTTCGGAGTCGACCCAAGAAAGATCCTCAGTCTGTATCAGGATCATGGTCAAGGTATGATGCCGGTTCACAGCAAGTTTCCCATCCGTACCACAACCAGCAATACCACTTGGCTTGGCATCGACTGGTTCAGACACAGTCCCTACTCGCCTATCCAACTCGAACAGCACTCTACCGCTCACCAGCACGGCGGTAAATGGCGTGCTGCCTTTGAAGATCTACTCTGCGCCCATCTCGACAAGCCACAAGTTGCCCATAAAGCCTGGGAAGCCGAAGATTCCATTGCCGCATCTGATTCTGACAATCAGATCTTGTACAATCACTGGGCTCAGCCCGGAATCGATTGGATGCTTGGCCTACAATGCAGAGGCATTTTACCACCTCAGCTACCTAGTCTGTACAACATCACCCCTCTTGAGACCAAGAAGCTCGACCGCGTCTTCGGTAAGATCGTGTCTGGAGTTAGCAACTTCTGGACGCCATACGGCCGTTCCGTGTACGACGACTTTGCGCAGTTGGCGAGGATAGTGGCTTCGCCTGATGCAGAGGACTTGGTCGTGAGAAGCAACCTGCAGCCTGAAACGGAGATGGAAATGTACGAAAGCTTGTGGAGAGTCAAGGATGACTATGCCAAGGATGATATAGATGCACCCAAGTCACTGTCTACATCCAACGACCTTGCGCTATCGACCTCATCTTCCGCCAAAGATGAGGCAGAGAAGCCGAGCGTCATCTCAGTCATGACCACCACAGAGATGCGCACTATGCCTGACGGATCAGTCTACACAAAACGGGTTTTAAAGAAGCGCTTCTCTGATGGCACCGAGGAGAATAGAGAAGAAGAATCGACAGGACAACCTGACCCCGAGAACCGGCCGGAAAGCGGACACGGCGGACACGAGTTGCAGGACAAGAAGGGCGGTACTGGATGGTTCTGGAATTGATATCGTGAGAGGGCTGTGCACTGTTGCTTTGCTGATAGCTGCCATGACTGATCGACAATCTTGACATTCTTATACCCTTTCTGCAATTAGTTGGGACAGTTATTGAGTTCTTGCGAATCATTAGCATTGTAAAGGGGTATCTTGCAGTAAAACAGTAAAAGCATCAAAGTGACTTCTCTCCGTCGATGGATTGTCATCAAAGACCCAGTATGTCGAGCCTTCTTGCAAGAATCTCATTCTCAGCCCTGTCGTTCTCGGTCTCTTCGTTGACGTATGAACCTTGGTCAACATCCTCATCTTGCCACACACCGTCCTTGTCTGCTTCCCAGATGATCTGTTCTTCCTCAGGCGGGCCTGCATTCCAATCCCTGCACTTGAGCATCCACTCCATGACATCTCTCCAATTCAGCTCCTCAAGCTGCATCCTATTTCTCAAGATCTTGCCAGCAGGGTTCTTGGGGATACTTGCCTTGAAGCGTATATTCAGCGCCACTGTCTTGTACTTTGCGAGCTTGTCCTTGCAGTGCTCTGTCAATTCGGTCATGATGCCGAATTGCTCGTGATACAGCGGCACACCAGCTTTGAGCACCACATGCGCGACGGGAGTTTCTTGATCAACGTCTGAGCTGTAGAATCCAAATACTCCGGCATCGGCGACAGCCTCGTGAGTGAGTAGACATGCTTCTATTTCCGTGGGAGAGATTTGCCAGCCGCGATACTTGATGACGTCTTTTAGGCGGTCGGTGATGTAGAGTTTATGGTCGCGGGAGAAGTAGGCAACGTCGCCTGTGCGCAGCCAGGTGTTGCGGAGGGTGTTGAAGGTTTCGGAGGGATTGTTGTGATAGGAGTGCATGGTTATGGGGCCTTTGACGAAAAGCATACCTTCCTTTTGGGTTGCGGTGATGTCTGTGCCGTCTTCATCCGAAACNGATCCTAATGATTTTGTCAGTGGGAATGGTCTTGACGAAACGCATCGAGGGAGAACGTACATGGCTTCGTAAGATGGGAGAATACGGCCAACCGAACCGGTCTCGTCCATCTCAGGAAACTTGAATGTCGTGATCCAGCCGGCCTCGGTCATGCCGTAGACTTGAACGATGCGTGCGTATTTGTAGAACATGGCTACAGCTTCATTTTGCATCTTGGCCGCCATGGGAGCACCACCACTCCAGATGAGACGAATTGAGCGAAGCGCCGTGCGTTCGGCTTCGGGTACCCGACGGAAAGCCAAAAGAACAGGAGGGGGTGCTGCAATCTCTGTGATGTTGTAGCGCTCGACGTACTCCAGGCAACTGTTGACATTGAACCGAGGCATGACATAGGTGGTTCGGCCATGAACGAGAGCATCGACCAGAGCCAACGGGGCGGTAAAGCCATGAAAGAACGGGGTGAAGAGCAAACGGGCGACCTCGTAGTTCTTCGCAAGGCCGTCTTGGATGGCCAGGTTCTCAGTGACAAGACTCAGGTGTGATCGGGCAGCCATCTTGGGCAGGCCGGTGGTGCCACTCGTCGACATGAGGACGGCGACGGTGTCCCTAGCCCGGGTCTCGTCGTCGAAGGTGACGGGGTCGAGGGCCGGTGCACCAGCAAGGCCAGCCAGAAAACCGTCGAGCGAGTACCGGGCACCGATCGACAAACCGGCCTCTTCGTCACCCCAGACGACGATGTTGCCAGTATCGAAGAGACCTTCAGAGGCCTCGGAGACCGCAGCGAGGGAGGCGGGATCGGAAAAGACAAACTTGGTCTCCGAGACCTCGAAGTGGTGGCGGAGCTCACCAGCCTTGTACATGGGGTTAGCCCCTGAAAACACACCNCCTGCCATGATGATGGCCAAGAAAACCACTGGGTACATGATCNNTGTTACATCTCCTTAGCAATTGCATTGACGAAGTATGCCGCCTTGACTTACGTCGTTCAGATGAACAACACACACCGTGTCTCCGCGCTTGAGGCCCACAGCTTGCAAACCTTGCGCCGTCTTTTCCACCATCACCTTGGCCTGTGCCTTGGTGATGGCCCTCTCTGGGGCGGCGGCGTCGATGAGGACTGGTTTGTCCTCATCTAGCCCGTGGTCCAGGACGAAGCGAGGTAGGTCCCTGTAACAGGGACGAAGAGCTTGCGAGCTTGTGGCCATCTTTCTCAACTACCAAGAATTGAATTAGCTTTGTTTGTGCAACCACGCAAGGAACATGAATGGCAAGAGATCATATGGAGATTTAAGAAAGAAAGGGGTGAAACAGGAAGGCGGGTGAGAGTGTAAGGAGAATAGGGAGGTGAAAACAAGAGAGTGCTTCTCGTAGCGTGATATCAACTACGGATGGGACGATATCCCGCGCAAAGACGATACATATTGGGTAGGATGCTTGTAGCATAACGCAGTATGTTCTCCAAACATACTGCGTTCAACTAGCTACGAAGGAGATGACAGCAGGGTAGGTAGTGTAATTGACCTGATTGATGATGTGGGGGAGGAAGTGGAGATAAAGAGATGACTTACAGAACTGGTACTCGATGGCGATGTTTTCAGAAGAAGGCAAACAGCCAGGGCTGAAATCGAGCTGCCGCATCGCATGCCGAGACTTGCTGCGGGAAAGCAAACGACCCAAACGCAACCACCAGCATTGTCGATCTAAGTCTCTCCCAATAGCATCTCAACATTGGCGGCGCCTTCAAAAGGCAAGATACAATTTGAACCCTTCAGACTGTCCATTGAGATGGCTATACTTTGACAAAACTTTGGGCCTTCAGCGGAGATTCACAATCTTGGTTATGGTTCGTGCATTTTGATAGGCGTCTGAGAGGAGTATCAGTATTACAGGAGTTGCATGTCAACGGGATTGCAGATTGTCATTGTTGACTAAACATCGAGCCTCGAGCGGAGGTGCGCAATCTCAAGAATGATTTGCGCATTTTGCTAGACGTCTGAAGAAGTTGCAAGCAGAACAGAGACAGTCTCCTATTGAAGCTATAGACCGCCATCAATAAGGAAGCATTGGGCTTTCAGCGGAGCTGCATGATCTTGAGAATTATTTGCGCATCTCAATGGGCGTCTACAAGGGGTGCAAGCGGTATGGGAGTAGCATGATCTCAAAAGTTCGATATACTTGGGCTATCGAGCCAAAGTTCCGGATGATAGTGTTGTGTAGTATGGACCAGGTGCTATTCGAACATACAAAAGCACAAACGCTGATGATATTGATGTCACCGAGTTCGATGCTGCCGAAGTTTAACCTCCATCCACCCAATCTCATCGACCAATTGGCGTCGTCATATGAACCGATGTTTAGCCTTGATCAGACACCTTCAATGTGTGAGGCTTGTTGAGGACATCCTTCCCTTCATTCGTGATGCTTATGACGCGTCCACTTGTCCGACGATCTAGTTTACTAATTTTCTAGTCGACCATCTGTAGTTGGTGTGCAATATCCAACAGATCCCTTCGTGATGATGTATTCACTGACTCCAGAATCAAAAGTCATGTCCTCAAGGAAACTGCAATTGCTGAACTACATACCAACCATCGAAACACCTGGAGTATCCGACAGAAGGAACTTGTCGATTTCACTGACGGTCAGCATTGATGGTATGTCATGAGGTAAAGTGGGGACAGAACAATCGGCCATACATGCAAGCTTGTTCAACGTTTGTTGCAAATGGAGTGCAGTTGGACGCAGTACCAAACGGCGAAACATATACTTCGACAAGCACGGCGGATAGAAAGTTATAAGGTTGTTGTTGACAGATCTAGGTAAGAGAAGCATCCACCTCTGTTCAGGTAGGTAAGTATTGAGGGAATTCTGGATACCACGTATCGGCGACTGCATGTCAGCAGAGTTATTCGATCCACATCCTGCCTTCCTTCAGTTCCTTCGGGAAAGCTCAACGGGACTTGATGCTCCAACAGCCCGGTCCTTGCACAGATACGCGCGTCTATCGGATTGTGCGGTTAGTCGGGGTGGTCAAAGCGGATGAAGACTCGGAAAACTCACATCTCATCCATTCACAATTTCCACTCTCACACCTACGACCTATATCCTACGACATCCTGAGGTACTTTCACCCATTGTTCGCCCATTTTCTTTTTGTTCTGTCATCTTTCTTGTCTGTTGCGCCGTTGTGTTCATCCAGTTTGGACTGCATTGTCTTTCAACTCTCATCGATCAGAATCGTGTCCACCCAGACACAGCTCTGCCGTAAGGAGGCATCTGTAGAGTCACAGTTTACTCCAGTATCTCTAGGAAAAAGTAAGTCAATGGCACTGGCCAGAATACACCCGCCGACGTTCACCTAACAAGGTCAACCCAAGATGTCTGCACGCCGCTTCTCTGGCCCTCCAGCTGTGACTGTGGTCATCAAGATGAATGCCGCCCGCCCTCGCGCCAACTCCGAGCCTGGAGCTCACTATGGCTCTATTAGTCTACCCCCTGAGGAAAGACGCGTTGCTCGTGCCCTTCGCCTGCAGACTAATTCATACTCAAACCATGGTTCGGCCGAAAAGCCGTGTTTACTTCCTCTCCTGGAACCTCCTTTCACGCCTTCTCCCATCCCCGAGGAGCAGGAGCAGCCCTGTGAGAAGGGCCAGGACCCCATCGTCACCGATAAGGATGAACTGGAATGGCTTGCTTGCGCCCAGGAGCTCCCTCCTCAGCTGGGCACCGAAACCACCAGACGTTTCTGGGATTTTTTCTCCCTTTACAGACTAATCTTCGCCTTCACCATCCTTGCCAACCTCATTGTCACCACCATAGCCATCTCTCTCACCCGCATCACCAGCTCGGACGCTGCCACGGGCGCCGCCATCAACCTTTGCATCGCCATCCTCGTCCGCAATGAGCACGTTGTCAATGCCATGTTCCGTTCCGTGTGCACTCTCAAGCCTTCAGCACCTCTGTCGGTGCGCAGAATCGGAGCCAAAGTCTATTCATATGGTGGCTTTCATTCCGGTTGCGCGACAGCTGGGACGCTCTGGTACCTGGCCTTCACCATTCTCCTGGGCGTCGACGTCAGGAACCCGGACAACAGGCCCGCTTTCACCCTCGCCGCGTTTGTCAGCGTACTTCTCCTGGCTATTGGCTTGTTCGCGCTCCCTGCCTTCCGTGTCTCTCACCACAACGCCTTTGAAGCCGTTCATCGCTACGCTGGTTGGACCTGCATCGGCCTCCTTTGGGCCCAGCTCGGTGCCTCCGTCTTCGTCTCGCACCAGCTCCACGGCGAGTCTCCTGGGTTTGTCCTGGCCGAGAGCNCCCTGTTCTGGTATGTATAAGGGTGAAAGCACTCCATCTGTCAGAAGCTACCATTGTCCACACCTACCGCAATGCAACATGTTATACCTCTCTTAGCATTTTCCATTGAGAGTCTGTTCTGGCATGATTCTCAGTGGACATCTAAGTTGTATTGTATAACCATCTGCATTGCGATGGATGTACATGTTGGACGATGACTTCATGGGAGATTTGTGTTTTGATGACTTTGCTAATCAGGTTCACTTGTTAGGTGCTTAGTTGTCATCACTTTGGCCATTGTCTATCCATGGAGTCGTCTCAGAGAACGTGAAGTCCGTGTCCAGATTCTCTCCCCAGTAGCCGCTGTGCTCCACTTCGATTACAAGCGCATGGACACATGTCAAGGCATCCGCATCACCGACAGTCCGCTCAAGGAGACTCATTCCTTTGCTACTATCTCCAGAGCTGGCGACGAACAGGGCTTCAGAGTGCTCATGTCAAGAGCCGGAGATTGGACGTCTAACTTCATCGACAATCCTCCCACTCGCATTTGGGTCAAAGGTGCACCTATCTTTGGCGTGATGCGCGTAGCTCTCATGTTCAAGAAGGTCCTTGTCGTTGCAACCGGCACTGGCATTGGTCCATGTCTCTCGCTCTTGGAAAGCTGCCCCGAACACCCCATGCACGTACTCTGGATGAGTTCCAACCCTAGAGAATCCTTCGGCAACGCTATCATCAATTCGGTCTACACAGCAGACTCCGGCGCATGTATCGTCGATACATCCAAGGCAGGCAGGGGCGATATCGTCAGGTTGGCCCACGCCAGATATGTTGAGACTCAATCAGAAGCAATCATCATCATCTCCAACGCCAAAGTCACCAGAATGGTGGTCGGCGGCCTTGAGTGCCGTGGCATTCCGGTGTTTGGCGCCATCTTCGACTCCTGAAGAGAAGTGGATACAACGCTAACAGAAGTTGTTGGTGGGTTCTATCATGCAGAAAGTCTTGGGTGGAACGAGTCTTCACCGTTATTTGTCGACTGCAAGCAGCGAAGGATTCTTTTAATTGTCATCATCAGAGTGGCCCTGATGGGTCGCTCCATTGCTTTTGGTCTCTTAATTTTGTTTCTTTCTTGGTATTGGGTATCACCTATGGCTCTGGGACTTGGATGCACAGCGCTCTGGATACCTTTGCTTGCAGCCCTTAGTTAGTCCACCTCTACATATGTTAGTTAGAGTATCAGCATCGTCTCTTGATACACACACAGTCGTTGTTGCCAAGGACTAGCATTCTTAAGTGGCGCTCTGCCCCCAATAGGTAGTATCCCGCGACACTCCATTCACCGAAACTTACTGCAATTCCCGAGAGTACCCGCTCGACGTGCATTTCAGGGCTGACTTACCATCGATTCAAACGACATCCGGCTCTCTTGCAGACTACCTAGCCCATAGAACCATCACTTTACAAGCGTCTCAACGTCGCAGTGCATGTAAGAGAGGATCGATGGTGGCTTGATGAAGGTCCACCTCTAGCTTGGCGGTGAGAGAACCAGCCAGCCTGACAAACATGCATGCATGCCCTTTTTTCATGGAGGCTACACGAGCAAGCCGTGCCTTGTCTACGATTTACGACGTACGAGAAGCTTTGCTTGCCGTTAATCGCCTTCCAACCGAAGCTCGGGGAGGGCATTCAGACTTGGCTGTTCTACGGCAAGAGCACGCGGAGACGAACAACAAAGAGTGACAGCGAAATGGGTTCTGTGATCATGCAGGATAATATACTCCACATGTCATTGACACGTCCGTGATGCAGCTCATACCTCGATGAGATATGTTGGTTGGACGGCCGTAACGGCTTCATATTATTGATGTCGTATTCTGAGTGTGTCGATCTGCAGCCTTATAGGGTATTTGGAAATGCTTCGTAGGGCGTCTGCTGATTGGCTGTCTCTTTTACAGAGCACTGGCAAAGCAACAAAAGCTTCTTTCGACAACGATGGAATTTTGTGCAACTCTTGAACGATCCAAGACACGACATGCAAATACCCAGCATATTTGTGTCCCATCGAACCATGCAGGATAAGCATACTTGTCTTGTGGAATCTGGGCCCATTGCCAGGAGAAGAACGTGAAGCCGAAGGACATGAAATGCTTGGTTTGATGAGATGGCAAGTTTAGACTCGAGTTGCCAAGATGGCGTGTTTGGGGATTTGGAATCGACGTCCTCAGGATTCAACTCTTCAGCAGACGGCCCACTGCCGACACACAAACCAGTTGCGATTCCTTCTTCGCTCCTTCGGCATCGCCATGACTAGCCGCGAATAAACGTCTTTACCAGAATCCCAGAGTCAGGTTAAAAGCGGATGAGCTCGCGATGGTAATGGATCTGCATGATTGATCCTTTCACCAAGAACAATGTCGTGCTTTCAAGCAGTGTATTTGTCAAGCTGATCGCGTGTCGCAGTAAGGCTAGTCACCAAACAGACAAGGTTATCTGCAGCTTGTCGTCGGAAACAATTCATCTCCTCAATCAAGGTACAGTGCTGCCATCATCGCGTGGAGTTGAGACCCTGATATCATGGTGCTTCTTCGACTTCGAGTCCGGATCGTGAGCACAAGCCTGAAACCAGCTAGATCGCTTCATGTTTTTCAGGACGCTATCTAACCTCGCTTCTAGCAAGAGCAGCTCGGTTGCAGCGCTGATGGGAGACTCGATGCCAGTGATAACACGATGCTTACAGTTCCATTTGCTTGTTCATGCACAACATTTGTCAGATGGGCCCCTCCCTGGCCTAATCAGGCGTTACCGAACGGCGGCTCCTAGAAGTTTAACCTCGAAACACGCGGGCACAACGGCCTTTCCTTCTTCCTGCGCCCATACACAACCTGACCAACCAGCCGGACATCGATCATGAATCGATGGTTGCATGAACCATATATTTGCAATACGAACACGGTTGTTCTTGCTGTACGCGATGTCAGGGCAGGTTTAAACATGCTCCCGAAGCGTATGCGCCACTTCGAGTTCGTCCAACAATAGACCGTTGGCTTCCGAAACCTACATCAGTCAAGAATTTGTAGAATACACAAATACATGAGGCTGCCCGGCCTTTGAGACGTGTCGATATTAGGGCAGCGTCTCCTCTTATCTTCAAACTGTCAGAAGTTTGTCCTGTTATTTCATTCTCAATTCATCCGTAGGCACAGCTGTATCATATATATCCCGTCCCTCCAGTGTATATATCCTTCTACTGCTTCTCTGCAACTCTATACCACCGACATGTCGTCATTCACCAAATCGTCAAACAGCCTTTCTCGACAGAACATGAGTTCCTCTCCACCAACCACCCACGCCATGCCGGCTCACCCACAAGGCGGATATAATCCATCCGCTATCCAAGCCTGGACTCAATCCCTTCCGGCTCACACTGTTAGCTCTGGCCGACCAAGGGATGCCAACGATGCTGCTATTCAGGCATACCTCCAAGCAAAGATGGCTCTCTTCTCTCGCAACTGATTGATGGGTTTGCCCTCACCATTTCACCGCTACTGCATCTAGTGGGTTCAAACAACCTATAAACTGGATTCCAAGGCTCTTTTTGAAATCTATATGAGCATCGGTCGACATCAAGCATACTTCGCTTGATGGCACTCACATATGAAGCTCGACATGATGCGAGTGCCTAGCGGTATCTGCTTGAATCACGTTTCCACACATACGCATTGTTCTGGAGTTTGGCATAACGGAATGTTGCCATCCATGGCAACGACATATAACTGTTGCAACTCGGGGAGCATCTACAGTCAACCGGCTGGTCTTGACTGGCATGCTGGTTTGACTTGCTGTAGCATACGAGTCACACCCCAGGCACGAACACAGCACACTTGCTCTGAGGTCAGCAGAAACACCCTCCTGAGGTGCTCGCTTGCCTCGAGCTGTCAGCACAGCTACAAGAGTCGTGTTGTCCTGGAGAATGACAGGATAGCCGAGAGCAGAGGTTCGCGTCCTCAGCTAACCTCACACCACCTGCCTATCGTCTCCACATTCAATGCTGTCCAAAGCTTGTACCCCAGATTTCCGATGTCAGAGTTTCCATTCATCAAGCTTGATTCGTTCCCCAAGCTTTAGCTTTGGATGATGGTAGACTGGATAGGACTCAGAAGAGTTAAAGTCACATGGCTAGGTGGAGCACATTCCCATCTGAGGAGGGGTCACAGAACATTACACCAACGACAGCAAGACAACGCGAAAGAGGGAAAAAGGTAGAACTGTTATTGGGGAAATGTCGGTGTCTGTGTGATCTGATGTAGCAAGAGCCCAAGAAAAGAATTCTTGAAAGCGCTCCTTCTGTATCAATGTATCTCCAAGAACTATCCACCTCGCCACACCATTACCTACCGACTTTTTATCACTCTTTGTTCCCTAACCACTTTTTGCAACTACGTTGATGATTCCCTTGGACTTTTGATCAGATATGACGACCATAATGGCGGTGGCAGAGCCGTCGCATCATAAACCAAACCTCCGTTGGGATGCTCTCACGCCTACCATCATTACAACCACACTTGCGACAGCTGTAGTGATATTGAGGCTCATTGTACGATGCAAGTTTGTCAAGGCTGTAGGCTTTGATGATTTTGTCATTATGGTGTCGCTTGTGAGTATCTCCGGGAAGGTGGAAGCTGTGCATGCAGCTGTCTCAGCTCGATATTTTTGGGTCTCTTTTCTTTGCACCCTTGACATCTCACAATCTCCTCACCAGGCCATTGCTTACCTGCTCAGCACTTCTTACTGCCACGTATCACAAGCCCCAGGCTAACATGTCTGCAGTNTCTTTTCTTGGCTTGTTCTTGGTCTTACTGTGGCCATGGTCATGACAGGATTCGGCAGCTACTCCTGGTCCAACCCATTGGATCTCCACTCTACGACAGCCAAACTATTCCTCAGTTGGAACGTCCTCTACGTCGCCCTGATCCATGTCACCAAAGCTTCGATCCTTACTCAATACTTGCGCATCTTTCCCACTCGCACAATGCGACGGCTCACGTGGCTCCTCTTCGCTACTCTCGTGCCCTCTGTGCTCTGGGGTGTTTTTGCTTCCATCTTCATCTGTGATCCGGTCAGAAAAGTGTGGCGACCGATGGTGCCTGGCCACTGCCTAGGGACAAGAACGTATTGGCTGAGTGCCACGGCTGTGAATATCGTGCTCGACTTTGCAGTGCTGGCATTGCCGATGCCTGTCATATCACGCTTGAAATTGCCGAAGAGGCAGAAGATCGCGCTGGTGGGCGTCTTCTTGTTGGGCTTTTTGTAAGGGCTATACTCTTTCATGTGCAGGGGTTGATTAGCTAACGTCAAGCACAGTACGTGTGCGGTATCGGTTGTCAGGCTCGTGCTGGTGCACAACGCGTACGCTCGACACGACTTTACAGCATCTTCGGCAGAAGCAGTGACATGGTCGATGGTCGAAGCCAACGTCGGCATAATATGCGCCTCTCTGCTCGCCTTGAAACCACTCATCGTCTACTTGTTCCCACAAGCCACCAAAGAACGGCAAGCGCCCCGATGGAGCTTGACACTTAATACGGTACCCACAGCTGAAGCGACTGAGCCTGACTCAGAGAAGGGACAAGTCGAACAAGAAGAGCCAGTTGCACCAAAGTCCATGTCGAGTACAGACAGGTTGGAAAAGATAACGGAAGAGCTTGAAGACTCTGACGAGTTGACGCTTGTTGGCACGCGACAGAGTTGCATGCGTACAGATATGAGACAAGAAAGGAGCAGGAGCTGGAGCGAGCAGACTATACTTGACATGGAAGGGGCTATAGCCAGACCTACGCCGGCAGCTACGAGTCCGTTGACGGCACACATGCGCGAGGAGGAGTTGGACGAGCAGAGGGCGGCGCTGGACAGGCAAGGGTCGAAGCCTGGGAGAGGTCTCGATGGATAGACAAGCTGTTTAGTTGCACATGGTCGAAAATCGAATACCTTGTGTCGCTCTGCAGAATATCAATAGAAGACCACTTGGTTACTTGTAGAGAAAGACTCAAGTCGTGGATGGACATGGATACTGCCGAGTCATGTTCCCAACAGCCGTTCCAAACCGATTGCGGAGGCGGCAGAATGCAAGTGGAAAGTTGAAGGCCGGCGACATTCGCAGTCGACAGCAAGCAGCGCAACCACACACACCGCTCGACCATGTTGCTCCCAAGGATACGGGCTCTGCCCACGGGCTCTTCGCCAGCCATTGCCACCATCGAGACCGCTCTGTCGGCTCTGCGCCTCTCGTCGCAAGCAGTCACAAACACCACCAGCATTGCCGTACGCCATGCCTCGCACAAGGCCCAGGGAGCCGCCAACTCTGCAAAGGACGGCGCAGGAAAGAGATTGGGTGCTAAANAGAGTGGAGGTATGTACCACACGCTAGAGACACACATCCCTCGAAACATGCACACGACACGGCCACTGGTTCTCTTTCCTCTTCACCTCCAGCGCATCGGACACATACAAGAAGAACGAACAGCACGAACGGAAGAAGCGAAAGCAGAAAACTGACATTCGAGCCTACTAGAACAATACGTGATCCCGGGCAACATCATCTTCCGCCAACGCGGCACCAAATGGTTCCCTGGCGACAACTGCGCCATGGGCCGCGACCACACCATCTACGCCACCCAACCCGGCTACGTCAAATACTACAAGGATCCGCTCAAGCATCCCAAGCGCCAATACATTGGAGTGGTGTTTGAGCGCGCCCAAGTGCTGCCGCAACCACCCCATGCAGTGCGCAGACGGCGCTTGGGCATGTTGGCCTACCAGATGGAGGGCCCACACCTCGAATCTTCACTGCAAGGCGACCTCGTCACCGGCCCCGAGACTGGACTTTCTGGAAACGCGGGCATGGGCGCAGCTTCTGCGTCAACCATCCGCGAGCAACCCAAGGAAAACAAAGCAAAGGTGGTGGTCAAGGACAAGAGGACTGGTGAGGTAGTCAGGGCGACTCCGACATTGAGACCTGGATACCAGTACCGTGCTGCAAACTGGGAAATTGGAAGGGCTGCCGAGAGGGCTGGCATCAGGGTCACGCCGTTCAAGCCCGGCAACAGATTCTTGGCTTGGAGGAAGGCTGCCGTGAGGAAGGCGAAGAATGCCGAGAGGAGGGGTCTGACCAGAAGACGTTGAAGCAGAGATGGAAAGAGTGTAGGAATATACAGGGCGTTTTTCTTTGGCCGGGGCATGAAAGTGGCATTCTTGTACATGTAGAAGAAATCATATGGCTGGTTCATGGCCGTGTTTCACAAAGCTTTGCGAAAGAGACTAGCAGGCCATGTTTCAAGGCTTTTCTTCTGACTGTGGTATGTTCTTGGGAGAGGAAGGCAGTTCCCTCGGTATCGTCCTAGACAGTGCCATACCGCGGTCTTCTTCCTCGCAGGAAAGGACGTGGGTATGAGAAAATGTGTTTTGGGTGTTATACAGAATTGTACAGGTATATGCAATCAGAAGGTCGCTTTTTCGTATAAAATCACTTGAGGCCAAGAGGGTTCAGTATCCTCTCCCTCACAATCTTGTTTGCAAAGTCTCCTCCCTTCTCCATGGCCACGGCACCGATGATTGAGTAGAGAGTGTGGGCGAGAACGACATCAACACCAGACGATGAGAGGTTGTCAACNCTGTAGAAATACTGTCAGTTCTTGGCAATTTCGAGTTTTGTTTCTTTGCAGCGACTCACGTTTCTCGGCTTCCATCTCACCACAGCATCCAAGCCATATTGCCGCGCCAAAGAGGCCAATCTCTCCTTGTCCAGCGTCTTGTTCTTTGCAAAGTCGGAAAGGTTCTCCACACCCCTCATGGCCGGATGCGACCACTGCTTGTTTGTTCTCGTTTCTTGCCGGCCTTGAAGACTGTGGTGGAAGGTGTTCGAGGGCTGCTCGATCAGAGCAAGCGAACACTGCACATGGCACAGTCGCTTGCCCAGAAAAGCGAGCTTGTCGTTGAAGCCTCTTCTCGCATGATCGAAGGACTTGTGAGTAACGGCTAGCCATTTGATCTCTTCGGGCAAGATGGCGTCGCCATTCTTGCCGAGGAAGGACGTGTATGCTGAGTCGAGGAGGGAGGGGTCTGCATTGACGGAGAAGGGAGGAGATTGGCGTTGGCGAGGGCCAGGTCGTGCGCGCACAGGCATGGCCATGCGTGATGGAGTGGCTGCCCAGCGGGGAGTGTGTGATTCGGACGAGGTAGCATAGCTGTTGAAAGCCAAGCTGGCGCAACGAGAGAGTCGAGGGCGGGTGCAGGATGATCTGAAGGCGGCGCCGACGAGGGCGGGCGGCGATAGTGCGGATGCGCTCATGCTGAGGTTGTGTGTGGTCGTGTATGCGCAGATGGGTCGTTCCAGCCTTGTCTCTGGTCCTCCTCTTGTACTGATTGCTGCTGCTGCTGCTGCTTCTCCCCGTCACCTGGTCGCTGGCGGGAGTGGATCGGGAATCTTTCTTGAACTGGCAGGCACGGTTGAACTTCGGCAGTTGCGGCCGGAGTGTTTGGAGCAGCGAATGTTTAGTGGTTGCCGTCTGTTCTGGTCACTCAATTGGGCAAGCATTTCTAGCGAGATGGACGAAGGGCAGTCGGCGCTCAGCAGGGCAGAGTTGTATTCACGCTTGCAGGCCGTGCTTGGCGCCGGGAGTGCATACAGAATCCACCATCTCTCGACGCGGCCGACCAAGGCAGACGCCCTGTTTGCTGCTCCCCCGGCCACAAGGCCGCAACGCACCAAATGCGAATCTCACTTTCTCACTCTCTCTTCCACACGCAATGTCTTTGTCTACGCCATCGAGGTCCTCGTCTACACCACTGCCTCCCTGACCACCCTGTTCGTCTCCAAGGCCGACTCGACCGGCTATCTGCCCAGACAAGAGTCGCCTATCCGTCCACTTACCTCGACCTTCGTCACATGGCTTGCCGAGACTAGGCAGAGACCTGGCATCCCGCTTGTCGTTTCGCTCTTTGCCAGAGCACAGGATCAATACCTCTTTCCCGGGAGTGTCGACCATGGTGCAAAGCATGTCCTGGATGATCGTCAGCTCGTCAAGTGGTGGTGCAAGACTCTCGACCCCGTTCTGAGGCACCACACCGACGATGCGTACACCACTCGCGCCCATGTCATCGTACCTGGCTTCGATTCCTACGAGACCACCCAGTTCTTTCCTCCCTCTTACCGCTCCGATCCGCCCGACCAACGCAGATGGCGACACGGCCATCCACTTCTCGACATCGCTCCCAATCCCTCCGCTCCGCCTCGCTGTCTCGTGCCACACTTCCCCGACGATCCCAAAGCTCGCTACCTCGATGAACTCGATGCTGAAATACCCGACTCGCAACCTTCGCAGTCCTTCTTTTCGCCCTCCAAGAAAGGCAACGGCATGTGGAAGAGCATAAGGACTCTGGATCAGTTCTGGGACACCATGGCTTTTAGACAAGAGTGTTCCTCTGGCAGAATGGTCGGTTTCATCTGGCTCGTCTTCACGCCGACCCAACCCACCATCCAGTCGTTGGAAGACTCTGTCGCAAACCTGACGCCAGCTACTTCCTTCAATGCAGACGACTTGCTCGGAGCAGATCAAATCTTTTCAAGCCAGGAAAGCCTTGGTCAAGCCTCAGAGGCTAACAAGTCAAGTCCAAGGAAGAGTTCGAGGAGGAAGAAGCTGTCAGGACCAATCATACCCCGTCAACCAAAGATCAAATCGTCTTCTTCAAATCTGTCTTCGCGCTCGGACAAGTCTAATAGCAAAGAGTGGCCAGAAAAGGGTCGCGGTCAGATCTTGCTCGAGCACGCGTCCTACACCAGAGTCCATGACTTGCTGTTACGCCTCGACTTTTCGAATGTCGATGCTGCCACTAGCAGTACGCGCAAATGGCTCAGTGAAGTTACAGCAATCACGATGCCCACTGCAGACTGGGGCAAAGAAATCACAGGCGCGCAGTCAGACGTAGATCGCACTGCCGTCGTAACAGGGGCCGCGACATCCACATCTGACCAGGTCAATGATTTGTCTGGCATGTTGGTTCGCAAGAAGAGGAAGAACATTGACGTTGGAGTCCAGGCATCGGCCGCTGTGGAAGCACCCGCCGTGAATGTCTTAGGAGCGTCCATGATTCGTAAGAAGCCAAAGGTCAGCAATTCTTGATGTACCGGGTCATATCGTCTCTCGGAGGCGGCCTTTTGAGCCGATGAGCTTGAGCGTGGAGACAAGTCCGCCGCTACCTTGGTCTTCATGCTTGTTTTGCCTTGTATTCTTTTCTTATCGTCCCTCCAGGATACCCAAACAGCAGCTTAGATTCAGATAGTCATGATAACGATAATTTCATTTCAGTGCATTTTGAGACTGCAAGGCCAATCCATATGTGTGACTGTTAGAAAAGTAAACGACAAGAAGCAAGCGAAGAGCTTGAGAAACGATGCGTGCAGAGTGTCGTCATTTTCGGAGTTGCGTCCAGCTCCGGTGTCCTTTCGATCCAGATTTCTGGGGAGGTCATCGATCGGATTGATACATACGAGCCTTGTGGGTGCACTCTTTCTTTGTTCAAGAAGAGGGTTAGAGAACACCAACTAGATTGCCAGAGGCAGATGGTATAGCTTATCCTGGCATCTCCGCTTTTTCTGTCACCGAACTTTCTTCTTTCCTCCATCTCATCCGCAGCCGATCCTCAGAGTAGAGAACTCCACGCGGCGACATACAATCTATCCGCATCGACTCCATCAACAACCAAGTTGGCAACATTTCTGTCCCGAGGCTAATTTTGACTTCACGAGGCTTTGGCAGTCCCCATCAGCAGAGCCGCATAACGTACAGGACTTCAAAATGTCGGTCGACGAGCGCGCAGGCTGGACGCCCCCAGCTGCCAACGTCACCACACCTACATCTCTCATCTTTTCCGAAAACAAAGGTATGGTTTCGCTGGAATCTGTCAGAACATCAAATCTCGAGGCCAGTAGTTTGGAGAACTTGGTAGCTGTGTTTGGTATGTCATGTTGCTCATTCATCGCCATTTGTCATTGCCCAATGTTTTCCATATACGTGCTTGGTAGGCAGTGATTGTTTCCTGTCTCCACGTACACATATCGCCTTGGTCTTGTTGGACAGCTTTGGCTTGAGGATACCGTTGCTGACTTGCGCTTGATGCTGCATANNGTTGGAGGTACAAATGGTGTCGCCGAGAGTACAGCCAAGGAGTTGTTTATGCGGACGACGACACCACGAGCATACATTATCGGCAGGCGAGTTCAACCATACTTTTTTGGCACTCTTCGAATATTGACAGTCATATCCAGGAGTGAGGATAAAGCAACCAGTCTATGCAAAGAGCTCAAAGACTTGAATCCTGGATCGGAGGCCATCTTCATCAAGAAGGATATAAGCATACTAAGAAATGTCGACGAGGTCTGCCAGGAGTTGCAACGAAGGGAAAAGAAAATAAATATCTTGTTTCTTTCTGCTGGCCACATGTCACTCAGCGGTCGAAATGGTAAGTCGCTATCGCCGCCATAATGTTGCACAATCATAACATTAGTTACANAAGAAACACCGGAGGGACTCGACCACAAAATGGCTGTCAACTACTACTCCCGAATACGCTTTACCCTGAATCTTATGCCCGAACTCACAGCAGCTGGAAGAAACCACGAACTATCGCGTGTCTTGACTGTCCTTGCAGCAGGATCAGAAGCCGACATTGACTTGGACGATATGGATCTCAGGAAAAACTATACCCTGCATGCATGCCTCTCACACTGTGTTATGATGACGGACTTCATGATGGAAGAATTGGCCAAAAGATATCCGCAAACTTCATTCAGTCATTCCTACCCTGGTACTGTCAAGTCAGGAATCACGAATCAACTCACCGGACCTATCAGGCTTGGAGTCAAGGTACTGTATTCGGTCATGACACCATGGATCTTGAATTTCCGAGAAAGCGGTGAGAGACATCTCTTCCAGATCACCAGCTCAATGTACAAGGCCAGAGATGGAGTGGCTGGAATACCGCTAAATGGGGGTCTGGACATTGCTGTTGGTATAGATGGANCAAAGGGGACTGGAGCATATCTGCTCGATTGGGATGGTAGGCCAGCAGGCGACATGGGCATCCTTGCAACATACCGTGAAAAGAACGCCGGACCGAAGATATGGGAGCACACCATGACGGCCATCAAAAAGNCAACGTCGAAGAAGAGAATGGCTGACGATGATGAGAAGGAGGAGCAGAAGCGTAGAGAACAGCATGCAGTTGGTGCTCCGAACTTGGCTGGATGGAGAGCTGGTTGAAGCGTATGTAAAGCTATCGATACAGGATACGGCAGGCTATTTGTCGTGGCGCTATGGTAGAAGTGTGTGCGTTGTTGAGCTGGATAGTTACGAACTGTCAAGCCTATCCTTAACGAACATGAGTGAAAGGTGCAAGGGAGTTTTGGGGTCGCCTATGCAACCAACTATTTGATATCCATAACAATGATATGTTCTTCCCCTTGACCCAGTCCGCTGTATGGCTACCACTTGATCGTGGCTACAGTCCTCACAGGCTCGGTTTCGTTTGATGTGATACTTCTCGCCTTTACTGCCGCCGACGTCGTTGTTGACAGACCAGACACGCCAGGGTCACTCTCGCAGTGACGCGTCGCTTCGCGCACAGACCACGGAGTTGAGTGAGCTTCACAACGTTCCCAACACGACCTCGAAATTCACACACAGGTTCGAATCTCTCCTTGCGCATCCCATCTGCGCGTCTTTTTCCCATTCACCCGCATCAGGACCATCTCCATTGAGAAGTCATGCCCAGCCATGGCGACTGGCTCGGATGTTTTGTTAGAGCACCTGCTGCTCCAAGTCGCCCTTTCTGGTGACATCGGTACGTGTTTCTCTTGCGTTGTTTGCTCTGCTGTGGTCCGATCTCTTTTTATGGTGGAGACCGAGATCATTTATTCGATTTTAATGCATGGAGAGGAATTTATGTCGCACTTTGCAGTGACCAACGCCATAAACTAATTATAAAAATAACACANNGGACTCACCATTACAGCACTGAGTGCTGCTTTTGTTGAATACAACAACAACGCTGTCGAAGAAGACAACAGTAAAGATGAAGACAATACAGACGATGGAGATCTCCTCTTTTCCTTGAAACCGCCTGGTGCGAATTCGACTGCGAACTCGCAAGCTTCGGATCCGCAACACCTCGAAAAGCTTTGGACTTGGCTCGTCGACCACCCTGATGTTACTGTCACCCAAAATCCCTCTGCTACGGATGATCCATATGGAAGGTTCACTGAAATCGACCCTTCCAGTCCACTCGCTCCAGTCTTTGCTACCCATGCCAAGGAGAGATTGTACACTACCGAGCATCGAGTCTGGCATGCCCTTACCGAACATGATGTCGACTGGAAACGTATTCCGAAACTCGAGTTTCACTGTCTACAAGTCATCGCTGCCGCAGGTCGCGAAGGCGTTCTCCAGCCAGATGTCACCAGAATCACTGGCCAAGACAAACGCTCGGTGCCAAAACGTACCGACTCGCTTGCCACCAAGGGCTACATTACCAAGGAGATGTGCTTAGGTGGTGGGATCAAGACCAGTTTGCTTCGTCTAAAGAAACTGGTACTCGAACCCACTTCTACATTCTACACGATAAAGGCAAAGGCTGGTAAAGGCGAAGGCAGCACTCGTCGCATGATCAACTATGAGCAATGGTTCAGCGAAGTCATGACCACTTTGAAGAAGCATGATGGTCTCATTGCATATGAAGACTTGCGCAAGGAGATGGGCATCCATGGATCACGTTGGGAGACCAGAGCTCTTCATCGATGCATCAAGAGACTGGAGAGAGCCGGCTGTGTCCAGAGACTCCGCGCTCGTCTGGAAGGCGCACGTCCCAAACAGGCAAAGAAGCAAGCTGAAGGAGTTACTCCAGCTTACGATCATCGCTACGAGATTGATCCCGAAGCTCCCACCGAAAAGGTCGACGCCGAGAAGACTGAGCACGATTCAGAGAACGTATTCTGGATTAGATGCATCAAGCTGATGCGCGAACCTGTCGAAAAAGATCTCGAAGCGTTCACCTCTACAATCAAGTCTGGCAAGGTTGGCAAGGCCGTTGAGGATCAGGAGTCCGATGCAGAAGCCGATGCTGACGAAGATGATGATTACGTCGAGATTGATGTTGCGGCTTTGGACGGACTAGGCAAGATGACTGAAATCACCAGGCGTGTGCCACCTCAATGGCGACCGGACATGCATCACACGCAGTTCTTCCAGCAGATCATTGCAAGTGCTGGAACTAAGGGGTTGAGCACCATGGATCTTGCCAACTTCGGACTGGGTCCTTTCTGGCGACGTCCGCTCGACGAGATCATGGGTAGGCTCACCGATGTCTGGACCGTATCACAACCTCTCCATCTTCGCCATCTTGCCACCGTCAGAGATACTTCCCAGCTGCACAGAATCTCGCACTATGTATTTCGAAGCTACCACAACTTCCAGAAAATGGTGGAGAATGGTGAGGCCAATTGGGAGGCAATCGACATCAACCCAGCAGAAATCCAAAGAAAGCCCGATGTTGACAACTGGGGCTTCCCTAAAGTCAAGCCATCCACCATGGTCGGTCACGATGGCACGCACAACATTGCCGCTTGCAAGAACGTTCTTGTCAGATCGAAAAGCAAGCCGAAGAGACCTTTGTGGGAGAAGAAAGCATTTACCTCCGCCGATCCACTATCAAGTATAAGCGCTCTTAAGACACCCAGAAAGAGAGCCACACCTTCCGAAGTGCCTTTGTCAGCCGCAAAGCCAGCTGAACCTGTCGAAGATGGAGAAGATGTCACTCCTGTCTCTACACGCCCATCGACAAACAAGAAGAAGGTGTATAAAGTCATGTTCAAGATGAACCCCAAACGTGTCGAGGCTGAGCTCAACGAGTGGAAGGTCAGATCGCACAAGCTCGCTGTTTCGAAAGCAAAAGCAGAGCTTGGTTTGAACGTCAAGAAGGATGTGACCAAGCCAAAGAAGCGTCGCAGATCTACCAAGGTCGACAAGGCTTATCCTGAGCCTGGAATACTTGGCCAGGCCCTTGCTCCAACTTCAGAATCCTTGACAGCTGCTTCATCAGACGGACCTGTCCTACAAGCGTCCAAGAGGGTAACAGAGATCACGCCATCACCGTCGACTGAAACCCCTGAAGAGCAACCCGGCCTAGAGGACGCCGCCGCACTGGCTCAGGGTCCCACTCAAAGCGATACAAATGCTGCCGAGAAGTCTGACGCTGTTCCTACCGAGAAGATGCTCGTCAACTCAGAGCTTGACAAGCGTGTGGCCGATATTGAGCTTGAGACCCTTAACATGGCCAAGCCTGGCGTCTACATCAACCCTCCGGGCTCTGGTCAGCTGAAAAACGACGTGACGCAGCCGAAGGGGCGCCCTTCAAGGTATCTCATCGCTGTCTTCAAGTCGGAGAAGTTGAAGTCTCTGCCATGGTTCACCGACGAGGACTCTTATCGTTCAACGTCTTCGCAGGATACGACTCCGGAGCCGAGTTTTGCACAATCAGAGCCAAAAACACCGGCTTCGGTGCCTGTGATCAGACACAGTGAGCCTGCTCAAGCAGATGACATGCCCAGATGGGCCACGATGAACTCGGAGGCACCGGCTCCGACAGCACCCTCGCTTCCTGCAGAGTCCGAGAAACCTAAAGACGAAATTATCATCAAGAGAGGCAGGAGAATTCAAGTTCAGAGGCAGGGCAAGCGTAAGGCCTACGAGCCGTTACGACAAAAGGTCGCGAAAAAGCTTGCTGTCGAACAGGCTGTCGATGATGGCAAATGGAGGCCTTTGACTGAGCTCGAGGCATACAACGCGCAAGTCATGAAATCACCTCCGAGTACACCCTTGTCATCGAGGAGAGCAGTACCAGTCCTGGAGACACCGTCTCCTGCTGTCTCACAACTATCCTTTGATACTCCTGGTTCTATCGTACGTCCTGCAGAAATATCACCGGAGGACCTCACTGCAGTGGATTTACTTCTTCAGAGAGCCGACAGTGTTCCGTATGAGCCAGAAGAGGGTCTTCAAGTTGTAGCAGAGGAACGGCAGGCCTCCGCTGGAGCCGCGGACAGCGACGTACAAATGGAAAACGCAGGTGCAGCTGACAACGTCGAGCTGGAGACTCACGCGACAGCAATACCATCACAGGTTACTGAACAAGAACCAGAAGAACCACAACCGCAGCCGATTGAACCCCAGCAAGTGCAATCCACCCATGTCACGAACTCACAGAAGATTCTTGAGCCTTTCTTCCGAAGAGCTTCCAAACGTCCCGACAAACCAGCACCTCCTGTCGAAGAAGTTACTGAGGAGACTGGCTCAACAAGTACACCTGCTCCGTACAATCCATTTGCCAAGATAGAAGTCAAATCGGCCGCCACCGCAGCTCGCTTCGCTTCTCGCGCCAAAGCTCCCTCCAAAGTCGGTGTTGGCCGCTCTGGAGGTATCGTCAGCTACAATCGCAACAGGGTGCTCCTCGAGATTGTACACCAGAATGGCGGCATGTTTGGTGGCGATAGAGAACTCTATTATCCTTTTGTCACAGTATGGGACAGAGAGTTTCATCGCCGACCTGATCGTCATACTCTAGACCGAGTTTTGAACGGGCTCATTGAAGAAGGCAGACTGAAGAAGGAGCCCTTTTCATTCTCCGCATCTGACGGAAAGATCTTCACCAAAACGCTGGTCATGGAGCCACACATCGATCCAGACGGCCCAGAAGCACAGGCACTCAAACAAAAGATCATCGAGTGTCATCCAATGACCTATGTCCCTGAGGGGATTGAAGTTCTGCCCGAGCTCCGTCTTCGTATTGAGCACGATCTGAGAGGTGGCAAGGGCATACCAGATGTGCACAATCCCAACAGTTCCTTCATCTACGATCCCACTGCTGTCGTCAGCCGTATCGAGGGACCTACAAAGGTTCAACTCGGTATGACAGAAGCCAGAATGAAGAAGGGCGTGACAGCCAGAAGACGCAGACGCGAAGAAGAAGAAAGACGCCAAGAGAGGTACATCCAAGCACAGATGGAAGAAGATATTGACAACGCTGTGGCTGCTCTGACGACAGATTTCCAGCTTGACTCTTATCAACACGATCCGTCCAGAGCGGTTGTTGATAGAGGTCCGCGTGGTCGTGGAAGACTTGCCAAACTGCAACGCTGGGGTGCAGAAGACCAAATCGTTCCCAGACGTGCTCTTGGTTTACTCACAACGACCGGAAGAGATGACCAACTCGAAGCAGAACAGAACAGTCGTGATGCAGTGGCAGCTGCTGATTTTGGTGTGTTGAAACCCCAGCTGATCCCTACTATTCCCTCAAGAGAAGTACCCACAGCGCCTAGGGTCCGATTCAACGTCCCTCAAGAGCCTTCTCTCGCACAGATGTTGCATCAGAAGCAAGCAGGCACATTCAGCGTTATTGACGCTTTGTCCATGACTGCTCCTTATCAACGTTTCCATCGTCAATCAGGAACGTTCTCAACTGATCCTGTTGTTATTACCACGTCTAGCCAACAATCACGCTATGGCTTCGTTGGTCAGCAGATGCAAATTCCAAAGTCTCTTGCAGATATCTTCAAGCAGGCTGGAGAGGAAGCCACCTTGCTTGAGTTGCCTTCAGAAAGTCCACATGTTGCATACGACATACCGCGATTCGCAGCTGTTGGTGTCACCAGACTTCCAAGATTACATTCTGCAAGACCACGTCCAGCACCGAGACCTCAACCAGAGTACAGATCTTATGGAGCCAAGGCAGTGTTGCCACGTTCCAGCAGGACCGGTATCTTCTCCATGTCTGAAAAGGAAGAACAACGCCTCATCTATGCTGTTGTGGTTGTCAAGACTCTTACCGGAGGCTTGGAGCAGATTGTCAACTGGGGTCTTGTGCACCAAGTCTTCCACTACAAGTTTGATCCTAACTACTGCCGTCATCGTTGGGTGTTCCTTAGACCCAAGCTCGGCGGTACGGCGGATAAGCTGCAAGTCGAATTCCAAAAGTTGTTCCTCGAAGCTTACGAGAGTGGCGAGATACCTGGCATCGACTTTGTGGAGCCAGAAAAGTATGATTGGTTGGCCATCGTTGAATGGGCTGAAAGAAGACTCTCTCAGACAAACCCTTTGAATGGACTTCCAGAGCTGCCTAAGAGTAGAGAAGTCCTGGACAAGCGCTTCGACGTCAGACACGCTACTGAGGTGTATAACATTCCCCGAGAAGACTTCTGGGTTGCTAACGTTACACATCTGCGCAGAGAAGAGCTGGCAAACAGCTGGACATTCGCCCGTCCACTTGCAGAAGCTGCAGATCCTGTTCAAAATGATGACGACCTCATGCTCGCCTTGTCATGGGTTCGCGCCAATGTCATCACTCCAGATCCTGTATATGATAGTAACCAAGCACACGAGAAGCTCATTAGAATTGAGCAACTTCTTCCGCAAGCACTCGATCATCTGCTTGGAGCCAAGATTATTCGTATGGAGAATAAGGGCCGCCAGATTCCCGGACGTAACTACGACATTTCAGATTCCGTCCTGACAATGTTCAAACGCCAATGGGACGTTCGCTACCTCAAANAGACTGCAGCATTCAAGAAGACTATTGATGAAGCCTTTGTTGATGACGGTAAGCTGACCATCAGTTACCAAGCCACGGATGCCGAGATGACCGCCATGACGAATTTGGTTGCTGCCGGTCGCGCAAAGGTCGTTTCTATTCTACCAGAAACAAATCATACCATGGGAGCTCCCTATCCTCGTCTCACTAAATGGGGCTTCACAGAAGGCAACTACAAGACAGTGCACATGGACAAGTCGCGCCTTCACTTTCTGCTTGAGCTTCATCCAACATCCACATATATTCAAGGCATACCAATCTCGCCTATCCCTGCACCTCCACTCTCCAAACAGTTCCCTGGCGAGATTGGCCCACGTCTACCTATTTGGACCGACATCCATGGCAACGTCATCAAAGTTTACTGGGAGATGACAGTCATGGCTACACTCTGGCTCTTGGCCTTCAGACCAGGCCTCAAGATCGAGGATATGTGCAAAGGTGCATACAAAGGCAAACTCTGGGACTGGGAGATGGAGATGTTCCTGTCGTGGGCTGAGAATGCTGGACTTGCTAAGAGGTTGAAATATGGTGGTGACAACGGCCCTGAGGCCGATGGGTGGGTTGTGCAGGAGTGGTGGTGGTTGGCGTTTGCGACTGATTGAGTCTGTGACATGATGTGAAGAGAAGGGGGCTGCTGTTGTGGCAAAGGGTGGGATGTTTATACCATGCACAGCTTTTTGTATTACTCTAGATCAAAGAAACATATTACTTGTACAAATCATGCAAAACAAACAAATGTGCTGCCGTCTCCTGGGGTTTCTATCACTCACGCTTCCTAACCTAAATCAGATGTAGAGTAGGGTGCAGAAGTAAACCTCGTGAGAGTGTTCGTCCTGTGAGCGAGGCAGAACTTCACAAGAACAACAAAGGACCCCACAGACTCCCATGCCATTGGATCCATCGCCTTAAGGTCAGGGGCCCAACATGCAAGAGCAAAATAACCAGAGAATGTGACCTCGTTCACCGAATCAAGATTGGGACTGAAATCTGACAATGGGACAACGGACCGCTGAACAAGATGGATCAACTGCATGGTTCACTGAAAAGATGCCATCGTCTCCGAAAATCAACAGTGCAGAAAAAGCCACATCCTCTCATCATTGGGAACACACGATGAGACGCCAAAAGAACGGACACCACGAACCAGAGTCGAGCAAAACGTGACGCTTTACACCTAACATTCCCGCCTAACGCACTAGGGATCTGGTTATCGGACAAGTACGAACATGAACCGGCCATTATGCTCAGCTAAACGATTGCACCACGAATTTGTTGGCTGAGCAGGTGGAAGCAAGGCGATTCTGGAGGAGTGTCTGTCTCGTCCAGGGGTCAAGTTTCCCTCACTATTACCTATTGCGTGCATGTTTAGGCAGTTCCTGGCTGCTTCAATGATATACTCGGGCAAAAAACTGCGGCCTAGGCTAACTAGGCTAGGGATAGGTGATCTTCGAGGATGGTGCAGTTCCATACAAGGGTGGGTTTCTCTTCACTTGTCGCAGTCAGATCAACTCACTGTCGTTGGTGACGGAGTATCTGCGAAATCTGGTCACTCCCTAAGTACCTGCACTTCCTTTTGTCTATTGTGTGTGCTGGCCAAGTCCCTCTATCGTGTGACTCTACGTGCATCACAATCCTTTCTCAGCACCAACCATCTCCAACATCATGGACATCCAGAAAACATATCATCAAAAGAGAGCGCATGCGCCTCTATCAACTACCCCACGAGACGACTTGAGATCTCTCCAACAAGTCTTGGACGGCGCCTGCAATGAAAAGAGAAAACTCATGTCGACAATCCCTAGATTTTGGAAAAGTGAAGAAGTTCTGTATGATCACGTATGATGTGCTTCAAAAGACTTGATGCTAATCCCACCTCAGTCGTACCAGTTATGAGGCGGTCCACCTCCAATTACAAGGCCGTGTCGTTTTGATCAACAAGACCTTGCTTCGCCTTTTCTGCCCTTACTACAGAGCAGTCTTCGATAGCGGGTTCGCAGAAAGCAGGCAGAAGATCGTCAGTATGGGTATCGAGTACGAAGACATATCTGTGTTCGGCCATTGGTTGAACTCTGGTCGTCTGGTCGTATCTGATTACGGTCAACTTGTCAGACTCTATGTCTTTGCCGATTACCACGACTTCCCTGCTCTCCGCCGTGCGATCATGCTGAAACTCGACAGAGGTGGTGCTGTGTTGGTCAAGGTTCCGTGCTATCTCGATCAGCTCAAAGAGTATCTACCACGACTACCCGCAGCTTCGCCATTCTATCGATGGCTAGTTAAAGCATGACCTCATCACCATCCGAGAGAAGATCGCTTGCGACTTGATATGCCAACTGAGTTCCGCGAGCTGGTCCAGGATGACTTGGTCAACATCTACTCCAACAGACACTCCTACACATCCTGCAAGTGTTGTCACAATCCCTGCGACTACCATGAACACTCTTGCTTCGTGGAATGGTTTTCCAGTAAGTTTCTTTCTTGAATCACGATGAACGCACTCACTGACGCATCACCAAAAGCATGTCACGCTCATGACAGAAATCTGCCAGAGCCTGACCCGTCTACATATCGCAGTTCATACAAGACAGATTGAAACAAAGTCACACAGGCATGGTTCACATACGCTCAGTTATCACATGGGATAGAAGAGAAGGATACAGAGCATAGAAGAAAGATGGACAATACATGCTCGCATTACAAATTGATCTTCATCGAGTCCTAAAGACGTCTTGCTTTCCATGATCTGAAAGAGTTGTCTAGAGCAATCTAGAAAAGAGCTGAGAAGACATTGTCCTCGGAATCGGCAGAACAGTGAGATTTACTTTCTCAAGAGTAGCATCACGCAAGACGGTCGACTTCATCAAAAGTGAAGAGCATTCATTGGAAGCGCGACGGAGAGCGCGGTCACATGCTTTGAGGATGTAACTGTTCAATCGCAACATTCTTTCCCCCTTTTCTCTTCACCATCACTACAATCACTACCATCATCATCATTGCTTTTGGTACTACTGCCATTATCTTCACCGCCTTCATCGTTCTCGCCCTCAGTGCTGTCATCGTTATTCTGGCCATCTTCGCTAGCACTGCCATCTGCGCAATCCTTGTCATATTCGCTATCATCACAGTTCTTATCGACACTCTTGATTGGCGTCACTGACCCATCCTCGTGACCAAGACGCCAGAAGACATGGACTTGCAGGTTCTCTCGCGCGACTTCGAAGCGGCAAGACTCAGATTGGAATTTTCAGAGAAAGAACGTCTTTGCGCTGAGGAAAAACTTGCATTTTCAATCTCAGAGTGTGACGACTTGAACGCCAGACTCAAAGTTTACGACCAAGACAACGACACATTCAACGCGATGAGAAAGCTGATGGAGATGCAAGGTGGGCTGTATCCTTACCAAATCCCAGACACTTTCAATTGCCTAGATGTCTTTCATCGTCGCCAAAGTCTGCTATCGAGGTTGCTCAACATCAAAGAGTCTCCTAACTGGAAGACGAGAGCCATTGCAGCTGAGACTCGTCTGGCAAACTATCCCGAACTCGAACATCGGGCCAAACTCCAAGCAGCTCAGGAAGAGGTCAGAAAAGCCCACAAACTCAACGGTGATCTGGCAAGCAAGATCTCTGAGAAAGAGACAGCTCTGCACATTCTTCAGCTTGATGTCAACAGAATCCTGGGACTTGAAAAAATCATATCCACAGACAAAGACAAAATTATTGAGTTGGGGTCTGAACTCCAGAACAACCTCAGAGAGGTATCCAGACTGGAAGGCGTGAAAGAAACGCTTTCAGGACAACTTGAGTCTATGTTGGCACAGATGGCTCATATGGACAGCCAAAAGACAAGACTTTTTGATCTTCAAGAAGAGCTTACGTTGACCAAGAACGCTCATTCGACCACCCNNAGAAAGAGCTTACAACAGCAAAGAACGCTCACTCAGTCACTCAGAAAGAGCTTGCATTGAAAAAGAATGCGCATTCAACCACACAGAAAGAGCTTGCAACATTAAAGAACGATCGTTCAGCTACTCAGAAAGAGCTTGAGACCACCAAGAATACGCTCCTTTTCACAAGCAACAACCTCCGCCAGGCCCGCACGGATCAAAGCAAAATCTTCCGGCTAGAGTACGAGATTGCGGTAGCTACCTCATCCCTGGAGGNTAGTCACACGTGCTCTGGAGAGTATCAAAAGCGATTCGACTGAGGCCAAGATCGAGTTACTCAAGACTGCCCTCGGCGAACGTGACGGAGTGTACGAGACCCTCGAGGTGTCGACCTGTCTCGGAGCTCATCTTACCATCGGCAACCTCAAACTTGCTCAGCTGGACAGTGAGGTGCTCCGAGGGGCCATTGGAGACTTTGAAGATCGTGCTGCAGTGCGCGAGATCAAGAGATTGAGGAGAGCAGATGTTGAGTTGGTGAAGGTAGTATCTGCTCTGGATGACGTTCCTGGCAAATCTCTTGTTGCCAAAGTTGACAACCTCAAGACAGTCAATGAGGAGCGCAGCGGTGAATAAAGAGTGCTCTCGCAAGAAGTGGTGGACTGCCTATAAGGGAGTCTTGGCTGCTGCAGGACTCGGTAGTGGTACAATCACGGCTGCTGTGAGTGATACGTACTTGTGGCTGGCGGGTTGAGCTGGAAACCGCGCGGTCGAGCCTGTGCATGCAGAACTGATGCCGAACGAAAAACCCCTGAGGAGATGATTGCTGTAGATTTTTCTAGCTTACTGGTCATGAGGGGTATCTACACACACGGTGGCAAGGCGGACCCCTAAAATGACCATATCTGAAAGAATAGAAGGCGATACATGAAAAACTTGTCTGGGTTCTTATCGTGTGAAGAGCTCAACAACTTGTGCTTCATGAAACCGATCCAACCATTGCCTAAACATTGCCCTTCATATCTCTTCCTTCGATTACCGCAGCCACATCCACCAAGTCATTACTAACGTAACCTTTGCCGATCAGAGGTGTCTTGATCAAATAATACTTGACATGATCCCTCGTCCTGATATTGAACACGGCATCCAATTCTTCAAGTGGACGAGCCTTGGTCTCAGGCAAACAGAACCAAGTAAAGACGAAGCCGAACAGGTTCCAAGCAGCATACCAGCAAAAAGCGCCTTGTGGAGTAAATGCTTCTCGCAGAGGCGGCCACGTTAATGCGAGAAGAAAGTTGAAGCCCCAGCATGTGGCTGTCGCGAATGCCATTCCTGTGTCACGGACGGCAAGTGGCTGTACTCTTTGTCAGCGCAAGAACTTGTGGAGGGAAGAGTGGATATTCACGAATGATTCTGCAGAGTATGTAAGNGGTACCGGACCCATGCCTGGAGAATAGCCAACCATGAAAAGGTAAATGCCTGTAGCTACGCACCCGATACGAGCGGTACCCTCGGCAGGAATGAAGAAGGAGAAGCCAGTAAAAAACAAGCACGCCGCCATGTATGGGAAAGTGGTAAGCAGAAGCCACCTACGTCCCTTGGTATCGATGGTCAGGATACCAGGAATGGCGAAGAGCNNCTATCAAGGTTTAGTATGCGGGCCGTGTGTCGAGACGCCGGTTTGAGCTTACCAGTTGATGATACCAGTACCCATAGACGCAAGCAGTGCTTGTTGTTGTCCAAAGCCAGCGTCACTGAATATAGAGGAAGAGTAATATGCTATGACATTGACCNNTAAAGCAAGGATACAATCAGCATGATCTCACGAAGATGGATGGCAACGACACCACGGTTTTGCTGGATGTTTGAACTCGGCTGTACGAGATGCCGTCCTGGACGGTGTTTCATCATACGAGTGAGACGAAACGCCAGCACTAGTCATGGTATCTGTGCCTCCGGTTTGACTCACGCCGCAGAATTGTTGCATAAACATGACGAAGAAGGCGGACTGCGCAGCACGACGGTTTCTCGGGACCGAGAACAGTTTTGTTGCTCTGGCCCAAGCAGTCTTTGGCTTGAGCTCGTACTCGAGCATCAGGCGGACGTGGATATCGTAGAGGTCTCGAGCTGCATGTAGTCGACATTGGCGAAGCCTACAGAGAGACTCGAATGCCTGGCGATAACGACCCTTGCTCATGAGCCAACGTGGGCTCTCGGGTGCGAAGAAAGTCATACAGCAGACGACGATCGGNGCTACTCTGTGTCAGTCCTCCTTTAAAGAAAGTCCAAGTATAGAAGGGACTTACGGAATACTAGTTGATGCAAGCATCAACCTCCAGTTCAAGCCTGGATAACCATCGACTTGCACTGGGTAGAACGCCACAGATGCGATGAAACCCAACATGATACCGAAAGCAGTCCACATTTGCCACTGGGATCCCAGGGCGCCTCTGATCCGAGGCGGTGAACATTCAGCAGCGTATGCGGGTGTAGTAGATGATTTGGCGCCGATAGCAAAGCCTCCAACGAATCGCGAGGCAAAAAGCTGCCATTTACCAAAAGTCGCACCTTGCCAAGCTCCAGAGGCGACGGATACGAAACATGAGATCCAGATAGTGCCACGTCGACCGAAGTACTTGTTGAGGACAGGTGATGTCCAGCAGCCGATAAGGACTGAGCACAAATAAGGAGCTCCATTAATAAGACCCTGTTCCCATGTGTTTGTGATGCCGAAGTCCTCAAAGTAGAAGATTTGAGCTCCGTTGACTGCAGTTTGGTCCATACCTTGGACGATTGCGGCAGCTCCGCAAAGCACNTTGAACAATCAGCTTCTGTTATCGTCGCGAACGTGTCATTCCAGAGAATCACCTGCAACGTAATACATCATCTTTGTCTGCGACCATTTATCCTTGAAAGCCGAACTCTTTTCTTTGGCAATCCAGTGTCTCTCTTCCTCTGTGGGATCAAGGCGATCGGTATCGTCACGGTTGTAGGCATAGCGAGCGCCGCGGGTGAGTTCTTCTTTGAGGTCATGCAGATCATATTGCTCGACCAGGCCTTCAAGGTCGACAATGACATGGCGCTCTGATTTGCCCAGATAAGGATCGCGTTGTCTCTCCCACAAAGTGGCTTCATGTAAATGCTCGGGTGAAGTGGAGCCAGAGCTTCTTTCATCTTTGAAGTCGATTCTGTCAGTCTCACCTTCAGGACCGGCAAATTTGATGCCGTTAAAGGGNGGCTTCTCGTTGGCCATGTTGGTTGAAAGTGTGTGGAAATGATGAAAACCTGGTCATGGCAACAGCGGGTTAAGTAGAAGAACTAGCATCATAGAGGATCATACCGCCTAGAAGATCTACAGTCGGCAACTTGTCAGGCCAAGCAGATATTGGAAAGGCCATGGCTATGACTCCTCGGCTGCTTCTTGGGCCTGAGGGTGGAGTGACATGTATGAGTCGCCACTGAGAATAAGTGATACTCATGTGTGCTCGAGTTGAGAGTTGGCAATTTTGTAAACGCTCCGGTTCAAAGACATGATAGTCAATATATCATTGTTGAAACAAGATGCCAACATGTCAACATGCACGAATTCAACTATGGTACTGTCAATGTCCACACTCGGAGACAGCCCTATGCTCCGCATCATGTTCTTTCTGCTTCATACTCGATTTGGTGTTTGCGACTTGGCATGGGAGCATTCACTCAGGATTGTCTTGCTACTGTCATGGCTGACGCTGCCTAGCACATTGGCGGAGATTTGCTGTAGGCTTTGGTGTGTTCATGGCCAAGATGGATTTGTGGCTCGGCAAGGCTCGGCAGAGGTCACACTGGATGTACGAGGTGCGAGGGTAGCGGCGGGGCCACGGAGTCCTTGTGGACGTGATTCTTCGCCGGGATGCTTGACTGAACATTTGGTGATGGTAGTCGAATGTATGTACGAGGGAGCAAGCTCCGAACGATGAGACGCGCATTTGCCTTGGAGGTACAGTAGGTAGCACGGGCGCACCGCCCGGAGCAAGAACAGTCCGCCTCCCGAGCCGGTTGGCAACAAACTTCAACGGCTCCTCGCTCGGTGGATTTGGTACCTTCTTTCGCCCGACACCGAACAGACTCGTCTCGACGCCTCGTCTTGCATGTCTCTGCACACTCTTGGTCGCCCGTCGACTGCAGCATATGCTTGTAGCATCATGTCTACCTACTGATTGCGACGCGTCCATTTTATCACAATCTATGGCTGATTCTGCCAAGATCAGCATCGTGACCAACAACAACGTGGACGACAATCCAAGCAGCAGGGACATCGAGCTGAACCACTCGCATGTGCAAACTCCCCTTCAGGCAATCAAGCACCATCCGCGCGAGCTGTTGTGGTGTCTCTATGCCATTTTTGTACTAGTTCTTAGCAGTTTCGACAACCAGGCCGGCGGCGTTGTACTTTCGATACCTCAATTTCGCAAAGATTTCGGTTCACCCTATCATGGCGACTATGTCCTCTCTGCAGAATGGCAATCTGCCTACACTGGCGGTCCCGTCCTTACTTCTGTCATTGGACTACTATTGTCCGGCTGGCTCGCGGACAGGGTTGGCAGAAAGCGGACATTCGCGGTTGGCTATCTCATCATCTTCATATCCATCACGATTGAGACTCTATCGACATCGAACCTGANNCTTTTCTTCGTTGGCAAGTTCCTTGCCGGTTTCGCCATCGGCGCATTTACAACCACCGCCCTTACATACTTGGGAGAGATCGCTCCTCGCCCAGCAAGAGGCGTACTCACTGCAGCGGCTGGTATGGCTCTTACAATTGGCCCTTTTATTGTTTCAATCGTCGTGAAAGTCACAGGTTATCAAGCAACTCGCTGGGCTTACCGCTCGGTTTTCTTGGCCCAGTATGGATTCAGTGCAGCGGGTGCTGTTCTGCTGCCTATCATGCCGGAATCTCCATGGTGGCTGCTTAGTAAGAATCAAAACTCTGAAGCTATTGCTGCACTCTCCAGATTGGGATACACTGCGGACGAGGCTCGGATCTATGCAACTACCACCATCCAGGCACTGGAGCACGCCAGGGAAGAGACAGAAGGCGCGACCTACCTCGAATGTTTCCAGAAAAATAACCTTCGGCGAACAATCATTGCAGCAGCGCCTTTGTCTATTCAAGCTTTGAGTGGCCTCTTTTTTGTATCGTCTTATTCGACATATTACCAACAGTTGGCCGGATACAACACTCCCACGACTTTCAGCCTTGGAATCGCTCAGAACATACTGGCCATGACAGGCAATGCCTGCTCTTGGCTTTTGATAGATCGGATCGGTCGGAGACCTTTGTCGTGTTATGGCATGTTGGCCTTGACCGTCTTACTCTTGCTCACGGGAGGACTCGCCTGTATCGGGTCTAAGTCAGCTATAAAGGGGACAGTTGGGTTGCTGCTACTGTACAACTGGCTCTACTCAATTACGATTGGAGCTACTGCATATCCAATTTTGGTCGAAACACCAACAAGTCGGTTGCGAACCAAAACTGCTGCCATCGGACTGACGTTGCAAAACAGCATATTCGTAAGTTCATTACATGGTCGCTCAAGAAGGTTTCTAATCGTTCTGCAGGCAATGTGGGCATTTGTCATACCTTATCTTTTCAACCCGGATCAAGCGAATCTCGGTGCTCGAGTAGCCTTTATCTTTGGTGCGCTCGCAGTTCTCTCGACTGTCTACCTATGGCTGTGCCAGCCCGAGACGTCTAGACGTTCGTATGCGGAATTGGATGAGATGTTTGTCAAAAAAGTTCCAGCACGAGGGTTCAAAGCATACAAGACAGAAGCCGTGAATAGTGTTCGCCTGAGTGTTCTCTTGAGGGACGATGATATACCAATTCCATAGCTTCGATTCTATCATATTTGTTGATATGTGCTCAATTCATGTTCTCCGAAGTCGGAGTACCGAGAACATGCTCGTCAGCCAAGCTGGAAGGGGCAACCCTGGTCACACAATTGCCAAGGCTGAGCACGGGGATGCGTGAAGCACTTAACGCCTGACGCGTCTTCTCGCATTCAAACTCGCCGCCCTTCATCGTATCAAGGTATGCATCATGGCCTCGATCCAGGCTATCGAGCAGACATCAGTGCATCAGATCCAGTCAGGTCAAGTCATCGTAGACCTCAACTCTGTCGTCAAGGAACTCGTCGAGAACAGCCTGGATGCTGGATCCACGTCGATAGAAGTCCGCTTTCGCAATCATGGTCTTGACGCCATCGAAGTGATTGACAACGGCACTGGCATTGCGCCAGAAGACTTTGAGTCTGTCGGTATGTCTCCAGTAACAAGCTTTGTGCTTGTCAATATCTGATGAGAATGACCAGCACTCAAGCATCACACATCCAAACTACGTAATTACGATGATCTTGAGAATCTGGATACCTTTGGCTTTCGAGGTGAAGCATTGGCTTCACTTTGCGCCTTATCCCAGCTCTACATCATCACCGCTCGTGAAATGGACCGACCAAGAGGTACACGCCTTGAGTTTGAGGTATCTGGCAAATTGAAGGATACAACTACCGTCGCTGCACAGCGAGGTACCAAGGTTGTCGTGGAAAAGATCTTTCACAACCTACCTGTTCGGAAGAAGGAGCTGGAGAAGAACATAAAGCGTGAATACGGCAAAGTCCTGACGCTTCTGCAAGCATATGCATGTATCAGCACCGGTGTCAGATTCACTGTCAGCAACCAACCGCCAANNAAGGGTAAATCATCACGGTTCTGGCAAGCTTCATCCCACGGCTGACCATGTCACAGCTCCAAAATTACATCCTTCTCTACGAATGGAAGTGCAGCTACTAAAGACAACATCATCAAGGTATTTGGCTCGAAAAGTCTACGAGACCTGGTTGCACTCGACCTCAAGTTTGAGATGCAGCCTACCACATCCACACTCTCAACACACGACGATAACACCTCTCGCGGCGTCAAAGTCGAAGGACATATTTCCAAACCAGTGGTGGGAGAAGGCCGCTCAGCACCAGATCGGCAAATGTTTTATGTCAACTCACGGCCTTGCGGTCTTCCTCAAGTCGCAAAGGCATTCAATGATGTGTACAAGACCTTCAATATTTCGCAGTCTCCATTCGTCTTTGCAAACCTGATCATGGATACAAATTCTTACGATGTCAACGTCTCTCCTGACAAGCGGACCATCCTTCTGCATGATCAGGGAGTTTTGCTCGAATCTCTCAAAGAGACCCTTGTAGAGTTGTTCGAATCACAGGAACAGACTGTGCCACAGACAAGGCCTGGTCTCACTCAGCCAAAGTTACCTGGGTACAAGCCACTCACTGTCGTACGAGACCCGGAGCCAGAAGCTATTCCTGCACCTAATTCAGAATCACCGACGACCCAAGAAGATCCAGGTGAGGCAGCTGGAGAACATCAGGAAGGTCCTCCTGAACGCCTGATCCACGATTGGGTTGGCAGGGGTGCTCAAGATCGGGATGATGTTCCAAGGGTACAGGCCAAACCACCAGTTCAGAATGCATTCGACCGCATGCGCCCGCAACGCACTCCTCAACAAGTGGCTGAAATCACGATTGGAGACAAAACTACACGAACTGTTATCGGCAGTGGACACCATACTCCTTATACTCCGAAAAGGCACAAGATTCATATTCCAAAGAATTCAGTGGCAAAGAAACTAAGTCAGTTCGCAATGCCTGGTACTCAGCTGGAGAGCGAAGACGAGTGCTCTGAAGAGGACAGCGAGTATGGTGAAGAGAAACAGGAAGATGCTGAAGAGAGCGATGAAGAGACACTATTTGTGCGACAAACGAATGATCGGCAAATTATACGAGCAGAAAATGGAACGCCTCAACTTAGCTCTCAGACACTGGAAGATCTACACACGAGTCCCATCGATGAGTTCCTGCGCAGCACAGAGCAGGCCGACGAAGAGCCCCATGAAGCTCGCGAAGTTGAATCCGAGTCTGATCAAGAGTACCTCGACGAGGAGGCGAGGAGAATCCAGGAGGATGTCAAAATTGCTCGAATGATTCAAGAAGCCGAAGATGATGCCGCTCGCTCACTACACGACAATATGAAACGCGCTACCCAAGCTCTTCGAGCATCGAAACACAAAACACTAAACTTGAGCCAAATGTACGACATCTCGATAACGTCTATTGCGGAGCAGGCGACCCTCCTCTCGATGGTCTCGGCAGTGCCACAAGAAGTTTCTCAGGCGAACATACCCGTTGCTGATGGTATAGAGCAAGCGGACGCGGAAGCTCGCCTTTCACTGACGGTATCTAAGTCTGACTTCGGTCAAATGGACATCATCGGACAGTTCAATCTTGGTTTCATTCTTGCAGTACGACCTCCTAGCGAAACAGTCACATCGTCCGATCTATTCATTATCGATCAGCACGCTGCTGATGAGAAATACAATTTTGAGCGCTTCACCGACACCCTGACTCTGGAGCCACAGCGCTTAGCGCAGCCCAAACAATTGGAGCTCACGGCCATCGAAGAGGAGATTGTCCTTGCGCATACGGAAGCACTCACTGCCAACGGTTTTATCATCGAGACGGACACTTCCGGCACAAGCGATGTAGGATTGCGTTGTAAGCTCCTTACCTTGCCCACGAGTAAAGGTGTCACGTTCGACCTCAGCGACTTGGAAGAGCTCATACATCTGCTGTCTGATCACTCTGGTGGCATAATCCCACGGCCGGGCAAAGTGAGAAAGATGCTGGCGATGCGAGCTTGTCGGGCAAGTATCATGGTTGGCAAGCCCTTGAAAGAGAATCAAATGCTCAAAGTTGTGAGGAATTTGGGTGAAATGGACAAACCTTGGAACTGTCCACATGGCAGGCCAACAATGAGGCATCTGGCCGATCTGAGCACTTGGGGCTTCCGTCATTCAGAGGCCCCTGAGACCGACTGGAGAGGATGGATCGAGAGGGTGAAGAAGGCGAAGCAAGAAGAAAGTGCGAATGAAGAAGAGGACGGGGACGAGGAGATGGGAGAAGAAGAAGTTGATGAGGAGGATGAATGACTTTGTGATACTCCTTTTGAAAGCCCTGTACATATCATGATACCCCCTTGACGCATTGAAGCCGTTCGAAATGCTAGCATATCTCAACAAACCATTCGCTTTCTTTGTTCATATTGCTGTGATGATTGAGTGAGCGTATTTGAACCTCTCCACGGCTGAAAGCAGGCTCATAGTACAAGACAGTTCTTGGCAACGAGTTCCATGGAGTAGCTGCTCCTTCCGTCAAAAACAATGTTGAACTAGTTCAAAAGTAATCTTATGTTCTTAGATGTTGTAAGTCAAAGACAAAAGGGAACAAAACGTACAGCAGCAGGGATTCCCACGTGGTCACCCACCGTAGTACTAATCTGCCGTTCAACTGCTTATGTATGGCAGAGCGGACGGGATGCCCAGTTTTCAGCTGACTGTGGCCGTACGTGAAGAATAACCCATTGTCATCGTCAATATTGTCCACGCAATCTACAGCAATAGCGGTAACATGATGTAACTTGCAAAGCTCATCAACATCGCAAGTAAGACATCAAACAGCCCGTGGTAACGTTAAGTGTGGAAACTTTGAGTCACCCGCTCGGAAAGGACTGGTGTCACCATCGCAATTTGAAACAATAACAGCTGATTGTAAATGGGCGCTGTCAAAACCAATGCGTTGTGGATTCAGTCTCCCAAAGTCAAGGGGAGAGATCTAACTTTTGCAACTACCACACCGACCACGGCAGCAACGGTCACCAAACTACCCACAGAGATGCCGTGAGTACTTTGCTCTGTAAAGAGTAAACTTTGGTCTCCGTAGTGACCAGATTGGGACTATAATCTATCAATCGGTCAGAAATGTGTTTGTCAGGACCACCACCCTGGCCTTGAATGACATCTGCCTCAATATGGAAACAGCGCCATGCATCGCGCCTGCCAATTGATCAACCATGTCCTACCACGCTAGCTTATTCGGGACGTGTATTTGCGAGAGCTCTCGCTTGATCAATGTGGTTGATCTCGCATGGCAAGACGACGATAAATGCGTATATGCAATTCTAACTTTTCACCTCCTCCTTCTCCTGATCAACAGTCGCTGCCTTCTCGTTGNNTTCCCCTGACTGTCTTTTTTCAGCAATCGCGGGCGCTGCTGGCAAGGGCTTCTCTTTCGGGACATAATTGGTCTGAGGTGGTGGAGGCGGTAGAAGATCTTGTTTCTCCTCGACTACTATCTTGGTGCTGACAGCATCAATGAGAGTCTTGCCCATGTCGCCAAATCCATCGATCTTGCTCAGCTTCGAGTCGAATAGTTGTGCATCCTTGAGAAGCCTCTGTTTGCCTGCAGGAGTCTTGATTTCCACCCCNTGGAAAGCCTTGAGCCATTGCTCTTTATAGCTGGCAAAGATCTGACTCAGGATGACTGTTACATCCATTTCTGCCAGATGCCTGCTCAGCACACGGTGTAATGTGCCTGTTTCCTTGGTCAACGTCTCCATGTATGCGCTCGTGCCACCTGCGTTCTTCTTCGCTTCAGCATCAAAGTCGAGTTTCTTCATCGAGTTGACGTGTGATGTCGCCCTTGCCGTCATGATCTCGACAAGCTTATCGTGAATAGCCATCTGATGATCTTGATATAGTCGCTTCAGCTTGTCAAATTCACCGAGCACTTCGGCTTTGTTGGCTGAGCTTGCATGCCGGCGAACTGCTTCGCGGAGGTACGGTGACATTGCAATCACGAAGCTGAGCGCTTGCGAGGCGAGGGCCAAATGTTTGGTGGTGATGTTCTTCAGACCAGCGATCCGTGTGGCGCCAGCGCCTAGGATGAGCTGTGACGTACGTGAGTTGAAAGTTCGGAGGACATCAATCAAAGCAGGTACAGCGGCGGAAGTTATTGAAGGTATGCTGGTCATCAATGCTAGGAAATTATCAATGGGACGAAGCAGGGAGATGGCAGACGAGACCAGAATGTAGCGCGTTTCGTCAATGTACGCAGGACGATTCGCAGGTTTGGCATCGCTGCTTTCGCCATTGGATGAAGAGGTACCATTCGCGGATTCAGGTTGCGATGGGTCTTCCCACACGCGCGTGCCCTGTAGCCAGATGGCTGGATCCGAGGACATGCCTTCCAGGATGCGTGAGAGCAACACCTGGTCCACCTCCTTGAAATCCTTAGCTTCCCATTGGTCGGAGTCCAAAGTCTGAGCGATACGCTGGTTCTCAGCATCGCTCAAGGCCCGCACAAAAGTGTTGATTTGAGTGTTGACCAGAGCCTTCAGCCGTGTGCCGGAGCGACCTGAGATGGCCTCGCATTCGTCGGCGAATAGGCGGTTAATAGTAAAGTAGCGGAGGAAACGTTCCAGTGGTAGTTGATTTACCTGCTCGGTGCGTACTTTGAGAATGCGCGTAATTTGGGTGTGCGCCACGTCCACTGCCTGGCCCAATAGACTCGACATGTCTAGAGCCTGACTCAACTCTTCTTGTATGCCGCTCACTCTTGGTGCTGGGCTTCTAGATCGGTCGGTTGGCCTCATACTCGGGCTCATGGGCGATTTCAACGAATCTGGAGCATCCATGGTACTAGTCACATCGAGCAGTACCTTGATCTGCATGCTCAGACGTCGCAAAGCTTCACTGATGTCGGTGTAGACATTGACGACCATGTCTTCGGCAGATTCCTCGTCCATGGCACGCAGATTCCTGGCCAGAATGATGGACTTTTCCTGTTGGCTCGCAGCTTTACTGGTGCGTGTAGCAACCGATGTGACAGACTCGTTGTCATCGTCGTTGGAGCTAGGAAGGTGTTTGCGTATCAAGTGCTTCATCTCCTTCATTATAGCCTCCCTGAAGTCGGCTGTCGCTTGTGCAGTCTGACCCGAGTTGCTCAAACCATGCAACGAAGCAAGCAAGTCTTTCCGGAATTGGTCGTCAATCTCCATGTAAGCTGTTGGACCAGTCTGCAGGCCTCGTAAGCGCATTGATGTACTCGCCCAGCGACGCATAGTGTCTTTGGGTGGAACGTGATCGATATGCCTTCGTAGGTCAGAGAGTAAGGTTTCGAGAAAACGAGATTCAAAGCCTCTGCCAATGCGGAAGCGCAGCTGGTTCATGGAATCGGAAAGACCTTGGAGAGCATGAAGGGATCGCAAATCGTGTAGTTCTGTAGGTGATGTTTCTGACGATGGTTCAGCTTGTCCAGCGATCAAGCGATCGAGGCGTAGCATTGCGCCGGCAGCGGCATCGTATTCTCCTTTCTCGACCAACTCTTCACATTTTTTCGCATCCTGCACCACACGGGCGACCTGATCGACAGCGTTGGCAAGCCTTTGCATGTTCTGATATCTCGTCCGCAGACTGGCGATCTCTAGACCACCCATGGCCATGTCCTGATCCAGCTTGGCTAAATCGGCTCTCAACTTTTGAATCCTGCTGACGGAGTCGGAGGCCTCTTGCTCCAGGTCGCGCAGAGAACCCAGGGCGGCGAAGAAGGAGGTCGAGGCGGAAGAGATGGATTGGATCAGGTGAACCTCGACAGTATCCATGTACCAGGACAATTTCTCTTGTAGGATGGCGTTGCTGGCCAGGGTCTTTCGCGGTGGTAGAGGAGCGCCATTGGCGGATTGTTCTTGTTTTGCGGTGCCGGGAGCGATCTCGGCGCGCTCGCTGACGACGTCAAAGGTCCTTGGGTTCTCGAGCTGAAAGTTGTCGTCAAAGTAGACATTCGGGATGGTGGACAAGGGAGTGGGCTCGTTTCTACTACGGCGGGCGTAGGCGCTAGATGTCCGTCGCGGCTGAGGAGAATCGGTGGGAGAGAGGAGGGAGGTGGTCGAGTTATGGCGGCTGAGGACAGGGCTGGTCGGGGCATGGTTCTGTGGTTTGGGTTGGGTGTCGCGACGCAGACGGGAGAGGTTGTCGAATAGGGGGCCGACCCGCGAGATGTATTCCTTGAAGGGGTTTGGATCGACCTTGGGTATGTTGGTCAGAGTGACTGGAGGGATGTCGCGCGTGGTCGGGGCACGATAAGTCGAGGAGGCGGAAGCAGCTGGGGTCAGGAGGCCGGTGCGGACCATGGGGGGCTGCAGGAGGGTCGAGATGGCNTGTAGCATGGTTAGAGGAATGCGAAGGAAATGTTGTAGTGGAGGGGCACCATTCTGGCCGGCTTCCCTGAGCGACTTGTCGGGTCTCACGGGATTGATGTCCAGAGCACCGCCTATTGAGTTGATGGACAGAGCGCTGTCATTGGAGAAGCGGCGCGAGGGGCGTCTCTGATATGACGAGGGAAAAGGGTATGCCGAGTGGAGCGACGAGGGCGACGAGAGCAGGTCGGCGCTGTCTTCGGACATGTCAAGGACATTCTTAGTGCAAGGTGGAGGGAGAGGCCAGCAAGCACAGGTGCAGCACCGTCTTGGGTGATACAGAAGACCCCGGACCCGCTGCGAGCTAATCGGCGGCCGCTAGCCCGGTCGGGCGTTGATTGAAGCTTCACGCCAACGCCAGTGCCTGGTTCCGCGTTCGTGTTGTTTCTGCCCGTGGGCACTTTCTCCCGCGTCTTTACCCCCTCGACCGCATCGCACATCCACACGCCAAACATGGACAGAGAGTCGGTCTACACCTTGAGCGTCTTTCCCGAGGACCGCAGTCAAGCCGGCCACGACTCTCGCGGCGCCACACAAGAAGCCCTCGTCGACTTCATCCTCGACTTCTACCTCCAAGGTAGCAATGTCTACCCCTACAGAGACCAGCTCCGCGAGAATGTCCTGGCCAAGCGATACTACTGCGACGTCGACATTGCCCACCTGACCACCTACAACGAGGAACTCGCCCACCGCCTCAACAACGAGCCCGCCGACATGATCCCGCTGTTCGAGGCCGCCATCAAGCACTGCGCCCAACGCATCGTCTACCCCTCGCAACGCAACATCCAGCTGCCCGCCCACCAGCTCCTGCTCCACTCGTCCATCACTCAGACCCTGATCCGCGGTCTGACGGCCACCCACGTTTCTCATCTCGTCCGCATCCCTGGAATCGTCATTGGAGCCAGCACCCTCTCCTCCAAAGCCACAGTCTTGCACATCCAATGCCGCAACTGCCAGCATTCGCAAAACATCTCAGTCCTCGGTGGCTTCTCCGGTCTGACCCTGCCGCGTACATGTGCTCGTTCCACGCAGCCCGGCGAAGACTCGGCAAAATGCCCCCTGGATCCCTACTTTGTCGTCCACGAAAAGTGCCAGTTCATTGATCAACAGGTCATCAAGCTGCAGGAAGCCCCCGATGACGTTCCTGTCGGTGAATTGCCTCGTCACATCCACATCTCAGCCGACCGCTACCTGACGAATCGTGTCGTCCCCGGTTCGCGATGCACCGTCATGGGTGTTTTCAGCACATACCAGTCAAAATCAAAGGGCTCAGGAGCCGCCGTCGCCATCCGCACTCCCTACCTCCGCGCCGTCGGCATCCAGACCGACGTTGATCATACGACCAAGGGTGGTGCCCACTTCACCGACGAGGAGGAACAAGAATTCCTCGAGATGAGCAGGAGGCCCGACCTATACGAACGCTTTGCCGAGTGCATTGCCCCATCCATCTACGGCAACAGCGACATCAAAAAGGCCATCACCTGCTTGCTCATGGGTGGTAGCAAANAGATTCTGCCTGATGGCATGAAGCTTCGTGGTGACATCAACGTCCTGCTTCTTGGTGACCCTGGTACCGCCAAATCACAGCTCCTCAAGTTTGTCGAGAAGGCCGCTCCCATTGCCATCTACACTTCCGGTAAAGGCTCCTCCGCAGCTGGTCTGACCGCCTCGGTACAGCGCGACCAAAATTCCCGTGAATTCTATCTGGAAGGTGGTGCCATGGTGTTGGCAGATGGCGGTGTAGTCTGTATCGATGAGTTTGACAAGATGCGAGACGAAGATCGTGTTGCCATCCACGAAGCCATGGAACAACAGACCATCTCCATCGCCAAGGCTGGTATCACAACAATCCTCAACGCTCGTACCTCTGTCCTCGCAGCTGCCAACCCTATCTTCGGACGCTACGATGATCTCAAATCTCCCGGCGAGAACATTGACTTCCAAACGACCATTCTCAGTAGATTCGATCTCATCTTTATTGTCAAGGATGAGCACGATCGTAACCGTGACGAGCGCATCGCAAAGCACGTCATGGGCATTCACATGGGCGGCAACGGTAACCAAGACCAACAACAAGCAGCTGCATCCATCCCCGTCGAGAAAATGAAGCGCTACATCAGCTACTGCAAGACTCGTTGCGCGCCCCGTCTCTCGCCCGAAGCCGCCGAGAAGCTGTCCTCTCACTTTGTCAGTATCAGAAGACAAGTCGCCCAGGCCGAAGCATCTGCCAACCAGCGTTCGAGTATCCCCATCACTGTCAGACAGCTGGAATCACTCGTTCGTATCACCGAAGCCTTGGCCAAGATCTCCTTGGCCCCAATCGCCACAGAACACCATGTCGACGAAGCCATCCGTCTCTTCCTGGGAAGTACCATGGATGCCGTCCTCTCACAAAACGGCGAGTCCAACGCTGCAAACGCCGCCGGCATCTCGGGCAACCGTGAGCTCGTTGATGAAATCTCCAAGGTCGAGGACGAGTTGCGAAAGCGTCTGCCCATTGGCTACACGGCGAGCTTGGCCACCTTGAGGCGCGAGTTTGTGGACAGGAAGAAGTTTTCAGAGCAAGCTCTCAACAGAGCCCTCTGGGCATTGCAAAAGAGAGACAGCGTGCAACTCCGCAAGGGAGGCGGTCAGGTGTATAGAAGCGGTGTCTAGCGATTTTGGCACCAATAACGGTATATGTTTGAAGTTGATGGGAAGGAGTTTACGGCTGGTTGCGGTGTGGGTCAACTGACAAGGCGTTCGAGGTGTTGCAAGGGCAAGTGTAAGGATGGCTTGAGGTCATGTTGCGTGCAAATACCAATCAGATACCATTTCATTAAAATCTTTTACAATTTGCATAGACATCTAATACGAGATAGGTGTGCCACCAACGAGAGCACTACCTCCCAAATTTGACAGGAGCTTCAATGACAAATAGCAGAAGATGGGAAGTTCAAGTGATTTACTCATGCTTTCTCTTACATGGAACCAAATCGGTACGCCGAGCAGCGCTTGATGGTAGAAACCAAAGAACAGACATTTTGCCTCCACTTCCATGTTCCCTTGCCGTCATGCTCACCCATCTTGTCTCGTCTATGCTTTGTGATCAAGGTGAGAAGCAGGTATTGCGCCCGAAACCCAAGCGAAGAAAAGAGAAAAGGAAAACTAGAACAGGATACAACTGCGGAGAGACAAGACAAACTACTGCACTTGGCTGACAATCTCGTTTGCCTTGCCCAAGCTCTCGACCATCTGCTGGCACTCCTTGCGTCTGCGCACCGTATAGTCGCTCTCCTTGAGCAGGTCATCAAACTCTTGTGTGCGGTACATTTGCTCCAGAAGCTCGCGCTGCATCTCTTCTTTTGAGAATNNCTGTTGGAAAAACGTCAGTCAAATATCGATAAAAGACGTGCGTGGTTCAACTTACTGCACCAGGGTCAACATGATGGCTTTGGGTACCATGTCGATCATCGTACGGCGCACAATGTTAAAGTAGCTAGTGATGAGGAGCTTGATGACCTCGACCTCTTCACTTTCCTTCTCACTGAGTGTGCCGCTAGCCTTGAGTGTTGGTGGGGGTGCCTCCATGGCAGCCATCTTCTTCTTGTTCTTGCTCGCAAAGAAACTGCCGAAGAAGCCACCCGAGGCGTCGTTGCCATCGAGAGATAGCGAGGGACTTGCAGCACGCGGAGGAACGGCGGACGGGGGTAGAGGCTTGCCGGTCTTAGGGTCTACTTGGGTAGGTCTAGCGGCATGACGGCGTTCGTTGACAATGGCCATAGCTCTGTGACCGTTGAGGAAGTCGGGATGGCCGGTGTTGACGTAGCAGGCCTCCATAGCGACAAGATCCTTGACAAGCTTGTTGGATGGTTCCATGGACTTCTTGAAGAAGGTGATTACAGTTTGGTAGAGCTTCTCCTTCAGTGAAGGATATCTTCTGAAAAGTGGCTTGTTCAAGAGTTGGCCCAAGATGCGGACCAGTTCGTCGTGAACCAACGAGACACACTTCAGACTAGGGTCTTCCAATCTCTTGATCTGTTGCTTGACGATGAGCTCGAATGCGGTAGTACCGACGAACAGAGCAGGCGAAGAGCCGGACGAGTTGTAGAGAATAGTACGGATATCGATGTCCTTGACCTGGTCGAAAGGATCGACAGCCTTGACACCGTTGGCATAGAGCTCATGGAAGACGAAGGAGATTCTGGCACCACCAGAGAGTTCGATGCTGGACAGCTCTTGATTGTTTCCCTCGAGGACCGTCCTGTACTCGTTGGAGAACTCGGTAATGATGTTTAGGACGATGTTCGCACTGTTACCAAGGATCGAGTCGCCAAGAGTACCGAGTTCGGCCGTGTATTTTTGCAAGGATGCAGAGATTCTGGCTTTGATGTCGGGTAGTGTTTGCTTGATGTGCATCATAAGGATCAGGTTGAGCTTGCGAGCTAGGTAGGGGGTACCGCAGTAACTGCTCTTGTTGCGGTAGGCCTTGTGGTTCTCGAAGAAGGCACGCTCATGCTCGAGGGCATAAGAAATGGCCTTCTTGTTTTCGATATCACGCTGACCACGGTTGACAACAGGCACGTATCCCAGACGCAGAGGAATGATTCTACCAGCAAGAATGTCAACGACATCAGTACCGTCGTCCATCAGATCGACCTTGGTCAAGACACCAATGGTGCGCTGACCCTCGGGGTCGACTTCACGGGCCAGCTTAAGACCGTCCGAGTTGGCCAAATCCGTGTTGGCGGCGGTGACTGCGAGGATGATGGCGTTTGGCTTGCTGATCTGCTTGAGGACCATTTCACGGATTTGGCGCTCGATGTCGCGAGGCTGGTCGCCAACAGGCACCTTGGTAAGACCGGGCAAATCAACCAGCGTCAGGGTCAGGACATTTGGCGAGTAGATGCGCAGGTTGATGGGGGCAGGTGAGATGCCGGCGTTCTTGCCAGTCTTGGACTCGGTCTCGCGCACAATCTCTTCGCGGATCTTGTTGAAGTCGTAGAACTTCTGGCCGGGAATGTGCAGGAACTCGCCCCACTCGTCTACGTTGGATTCCTTGTCTGATGTTCCGTCAACAGCCTCGGCTGCTGCGCCGTTCTCTTGCTTGGGGAGGGGTGCGCGGTTGATAAGTTGTAGGATGAGCGGCCGTCTGGTCACAATACCAGTTCCTCGCGGCAGGAAGTCCCTGCCGACTATGTTTTCCAGAACCGAACTTTTTCCACTTGACTGCGAACCGACGACGGCGATTTGAGGGAGGTCGATGGGGTTTTGGACCNNTGCGAGGCGCAAGGTTAACATCGAGTCTCAGCGTGGGGTTGGGCAGTGTCGTACTCCGACGGTGGTGAAGACATCCTGGAGCTTGTTCACCAAGGTGATGAGACCAGGGTCGTTGACGTTGATGCTTCTGTGTGCACAGGTCAGAAGGTGAAGATACCGTGGTTGCTGCCTCCGGGTGTCAACTTACGGCGACGCATTTGTAGCCATGTCTGGGGAGGAGCAGCGCGTGTGCTAGTTGCGCGATTGCGGGCGGAGTAGAGAGGCCTGACAGGGAGTTGCAGAGGCCTTGGTTGTTGTCTGACGAAGAGAGTGGCTCGAAGATGGCAATTGCGGTGTAAATAATGTCACTGTTTAGTTGGCCTCCTGATTGATTGCGACTGTATCTTGGCGTTCAGGCTGCTCCATTGCTCTCCACATTCAGACCCCTTTAGAGTTTGCCCACCGACAAGCTCTCTTATCATGCTGCCTCGAGCTCAGCCACACCAAGGGCCTGTCGCAGCGTGGACAAACAAGTTACCTGTAGCAGTCTGTTTACATCTACTCCATCTTCTGTCTATGCAAAGCTGATCTTCCACCCTGCGCCAACGCTGACGCCGGGGTTCCTAACAACTGCCCAGTCTGCCTTGCCCGATTCCCCGCTAACAAATCCGAATCCGGCCTTCTTGCTCTCACCGCTGCTGCTGCCTCCCTCCTCCGACACGTCCACCTCCGTCTTGCCCTTCCACGAAGATGGCGCATTCACAATCACCATCTTTTCTACTCTGACATCCTTCATCTGCTGGAGGTACTGCGCCGTCTTCTTGTCCTTGGTGCTCACATCTTCCGATGCAAGCGACGACGTAGAGCCAGTGTATGTGAAGCGCCGGTGGATGTATGCGCCTTGCTCGTAGTCGTACGACTCACCGTCGTCCAGGTAGAGCTCGCCCTCTGCATTGCCATCGTTGCCGAGAACCACCACAAGTGTGAAGGGGTCGAATTTCATCAGCCCACTAGATCTTCTAGGACGATCGCGTCTAGGGACAATATGGCCACCTCTCATGAGAAGGGGGATCTTTTCCAGAGGTGCTTCGATCTTTACATGACCGGGACCGCTGTAACTTGTGTAGTCTGAGTAGTCAAAGTACTTCTCACCGTCCGGCAGATATACGTCAACACTGGTCGAGCCCTCCTTTGTAACAGGCTTGACAAGCAGACCAGTCGCTCCGAGATACATCTGATCGTCAATGGCGAAGCCCTTCTCGTCTCCTGGGTGTGCGTAGTACATTGGCTGCACAATCGGTGCCCCAGTCTTGCTTGCCGTGTGGAATGCTGTGTACCACGCAGGAAGCAGGGCGTAACGAAGTCTCAAGGCCTGTGTGACGATACCCTTTTCAAGGTCGGGCAGAAGGTAAGGTTCGCGGCGGCGAGTATCGATATGGGCGTGAGCACGGAAGAAAGGGTAGAAAGCGCCGGCCTGGTACCAGCGAGTGAGCAGCTCGCGAGAAGGATTGCCGAAGAAACCACCGACGTCAGCGCCAGCAAAGGGGAAACCGGAGACACCCAAAGACAGCACCATCGGAAGCGATGCTTCGAGGTGCTCCCAGTCGGCTTGATTGTCACCAGTCCACATGGCTCCCATACGCTGCGAGCCTGCAAAAAATGAGCGAGTCAAGACGAAGGGCCTGACTCCTCCAGCCTTCTCCTCTGCCTTGTTGCGTGCGACCAAGCCTTCAAAGGTGGCGTTGACAAGTGTGAGGCCGTTGAGGTTGTGAACATCTCTGTGCTCCCAGTTGCCATGGTGCAAGTTGTCTTTAGGCATCGTAGTCTCTGGACCGTTGAAGACTGAAGGCTCGTTCATGTCATTCCACAACCAAAGATTGTGAGCAGAACCCTTGAACTTTGCATACTGGAACAACTGTGCCCACCACTTACGAGCAGCGGGAGAGAAACAATCAACCCAGTAAGAAGAACCAGGCCAGCACCAACCCTCGTAGATGTTTCCGTCCTTGTTGTGAGTCGCGAGATCCTTCGACTTGAGCTCGTCGACGACGGAGTATCCACCCTCGTTCTTGATGTGAGGATCAATGATAGCAACAAGCTTTCTCTCATGGTCGTCGAGCTGCTTTTGCATATCGAGCGGGTTGGGGAAGGTCAGAGGGTCCCAGGTGAAATACTTCTTGCCGTCAGTATATTCAATGTCGAGCCAGATGACGTCGTAAGGGATTTGAGCTTTGTCAAACTTGCGGTCGACATCCTTAACATCTTCGTCGGTAACATAGTTCCAACGGCATTGGTGGTGAGCAATGGCAAATTGCTGAGGCAGCTGAGTATGGCCCGTCAACTCGGAGAAGGACGAGATGACGTCCTTGGGTGTGGGACCAAGGAAGACAAAGATATCAAGCAAGCCGGACTCGGAAAACCAGTGAGTCTGGGTGTCAGTGTGAGACCCAATACCAAGACTGAGAGGGTTTGCACTCGACTTGGACTTGACGATGTCGATCCAAGTCTCTGCAGCATTGAGCCAGAAAACACCGACAGTCGAGTCCTTCTTGTGAGCCTGCATGAAGGGGATTGCGCCATAGAGAGTCATGGGACTGTTCATCTCGTATTCAAACACGTCGGCATTGTAAAGACGGTAGGGGTCATTGAAGTTTCCCTCTCCGCCACTGTGAACATGGTAAGCATCCGAACAGTTGAGACAAGAGAGAGCAATTCAAGCTTACCGAGTCTGTCTCAGAGAGAGCGGACCAGTGTGCTCTGGAATTCCAAAGACATGTTCGTAGCCGGGGAACGTTACATCGAGGGCTACACTTTCGGGGCCCCTTGGCTTGGTGTCGGTGTTTCCACCAAAGGCCTCGTCCCACCATGTGCTCTCATCTTCTGTGACGTCCTTGTTGGCCTCATCGGCTTCAGTTTCGCCTTCCTTCTTCTCCTCTTGCGGCTTGTCAATCTTGGGACGCCAGTGCTCGACGTTCATCAGGCCTCTGTCATTCAGTCTGATGTGCGTCTCTCCATCTCTTGTGAACTCAATACCGAACGGAGAGTGGGTGACGATGGCTTCGAACTTGCTTCCAGGACCATACAAGATCTTGGTGGTACCAGTCTCAGCATCTTTAGCGGTGGCAGCACCAGAGCTGAGTTTGGATCCGCCGACAATCGCCCATTTCTCAGCCTCGTTGTAACGCTCTTTCCGGGCTTTGGACCCATGGCGAAGCTCAATATCGCCCTTCTGACGCTTCTCTTCGTCGACAGTGATCCTTGCGGAACCAGATTCGAAGAACGAGATGGTGACGGGCAGACGAACGGCTTCTCCAGAGGTTGCAATAGTCTTGAGGATGGTTCCTGACAACTGGCCCTTGGAAAAGGTGAGGGATGCAGAGTCGAGGGCGTAAGGGCTGGTCCACGAGGAGGATTGAGAGGCGGCCGAGTCGGCGTAGGCTCTGTTACGTTTGCAGAAACCCGACTGGTCACAGGTTTTGAAGTTCTCGTGCTTCACAGACACNTTGAGTGGTTTGAGCTATTGAACCCTTGAATTGGCCTTGAAGTCGCACTTACCGGCCGGTGAAATCAAGCAGCACAAGGCTGCAAACAGCAGGATTAGCTGCGTCCATTTGGACAATGATGGTGTGAGTGCTGCCATGGTATGGCAATGCAGTCGCGACTACAGTACTTGACACTTTACAGCTGGCCGCAGTCGATTCAATAATGGAGAGTCTGGGGCAGCTTGTACGTCAATGCATGCTTATGCCAGGGGGGTTGTGCCAGGGCATAAAAGCGGCGGAGCTGTGGGCAGGAGCACGGAGCTGCAGGCAGGAAGCTTTGACCAAGGAAAAGCTGAAACGTTGCGGTATTAGACCCCGCCAAAAGCACACGGCACCCGCTTTCCGCAGTAGTCCCGACCCCTGCTCATGAATTCCAAAATCTTGCCTGCCAAAGATCGCTCTTTGCTCTACACTGTCAATCAAGCAATCACATCTGCAACAATGTCTTCCAACGAGCAAACTTTCATCGGTGAGTGCTCCTGTCAAGTCGTCCTGTTCTCACTTGGGCGATTCAACCGCATGCTTCGACTCCCGCTGGCCCACACCCCTATACCGCTGCTTCCACTCTATACAACCGCCTCTATCCCATACCACCATCTCTATCCTATGGCACTGCCTGTCTATTGCCACTGCCTCTATCCTATATCGCTGCCTCCACCCTTGTACCACTGCTAACAGACACAGCTATCAAGGTACCACAAAGCGCAACGAACGCTACAAGACACATACTAACAGTAGCAGCCCGATGGTGTTCAGCGCGGCCTCATTGGCCCCATCATCTCGCGCTTCGAGTCAAAGGGTTTCCGCATGGCCGCCATCAAGGTATCTTGAAGAACAACAAACGCTACCCGATGCATACTAACAGCGACGCAGCTCAGTCAGTTACCACTACCTTCTCCTGTCGTCCAGGACACACATTAACATGTCAATGCAGCCACCCCTGGCCAGGAGCACCTCGAGAAGCACTACTCTGACCTCAGCGACAAGCCTTTCTTCAGAGGTTTGATCTCTTGTATGCCACGCCATGCCCTCCGCAGCTCTACACCAGCTTGCTTACACTAGACAACAGACATGAACTCTGGCCCCATCTGCGCCATGGTTTGGGAGGGCCGTGACGCCGTCAAGACCGGCCGCACCCTTCTCGGTGCCACCAACCCCCGCGACTCCGCCCCTGGCACCATCCGTGGCGACTTCGCCATTGACGTCGGCCGCAACGTCTGCCACGGTTCCGACACCGTCGAGAACGCCCAGAAGGAGATTGCTCTCTGGTTCAAGAAGGACGAGCTCAACGCCTGGAAGTCCGCCCAGAACGACTGGATCTACGAGAAGCCTTAGATATCTCAAAAAATTGTAGATACACAGCTGGGAAACAGCACTTGGAATCAAGCTGAATCGTCCCGTTTCACATTGGTGCCTTGAAGTGCTAGCATGCGTGAATGTTGTTAGGTCCTTTCTAGAATTTGCTCCTAAATCCGTTCGCGCCAAATGAAACTTCCTGGGTATCCATCTTGCAACCGTCCAGCCATCAATGCATTGCCCAAAATTTACCTGCCTGGTCATAGTTATGCCTCAGAGCCACCGTTCAGCTGCTGTCGGAACTTCAATGCCAGATTCTGTACGCCGCTCACCAGGCTCTCTCCAAGAGCATCGACAGCTCCCTTGGGACTCATCAAGCTCGGTGGCACCACCTCGCCAGCACGGATCTTGAACAATCTCACATTTGTGCTGCTCCAAATACCACTTCCAGACGTTGACGCATGTTGCAGATCTTGTGACACTACCAGACCCCAGTAGAAAGCTGCATACGCCTCCGAGAAGGGTGCCGTCATAGGGAATGTGTGAATGTTCCGAGTCGTCGTCTCCACACATATGCGACCTAGGTTTCGCACTGGCTGTAGCACTTCATCCATGCCCAAGCCGTCTACAGCTTCCTGGCTGCCTTCCATATCTCTTTCCTCCAACAACTTTGAAGTCCAGGCTTGGAGCGCTAGGATAAGTGACAGTGTTGTGAGGAGAGGCATCTGGGGAAGCCACGTTCGGACCTGTACTTGATCAGCTCTTGAGAACTCTACTCGATTGTGTAAACATACTATATCCATGTCGGTGGTTGGTGAGGTCAGCGCTCTCGCCCTTTCCTCTTCAAAATCCGCCGAGTCTTTGCTCTTTTCGGGTTGCTTGCCCACAGCTCTTGAAGACACTGAAGGCTGTTTCTCCGTTGCATCATCTCCACTGGGTGGCGGCATATGATCCACCGGAGGCACTACCGGAGATGTTGCCGGATTGTAGATGTCACGGAGCTCTAGCCATGTACGTCCTCTTCCGAGACGTGGCCGAGGTGCCTTGTCTTTGTCCAGATTGGCTATGTCACTGGCTGCAACCAGGGGGTGTAACACAGTGCCATCTGGACACAAGGTAGGCTCTGTGATGCCTCTTTCGCGAATCTGCTCCATCACTTGCTTGAAGCTTGGATCGACCTCCATCCTGAGGTCTGCCAGATGTTCGAATGTAGTTCCGTATTTCCATATTGCCCAGAGTAAGTTTTCGTTTTCTNNGCGGTTCATGTCAGCTCTGCTTCGATGATCGTTTGGATGCAACGAACCAGTTCCTGGTTTGTGTTCCTCAAGCATCGAGTTCACCGCGCGGACCATGTGAGTCAAGACCATGGCATTGACCTCGACGCTCGTTGACAAAGAGTTTCGCGTGTACAGGTCTACTAATTGAATCAGTTTCAAGCTTGTTGCCCGACCAAGGTGAGAAATGTATGGAGAAACATTGACAATGATTCCGACTAGTGCAGCGGCCATGGCATCTAGATGGCCATTCTTCTTAGGTTTCAGAAGAGTGAGCAGCCACNNTTGAGGTACATTAGTACGTGGTGATGATCAGAAGTGCGTTCGGTGACTTACAGTGAATAGATAGTCCGCGTAAGACCCGTGAAAGTTTTTGATTTGCATGAACGAGGGGAGATTGTCATGCCCCTCAAACTGCTTGTTCAACGAAATGGCGTACTCGGGATTCTCACTCATTGTCTGCACACACAGCAGACTCACACGCTTGACTCCTTCCACATTCTTGTTAGGGTCTAGGATGTAGAACAAGAGGAAGACAGTCAGTTCGAACTGGCGACCGGTCTCGCAGATGAAGGCACGGAAGTACTTGTTCGAATATAGAGACTCCCACAAGAGCGGAATTATCTCATGGGCCCAGACAAGCGGTCTCTGTACAATGTTTAGTCCGTTACTGTTTGCTTCGAGCGGCTGGCGCAAAATCTTGAGTATCCCATCGGCCAGAAATTGTAGGTGTGTCGCTTTGTGTAGATGGGAGAAAAGATCACGGAAGCGGTTGTCTGGTGGAGCAGAAGCTTCGGCCCACGGTGTTCTATTCAAAAGGTTGACCTGTAGGAAGTGCAGGCATGTCCGAACGTGAGTCTCGTGGACTTCTCTAGGTGATGGCGAGAGGTAGCGAGCGTCTGGTTGATATTTCAGGACCGTGTTCAAGAGAGAACACAATAGGTATTGAACCTTCTTGCGATCGTGATGATTGGAGATGAAGTCGATTGCCTCACTGCCAAAGGTGGTGAAGGCGTTGGCAGGTTTGTAGATGCACTTGCTCTCCAGGACCAGCAGAAGTTGCATAATCTCGGTCCTCCTGCTCTCAAACTCTTTGCTGGTCTCCAAGCGTCGCTCGTAGGCGATTCCGCTCTGCCAGAAGCCATACGTCGGGCCATTCTTGCCGTTCATGTTGGCGGGCAGTGTGAAGCCTGACCAGAAAGCCAGATCCAGAAGCGAATCGATGAGCTCGACACCCAGGCATGTCGGAGGATCCTGGGGTGATGTTCCATCCGAGTGGTCCAGACTCTCTGCTGTGGTGGATTCACCAGAAATGTTTCGGGAAATGTTGGGCATTGACAGGCTCTGTGTGGGATCCCANAAGAAGGACTGCTCCCAGGCGCACAAACGATCGCACTCGTAGACAAAGGGAAGGACGCGTGTGAGGGTGCGGATGCAGTTCAAGGCCTCGCGGATGAAGGCAGCGGGATCTTTGTCGAAGAGAGAGTCGTCGGCCCAGCGCAGATGGATCAGGTGCCTCGAGACGGTCAGGATCAGGGTCTCGAAATTCTTGAAGGACTTGGGGTTGTCGCGCATGGTGCGGAGGTCGGAGGGNGTGATGGTCTCAAAGACATGTTCGGCCGTCTCTGGTCGTTGCCAGAACTGGGGTGACGGCGTGTCAGCAGGGGTTGGGTGAGGGGACGGGGGATCGGGAGCAGCTACAGTCTGCCAGAATTCGGTCAAGGTGGATGGAATAGCAACATCACCCGACGAGGCCTGGACAATGTTGGACTTGAGATCGCTCTGGACGGCGCCCATGATGCAGCAGGGCGAGACGGGCGTGTCCTGGCAGGCTGGCCGAGCTGTCCAAGGGTGCAGCGGTCGTCTAAGTCGTCGTGTTTGTCGGTTGGGTCATCAGGTTGTCAAAAGACATGGACGGCCTGGACTGAAGGAACGAGCAATCACAATCAGCATTTGAACGTGACGTAGCGCCTAATATGCACTTGGCAAGCTCCAGTGGAAGTCCAAAGACCGAGAACCCTGGGTTTCCCCGACAGAGTGGATCCGCCCTCCCGCCAGGGACGAGCCGACACTTCACAACCAACCCCGTCATTCTGTAACAGCATTGGCGCTCTACTACTTGCTCGGTCTTTGCATCATCACGAGCAGAATCTGTCTTTGTTCACTTCTCAGCACTGTGACTGTCTACCGGCAGCCTCCCAAATCCGTGGTCGCCCTTCAGCCGCAATCTGCTGCACGCTCCATCTCTCCTTCAATCTGCCACAGTCCTTGGGCCAAACCTTGACATAACAGCTGCCTCTTTCCAAAATGGATCCCAGGACTCCCAAACCTGATGTCGGACTGCTCCTTGCCAAGGGCAAGCTCGTCGGTTGCCTGACCACCGGACAGTCCAAGCGATCTACCCTTGATTCGTCCGACATCAACAACTTCCATAATCTGCTTCAGCTCGCCTTGAACGACACTACCCGCTGCACCAAAGAGGTCTTTCCTGAGTCTTCGGCTTTCAAAATGCATCCATCGCTAAACTGATCCCAGTTCAAAAAGTGCCTTGCCTGGATTGTATGCCATGTAGCCAAATCGCGCCGCAGGGTTGCTGCTTTCGGTGACTACCTGCTGAAGCTATCTGATTCTCTGCTGCCACCAGACATCTACTCTGATCTAGAAAAGTCTGCCCTTCGCCGCGCTCAGATTGCCTTGGGCGTGCTTCATCTGATAGATGCCATCTTCTTCCGCATTCGCGAGAACCCAGCTCGACTACTTCGCAAGCCGCTCGGGACCTACTTGACCTTTGCCAAAGCCATCGAGCCGACCGTCGTCCAACTCATTCAATCTGCTGCTATCAACCGCGGCACCCATGCTCTTCCTCTCCACCAAGATCTGGCCTATCTTCTGCATCACTGGACACAAGAACGCCTCTTCACTAATCGCATACGTCTGGGTCTCCGTAACATTGCCCGAAAAGCCTACACCGGCTGGCTGGATTGGTTGGCAAGAACTCATCAATCACACTACGACAAGCTGGTCACGAGGATATATTTCGAGAATGTTGAAGATGACATCCCAGACACCCACGGCCTGCCAGGGGATGCCTGGTTTGATCTTCCCGTTGGAACAATGGTCCACGCAATGAAAGCAACGAAACCCGGTCATCCTATTAGAACGACACAAATCAAGCCGTTCGACATGCCCGTCGGATCAGTCGACCCTGACATGATGGAAACAGTCCTCGAACACATTGAGGAATGCAAGGACATCAATGCGATACCCAACATATCTACCACAGCGGATGAAGATGAATTCCTTCTCAATGGTCTAGGCCTTCGGCTGAGCAGAGATCCAATGAGCAACGAAGATAGACCCAAGTACAAGGTCATCGAAGGTTACTACGGCTTCAGCGTGCCTTTTATGAAGATCTTCCAGAACATAGAGAAAGGCCCTTCTACTGGACCAGAGCGCCCGCAGAATTGGATGCCTCCACCTCCACCAGAATTTGTCCAGCCTCCAGCTTTCTATGCAGGGTTTCCATCAAACGTGCCACCGCCGGGCAGAGATACACAACACATGGTTGGGGCCAACTATAGACAGAACGATTATGGTCGTGGAAACAGTGCAGGTTGGCGGAGTGAAGAAATGCAGGGCGGCAGGGGAGCAGGGAATTGGCGTGGACGGGGCAGAGGTTGGGATCGTGGTAGTAGTGGTGGTGGTGGCGGTTATCGACCATACTAAGACCCGATCTTCCTGGCCATGTTATGGGCCCAAGACGATGATTGTGATACTGCTCCGGACCGTCGACTTTCGATGTTGCGTCCAGACGATTATGAGCAATGGTACCATGTTTGTTCCCAGACCCCCGTCGAACCTCAAAACGAAATGGAGTCGACATCTTGTCAAGTACCATCAGTGGTCACCAAAGTTCGAACGTCTATGGACGCCAGCCTTTCATTGGTGGAATAAATCACACGTGCCAAGGACTTGACTTCAACCTGATTATCTTGAACTAACATAACGACTACGTCCAGTCTTTTTGCTCATTTCACTGGACCCAAAAACTCTGAAGATAGCATGCCTGTACATAAGAACCCGATTTTGGCTGGATTCAATCCCGACCCCAGCGTTGTTAGGGTCGGTGAAGACTACTACTTGACAACATCAACAGTTCGTTTTGCTACCCCTTTGCTACCCAGTCCCCTACCATGACCCCGACGACTGATGAATATTCGATCAGTAGNNTTTGAGTACTTCCCCGGACTGCCAATATATCACTCCAAAGATCTTGTAACATGGACCCTGATCGGACATGCCTTGACAAGGCCGTCACAGCTAAATCTCAGGACTGGAGAGCCTGGCTCTGGCATCTGGGCACCCACTCTTAGATTTCACAATGGCATGTTTTACATAAGTTCCTGTCTTTGGACTGCCTACTCACCACAGCAAGACTTGCGAGTCTGGCCTAGGGGATTCTACGTCTCCACCACAGATCCATGGAGAACTGATGGCTGGTCTGACCCAGTATATTTTGATCAACCAGGCTTTGACCAGGACCTTNTTTGGGACGATGACGGCAGTGTCTACCTCTCGACTTGTTACAGGGCAATAGATCATGATGTTAGCAGTGGACTCAAGGGCTTCAAGGTTCACGTTTCGAGGATTGATCTGGCCACAGGAACGTCCCTCGACACTCCTAGAATTATTCGAGCATCACCATCGGGCGTTGCTGAAGGCTCACATTTGATCAAGAAGGGCCACCACTATTACCTGTTCGTTGCAGAAGGCGGTACAGAGAGCGGCCACATGGAGTTGGCGTTTCGAAGCGAAATCGGACCGCATGGCCCTTGGGAGCCTGCGCCGAACAACCCCCTTATCAGTGCCAACACACAAGACGATGTTCAAAACACGGGGCATGCTGATCTGGTCGAGGATGTCAATGGTAGATGGAAAGCGGTCTGTCTTGCAGTCCGGCCACATCGTCAGAGAGTTTCTGACCAGGACGAGGATAATTTTCTGCCCTCGCCCTTCGGTGCGTGGACTGGGCAATAGTCAGACTCTGCAACTCTTTGCTGACATCTACAGNGTCGAGAAACTTTCATGGTGAGCGTGGACTGGGAAAATGATTGGCCGGTATTCAATCAAGGAAACAAAGTCCAACTCACCTTCGAAGCAGATGCAGAACCGGCGCCACCTGCCCTTCCATGGCGAGACAATTTTGAGGAAAGCAAAGACCTCGCTCCTGGGTGGTATCATANNAAAGTATCGCTTGATATCTCGTACAGATTCTCATTTACTGATATCAAAACAGACACGCCGCTGAAGCGGGAGTATTCCCTCTTAGAGCGTGATCATCATCTAAGGCTCTGGGGAGGACCCTACAACCTTCAATCGCTTGAGAGTCCGACGCTGGTCCTTCGCAAACAGATATTTGTGCGTGGCATTTGGGAAACGAAACTGGACTTTCGAGCCCAATATCAGCATTGTGAAGCCGGTACTGTGGTCTACTGGAACCCTTACACGTTCAGCAGCGTTGGTATTCACAAAGGATCAATTGGGGAGAGCAGAATTATTAGATTCACGACTTCGAATTCTCCAGGAGAATTCGTTTCTACCGACCGACCACTCAACCACATGGGTTCTGTCAAACTTGCAATCAAATGCTCCGAGGTCGGGTACACTTTAGGGTACGCAGAGCTTGGTGAGGAGTACGAATGGTTCGAGCAAATTAGCATGAGGACCATGACGGCGGACCCTCCGAAGGGAATGGCATTTACAGGCATGATGTTTGGACTGTATGCATATGGAGAGCTTCAGAAGTGCTTGGAACCCGCAGACTTTGCTTTTGCCTCGTTCACGAGCGACTGAATTGGAGCGACGAAACGGCCATGTAAAATGTTGGGTGTATCACCCTGTCACCGCGCTTCTTACTACCTTCCAGAGGCAATAGTGGCCGTGTAAGAAAAGTATCGTTACCAAACAAGCCTGCTCGCTCTCTAGTTCCGCTATTTGGGATTCTCCCGTGTTGTAATGCATTGACGTCGACGTGTTGTTTAATTTCGTGTTTGTGAGAGTTTCGTATTCCTTTGTCAGGAGTTTCACTCTCCGGAGATCACTCTCAGATGCTACATTGGTTCTACTACCATCTACAACAGGTCGGAAAGGAATGTATTGAGCTGGAAGAAAAGAGCCCCTGCAGCACAGTGTCGAAATGATTCATATAGCTGTCGCAGTGATGTTTTTGGAAAACTCGATCACCTCAAAATCACTGGTCTTCTCGCCAGGATGAACAACACCGAGGAGGTGCAACGTGAGATGAACGAGGCCGCTCTAATCCTACTGTCGATGGCGGACGCTGTATGGGACTCACCCCATGTCCACACTTCCGATGATGAGGCTCACGCACCTCAGACACCGATCGACTACGATAAGATCGAGGCCGCGGAGAGTCTGTTGTTATTATCGACTACCACTCACGTCGTTCATGCTGATGATCAGATGAACTCTGACTTACCTTCCACTCAACCTGTAGAAGACGACAACGACGACATCCCTAGACATACTTCAACATCGCCTGCTTCTGCTGCTCCTGATGTTGTTCCTGATGCTTCTGACTTTCCTGATGCAGCTTCCTCCTTCACTTCTGTCTCGACCCCTGTCAGCAATTCCCAGTGGGCTGGACTAAGTGCCGATCAGCAAGCAATTCAGCAGAGGCGTCTTGATATGTCAGCCAGGCAGCGCCGTCAACACAACCTTCAGTCGTACGACCATGTCAACGCCCAAGGGCATGCCATTGGCCGCTTGTGGCAGACAATCACCGAGCGTCGCACCTTCCGTCAGAACCAGCGTCGTAGGAGTGCGACTCTGTTGCGTGCCGCCACTACGAGGGGTAGATCATTCTCTAACAGGCATTCGAGCAACTAAACGCAGGCGTGGTCAACCTAAACTTGCAAGAGAAATTTCTTGAACAACTCGCCCAGGCCTACCTACTGCATAGACTTCGTCGATACATGGGCAAGTGGCTCTTGTCTAGGCGGACTTTTTCAGCAAGTGGTTCCTTCTTATGTGATACCTTTGACCACCGTCAACAGGACTTGTGTCTTGCAGCATCGTACAGTCGTTGAGAGAGGTCCAAATTGTTTGATCCTCGAACACTGAAGATTCTAAACCATTACGATCATTAATCAAGAACCGAAGTCTCCTGCAAATTGGTCCAGAATCTTTAATGTTCAGTGAGTGGTGAACCGTTTCGTACTGTATGTCGGGATTGTGAGGCGTGTCGCAACCTAAACGATGGAACGCAAAATTCCGTATCAATCAGATCACTCCAACAATGTATCGAATTGCTGATTGTAGTGGTAAAGCTCAAATTGTCGAAATGCAGATGAGGTGAAGTCGTCGGTAGAGAAATGCCAAGACAGCAAACCTCCGTCATCGCTGCCGTGGCTCGCCGCCGAATTGGTAATCATCGAGTCTCAAGGAACTCCCATGAGCGGGTTTCGACCAAGACACGAGAGTTTTTATCAGCTTGAAAAGAAGATCATTTAACTGTCCGATTTTCAAAGCCTCTGGCAACATGTCTCTCGCCAACGTCAACGAGATCATCCTCGTGCTCTCCGGCAAGGGAGGCGTTGGGAAATCAAGCGTTACTACACAGCTGGCTCTTACCCTATCACTGAGAGGACACTCTGTTGGAATTCTAGACATCGATCTCACTGGCCCTTCCATGCCGAGATTTCTTGGTATCGAATCTTCGAAGGTCAAGCAAGCACCAGGCGGCTGGCTTCCTGTGCCTGTGCATGAAAGCAAAGACACGACTTCGAGCACATCAGACAACAACAAACCTATCGGATCTCTTCACTGCATGTCGCTAGGCTTTCTTCTTGGCAGTCGAAACGATGCAGTGGTCTGGCGTGGACCCAAGAAGACAGCCATGGTCCGCCAATTTCTGTCGGACGTTCATTGGGGCAAACTGGACTATCTTCTGATCGATACACCTCCTGGTACCTCGGACGAACACATCTCACTCGTGGAGACTCTTATGAAGAATGCAGCCCCTGGTCAAGTCTCTGGAGCTGTGGTCGTGACCACACCACAAGCAATCAGTGTCTCCGATGTAAGGAAGGAGATCAACTTCTGCAAGAAGACTGGCATCGACATTCTGGGTGTTGTCGAGAACATGGCCGGGTTTGTGTGCCCCAATTGTGCGGAATGCACCAACGTCTTTTCAAAGGGTGGTGGAGAGGTCATGGCCAAAGACTTCAGTGTTCCCTTCCTTGGCAGTGTACCCATAGACCCAGCCTTCATTGCTCTCATTGAGGAGGGAAAGCGACCAATCTATCCGGAAGGCACAGTCATCGCTGGTCAGGACATGTCTGCTCAAACGGATGTGCCCGATAACGACACTGGATCCTTGGTTGAGAAATACCAGAGTTGCTCTCTGTTCACAATCTTTGATGGTATCGTTGGACAGCTACTCGCCAATACCCAACCTTGAACAGCACTCGAATGCCTGAGATTGTTTACAGCAATCTGTTTCGGCATTCTCGGCCTTCATCGGCTACCCACCTCTTTCACCAGAGGAATGCAATGCGATTCGGGCCGAAGATAGGCCCGCCCTTGCGTTTTTGGCTGAAGATCGGCTCGGTATGCCGACTGAAAGCACATAGAGTACTACCCTGCGTCGGCGACTCCGAGCACATCCCCACATCTCACATGCTTGCGCTATTTTCCTAGCACCACAAAGATGACCAAGTCCAATCATGAGCAGAAGCACCAGGTCTGACCCGTTTCCACTTGCCTGGAATGATCAAGTTTGCAGTGCTTGAACGCCCAATGGGATCCCTCTGGACCGCTCACCGAGTCGTATCCGCTTACAATGGACCCAGCAGGTCATTTGGCAATTAACAGGCTGTGCTTGTTTTCATCATATATCACGAATGTCCATACCAAGGAGAGCTTTATCTAAATTAACCTAATCTTCCAATTTCTCGTGAGGTCGTTGAATAGGCAACATATATCCATGGCGTTCAACTTATCGATTCTATCCCGTCTAGATAGACTATCGACGATTGTTATACCATTGCCGGGCCAAGATGATGTTAGGAACTTCCATCGTGCCGTTGATATTACACAATACAACATATATCATTCCGACCAGAGGTGTGGAAAGCAAGTGACCCAGAATCCTGGTGACTTGGATCTAACCCTCTCAGATGTTTGCCAGAGTTCTACCATAGTACTCTCGATATCGTCTGCAACTCTCACTGCTGCAGATGGACTGGTCTCTACATCTTATAGCATCTTTCCAATCAACACCTATATCTCACAGGCTACCGGGCTTTCAACAGCGATCCTCCAATCGAATACGGAGCATTTATACTCTTTTACTGTGCCCCAGAACCCGAACGGAGCCGCAACTACCTCAAGCTTCTCGGACTCTTCTCTTTCGCAGAGTCGAGATCAGTCACCGATAGGACCATCGGGAGATATTGTTTCTCCTCCGACATCGACCAGTACTTCGCATTTCACAATCAGTTCGCTATTGTCCACGTCACTGTCCTCTGTTAATTTCGTTTTGCCTACTCAGACTGATTCTGACGCCCCGACCATTGCGCTTAGCAGTCCTGTCTTTGTATCACGATCAAGCACCTCGACTATCCTGCAGCAGGTCTCGACAACAGCAAGCAGCTATAACAGTCTAGTCATACCGACTGTAAACCCTGTCTACGCCTGTCCTAGGGACAATGGCATGTACTACTCGGATACCAATAATCGTGTCTACCAGCTAGTCTGTAGCACTGATGAGCGAGACTCGACCATCGAAACAACTTACCAGTCGCAACTGCAGTCCTGTGTCGATGCCTGCGGCGATGTCGTTGGATGTGTTGGAGTTTCATATACTGGAACATCTGGCTTGTGCGCCTACAAGAGTAGTGTCATCGATCAAGTGGACTCCTCAGTCTCCGATTCTGCCATCCTAGCTGATTATATCTGCCCTGGCGCTGATGGTACTCGCCTGGTGGATTCTTCTGGATCAGTCTATGAGATTCTCTGCAATACCTTCTTCCCTACAAGCAGCAACATTACCTCGAGCTTGGTGACTGGCGACTTGGCCTCTTGTTCTGAGATATGCTCGTACAACGAAGACTGCTCGGGCTTTACGTTCCAAAACGGATCTTGTACGTTAGTCAGCAACAGAAATTCTGACGATGGAGTCCTTCGGTTGAACGTAGCCACTGCTATACTGTTGGCAAAAAGGATTGCACAAGTTGTGTCAAGTAATGTTGCACCATACCGAAGCACAAGTCTTGTTAGATCCCTGCCAGTCGACGTCTCCCGAACCTCAAGCTCAACGACCCTGACTCCGACAGCTACTTCTACTGGGACACCCAAGTCATCAGAGAGAATGGCAACTGTGACTTCAGAAACTATCATAGTCACCTCGCCTGATGCAGCATCGAGGACAGACCTTGCTACTCATTCAACAGGCTTGGCAAGCCCAACACCATCTTTGTCTAATACCACAGAGCTTACAATCACTCTTTCAAGTAATGCAGTACAGGAGCAGACAGCCAGCCCTACGACTGTGATGGCCCAGGCCACAGCAGAGGTTCCCAACAGCTCAAGCTCGTCAATTGTCTCTGCGTCGATCGTCTCAGAGACACGCAGCTCTAATACTAGAGCTTTGGATAGCATGCCCTCAAGCTCCAACGCCCCGTCGAGCATTACTTCATTGGCGTCAGACAATAGACCGACAACTATCAACCGATCCTCGCAAACGTCAACAGCACTTTCGACTGCATCGCTCCTAAGCGCCACCCGAAGCTTTTCTTCTTCAAACACTGTATCCTCCGATGTCAATACCATTTCTGTCACGACAGTCACCACAGCTTCGTATCCTGTTGTATCGTCTAGCCTGCCTCCCGAGACAAATTACTCTTGTCCTGCGGTCAATGGAGATCAGGTTCAAGCGAACACAGGGGGCTCGTACACAATTGGCTGTGACCAGGAGACCACAGGATCTGACGTCCTGGTGGCCTCTGCGCCAGAATTTAATGACTGTATGACCTACTGTGACCAAACCCCAGGCTGTACAGCTTGGACCTGGTCTGGAAGCTGTTACTTGAAGACAGGGACTTCTACGTCTGACTTCTCCTTTCGACCTTCTACTCGAGGCGCAGTTTCTGGTATAAGATCAGTTCCAGCTGGTGTTTCAAGTCTTCCACAAAGCGGCGCTGCAGGTTCCATTACCAGCTCATCGGCAACTATAGCACAAACAGACTCTGTAGATTCGACCAACAACGGACTCGGAGCCTCATCCACGGTATCATCACTGCCATCTCAGAACTTGCCGACAACTCTTGGAGAATCGACTATCCTTGCTTCGGATCGAACATCTGTGCAGGATTCTGGGGACGTCACATTTAGCACAACGTTTCAGGGCAGCACAACACGACTGCTACCACTTAGCGTCGATACTGTGTCTGACTCGGATCAAGAGAATACCGCAACTGCAACTATCACGAGCGACCTTAGGTCGACTTCCGCAATTGCAAGCAGTGATGTCCCACTTACCACTACAGATGATGGTATGTTGATGAGCCTGTCGATGACACCACACACTACTTTCCCGACCTCTTCCGTTCTTGCACCTTCTATTCCAGTGCCTTCCATCACTGTCGCTACACTGTCATCCACCCATCACAATATCACGCCCACACCATTGTCGTATCCATCTCCATCAACGACTTGCTCGGTCTTCGACAATGTGCTCGACGTCTGCCTCGATTCAGTGATCACGCCCTCCTTGGGTGGAAGTGATATTGGTGTTGGTTTTGGAAGCAGCACCCTCACAGTTCTTGATGCAACAGCCAGTGTGGGGATTGCGCCCTCTGTTGCAGCGAGTGCGGGTTTTGGCATATCTGTTGGAACAAGTGGAGTTGTCGTAGGAGCAAGTGCCAGCTTGTATGTGAGTCCTGGCATCTTTGGCTCCTCGAACCCCACCCCAATCACATCTATACCGTCAGCATCGTGCTCCGTTGGCGGAAACGCGCTGAACGTTTGTATAGACGCTGCCATTACTCCTTCAGTAGGAGTCGGCGGCAGTGCAAGTGCTGGACTCGTGATTGGTAGCAGCACCATCGCTATTGTCGGTGTGTCAGTGTCTTTGGCTGTCGTGCCATCTGTGACAGCAGGTGTGGATGTTGGGCTCTCGACTGGTACAAGCGATATAAGCCTGGTTGGAAGTGCGACCATAGGGGCAAACCTCAATCTCAATGCTTCTGGGATAATCACGGCTGGAATACTGCCAAATATCTCAGCTCCCACATCAACTGCGAATTGCTCAGCCGGTGGCAACGTCGTCAACTTGTGTATGGATGCAACTGTTGCAGCATCCGCCAGCGCTGGCCTGAACCTCAATCTTGGACCCAGCAGTAGTGCGCTCACCTTGCTGGATGCATCTGTCGCGCTTGCACCTTCGGCCGCAGCAGGAGTTGATCTCGGTCTTTCGATTGGTTCATCTGGTTTGGGTCTCACTCCAAGCGCTACCTTGGGCTTGAGTCTGGGTCTGTCAGCGGGACTGAACCTCGGAGGGGCTGGTCGGATAACAACATCAACATCAACGTCGACTGGATCGTCGACTGTCACAGCTACATCCATCGCGTTGCTCCCGACCTCAGTCGGACTGAATGGAGCACTTGGGCTTGGCTTTGGCCAGTCATCTTCATCAACAACATTCATACCGTCCACCACGTCCTCGATCTCATTCGCGATGACTTCGAGTCCATCTACATCCAAACGAGCAACCAGTACCTCAAATGTCGTCCAAAGCCTAGTCGGTGGTCTAGGGCGTCAAGATCCGCATATCGAGGGCCCATCGATTGGACGTCAGGGATTCACCACTCTTGTGCGGGTAGGCCGCCACTGAGCACATATCCAGCTGGTGCATGGTGTTTGTAGATGATGCGCGTGTACAAAAGTCAAGCTCTCTACTTTTTTTATGTGTTAGTGTAGTATAATGACATCTGCTCCAAATTGTAATCCCCAATTTAAGACGAGTGAAATGGCAGAGATGTGAGTGACCGACATGTATGCAAACAAATTCTAGATCCATTGGGACCTCTTTCCAATGTTTGAGCAAGACTTGAGTCTTTCTCTTCTTCAGCTGGCATATTAGCTCTTGCCTGTGGCGTCACGTGCGGTTCTCTTCACTGACTAGCCGGAACAAGCTAGATCGTGCTCGTTCTCGCAGCTCAGATAATGACCTCGCGAGCGATTGTTTCCCACAACTGACAATCAGGCCCGACTGTCTGGAGAAATTTGAGAGCACCTCTAGGACGTAATGAGCAACGAAGATAAATCGGATCTAGGACTTGGTAGCACACAAAGTAATGGCAACAGACTATTGTACAACAAATACAGCAGGGCTTCCCTAAGACCTTCAATCCTCTCACAAGCCAATATACTCCGTTTCGCGCAAAAAGAACACGGTTGAGAATACAGACCTGTAACCGTAGCAAGACCAATAATAAAGAAAGAGACTCAAAGCAAAAGACACCTCTGGTTGGCCAAGGTATCGACGTAATCATACTACTCGTTGTTCACAAAATCATCCATGTGTGTCTCGTCGGGATGATGGTCTTGATCGTGCCCGCCAGCGGCAAATGCTTCGCCGGCAAGCTGGTTCTCTCCTTCGTGACCCAGGGTAGCGTGATCATCATCGTTGTGGACCATATCGGCGAATATGGAGTCGAGATTGGCATTCGTGTTGCTGGTTTGCGGGCTGCTGAACGAGGGACTCGCCTCGGGATGCACCAATCTGGGACTACCAGAAGAGCTTGGTCGCTTGTCGAACATGGCCCCACCAGCAGTAAAGAGCGCAGGATCGAGATTCATCCCTGTGCTGAACATTGGCGGGTGTTGTGGCGGCGAGCGCGGTACCGCAAAGTTGGGCGGAGGTGGCGGAGATGTGTGAGAGTTGTAGTTGTTTGAAGCGAATCGTGCCGGATTGACGGTATGGGAGGGCTCGTCTGGGTTACGAAGTGGTGGCAGGCCAAACGATGGCGGGGCGAACAGTGGCGAGTCTCGATAGCCCGAGTTGACCATAGACTGGGGCTGAGTAGAAGGATAGCTGAACGATGGAGTCTGTCCAGGGTAGCCTGGTCTGCTGCTAGGAGGGCCAGGTGTTGCTGTAGACATGCTGGACGGCGTGTGAGCTGCAGGGGAACCAGCAGGCTGGAGTGGCTGAGGCGGCTTGTTGTGAACTTCACTACCCTTGCGCTTGTGAGGCTTGATCTTGTATTGCGGCGGAAGATCATCAGGGTTGGTGATTCCCAGCGAGGCCATGAGCTTTTGCTGCTTCGTGGGACGTGGCTTGCGGGTTGAAGCAGAGGAGTCGATGACTGGCGGAGCCTCGGGAGCCACGGGTGCAGACTTGTGAAGTTCTTGACGCAGGAAATTGGTCTCGTATGCGAGCAGAATGTCGGCACCCTCGACCTTTCGGAGGTAGAAGCGAAGCGTGGTCACCTCGTCGGGAGAGACGGTCAGAGGATTGACGTATGGGCGGATGTAGTCTCTGAAGGCTTGAGCAGTCTCTATGATGCTCGTGAGGGTTTCTTCTTCCTCGGGCTGGAAGGGCAGATTGTCCAACTCGTCTTGCCACCCGATGAGCTCTTCGAGCTTCGGACGAGCAGCGTCTCGAGGAATCTTCAGACGCCAATCACAAATGGGGCAAGTGTACTTGTCGTCTTCCTTGACCTTGCCACGGGCGATCTTGAGACACTTTCCGTGATACNNCTGGACGTGTGTTAGTGGTGCAAAGCTTGGTGAACTGCAGATCAAAACTCACCATTCGTGGCACAATTCGCACTCAATCATCATACCAGCTTCAGGTCTACGGCAGAGACAGAAGACGTCCGGGAAGTTGTTCTTGGTGTCGAGCTCCGGGGTATGTTCCCTTGAAGAAGGCTCGACTGGCATTCTCGGCTTGTCGCGAAGTTCGAAACATGCATCGTTCCTCTCCTTGACCAAGTTCATGTGCTGATGCAAGATGTGTAACGGCGCATTGGCTTTGCCGAACAACTTCTTGCCGCGGCGCATCCAATCTTCATGGCGGCGCTGCTCTTTCTCAAGGTCGACGGTGCCAGCGGGCTTGTTGTTCAACTCTTCCAAAGATGCCATGACATCTCTGACGTCCTTGTACATTGGCCGGGATCTGAAATCCGGATTCTTACTCTGTTGGTAGAGAGCGAGAATCTTTTCTTGGGCTTCGCGCTGCTTCTTGAGTATAGCATCGACTCTTGCAAGTGTCTCTGCAGTGACGGGCAGACCAGCTGCCTGCTTGGAAAGAGCGTCCAGTTGCTGGTAATGGACGTTTTCAACACTCATAATCTCCTTGGCCTTGGCTTCCCAGTACTCGCCTTGGGTCCTTGCGTCGCGCAAGCGAAGTATATGCGGATTCGTCTCGGGGATACCGATCTCCAAGCCACGAGTGATGAAAGTGTCGACTTCTTGAAGTGTTTGCAGATGGGCGGGACGGGTGTGGGCTTCGTCAAGCCATTTGACGTGATTGAGTAGCTTTTCGAGGTTCTCGAGCTCGGGAAGGTCGATGTTGAGACCTTTGCCAAGCTCAAAGACTTCCTCAATCTCCTGGGTAGAGCGCGGGTGGTGTTGCTGACCCATGCAAATAGCGACTGCCTTTGCTTTGAAGTCGTTGATGTCGGCTTCTCTTTCGCGCAGAGTCTTGTACTCTGGGCAGTCGAAATGGATGTCGTCGGCGGTGGCGAGGAGCTTTTGCATGTTTTCAAAGTTACGAAGCTCCTTGTCGCGCTCGTCCGATTCAGCAACCGTCGACTTCTTGCGCGAAGGCTTTCCCTTGGCTCGGTTCTGCTGCTTACGAGTGATGTAGACGGTGGCCTCTTCCACCCATTCATTGCAACGCTCGACATAGCGCTTCAGGTCTGCAAGCTGCGGAATGTCGAAGGGAATACGCTCGCCTTCGTTGAGCAACGAACGCAGAATCTTGAGCGAGGGACGGGGTTCCTGGCCAAGATAGTCGTCGACCTTCTGTGCCCAGGCCTCAGGGAGCTTGGCTCGGTCAACCACCTTNTGCACCATTGACTTCAACTCCTTGTCCGTCATGCGAAGGNNGGAGAGGACGTGGTCGTGAGCTGCACCAGCATAGCGGTCTGATTCTCTCGAGTCGCAGCACTCGTATGCGCCAGCATGTAGCAGACACATGACCTTACCCGACTTTTTACACGCGTATCGCGATAGGAAGCTGTAACACTTGCAAAAGCTACAGACATATTCCTCCTCGTCCATGTCTTCTGTGAACACCTCGGGCTTGCCAGTATATCTGTCGCCTTGGTAGGTACCGTCTGTTGGCTCGGCATTGTCGGGCTGCACAAGGAAGTGTTTGCGAGCATCCAGCTCCTTCTCGAGCAATCTTTCCAAAGCAGGAGCGAGCCACTTTGCAGTATTGATTGATTGGTCACGAGAAGCGGCTGTCAGCAGGAGCTCGTCGTGAGAGAAGCATGGCTGACGGCGATAGTCGCGCAGTCTTTGTACACCGCTTTCGCCAAAAGGCTCCCAGTCGACAGGTGCAAAGTTGACAGCTTCGTTGAGATTAAAGCCGTGATTAAAGCCAGCGTGGTACGCTTGAGGGAAGGTAACGACCATCTGACCAGCGCGTTGATCGATAGCATAGACACGCACACCAGCTTTCTTCAGCTTCTCCGGCGGCATCAAAGTCACCAATTGGAACAAGAGATCTGGTTGCGTCTCGAAAAGCTCCGGCACAGCTTCTCGCATGGCATTCTCGAACTTTTCGGCATCTTCTCCTGGAACGCCATACCACGTCTTGGTTGCTCCGAAATGTTGGTAGTTGGCCGAGAAGGCATAATGGTCCTCGTTGTGCCAACAAAAGGTGGAGAATACCATACCGACGTAGAGCCATGGCACTGTCATGCCAGAGATGTCTGTCTTGATGTGCTTGAACAAGGACTCGCCATACAGAGGGAGAACGTTCAAGTTCCAGGGATCTGTCGAGTAAGGATCGCGAGGCTGCTTCTCGATCGTGGGGAAGCCACTCCCATGGGTAGTCGAATGGATATCAGCACCGTATTCGACCTCAACCGTCTCGGTGATGTTCTCGACCAGCCTCCAAAACTCGCGCTCAACATCATCCTCGTTGACTGGTCTTCTTTTGTTGAGGATGGGATCGAAGGGCATCTTGTCCGCGAAGTGGTTTTCCTTGAATCTGTTTGCTCTTTCCTGGAATGCTCGAAGCGAGTACACCTCGCCTTCTTCGAATCCAAACTCTCCAGTTCCGACGAGACAACGGGGACAGTGCCAGTCGTTTTCGGGTTGCTGCATCTTTACAGGAGGCTCAAGACATGCGCCATGATAACCGCAATCGCAACTGTCGCATATCAAGAGCAAGCCAGGATCTTCCGGCTTTGCGCACGTTTCACATGCTTCGCCTGGAGGGAAGTTGCTGCGTTCGCGTGCTGGAACAAATTTCGGTGTCGAAGTCCTAGGCTGGTGCATGTGTGAGCCTGCTACCATTGGGGCCGGCTCTCTCTTCAGTCTCTTGCTTCGTCTTCCAGATGCGTCCAAATCTCCGTTCGCGTCCTTTTCTGCACTATCAGTCAGAGGTCGTTTGTTGCTTGGTTCAAAGGTTGGCGTGTTGCTTTCGTGAAGCTGTGGGCTATCCATAGTCGATCGCGGTATCGAACGTGGGTTCTCTGGAGTCGCGCGAACTCCGTTGGGTCCGTTTACTGGAGTAAAGCCTGAAGGGCGGTTGACTGATGTAAACCCTCCATTCACAGGAGTGAAGCCTTGAGTAGAAGCTGGAGCCGGGGCTGGAGGAGTCGGCTTGACTGGTGTCTGCTGGACCACGGGCATACCGGCGTCCAGAGAAGCGTTCAGCGCAGCAGATGCGCGCATGGCTGGAGTGCTCTCACCATTCGGGGTATTGTTCTGCGACTTCTTAAGAGGCGAAGTACCGGGAGAAGGGGTGAAAGGACCTCCATTTTCCAGTTCCAATTGGTGTTGAACGCCCGGTTTTGCGACTCGAAGGTAGTCTTCGTATGGTTGGAGCCATTTTTGATAGGAATTCTTGAGGGAAGTCGAGAGGCTGGACATGATCTTTCCACTATAGCCAAGATCGCGACCAATCTCGGCCCATTTCTTCTGCTTGCAAACTCTTTCAAAACCCCCCCTGGCTTCGACTGCCTTTTTGAGTTTGTAAAGGTCCAGTGGTCGTTTGTCCACACTGGGAAATCGGTTGAGATTAGTGCCGTGTTGCCTATGGAATTTGGATAGTTGATCCAGATAATTCAGATTTGCTCGAGTGCCTGATTTTGAATAAGCCGATATACATCTGATAGCCTTCTTTGCGACTCACCACCCNTCAACGGAATTCAACTCCTGACGTCGCACACGAAAGTGGAATCGNCTATCACCCGGGTTAGCGTAGAACCAGAAACGTCATCATGCAATACGCACTGATGTGTCAATGGCGAAAGGCATCTGCCAACCTTCAGGAGGGATGATCTTTGCGATTCCATATCTTCGACCTTCAGGTTCAATCTTGCGCATATACGCCATAGGGTCGCGAAACTCCTCCTCGGTGGGTCGGAAGGTGGGCCCTTCGGGGATACCGTGTAGTCTGTTCCTCTTGATGATCTCAGGCGCAGCATTTGGTTGTCCCCGACGTTCTACAGTGTTCAGGTCCAGAGGCTCTGAGCGTCTTGCGCTGAGAGGCATGGGTGTGTTGTTGACGGCTGCACTCGGCGTATGAGCAGCAGACTTGGAGGCGACATTGCTGGCGGTGAATGTCGGGCGACTTGCTGAAGAGGCAGCAGCAGCCCCTCCGCTGCTTGGGGGCACGACCATTCGCAAAAGTCGGTGGGTGTAATTATTAGGGCGGATGTAATGCAGTCGGCGTTGGGCGACTCGAGAGTAAGGTTGCTGGTGTGTAGTGGAATTAAAGAGCGGCGTTGATGGTGTTAGGGTGATGCTGCAGCGGGCACATTCGAATGTGTGGAGAGAGGGCGGCGAGCGGACCAGATCTGATATACGGGCGCAACGCACTGGGCAAGTGCTGACTCGGGGCGACGACCAGGTGACGGTGGTTACTGTCGCATGCGCATGGGTTCGGGGGTCTGCTCGACCTGAAGGCTGTGAAAAATGAACAAGTTGGAGAAGGAACCTGGGATCAGAGCGGCACAGTGGGCAGGTGCAAAACCCGGGGCGGAGGTACGAATAGAATCGAATAACTTCGGCAGGGTCGACCGAGACCATCCACGACCGCCCAATCGGGCTTGCTGTTCTCCACACCCGCCTAGACTTTGACAGCCTCAAAACCTGTGATACCAATTTTTTCGCAACACGTAGAATGGACAAACAAAAGACATGGAACAAGATGCAATTTTTGGAGTTATTCTCGCACTAACGCACGTGATGTTGTCGTGGTTTGAAATTGTGCAAAGTAACACCCTCGTCAAATATACTTACTCAAGATGGAGGTGAACAAACATCGAAAAAGAAAGCAAAAAATTAGCAAAATCGAATAGTTATTGTAGTTAGATTTATATATTTGCTCGCACTCCTTTTATACGTTTTAAGAAATACTGATTGTATTCAATAATATCTATGCTATGTTTATTTGTTGTTTTGTAAACCCAAAGAGCATAAGAAAAAGAAGAGTCTATCAATCAATCACCACATCCAACCATTTTCATCTAGTCAACCTGGTCAAGAGTGTTCTCGAGTCTCGAGGCTGCAACACGACGACGCGTCTGTACACAAGCTCGACTTGTAGATTTCCATGCTCAAATTCATGTCTACATAATGCGACATGCTCCCAACGCGTAACGACGCGAAATGCGCAAATATTCACGAGGTACGTCGTGGGTGGGGTATGGTGGTGCAGGCGGTGGTAGGTCTGACCTCACCTCGCTCCTTCCCCCCCGGGTGCATTGTTTATTCCGACAACATCTTGCCTTGTATTGCGCTTTCAAACCATCTCTTTTCTTTTCTCAAACATCTCATCAAACATACCATCATACATCCTTCATCAAGCATCTCGTCGTCTCCTTCATCAACACCAGATCTCAAGAAGCACAAGTCACTGCTGCAGCCTGCTCCTCGATACGATGGGCAAGCTGTGGACTGGAATTCCCTCTTCTCGAGTCAAGCGACGCCGCGTCAATGGACTCTTCCGCGATAACAACAATCCTCAGGACGCTACTCGTCTTGGTGGAAAGGGACTTCGAAAGAGTATCGCTAAGCGTCACCGGTACGTACATCTAACCACCTTTGCTAGGACGATATCCCTACTGACTGATACAACAGTAAGATCTTACGCGACAATATCTAAGGCATTACGAAAAGAAGTATCCGGTGCGCAGCTGTATCATTTATACTGGTCGAGCTCGACTGACAGGATATCCAGTCGCTTGGCCCGTCGCGATGGTGTCAAGCGAATCTCGGCTACTGGTCTTGGTTCAGGAAGGCCTCTCTTCCTATATGATCTCCCTATGGGACACGAACCAGGGATCTGCAGACTGCTGAAGCTCAGGGCCAGACAGAGGCTTGATCATCCAATTGCAACCAAGCTCAGGTTTGTTTAAGTCCTTGCCATACTTGCCAAATCATGCCTAACATGTTCAACAGCAAGCATGACGACATGGGATATTGGTCAAATGAAAAGGACTAGAAGAAGGACGAAACAGGCCGCGACATTGACCGAAAGTTGACGCCGCCGCCCATGATACTCACAAAACGTCCTCGTTCACGGCATCAGTCTCGCCAATCTCGAGTCTTTGGCTGGCGAAGAGATACAGTTGAGCCGTGACTGCATCAGAGGCTTCACGCGACGTTGACGCCCGTCCAGTACAGTCGACCACATACAACTACTCACAAAACACAGCAATTCAAAATCTGACTATACCACTTGTCCCCGCCTGTCACAACCCTGACGATTCCATCTCCAACCATTGCAATGAAGCTACCAACTCAGACACCAACAACAAAGGCCTCTTGAGCTACGTCTGTCTTGCCTTCTCCCTCTACGTTAACCTCATCAGCAGCGGTCTGCTCCTCCTCTTTAACGGCACGACCAAACATGCCATCCACCTCATTGCTCACGGTCTACTCCTCTTCTTCGTCGGCATGATCAGACTAGTCATCAATCTAGTCACCCGTGGTCTACTCTACATCTTCGTCGGCATTGTCAGCCTCGTCGATTGGCTGATGCTAATTGAAAGTTCTCAAGTCTTCATTCGCGCCTTCGACGAACAAACCATTGGCCATCTCCGAGGCTACAGTTAGGAAATCACTTCCTTGATGATCTACCTAGCAGAGCTCTTTGGTGGGGACCAGTGGGGGTCACTGTGGTATCATGAACAATGTGGCGAGGTGTTGTGAGTCTGTCTTACTGTGTGGAGAGTTCTTCATGTCAGCTTGCGGGCAAGTCGAGTACTGTCTTCTTGGGGTCTGGTTCCGCGCCATTCAGCTTTCCAGATTGGATCATACAGACATGATCCTTAACCGCGTGATCGAGACATTCAACGAACTGCAACGTGCCTAAGGATCGATGGACACTCATTCCAGTCTCATTGACAACGTGGCGCATGCCACAGTCTTTGATCAAGAAACGTGCTGTCGCTGTTCGCTTTCCGCCCGCCTTGCAAACCCACAAGGAGAATAGAGTACGACGATGCTGGCACACCAACACGCACAGCACGTATCAAGAAGGTGCTGTTCAAGCCTAAACTCATCTCAAAATATCCAGACTCTGCGGACAACGAATTTCTCAAGCATTCAACCTGTCCAGACTTTACACGCTACGCGTGCAGTGTACCTGTAGATGGTCTCAAGCCATCGCTGAAGACACTAAATTTCGCCAACGTCTGGCATTGCAATCCAGATGCACCAGAATGGGCGCGAGAACAGGGCATTCGGGTTGAATATCCGCAGAATGCCGATGTGAAGCCAAAGGGACGCAATATTCGGCTCGAAACTTTCCTCACCTTCCAGCAGCTCGTGGATACACATGACGAACGTGGATACTCTGCTCTCTCGGACTTCGAAATCGAAGATTAACGACAGCAAGGTCTTCCTCATTCAGCCTGTGTGTGCCGACTTGATGTTTTCACCGCGTATCACTATACCAGATTAGTACCACATGCGTACACAAGCGCTCTTTCTAACCTTGGACACGTTGGCCTTGGTCTTGGTTGCAGCCTTGGTATCGACCTTTATAGATGCAGCGGCCTTCTTGGTGTAAGCTTCTATTGTAAAGGTCTCTCGAAGCAGATAATCACTCGGTCGCTGCACGCCAGAACTCTAGACCAACTCCAGTCTACGAAGCCTCCTCTATCACACCCTCCAGATTTTCCCTTTCTACTCTTCAGCAGATTCAAAGCAGCCATGGATACATGTCATCTCCAACGACATCTCTCGGCGTTGATCTTTCATTGCCAATCGACAACAAGGAGAACGAGTCTAAGCAACACAAACTCGCTTCGCCCAAGATTCTGCTACATGCCAGAACTCTTGTCCATGACACCCTTGTCGCACCCCCTAGACTTGCCCACTCTACTCTTCCGCAAATCTACCGCCACTATGAAGCCATACCACCTTTAGCAAGTATAGCAGATCCGAGATGTCTTTGGACCTTTCAGGCTTCCATTGAGCTGCTCTGGGAGTAATCCAATCTGTTGGCGCAAAAGAAAAGGAAAACTTCATAAGAACCGATGAGCCTCTTTGCGACGCCGTCAACCTGCATTGTCTCCCCGCTGGTGTTTTACATTCACTGACCGAAGCCTAAGAGGTCTGGCCAACATGTCCGCAGATAAAGATGTCGTGGCAAGATGCGATACCATCAGTTTTCATGAAGTGGGATGACCGCACTTGACGCGTGGCGCGTCTGAACTCAGAGCACGCCGGCCCTCTCTCTCTTCTCTCACCTGACAAGCAGCTCACAAGTCTAGCCAAGTTTCCAACCTTCAAAAGCTCACTACGATGTCAAGTGTGCAAGAACTGCGCGAGTCGTTTTGGTACAGGATATGAGAAGCGAGATGATAGCGCGACAAGATCGCAGAGGCGAATTTTGAGGCGTCACGGCACGATTACGACTGGTCTTGAAACCAAGAGTATCTGCTGGCGGAAGAAGAAGGTCTGCCTAAATTGATCCCGGCCATGACCTCTCAGCATGATGCAGACGCAATGTTGCAACGCGACAGATTCGGCCACGAAGGAGTTATGAAGACGGCATTCGAGTATGAGAGTCTCGATGGTTGATTACAGTCAGAATGATTCATGGCACCTCTTTGAGCAAATTCGGGCGTGTGTAAAACCCCTCGAACGGGCAGAGAACATTGCTACGAATGTGTGTTAACTCACAACCCGAACCAATCCTACGCGTCTCGCCGGACCAGACTTTTCTCTCCTTAACGACAAAGCCCCCCGCAAGAAACACTCCGAACTTAGTATACCCTCCACAGACTCGAAAGAGCAGGAACCAGGACAAGCAGAAGCTGGAAGCGATGAAGCTAAAGACATCGTTTTAAACACCACCCTGCACATTCCCATCCCAGAGACAAAGGTTTTCGCCCTCTCCCACCTAGCGTGGCGAGTCCAGCGCGAATATGGCTAGGTTGAGAGCCGCTACCTCATCCTCCTCCTCTTCCTCTTCCTCCCGACCCTACGTCCAACGCAGCAGAGCAAGAGAGATCAAACCCACCCCCGCGTGGCGAGCCTAGTACGAGCATGGCTAGGTTGAGAGCTACTTGCTTGTTTTGTCCCCTTTAAACACGACTCGATGCAGCTGCATTGTCTCCTTCAACCGGAGACGTTGCATCATTACCACATGGCTTGACGAATGCCGTCTCCCATACCGTGTTGCCGTCTTTAACAGACGACGTTCCCACGTACGACAACCCTCCTTTCACCAAGGCCACTTTAAACAGCTCATTTAAACAACAAGGCAGACTTTTCTTAGCATCGTCCGCAAACATGGTTCAAAAGGTTTACGTCGACTGCACCTGGACCGGTCCTCAGGTCAACGTTGATGGCAACGACAAGCTTACCAACACCGACCGCGAGATTAAGGGTACGCCTACTGTCAACCTGTGAGATCAAGCTAGTCCTAACGACAAACAGAACGGTCCGGCTGCATCAAATTTGAGCTCTTCGATAACGTGGTCCCCAAGACCGTCGAGAATTTCCGTGCTCTTTGCACTGGCGACAAAGGCTTCGGCTACTATGGCTCCAAGTTCCTCCATGTTATTAACCGACTTTACTCTACCGATACACACTAGCTAGGGCTAACAAGCGACGATACGATCCCTACGACGATGACGGCTCATCTCCACCATATTCTCCTAAGTGCCTCCAAGTCGATGGCCAACGTGCAGAAGATACACCCTTCGAAAGCGACGACGACGATCAAGGCTACACCTACTAGTACCACAGTCATGTCAACTTCCTCCACTCCACTCCACACACGCACAACCCAAGTAGTAATCGTATGGGTAGCACACGCTCGCGACGCGGACTCGCCTTCAGCTCGCCCACGCCGCTCGCGGCTTGGGGTTAGAGGTTTGGAGTAGCAGTCGAGATCGACAAGAGACACGAAGCAAAACACAGCTATAGGTCAGGTTTAGGGTTCGTCAGATTTGGGTAGGATGCACATAAAACAGACTGTCAGGCAAGAGAAAAATAAAGAGGTCATAGTCAGGGTCGGTCAAGTGTCGATGGAAGAACTCATGCATACTACGCAAAAGTCAGAGTTACGGTGAGCCAATCTAAGATGTATCATAACTCACGGTGTAAAGACCAGGGTTAGGGTGAGTCAAATTTTGAAAGGTGTGTACGTCGAAAATATCAAGAAACTCGCTAGAAAGTCTAGCTACACTTCCACGCATATGTCGACACAAAACAACAAGGTCAGGGACGGTTGGGCAAGTGGAAATACGCATACAGCTCTAGCAGTCTAGCTGACAGGAACACTTATGAAGACAAGGTCAGGGTTAGAGTGAGTCAAATGTCAACACATGCCCGACTTACGTTGCGCAGGTCAGAGTGAGGGTGAGCAAGTCTTGAACAACAGTTATATACACACTTAAAGAATAGAACAACCCCTGCCACAAGGGTCAGGGTTAAAATATCTTAAGATATTCGAAAATACATTACCGAGTGGTTATATTAGTCCATAGCGCAAGAATAGCACAAGACTAGACGCTCTAGACACCACGCACTGACATGAATAGACAGCGTCAATGGAGAGGCGATGTGCAATCTTTGCCGCCAGACTTGAAAACCGATATCAGCCCATGTCCTAAATCAGATGACAGCTCGCGGCGCATCTCACCTATGCAGCTCAATGTCTGCTACTCGTTCATGATGCAGGTTAATGGCTGCCTAAGAGCTGTCTTGCCGTGTACATGTGTGTTGGCAGCTGCTCGATATTGGATTTCTTTGAGGAGCATGCTCCATCCCGTCTGCACGTCATGTTTTCTTGGACATGCTAGACACTGATTTCTTTAAAGATGTGCTGCATGCCGTCTGCACGTCTCGTTTTCCGGGAGACGGTGTCGGTAGACTTGTTCTAGATTGTGCAGCTGCTGCAGACGTGTCGTGTTGGTGGTGTCTTGTCTTTCTTGCATCAAGTTGTGTCCTGCCCTCTAGCCTGTGGCGACTTGTTTGAACAGGTACATGTCTTTGAATCTCTTTCAGTGTGTACAGTCTCTTCTTGCCGGCGGTGTGTTGTTTGGATCTCCATGAGAATGTCCATGTCTTGTCGTGTGAATGCGTCTGCGTGCGCGCCTTGCCGTCTACAAGTCATGTTCCCATCTGCAACTCGGGTACCTAAGCTTCCATGAGACATGCACAAGGTCCGGTCCCGACCTGAGGATTTACCCTGCATCGGGATTGGTTTTGACATTTGTAGAGCCGCGAGGTGTGCTTCATACTACTTGCCAAGTTTATGTCGTGCGGAAATAGAGTTCCCGCACTCGACAGCCAATCACATGGCTCTCCATCTCACATCGCATATCTTGGTCTTCCTCGTTTCAATTTTTGGGATCTGAACAAAGAGTATTCTTGTTGTATCGATTTGCACTATTTGAACACGAATTGGCAATGGATAGGCCAATACCTGCATTCTATGCTTGCTATCTACTACGTTCTACAGTCCGCCACCAGAACCTCTATGTTGGAAGCACACCACACCCTGTCCGACGTTTGAAGCAACACAATGGAATTGCCAAAGGAGGCGCCGTGAGAACATCGAAAAATACGCTGCGGCCGTGGGAGATGACTTGTCTTGTCACTGGCTTTCCCTCGAAGATTGCTGCATTGCAATTTGAGTAAGTCGATGGAACACCCCTGTCACGTTGTTTGTTCGTCAATGTGCCAGGCTAATGAATTGTCTTTGAGTACATGATTCGTATTTGCTGACCATGACTTCACAGATGGGCATGGCAAAACACACATCAGACACGACATATTGCTCCAGATGAGCGCATCACCCAGGCCAACACGAAGCAAAGATTCTCACCTAGAAGTGGCAAGGTACGCAAGCGTGCAGGACGTCCTCGTATGTCAATGCACGACAAGCTCGCCAACCTTCATATCCTGTTACGAGCAAAGAGTTTCGAACGTTGGCCGTTACAGGTCAAGTTCTTCGCCGAAGATGTGTACAAGATGTGGCACAGATGGACGGTTGATATGCCTGAAGTCATCCGTCAAGGCATTGAAGTTGAGATGGATGAGTCAGTTCTACAAAAGCCAGCTCCGGAAGAGGCCTCTTTGAACCCTATTGGCATTCATAAGATTGATCCTACCTACCAACACATGAAGACGGCACTAGAAAAGAGCCGAAAACTGTTACTAGCTCCGAGCACCAGCTGTGTCATATGTTGCTCTGCACTCGCCTCTACAAAGGAAATGGCGCTTGTTTGTTTCAATCTGGCATGCAACTCCATCTTCCACACTGGGTGTTTATCGACGCATTTCCTCAACGGCGAGTATGGCGCCCAAGACGCGATCGTCCCAACACACGGACATTGCCCGTCTTGCAAATCAAGCCTGAACTGGACCGATTTGGCGAAAGACTTGAGTTTGCGTCTCCGGGGCGAGAAAGAAATCACGGCTCTATTCAAGGAGCCAAAACGCCGTAAGAAGAGTGCAAAGAGTGCTGCCGTTTTGGACGAAGAAGCGGAGGAGCCAGATGTTCTAGTAGACGAAAGTGATGTCGAGGTAGACTTTGAGGACGTCTTGCTCCAGTCGGATTACGAGGACATTGATCAGATACAAGCTACCCCATCGGGTGGCGATGTGTGGAAGCTGGTCGACGGATTGGATGGACAGAACACACCCCTGGCCATGACTTCAACAAGTTCTTCGGCCGCCAAAGTGCGCAAAGCAGTCATTGAAGACAGTGACTGGGACGAAGCCGAGGTCATCGACTGAGTGAGGCAATTTGGATAGACCGATAACCAGAACGGATCATCTGCAGTCCCCGCGACTGTTCAGACCAGCGCCATCTACCATGGCTGAATGCGTCGCAGAGGGGCCGAGTGATTTGTTGTGCTGATGCAAGCTTCAGCATGGTTGCGAATCTCACTTTCGACCTCCTCGAGACTTTGACCAGCATTGATGGTTACAAAGTCAGAACCGTCATCCGTGGCTCGAATGTCGGCAAAAAGCTGGCGAACACGATCTTGAAGCTCCTTCTTCTCGTATCGCTCTTCTCCCCAACCACCTCGCCTTGCAGCATCTTCTGCTGAGATGTCAAGGAATAGGCACAGGTCCGGACGAGGAAGACCTTCTTCGGGATGACGGCACCACACGAGGTCAAGGCTAGGGTTGTTCTTTGCGGCAGAATAGACGCATCCAGAATAGTAATATCTGTCAACGATGACAGTGGTCCCAGCATTGATGTCTGCTTCTATCGACCCTNNCTGCTTGTTGTTAGCAAGTGGCTGACAGTCCTTTGGAAGCACGTACACCGCCTCCCATCTATTCGCAGAAAATAGCAAATGAATGACATGATCTTCTTGCTCGCTTTGACCTTGCAGATAATTGTTGATCATCTGACCAATTGGGGTTGTTCTATCTGCCAGAGCATGAGTATTTCTTCCGAATGCATTCAGTAGCTGCAACATACCAGGAAACCGACGGTGCTTTACTGGCAGGCCTCTCTCGGAAAGATATGACACCAGTCTCTCGCACTGTGTCGACTTGCCCGATCTGTCAAGGCCTTCGAACACAATCAACTTTCCACGAGCCATCATTGCAAATTTGAGAATGTCTGAGAGAGAATACCGATGGTGTAAAAATCAATTAACGCGATGGATGGAACGCGAAATGACGCGCGTGAGTGAAGCAGCCTTGGCAAAGGACTTTACGGAGAGGCTACCTATCCAGTCGGCCCAGGTGTTTCTTAATCAGAACATGACATTGGGTATCATGTCCGAGGAAACCATGTTCAGAGTCGTATCGACGAGCGGTACAGTCAGAACTGGAGTGCTCAACTTGCCCAATCGACAAGCCATCAAAACACCACATTACCTGGCTCTAGCCTCCCGAGGGGCTATACCGCACTTGACCCAGGACAATGTCAGCAAGCACACCAACATTTGTGGTGCATACATGGCAGCAGAAGACTGTACGTTTCCGACTGGGCAACAACCTCTCGCCTGAACAGCGAAGCTGACCGAATGTGCGTGCTCACCAAAAGAAATAAAAANNGTCGTAGAAAAAGGTACTCCAATTCTCAAGTACAATCCGCCGGATGGAACATCGCGACTGCGAGCATACACCGCTACCCCCGACAATCATGTCCTGGTTCTCGGAGCCCGCCGTTCACCCCCCGTGCCCTCGCCAGGAGCAAGCACCGATAGCCAGATGAGCATCATGACTGCTTTTGGCTTTACCAAACTTCAAGACACGGCTTTCCGAAACCTGACATCTTCGCTCAACCCGGACATCATTGTAGGACTGGGAGACATTCCGTATGGATACTACAAAGTCAGTTACAAGAAGATTGACAAGATTACAAATCGGACTGCCAAATGGATGCAAGCACATGTCGACGAAAGAGCGGTGGCCAAGAAAGAGCAAGGAGAACTACCACTGCTGTATGCACCTCTACTACCCATCTCTGCCGAGTCGCAGAGATACTACATTGAGCATCTCGAAGACATGGTGCAAGACATACAAGGATTGACTCTTTACAACACAATCACTCTGGGAGATCTTCCTGAACAGCTGAAAGCCCTTCCTCGACTCGGTCTGACTGAACCCAACAACCCTCGTGCAGTGTTGCAAGATGTGTCTCAAGGCATTGATATCCTGACTCTGCCTTTTCTCAGCACCATCACAGACGCAGGCGTAGCATTGGACTTTCGATTCCCGGTTTCTGGTCCCCTACCAGAGGAGCCTTTGCCGCTAGGTGTGAACATGTGGGAGACGAGGCACGCGACCGATGTATCACCACTGCGGAAGGATTGCCCTTGCTACGCTTGCACGAACCATCATCGAGCGTTCCTGCAGCATCTCTTGTCGGCCAAAGAGATGCTGGCCTGGGTGCTTTTGCAGATCCACAACCATCAGATCATGGATGAGTTCTTTGCTGGCATACGCGAGAGCATCAGTCGTGGCACTCTTGAACAAGATATTGCCGACTTTGAGCGATTCTACGAACCGGAGTTGCCAGAGTCAAATGGTCGCGGTCCTAGGTAGGCAGTTCTCTAGAGCGCATGATTCGTGACCAAAAAGACTAACAAACAGACANGACTACGAGGCTATCAGTTCAAATCGGAGGGCCCTAACGAGCGCAAGAGAAACTCGGCGCCGTTTACGGTCTACAAAGCGAATCCGGACAAGATTGTAGACAAAGGCTCAGTGCCTGTGCCTGGTCCTGATACCGTTGCCGAAGATTTGGAAAGAGTTGGGTTCGCTGAGAAGATTGAATAGTTTGCTCAAGAGCAAAGGAATCGATGGTGTAGAGCAAACAGTTCGGCATAGACCAGCTATGAGTGATCCTGGTAGCATACAAAGTCGTGCCATGCTCATAAGCAAAGCCTGGATATTACTCGTGTTGGTCAATGATGCTCACAACAAGCCCCTTCTCGCCAAATCAATCTTCCTTGCAGCTTCGCCAGTCTTGTAGCCTCCTTTTGATACGCACACCATACTGCCGTCATCCAGCTCGACCTTGTCTTCCAACTCGGGGAATGCACAGGGGCAGTGGTGTGGGAAATGCACGCAGGCCAAGGTCGAAGGACAGAGGTATTTGTCGCAGTGTACTGTTTGTATGGCGTCAGTAGGTGATTCTGTGTTCAGGGCAAGAGAGGGAGGCTGACCAGCTTCGTATTGTTGCTTGTACCACGTAGAGTCAGAGGCAGCATTCTGTGGTTGTTGGTTTTGTTGACCACCTTGGTTGAACATTTGCTCAAAGAACTGGAACTGAGCAAAGGTAGGAAGGACGAAGAGCAGGAGAGTTGTGAAGAAGAGGGATAGTGGTGTCTTCATTGTTGCGACTTTGGCTCTTGTTGCAGTGTCGATGCAGATGTGATTGCTTTTTGTGTCAACAAATTGATGTCGTATGTCTCTCGACTTTCAGGCTCCTTGATAGTGTGTTTGAACAGAATTCCTCGAGAGAACTGATACGTGAATGATCTTGTCCAAAAGCCAGCTGTATTGTCCACCCTGGCCGAGGAGCATCGCATTGTGCCAAGACCGATTCACGACTCTCCGCAAAAGCTTCAGCGCATCTCACGAATTTTTCCATCCTCCATTCACGCCGCCGACGACCCGACTACCCACGACCAATCTCTCTATTTTCCTCCCACGACTTTTGCACGCACAGTCTCGCCAACATGCATCTCATGTACACTCTCGACAGCCAGGGCAAGCGTGTCTACACCTTGAAGAAGGTCAACGGCGCCGAAGTCACAAAGTCCGCACACCCTGCTCGCTTCTCGCCCGACGACAAGTACTCGAGGTAAGAAGATTATCTTTCAGTCCGTCTGTTCGCGCGATAAGAGAAGAGAAGGAATTCAGGAGCAGCTGGAAAGAAGAGTGTGGACCGAATGAGGAAGACAATACTTTTCATGTACAAAAGATGAGCTGGGGCCGAGCGACAAGGCACACGACACTCGTCAAGCTAGAGGACAAGGATATGTGGCCAAGATGAAGATACGGGAACAGCACCGTCGTCAACAAGAACTGCACATGATTACAGTTCGCAAGATGCTGACTATCGCAAACAGACACCGCGTCACCCTCAAGAAGCGCTACGGCCTCCTCATCACTCAGCAGAGTACGTTCTCCATGGACTCCTCTCCTCTCTAGAAACACTCACCTAATACAACCGACAGAGGACCTCAAGGTTCTCGGCCAATAAACGCACCCTAGCTTTGGGACCAATCATGGACATTTGAACATTTTTTCGTACTATGGGAAAAGAATGGCGTTCTGCGGCGCAGGCTTTGTATCGGAAGGATTGTTTCTTTTGAGAAGGAACAAAAGCAGAGACGAGCACGCGACACACTCGATCTCGCGGATGAGAGTATCGACAAGAAGCACAAAGGTCTCTTGTGTAGAGCAGAGGCCCGGAATCACCAAACATTTGAAACTCCAAAGACTACCCAAGCCGTGACATTACTGCCATATATTGTGAACATGATTCCAGATACACTCTGCGATACGGTTGTAATGTCTACCATACTTCTCATCACCGACAAAAACGCCTTCAACACCTTGCCATGCAAATCAGATAAACAGATCATACCGGGCATAAAACGACTCCTCTCACACATCTAGCGCTTCCTCGAGTTGACGTTTCTACCACCACCAACCTTCATCCTGCCACCCGCTCTGCTGTTGCGATCTCCAGTCAAGATGCTAGGCAGATAATCCTCGTCCATCAGATCTCTCTCCTTTCTTCTCTTCTCCACGTCGTGATGTCTGGTGTATTCCTTCTGGTCTTCGGCGAGGATCAAATCGTTACCCCAGTGTCCTTTACCTCCGCCTTGGACCCTGCCGTTCGCGCTTCCGTGCACCGGTTTGGGAATGCTGAAGCGGTCGCCACGAGTGTTCCATTGCATGTTCTTCTTCAAGTGCAATTTGAATTCTCCGTTGGAGGTTGTGCTGCAGGCCACTCTGGTGAGGGTGGGGCTTCCGCATCTAGGGCAGAATTGCTTGCTCATTTCCTTGGTTGTGCAGAAACAGGCGTGGCAGCGCAGGATATATGTCTTGAGGTGCTTCACGCGCTGCATGGTCGGGGAGAGCAGGTTGAGGTTTATTTGCAAAAGCACGTTTTGCATGGCGAAATCCGTCGTCAGTGTTGCGACTTGCAGGACACTCTGAGCGGCTTGAGTGCTCTCGGTGCTGCCGGACGAATCCTTTTCTTGATGCTTCTTGAGGTTTGAGGGNGTGATCCAGCCACCATCCGAGTCATCGCCCGAGTCTTCGGCTTCTTCTTGGGCAGTCTCGGTGGGTTGGGGTTGCTGGGTGACGGACTCTTCGGCAGCGGCGTTCTCGACTTCCTCGATCTTTGTTTGTGCCAGATCTTCCGAGATTTGCTCAGCAATCGCCTCCTCCTGCTTGATCTCTGTATCCTCCTCTTGCTTGGTCTCGTCCTCAGGCTTGACGTCCTCCTTGACTGGAGGCTTGCCATTCATGCCCTTCTGCCCAGGGTTTCTTCTCAATCTCCAGTCGCCACCGTTGCGCTCACATTCCAACTCGTAGGCCAGTGCGACAATCTGAATATCAGGCTTGGAAAGGACATCCAGATCACCAGTCTTGCGGGCAAAGTCGGTGACAAACTTGATGCTGGCAGGATTCGGCGAACGAATGGTCAGGAAGGGCATGAGTTGCGTCTCTACGCGGGTACGGGTGGCAGCATCTCTGATTTCGGTGATGATGGCGGGGACAGTGACGATTTGCTCGGACTGGGCGAGGAGGGTCGACACGGTAGGGTGGTTGCGGATGATGGCACCAGTATCCAGGACAATGGTGTGTACCGGCTTGTGCGACTCGACGGTTGCGCTCATTTTTGCTATTTTGTTGTCTTGTTGCAGAAATTCTGGTCGCTTTTTTCTGGCCGATCTCCGCTGGAGGACCCTGCATGTGAGGCGCCAAGAGCGGACAAATCTGTGCCTGCTCCTTAGCTTGCTTGTCTACCTTGAACCTTCGTTCTTGCTTCCATATCGATCCTTGCGATTATTCTGCTCAACCAGTCTGTCCAAACATAAAGACATACTGTCCTGCCACAATCTTGGAGATTGTTAGTGCATTGGTCGGAAGCGTTGTGGTACCAACAGCAGCAACTAGATTTCATGTCCTACGCTGCCCGCATGTCAAGCACAATCTTGTAATGACTCCAAGCCAAATTCAGGAATGTGCAAGTCGAGTAACCTCAGCTCAGCTCAAAGGAAACACAAAGCAATCTGTCTCAAACGCCATAGTATCGCAGCTTACAGGTTCATTGATGAGCTTTGACACAGAGTAACATGGCTTGACCATGAGCATTCTCGACACCAACAACTGGCACATGTCTGCAGGGATGGAGCGTGGAGCGTTGGATGTGACATCTGGTCCATCCATGCACACGCGACATGTAGGCACGTCGTGTCACAGTGGGAGCGGCTGCATAGAGCCCAAAAAGACAGAGGTCAGCACCCAGGGGTCAGGGCTCACAGCGTGCCAGACATGCAATGGCATTGCTCGGGATGAGCCGGAGGCTTTTAGACTTGTCAGGAATTGTGGTGCAAGTGCAGAAAGCCAATCAATTTTTTAATATCCATGGCTCAGAGGACGGCCCACGAGCGGCCAAGACGCATGGCGGTGTGGTGTCTCGGAAGAACAAAGACAGGGGGAAACACAGAAAAACAGGATACAATGTGGGAGCTGGAAGGCAGCAGCTGGCGGCACGAGAGCGATACAGCACATGGCCAAGTCAAAGGGACGAGTTGTTAGCAGCTAGATAGCGGTCGCTGCGGGTCGACCGGCAGATGTATGGACGGGCCAAGCAAGTGCTCTGGTACGTGCTTTGTCGCTCGCTAGCGGGGCTTTTGGCTGTCAAGTGGTGAAGACTTGTGAGTTGGCAGAAGTCAGAGCAGCATCAGGTCTCGAAACCTTCCTGCGAAGCTCCCTCGAACTCGTCGAAGCTTCCCGTCTGCTACCGCCCCTCCTCCACGTTCTGTCTTTTTTGCCAAAGCGTCCTGCCTCCGACATCAACAACCAGATCAAGTTTTTGCAGCAGAATGGCCTCTGCACCCACCACTCCCGGCGGTGGCCTCGACCGCTATGTTGTCATCCACGTAGCCACGACCTGCGACGAGCACGGCGTCTACGTGACCAAGGACTCGGCAGAAGTCATCGAAGTGGGCTGGATCCTGCTCGACTCCAAGAACTGCGACGAGGTAGGAAGGAGCTGCCCTTCTCTTATCTGCGAGCCCTGCCTGACGCTCCTTCTCCCATCTAGCNTCCACCGCGAAAGCGTCCTCGTCAAGCCAGTCAACACTCCCATCACCCCACTCTGCAGTAAGACCAGCCCCCAATTCCGACCAAGTAGACAAGTCATTGACCCATTGTGCAGCCNNAGCCTTACAACCCTCACCTGGGAGCACGTCCGCAATGCAGGCTCTTTCCGCGATGCCATCAACCGCTTCGACCAGTTCGCCCAGGAGCACCTCGTCAAGAACAGCCACGAGTTTGCCTTTGTCACTCTCGACTCGTGGGACCTCCGCGTCCAGCTGCCCCGCGAGGCTCGCGACAAGGCCGTCGTCCTTCCTCCCTACCTGCAGCACTCGCGCACCTTCGACCTGCGCACCGAGTACCAGAGGTGGCAGACTCACCACCCCGAGTCGCTGCCCTTCGGCTCCAGCGCCCTGACCAACATCTGTGCCGCCCTCGAGGTCGAGCCCGTCCAGTCTTCGGCTCCCATCAAGCACAACTTGCCCTTCCACCTGCAAGCTCTGGCTCCCGCCTCGCCTCGCCGCGCCATGGAGGAGGCCGTCACCCTTGCAAGAGTCCTTCGCGGTCTGATCCGCAAGTCCCAGCCTCCCCACGAGCACCCCGACGTCCTCACCCGCCCCATGGACGCCCGCGCAGACGTCCGTGCCTTCCTCTCCGAGCGCAGCAAGGTCCTCCACATGAGCGGCCTCCCCCATGACACCACCCAATCCGAGCTCGAGAGTTGGTTCACTCAATTTGGTGGTAGACCCATCGCTTTCTGGACCCTCCGCACCCCTGACCAGCACAAGCCCACTGGCACTGGTTTCGCCATCTTCTCCTCCCACGAAGAGGTATCCTAGACATTCCCATGCCATACCCACACTCAGACTGACATCTCCTGTAGGNCTGCCGAATCTCTCTGCATGAACGGCCGTGCACTCAACGAGAAGGCCATCGAGGTCTCGCCTTCCTCCTCGCGCGTACTTGACCGCGCCGCTGACATCCTGACCGCCTTCCCTCCCAGCAAGAACCGTCCTCGCCCTGGTGACTGGACTTGCCCCTCTTGCGGCTTCTCCAACTTCCAGCGTCGTACCGCTTGCTTCCGCTGCTCATTCCCCGCCATGGCTGCAGCCCCTGACCCGATGTACGGCTACGGCTACGGCCACCCTGGCATGATGGGTCCCCCTGGACACCACATGGGTCACCACCACATGGGAGGTGGCGGCATGCGTGGCGGCGGTTCCACTCACGTTCCTTTCCGTGCCGGCGACTGGAGATGTGGTGCCGAGGGTTGCAACTACCACAACTTTGCCAAGAACGTCAGCTGTCTTCGTTGCGGTGCTTCGCGTGCAAGCGCCGCCCTGGTCGCTGACTCCAACTTCCAACAGGTCGATGGATCCCAAGGCTATGGTATGGCCCCTCCCTCTATGGCTGGTACTCCTGGCCCTGCTCCCTATGCTCCTCAGCAAGGTGGCTTCAACTCTGCTGGAAACTTCCCTGGCCAGAGCTACGGCGGCCCTCAGTCGACCTACGCCCTCCCCTCCGGTCTCGGTGCCGGTACCTCTCCCTACCCCGCTATGAGCTCTGCTTACGGTCACAACGCCGGCATGCCCTCTGGTGGATTTGATAGCCGTGCTGAGGCTGCCTTCTCTGCAGGTCAAAACAACTCCTCCTTCTCCAACGGCGGTGGCGTGTACGCTGGCGAGCAGACCACTCCTGACCCATTCACCTTCTTGAGCAGTGGCCTCAGTGGTCTCAGTGTCTCGGACGATGCTCGCCGTAATGGTGCCAACCCTTCCAAGTCTCCTGCATAGATTGATGATGAAAGCTTCCTGGATGACAAAGGGAGGCCTCATCACCAGCAAAAACTTTACGGGAGATAAAACAACCACACATTGTATTGAAAAACCGGACCGTGTACACCAAATCAATTCGGAAAGGGCAGGGTTAAATATGGGTTCTGCTTTTTTTTGGTCAGAAAGTTGCAATGTCAGTCAGCGTCGGCGCCTGGTGGGGGTGATCGGAAAGGTTTTTGATTTTTTTATACAGATTGTGGGTGTGCTATTTCGTTACTGCTTCATGCCGTATGATGGCAAAGATGGTTGTTCGTGGGTGGCTTTGGTAGGGCAGGAGCATGGCAAAAAAAAAGGAGGGCTGTGGGACTGGTGGTGGTCCTGTTTCGAAACAAGCCACTATAAAAGAAAGAGCATTCAGGAGGGGAGGAAGGAGCGTTGGGCAACATATCTTATCATCATGGCATATTCTGGCAAAGAAAAGGAGGAAGGAGGAGGCGAGTAGAGGAGTTCTTTTCTTTCCCGCATGTTTTGTCGTTTACTCATTGTTCTCTCATCGATCTTTTTGACATTTTTGAATCATCTTCATTGTTGTTTGCTTCGCTTTTCTGTGTAGTTTGCATTCGTCCCTGCTGTGATTCTGTCTAGTCAGTCAGCTACATGGAAACAGAAAAAATCATAAAACTTTCGTAGAAAATCAAGATGCAATGTCCACCACGCTAGAGGATCTTCTCCTTGCCGTCAAGGCCAAAGTGCGACAAGTAGTAAGAAGTAGGCATACCGGCCGATAAAACAATCATGGTGAGAGTCTATACAAATTACGTAGTGGATAGCCTAACCAATCATGATAACATCATAGTCGTCTGTTTGTTTCTCTTTGCCTTTCTTGTGCACACCCTCCCACCATGTCCTGACCATCACAACATTCTCCCTCTCCTCTTCTCCGATTTCGACTGGCGGGCCAGTAACCTCTTCTCGCACGCCGTCATCACCAATTCTCTGACTCGTGCCCTTTCTAGCCCATACAGGTCTATCATCTTCCTCTTCTTGATCTTCGTAATCCAGAGTGGACACAGGGGACGCACCGTAACGCCATACACACCATCCACTAGCCGCAGTGGACAAGAGATAGTTCTTGTGGTTGCGAGATCTCACTACGAAACCCCGGAGCAAGACAACATCTCCTGGTAAAGCTTTTGGTAGACTTNNTTGTTTAAAGGGACGAAAGACCTCGACTCTGACGTCTTTTACGCTTTCGCCCTCGGAGGTCTCCTGTGAGGCGGTGTTGTACTCGTGAAGTGGTTGGTCAACGACTTTGAATGTCGTGTAGTAATCTTTAGGACCCGACTTGGCCCGTTCCGCTGTGCTGGTGGCGGCTGTGCAGACAGCAACAATATCAATAAGAGAAGATTGCTGGTTGAGATGCTGATGGAGTCCCGCTAGAGGAGTAAAGTACGACAGGGACGTCGATGTACCTTGGGATGCGTAGCGTTGTAGTGGAGGGGGCGAGATCGACTTTTGCCTGTCGCGAGAGGACACAGCTGCAGCCTTTGTTGGTGTGTCTTGCACAAATGAAGTGCCAGAGGTCGTGGCTTTGTGCTCGGTGGCTGCTTTCTGGATCTCAGTGGTGCGTCGAGGCGTGAACCAGGTGCCGATGACGGGCACTTCGCTCATCTTGGAGCTTAGTGCGTCACGCCAGGATTGGGATGGTGCGGATTGAGGCTCCTGAGGCGCAGTCGTTCGGTCCTTGACAGGTGTTCCGAAAAGTGATGCTTCGACCTCTGCAAATGGCTTGAGTGTTGGCTTGATCTGGAAGTCACTGGAGGCTTGTTCTAGTTTTTCGACTACGGTGGAAGGCTCTGGGTCAAGGACTCCCGTAGCGGACGTGGTTTCAGTAACCTCTTGCGGTCCTTGTGCAGTTTGCGGCTGACCTTCAGAAGTTTCAGAAGACGTCAACATCAGACCAGCGTCGGTCTCATTCTGGGGTTGGTTGTCGTTGTCAGTCGTGCCTACCGTCACTTTCTCGATCGTCTCAGACGGCTTCGGTCCTTGAGAAGACACATCTCGCATCACTTCATCTTGCACAACCTGTTGTTCGCTGTCTAGGGCTTGTTGCTTCATTTTTTCAGCCTGCTGTTCATCACCCTCAATCGACAACCGCGGCCCAGCTGACTTTCGACCTCTGAACAACGTCAATGGTCTTGCCGGCTTCTTCGTACTTGTGGGAGTTGAAGGCGCTGTTTGTAGGTTTGAAGGTGTTGGGACTACCTCGGGCTCAGGAGCAACCTGTACATAGTCTGCGAGCAATTCGTCGTCGAGACCAACTTGCGATCTCATCTCCTCCGCAGCGCCTCTGTCATCAGGGGGTGGTGTCTCTTCTATGGCGGCAAGCTGCGACTGCATAGCTGAAGGACCAGATGCCTGCTTCTGGAACTGAGAGAGAGCAGTGCCCAGCTCTTGTGATGGCAGTACCATCGTCTCTCCTCGGACACCCTGTGATGACAAAGTTTGGGTCGCTGGTTCTGGGCTTGCATTCATATCAGAAGAATCGATGTTCTCTGTTTCCAGGTCAGTCACTTCCTCGTCAGCACTGTCTGGGATGGTTTCGCTCCGGGTATGCGCGCGTGACGATCGTGATTGGGAGAATTGGGAGAGACGAGATGTCCAAGACGGCTCGACCTGAGAGAGATCAAGCTCCTCGATGGACTGATCGGACGCTTGAGAAGCGATTGGTGAACGATCCTGAGCTGCAGAACGAGCAGCAGACTCCAGTGCCTGGGCTTGAACAACATCTGGAGTTGGGCTGAGAGTCTTGAAGCTGGAGCTCGACAACGGACGCTGCTCATGTTTAACATCCAGTGCGCTTTCTGGGCCAGATGCTGGGGATGCTTCTTTTTGCATGGTTTCTATTCTGGGCTGTTCCACGATTTCAGGACCCATTTCGACGCTCTGTTGAACCTCAAATTTGAGAGGAGCTTCATTGACCTGAGCGGTGGCTTCGTCATCGGTACGAGTGACCAAAGGTTCGTCTTCCATGGACTCATCCACTACAGCTGTAATCTCTTCTTCAACGCTCCGTCGGCCATTCTCTTCATCGTCAGCGACTGAAAAGGCGTCGGGCTCGGGGGCTTCGAACATGGCCTCGTCGGTCTGTAATGGCCTAGGATGACTGTTCGATTGAAGACCATCATGTCCCGTTGCAAGCAGTGCAGGATCGATCTCATGTTCTTCTTCAAGTAGCGCAGGATCAATCTCGTACTCTTGTGATTGCGAGGAGTCGACATTGTCCCCCTCATCGAGCAAGGCGGGATCAATTTCGTGATCTTCTTCTAGCAGCATAGGATCGATNTCCATGCTCGTCAGTGGATCTGAGAGAGGCGGCCTCGACATCCATTACCTCGGATCCGTCACCACCACTTTCGTCTTTGACAGTTCCGGGTTGAGACTCGANGTTCTTCCTCCACCGAGAAAGGCCGAGAAGAGTTCATGTCCTCTACAGACGCTGGCTCCTTTAGATCTGGACCTGCTTGAGCANGTTGTATCAGTCTCCACGTCGGCCGTCGATGCTGCTTGGCTTTCACGCTCTGCTTGTGGTTGTCCAGACTGCTCAGTCATATTTTCAGTCAGGTCTGTTCCAGCGGATCTGCCTTCCTGCTCTCCATCGTCGATAGGATTGGGTGAGACAAGACCGGCCTGCATCTCGACAACTCGAGGTCCAGGCCTCTGTTGACCATCTTTGTTCTGGACAGATGCATCTAGGTCCACTCCCTGTACATCTCGGACTTCTACTTTGGGCAGGACTGGTACACTCTGTTGATGAACTTGTTGTTGTGTCGTCTCCGTAGGCATATGATGGTAGTTCTCTCTGAACTGCGTCAAAAATTCGGTAAAACCCTCGAAACAGTAATCTCGCTTCTCTTCGAGCTCTTCGAGATAGGCAAGCAATTCAGATGGTTGACCTGATTGGTGTTTCTCCACGTGTGAAAGCTGGTTATAGACTTTCCAACAGACACTGACAAATACTTCGTCCTCCTTCAGGCGATATTTGACACCCTCTGCAAACATGTTACCACTGTCAGCGGCGACTACCACGTTAACTCCGATCTTGCAGATGGTCTTCAAGGCATTGAACTTGGTCCTTGTGGTACTCGGACTGTTGGCCTGCTCTGATATCTTCTTGACCTCTGAGCGGATCTGGGCAGTGACTGGTCCGCTGAGCTCGAGGTGCGCATTCTTCTGCTTGTTATCAAGCAAACTGTTGACAAGGCCGATCGAAGGCAGGAAATCAATTGTCTCCTGAGGAACAGAAGCAGCGGTCGTGTCGTCTTCTCCGTCTGATTCCGAATCGTCTAACAACTCGACGACGTCAAGCCTAGATGAAGACGGTGGCGGAACATGTGGAGATGGAACTGTTTGAGCTGCTTGGTTGATGAAAGGAGGTTGAGGTTGTTGAGCTTGCTGACCAAGTGTCTCGACAGCAGCATCTCTGTCACGCCAGGCGATGGTCTCATCTCCCGCCGAAGAGCCAGTCTCTGACGCTGCTTGAGAAGGCAATGCCGTCCTCGTTTCTGTCAGTGTTTGAGCTCCATCTAGGCCAAATGGATGGCTGTACATGGCATTCTCAGGCATGGAAGGTTGATAAGTGTGATCCATCATCTCAACTTCGGACTCTTCCCTGGATTCATCATCAGTATCAGGCATTATAGCTTGATCAAAATATCCCGAGCCATCAGAATCATCATCAGCGCTGTCGTCGTCGCTTCTAGCCAGCACATCTTCATCAAGCTCAGAGTTGTCATCGTGCATCACAGCATCGTCTGCCTCATCTCCTTGAAGGTCATCAGCAATCTCTATGAGACCGCCATCTCTAGCGGTAAGGTCTTCTCTTGACTGTTGAAGAGCAGCCTCTTCTTGCTCCAATTTCCGTTCCAGGTAGTCCCAATCCGGTTCTTCAACGGCACCTTCATCATCACTCTGCTCTTGCAGAGCTAAGATCTGTTCGGAGTTGTATACAGAGGACGCATCATCCGATTCTGAATCTTCACTAAACGACCCCATGTCTTCATCAGATTCGTCGTCAGCAGAGCTCTCGTCATCGAATCTGTCACGTCTCGAGCGCAGTCCGAATTGGACATCTGCCACGATTGGCGAAGAAACAGCCACTGATGGTCGTTCGGAAGGTCGGGTTTCGTCGTCTTCCTCCTCCTCGTCCTCACTACCAGAAGACAGCACAACAGGGTTTTCTTCAGCGTAGCCGTCATAGGTGTCTGCAACAATTCGAGACGTTTGTGTTCCTGGTTTTACCCGCGGGTCTGAGTTTTTCTGCAAGGGTTCCGATTTCGCCTGGACTATGTTGGAAGATGGCGCAGGCTCTTGTGTCTCCGCCATAATACTTGCTGGTGTGTTCTGTACTTGGAGATTGGAGGCAGGTAAAGATTTCTCCGCATAATCAACAGTGTTTCCTGTGTTTGTCAGGCGCCCAAGGGCTGTCTCAGTGGCCTCTAGAGTTCCTGCTACAGTCGGGACAACTGGCGAAGGCATCTTCTGGGCACTTGTCGGGAAAGGCGATGGTAAAGGCAGGCCCTCAGTGAGCAGTGGCTGCAAAATTGGCGTTGTCGGCCTATTGATAGCTTGGGCACGCGCCATCTGTTCTAGAAGTTCGCTTTCGGTTGGCAGTATAGTCAGACGCGGCAGATCAGAAGGTTGCATGGTTGGAGAGGTCGAAACCTGAACTTGGGATGTCACGGAACTTTCAGGAACTTGTGATGCCCCTTCCAGAATAGTCTCTCCCGATCTCGAAGCTTCTGCAGGTTGTTGAACCACCGCTTCGGCCACTCTCTCTTCTGCATTTTGCACGCCGAGATCTTCTGCTGCAGATCTCAAGGGAACCTCGGCCTCAGTCTGCGGTAGCTGTTCCTTAGCAAGTGTTACTGGAGGATCAGTCTCCTGAGCAGACTGTGCTGCGATTGCCTGAATCTTCTGAGCTTCTGAGGTAGGCTGCTCAAGTTGTTGTTCCCCATTCTCTCTAGACTCAGCCGCCTCGTGCATATCCAAGTCCTGACTTTCTTCGGTCACGTTGACGGTGTCTACAGTGGCTTCTCCTGGCACTGCACTTTCAATGGTCATGTTCTCATCTGCATCTGCATCATCCAAGACATCATCTTGCTCTTTCTCGGGAGAGGGTTCTCTGGCGTCAAACTTCCATTCAGAAACATTCTTGTATGAAACCCTCCGTCTCTTGCGCGATGCGACAGTATCCTGGTCGTCATGTTCTGATACGGGTACGGGAGAGTATGGTGTGCCTCCCTCAGACAATCGAAGACGCTTCATGAAAGCTGGAGAAGAATAGACGGCGACTCCATAAGCATCAAAGGAAGTACGAGGTTTGGATCGGGCGACAGGCGTGCTTGGTGGCAGCATACTAGGCTTCGGTGACGTGGGTTGGGTGGATTCATCCACATTGATTGTTCTCGACTCGGCCTCTCCTCGCATGATGGTCATGGTCAGACGGTTCTTGAATATGAGCTCGCCATCGACGCTCCTACCAGGCGTCTTGACCAGAGCTGTATCGGACTCGGTCAACCATTGCGCACCTACAAGCGCGACTTGCACGCTATCACCGATACCAATGCCTGATGCAGCTATCTGGCGCGCACTTGGTCCAGTAAACCGTACGCGTACTTGGCCTTTTTGGTATCGCTGTCGCGCGTCCGGGTCGGCCAAGAGAAGAGCGCATTGTCCGGTTGCTGAAGAAAAGGGCCATAGTAGTGTGACCTGTGCCTTGAACCCACACTCGGTAGGCAATGCCGAAGAAGGCGATAAGGATGATATAGGCACTATCTCCATTCTGTCTGGAAGTCACGACATTTCTCGATCAGGAAAAATGGCACAATCGATGGTGGAGCATGGCGACAAAAGCTTCGTGAACAGCCGCCATGTCTGGGAAATCGAAGCTCTTTGCGGGGAATCCTCTTCGGCAATGACGTTCCGACCTCGAAGAGCACGTGAAATGCTAACAAAGAGCATTTGTCTTGAACCATGCGATTGCTTTAAGTTATTGTACAATAGAATTGCTGGTAGTAGCTACAGTAGCTTGCAGTAAAGCCAACATGCGTGACTGATGATAACCTCTCCTCCACTTTGCTGAGATCGCAGACGTACACCATCTGTTTTTAAACACGCACATGTTTCCAGTCGCTTAGACATTGCATCCAAAAGGAGTAGCCGAATAGACTTGGAGAACGCTGGTACGGTTGAAGTAGCCGTCGACACTGCGAATCCTCAGGACGCTGTCCTTTGCAGGAGGGCCTTGGGCCCAGGCATTACCGTTCGACCAGTTGTTCCACAGCCAGAATCCTGGACTTGTTGGCACNTACCATCTTATTAGTTACAGAAAACGATTGATATGGAACAGAAGGTGGTTACCATTGTCGATAATAGTCTGCACAAGCCTTCCGTCGATGAAGAATTGGGCCTTGCCAGGAAGCCAATCAACACGATACTCGTGGTAGGCAGAGGTTGCATCACTGGGTGCTGAAACTTGGTAGGATGACGGAGGACTGTCAGGAGAGACCTGCTCAGTCGTCAAGTGAACAACTCCAGTGTTGGAGGTCAAAAATGCAAAATCGATCTCCTGAGTATCGTTGGAGTAGAAGGAGAAGCCGTGCGTGGTACCGGGTACATTCGAGATCTTGGCTACTGTGCGGACAGAACCGTAAAGTATGTCATCGTAAGCAGTAGTAATTTGCGCGGAAGAAATGGGGCCTTTTGTTTGGCGTCCAGGGACAGTCAGGGTGATGGAAGGATCAAGTATTGAGACCCCGATATTGACCAGATCGAAGCGTCGAGGAAGAGGCGAGTTGCCGGCACTGACTGTGTAGAGAGAAGATACGAGGTCTTCGACGAGACCGACACCTTGGGCAACAAGCGTAAAAGGGTTGTCCCAGGCGTAATTCATCCTCGTGGTGAAAAGACCAACGTTAGGGACTTTATAGTAGCATCCGCCGTTGGTCAGAGATCCAGCAGTCGAAGAAGTGTAGCGCTTCTCAAGTGACTGGTCGGCATGGGAGACTGTTACCACAGCACTGATAAGGGTAATCGCGATTGCTTTGAGAGCAACCATATTGAATGATTGGTGGTTTTTGGAAAGGACTGTTTGAAGTTGAGAGATATAAGTGTGTCGAAGCCAGATTGCATATACAAGACCAGAACGAATGTGCAGGTTACGACTTGTCTTCTGCGTCGGATCTCTGTGTGTTATATCCTCAGTGGTGAAATCTCCGGCTTGACGCAACCAATAGGTCAATACTGTGAAGACTCGCTTCTCTAGTTGAGCGACCGTCAACGTCGAAGCCATAACGGCGTGCCTGATGGAGCAGCAACACGAGTCATGAATCATGGCCGAATTGAGGCAAGGTCTAAAGACAACACACTCGAAGACAAGCAAAGTCGGATTAACATGCACGCGATGTCGAGTACGTTGGCCTGTATCTCGTTCGAGATTGCATGCACCAAGGCACACTTAAAACCCTACGATCTGATCCAGTCAAGTGCCGACTCTATCGGGCACATGAGGCGACGTTAGCAACGTTGAATGCTTGGTATGATGGCTTCTCATGGTATTTGTTACCAGCTTCAACTAGCGAGCAGAACGAGTCAGGTACGATGCCGTCGGCGCGGCAGGTCTGTGGTACTGGAGGTTGTCGGTTGCTCGATGTTTTAGCCCTGGAGATATAATGAATCGATGACAGAAGAATTGGAAGATATCCATAGATGTCGTTGTGGCCATACAATGGCAGTAACATCAGCTCTGGTTTCAACTTCCAGCTCCAAAGTATACTCGTTGTCGAATGTCCATCGTGTCAACTTGAAGTTCAATCGGCTGGAAACGGCCACTCTAGAGCGCCGAAAATCATTCTTGATTGTATGGCAGAGAACGACAGCTAGTCTAGCCCACAGAGAGCGCTTTGAGACAGAGGTGAGTGAAGACGATGAGGTTGTTGATAATCAAAGCTACTCTCGGCCGGGTCCGTTGCCAAGCCATACCAAGCGCGCCTCGAGAAAAGCCATCCTTCGAGTTGAACAGCTGCCTGGTCCAAAACAGTTCTTTTACGATGGGGTCTCACCCTTGGAGACACCACGGAAGGCTGGGTGGGCACGGTTGTCTACAAAAATTTGTGTCGGTATCATCGTAGAGCGCAAGAACAAGTGTGACGGTTAGGTAGAGAGGGATGTAGACCAGGATCACGCTGAGAGTGCTGTTTGCTATTGTCGTGATGCTACAACGGATAGCTACCACTTCTTAGCAGCCCCAGGGAACAGTTGACATAGGGATACTTACAGGGTATTTTCACGTCCGATGGATAGCGCGCACATCCATGCGTCTGCATATTCAAGGATTACAGCGAATGGCGAGTGTTACCAAGGTCGAAATAGGCAGTCTGCAAGCCACACGCTATCCATCGGCTGCAGAGACACCCTGTATAGCAGCATAGCACAGGGGATAGCTGTTTCACGATCGCTGACTTATGATTGATCTAAACAGCCTGCTTGTCCCGAGCATGTCAGCATTCGACAGTAAACCTCAACTGTGTCCAAAGTGTCGAGGCAGACGTATGTCAGTGTGACTGACAGACTACTCAACTCCAGTTTGGATGCATCTTCGATTCGCTACAACTAACAAACACGCAGACACACAGGTTAGCGCGCTTTTCATCGGATATGATGAACGCTCTTGTATACCCACACATATGTATGGTTGGGACATACGTGACGCGGCACCGAATCTGCAATCCCACAAGCCACCTGTATGGTACGGGACTTACATCGCAATGGTGCCATACCCAATACACTGGTTGATTTCTCAACAAGCCAGCGACAAACTGCTTTCGTCATGGCATACTTCGCTGTGACGAACGATTACAGCAATTCATCTCGAACACCTTAGAAGTGGGTTCTGTGTCGCCGGTCCACGGACGGATGCAGTTTTTGGGTCATTCGACACGACTTGGAACCCTCAGTAGGCGAACGAGGGTGGCACAGCAAAACATGCGTGAAGCCGGCCGTGTTACATGTAGACCGACTGACGAATGTAGATATCCCAACATCCCCGTAGGTGGATGGTTCGACAGAGCGTCAATATATCATGATACGGTCGGATATTCCGCGAGATTGCATAGGCGCAACAGTTGCGGGGGGAGTCGGCGAGTTGCCAGCATCTGATGTTCACATGCTTGCTGGGAACTGCTGATGGCAGCAACGGTGCCGAAACCAGATAGGCGATTTGATCTGGCGTCAGAAGAGGCATGGAAGGCGAATCAGGTGTCGCCATCAGAAGCTTCGCCCTACTGCTATCTCGAAGGAATGAAGAAGGCAAGTCCGCAAACGGGAATGCAGAAGGAAAAGGCGCGCACGCATGCGGAGTGCAGGAGCAGTACCTGGCATTTACGAGGCGGCGGGGGATAGCTGTCAGACATGCCACGACAGGCTGCAGCGTCCAGGATCGAATTGGTTGGTGGTAGCGGGGGGGATGTCGAGACGGTGGTTGGTGGTTGGGTGGTGGTGCGAAGTTGTTGAATGACATGTGAAATTCACATGCCGCCAAGCGATGCAGCCGCAGCGAAATCCAGGGAATGGGGAGAGCAACATGACATCGTTGGTTGTGAGGCAGGAGCACTGCAGCTGTAGCTATAGGTAGCTCGAGATAGCACCACCAAAATGCCTGTTCCTCTTGCTCATTTCACTCTGGCCCTTCACTCGGTTCTTGACCCCTCTTGACCTTCGTTCGCATCCTGCCAGCTCGCCAGAACCTAGCCATCGACCCTCTACAATTCTACAAGACAGCATCCTCAGAGTAAGTCTCTCACTTTGCTCATTGTCACTCGGTCCAAAGCCAATCCACATGCTTCCTTCTGGCCGGACCAACTCTCCTCCATTCCATAGCAACTCTTCAACTGACCATCTTCCACCAGCAGCAATCCAATGCCTCACGCAGAAAGCGACATGTCCAGCCCCGTCACTAACGGTGACAAGCCTCACTCACAGTTCTTCTCGGTATGTCTAGTGTGAATGTTCGTCTCTGCTGCTCCCACTGACCAATCCTAGCACCTGAAGTCCTATCCTGTCGTCAACGATGGCGTCGAGACATTCATGAACAACCCCTACGGAGCCAAGTCGCTCGACATTGCCGACGCTGCATACACCAAGCTCGGAAAGCCAGTCATGCCTTACCTCAGAACTCCGTACTCATATGCCGCACCCTACGTGGCCAAGGCCGACAGTCTGGCCGACAAGGGACTGGAACAGGTCGACACCCGCTTCCCCATCGTCAGAGAAGACACCGTCACCATTAAGGACACGGTGGTGAACTATGCTTTCCTCCCCTTCAGAGTCGCTGGTGAGGGACGCACATACGTCATGAACACTTGGGAGGACCAGTACAACAAGACTGCAGCTCGCAACAACCGTGGCAACAGCCTGAGCACCAGCTTCCTGGCCATCATCTCTACCCAACTCAAAATCGCCGCCGACAGTGTCAACCTTGTTGCCGATTGGTTCGGCCCCAAGACTGAGGAGGCCAAGCAGAGAAGCGACTCGCTGTTCAACAGTCTGTACAACAAGGCCGCATCTTACGGAGAGCAGGCCAAGAAGAAGGCTAGCGACGCCAACGACAAGGCTGGAACTTACGCCGAAAAGGCCCAGGAAAAGTCAGAATACTGATCACGTCCACACACCACACAAAGCTCTGTTTCTGATATCCCTCTTCAGTCTTCCCGAACCTCACCACGAATACCCCTGGACCTATGACGGAGTTCAGAACGACAACGAGATGTCTACGATTTGATGCCGTTCACCAAGAAGCCATGATCCACTCTTTTACATTCCTTTTCGCAATTGCTCCGCCCATCGTGTATGTACTGTATCGTCCATAGAAGCTTCAAGCTCAGACATTGAATGCTTGATCGAATACATGATTCTTCTGCAATGACTTTGTTCAATGCTCCTGCTCGAAAACGTCATGTTGTGCTTGATTCCTGCCTTCTGAGCTTGGATGGTTTGACTATAGTTTACAGATCGCGAGTTTTTTCGATCAGTCTCGAGCACAGTGAATAGACACCAATCACAGCCACTTTCACGCTTGTACTGTGTAATGCATTGTGTGAATATTGTGCAGAGACATTTGACTGCTGCATTTTCCAACGTGGATCGGGCAGCTTCAACAGTGATTTGGGAGGATATCCCTATATTTGATGTACCAAGGACATTGGTGTGAAACTAATCGGTAAATGAGTGATGAATGCATGTTTCAACACCATACTCAAGACGAGGAGATGTCTAGTATGGTGGCATCAAGTAATGTCGATTGTAAAAGTGAAGTTGCCAACCCATGACAGGGTGTTTCTGCAGACAAGACTCAAGACAGGGTCACCACTGATGTCATGGGATATATCGAATATTCTGAGGCATTTGGATATCCGAAGAGAAGACGCTACCTGGAGGCAGTAGAAGAGAGAGTCTATCAGGTGATTGACGATGGCATGAGGAATGAATGAAGCGCAAGCGGAAAGATGTCAGTGATTGAGAACATGTGGGACGGGCCGAGACGGCCGGCTTTGATGATTGCTGGAAATTGACATGAATGGGCTCGTCGATTGCAGAATACCTAGGCACCATTGAACAAAGATGCCGTGATGGCGAGGAACGCAATCCAACCGAGTTTTGACTTCTTTACGGGAGAAGAGCGCTCGCCGGCGCGACAGCCTTTGCGCGAAACGTTCCGTCAATCCACAGCGACAGTCGCGCGCTCTGGTGAGTGTTGCGAAGCGACAACACGCAGCTACGAGACTGATCATGCAGCGCAGNACATTGCCAATGAATCGCTTCGCGCCCAGCTGAACACGCTGCAATACGAACTCGACTCGTTGAAACAGGAAAAGGAGCTCACCGCCCTCCAGCAAGCGAGTGAGATCCGCGATGCCGAGCAGCGCGCAGAGCGAGACTTCAAGCGAGCTCAGGCTGCAGAGACGGCTCAACAACAGAGCGCCAAAAGGCTGGATCAACTGACGCGCGAGACGAGCGACATTGAAAATCGACATACCAACGACAAGATCCAGCTGGAACGCAAGATCCGGACCCTACAAGATGACAACCAGAGCCTGAGAGAAGACCTTGAGGATGCCGAGTCGCGCCTCTCTTCATCAGAAAGGGAACACAAGCATGGCCTCAACGACCTTGAAGCAAGACATTCAGCCCTGCAGGCTTCATACGAAGAAGCCCAAAGAGACCTAGAGTCAAAAGTCTCGACTCTGCAGTCTACGCAACAGCGTTTGTCGCAACGTGAATCCGAGAACGGCAACCTTGAAAATGAGATCCTCCGCCTCAAGGCCCAGACTGGCGACTCGGATACTCTGGGCATCATCAAGCGCGAGCTGTCCGAGCAAGTCGCTCACATCAAGAGACTTGAATCCACCAACCGCGACCAATCTTCTGAGCTCAAGCAATTGCGCAAAACCTACAAAAGCGTCGAAATCGTGCAAGAAGAAAAGCGCGCCCTGGAACAGAAACTTCGCGCCATGGAAGATTTGCGCAAAGAACTGGCAGAGGCACAGTTGCAGCAACAGATTCTCGAGGACGAGAAGCGTAGCTGGACGAGTTACTTGGAGAGCGAGGCTGCTGGAAGGGAAGAGCTGGCCTTTGACTCACCAGAGGATATGGCCAAGGCATTCGTCAATGAGCGCATGGAAAGGATCATTTTGATCGAAAAACTGGGCGCCATGCAACCCGAACTCACTGTGCGTGATGCTAACATCAAGACGCTTGAAGACGAAAAGGTTCAACTTCGCGCCGAGATTGAGAAGCTGAAAGAAGCTGGCAACACGTCCACCACTGCGGTGCCTGTAGATGCAAAAGCTCGTGCACGCCTAGAACGCCAAAAGAACCTGGCAATCAAGGAGGTCGAATACCTCCGAGCACAGATGAAGGCATTCGAAGCCGAAGAGAACGAATTCTCACCAGAAACATCGAACCAGGAGGAGAACAAGCGTACACAAGAGCTCGAGACACTGATTGATCAGTACCGCTCTGAAGTAGAGACGTTGTCTGCAGAGATGAAGCAATTAGAAAGCAGCACCNCGGCTGCGCCGACACAGAGTCTAAAGCGTCCACACCCAGAAGAGTCAGACGAGCGACTAGGCGAGCTGCGCCGTAAGACACGCACACTCCAAGACGACCTCACAGCACTCCAAGCCCGCTACTCGACCATCGAGACCGAGCTGAAGGCCAAGACGAGCCAACTGAACGCTCTGCGCGAGTCTTCACGCACAAGAGTGCTCGAGCTCCGCGACAACCCAACCGCCCAAGCCGAAGCCATTAAGATGACCACTCTTCGCACCCTAAAGGAAGAAAATGCAGCACTGCTCGAACAACTCGAAGGACGACCAAACGGCGCGACAAAGGTCGTACCCATTAGCACACTCGACCACGCCCGCCTGCAGATGAGCGAACTCGAAGCCGCAATCGCTCAACGCGACAAGAAGCAGCAACGCCTAAAAACAATCTGGTCTGCCAAATTCCTCGAGTTTACAGAAGCCGTGGCAGCAACGCTTGGATGGAAAGTGGTATTCCAGCCGAATGGTCGTTTCAAGGTCACTTCCATCTTGTACCCGGCATCCATCAACAAGGACGGCGAGGAAGAGGAAAACTCTATTCTCTTCGACGGCGAAAAAGGAACCATGAAGGTGTCTGGCGGCACAGAGAGTGTATTTGCTAATGAGATCCGCCCGCTGATTGAGTTCTGGGTCGATGGGAGAAAGGAGATTCCATGTTTCCTGGCCGCGTGCACGCTTGAATTTTACGACAAGACGACGAGAGCTGCAGAGATATAAGAAAACGAAAAGCACAAGTACATTGTTATTCTACCGTCTTACACTATGACTTTCCATATTTTATTCGTCTGGTTTGATGGGCCCTGGCGTCAAGAAGACATGCTTTTCTAGAGATAGTGGCGGACTACCAAAAGCAGAAGCGTAGTCTCTTTGTTGTGACCAGCAGGCCTCGATCTTCGATACGAGCCACGGGCTCTGTCTGGTCAGATTCCCAGAGCGGAAAGGCTTCAACATTCTTCGGCTTTTCAATCATGCTTTGTGTCTGGATTCAGCCTTTGGGCTTCTCAAAGTCCTCAATGTGTCGGGGCGTCACAGTCCAAGAAGACTTTGTTCGTGGACACAACATTGGCAGGCATCCTTTGAGACGGCACAGTTGCCATCCTTCATCGTTGAATGCCTCCTTGAATACGCTTGTCTCGACCTGCATACTTTCATACCTTCTTCACTTTGCAGAAGAACCGCTAGCAAGCGCCAACCATCCTCACATACACACACCTCTTCACTATAGACTATGGACACCGAAAAAACAAAAGATTGCGACATCTGTCTCTCTAGCATACCTACCCACTCCATATTAACCTGGGACTGCGGCCAATGCAGCTGGTGCTACGAATGCATCACCTCCGGCATAACTTCTTGCCCCCAAAAGTCGGACTGGCCACAAAACTGGTGCGGACATGACGTGCCTACCCCAATTACTCTCAGGAGGATACTTCAGAAAACAAGAAGGTACATTCCTCCTCACATGTACACGAAATGGTATGAAAGATCAGAGCAATGGAGTCAAGTAAAATGTCCTTATTGCGCCCGATTTACTCATTCAGACCATTTAGAGGGCCGAGTGTTGAGCTGTCCAAGCTGCCGCAGAAGCATCTGTATCGAGTGTGAGAAGCCAGCTCATGAAGGTCAATGCCACAGGACGTCAAAGGAGGATCTCAAGGCGGTTACGAATGCACTGAGACACGAGAGCGCTGCCATGTGTCCTCGTTGCGGATACATCACTGGACGCATTGAAGAAGGCTGCGACCGTATTGTCTGTCCCAAACCTTGTACACAAGTGTTCTGTTTCAAATGCTCCCAGAATTGGAAAAATTGTCAAGGGAAGTGTAAAGGAGGCGGTACCACGGCAGTCTTGGCCAAAGAGACCGAGGCTGAGGCAGAGAGTCCAGGTATGGCCAGAGCCTACCTTAGTGGGCTCAAGGACATCATCCGAGAATGAGGACAAGGTCATCCACGACGACGAAGATGATGAAGGCGAGTTCGATATTGATGGAGAGGCAGAGTACGCATCTGGTAACGAAGATGATGAGGCAGGCGAGGAATTGGAAGAAAATCATGCAGAGTGGTGAAGTAGTCGTGAGGTAATCTTAATAGATGCACCGATTCTTCTTCAGGAGGTCTTGTTCAAGTGCTTAGCATTTCAAGAGGCAAGAATGACCAACTCAAGTGGACTGTTTTCGCACTTACTTTCATAATTAGCAAGAGTGTTCAAAAACTCGCAATGAATGCTCAAAGCTGTTTTCGTGTGAGAAGTGTTTCCAACTTTTTATATCGATGCAGTCGTGTGTATCGTGAGAGAAAAGACAAAAACACCATGCAATGCGTCCTGACCAACCATATAATATAACACCCCAAGATGTCCGTGTACCACGCTCAATGCAACATAGCAGCCTGCGAATCCATCCTCGAAATTCGATCGTCATCATCATCTATTTTAAATGTGGCCTGAATCGGTGGATCCGCCACCATTTGACCGAAACCATAATCTTCCTCTTCGGCGCCAGTCTCTGTCGCAATGGTGGGCAACACACCTATAAGCAGGCTGGGTTTGCGTTGTCGGACTGATTTGCGATGATGCTCTTGGTGATCACCTGCTTCAACCATGCCATCGCATGTAGGCAACACGCCGTGCGAAGATTTGCGTCGACTGAGAGACACGTCACCCGGATTGCTGGGGTCACTACCGGTATCCGCAAAGCCGTGCCTACGGACCGCTGGATGTGGTGGAAATTCTGGCGTTGGTGCCTCGCATGCCTGGACTTGTGCTTGCTTCAAGACCGGTCCCACGACATTCCTAGCTCGCAATTCAAACTGTGGCAACAATCCCATATGCGACCTCACTGCGCCGGTAGTGTTGTCTGACTCGTCCGAGAAACGCCTCTGGATCCAGTTTCGACTCTTGTGCACCAAGTGTCGGAAGAGTGGTTGCAAGCAGGCCAGACTAGCCGCCGATATTCCAAAGCCAAGTTCTGTAAGAGCCAGCACAATCTCGGGAGCCGAGTGGTCATAGAAGCTGATATGAGCCGTCGGATCGAGAAAAGCAGGGTCAAACCATACGCCATAAACATATGCGGTGCGGAAGCATGCAGCCACGCTGCCGGTCACACCCAATGTAAGCAGAATGCAGACCGAGAGTTTGATATGCGTTTTGAGTGATGATTTGATAAGCACAGAGACCGGTAATAACGCAAAAGCCCAGTCAGTGACAGCTCCGGTCGCTCCGTGAAGGTACAGCAGTGGAACAAATCTATTGCGCTGCACACACTTGCCGCTGATCTGTCGGTGTGCGATGTGTTTGAGAGTGCCGCATTGAAAGAGCGACAAGAAGAGGGCGATCAGAGAAAGGATTATGGAACATCCTCCTGCGACGATTATAGCACGGCGCTGCCATTTCTTCCAGACGAATTGACGATAAAAGAGCATGAGCGAGATTTTGAGGAATATGGTTGAGAGCATGAACATGACTTCGCCTAGTGTGAGGATCTACACAGTCGATTAGTAGGCGTACTTGTAGAGTAGTCGCGTGTTGGCACCTACCAGCAAGAACCTATCGGCCACGGCCAATGTGAGAACCGGATTATGATGCTCGAGCAGCGCGATACTTATCGCTAAAGAGCTCAGCAACATGTAGAAAAACNNTTTGGGCATCAGTCAGCATAAAGACAACTCTAATATTGCAACGAATGGTTCACGTACCCAAGCTGTCAGCATGCTATAATCATCAACAGCAAGTTTCCGTTTGCCAGTCCGTAATTTTGCCCAGAGGCGCAGGATTACTGCTGTTAAGGTGGTCAACACCATAAACATGATGGCGACTTTGAATATCATGCGCTGGAGAAGACCACCNCCAGGTAATGCATTTTTCGTATAAGCGTGATCTAAACGCATTCTCTTTGACTCGTCGGAGAATTGTCGAAGAGTCGACAAGGCATGATCGAGTCAAGCCCACAGAGGCAGTACAAAAGTGCGGCTCTGCTCTCGTAAATAACAGAAGAACCAAAGCAATCGAGACCGATTCGCCTGCATGCCAAGTCTCACGACATTTGACTGTCAGTCATTAGTGATGAAGCTGTGCCGTTATCAAACGTCGAATGGTGGACTCTTCAAGACTATCCAACGGTCCGGCTTCGCATGCCCCAAGTACACAAATTCTAAAGGGCCTTCGAGTGTAACGGTCAAGCTGAACAGCCACCGATCTCGCATTTCCCACCCGAAAGAAGGCTGGCGCCTATTTATTCCGGCATCCGAACAAGCCTTGTAGGGTTGTAGACCTGTAGTCAGATACGCGAGTCGAGACGGTAACCACTCCGGTCCTGTGGTAGGTCACTAGTCGACTGTTTCACTCCATATCGCGATTTCGTAGTCAGCCAGCAGTCCAGGACATTGCTGCAGGCTAGGATAGCGGAGTGGCGACTTGTTCTGCTCGCGTAAGAAGCGAAGACATATATTGCGAAAAGCGATATGTTTCTCGACCAACAGTCCAGCCATGCCACATGGGAGTGCCTATGTATACATGTACCGACCATGTCCGGAAGGTGGACGGATTCGAGTGGCGAAAGTGGAGTCTGGCCCAGCCTGATCAGTGAACGACAGCCAACCTTTGCTCTGGTTTTTCAAATGTCAGATCTATGTCTCTGATGAACCATGATGTTCTCCAGTACAAAGACCACTGAAGGCGCTTCTAAGCGGATGTGTCTTTTGCAATTGCGTGACAAGCCGATCGTATGCTAGAGTGGATAAAATAACCGAAGGCTGAAGACCAAGGCCTCGGTTTCGCTTTGAATGGCAGGCAACGACTGGATACACAGTACATGATGGCTGAGAGCTTAGTAATACATGCGACAGAAGGCGCATCTTTGTCGAAAGTACAAAGAGCTAATTACATTAGGTATAGATTCGTGAAGGTTGGCAAAAGGATGCGCAACACGTAGTTAAGAAAGATGTTCCATAAAGTGATATCAAATCAGCTTTAAGGGAGTTCTCCTGATACCAGCAGGGATGTGGCTCATGTAGCGGCTCTTTGCGTCGGGCCTCTGTAGTCGGCGGAAAGCCTCGGTGATGTGCTTGGTATTGACAGGAGTTCTTGCCTCTTCAGGTGGATCGAACAAGCCAGGTTCCCGACGGATTCTTTTTCTTCGTTGTTGATCCTCGTCGCCGCCACTTTCTCTTCGTTGTATGTCTTCGGCGTTCTTGACTCGCAAGGCTTCTTCGGTCAGAGTCTGGACGATTTCAAAGGTCAAGAAGCCCAAGATATCGACAATATCGTCATTTGGCTTGCTGTCGGTCACGACGCCGAAACCAGCCCATTCGCGGAAGCGCTTGCCTTTGCGAAAGGTGAAAGAGGCTTGTCGACATTCACTCCAGTGTAGATACTCCTCAGGGGTCATATTTTTTGTGCGATCGTCGGCATTCTTGAGACGAGTCATTGTGGCAGTCGTCATCTCTTCTTCATCTTCGTCTTCCTCATCCTCTCGCTCTGGGACTTGCTCTTGGTAGAAGCTCGAGACATCCCATGGTAGACCTACTTTTGCCTTTTTGGTCTTTGAATTCCTAGTACCGACCGAGGGGCCGGCAGTGGCCAAGGTAGGGTCGTTAGTGGGCCCGACGTCGATGTCGGCAAAGTCGTCACCACCTCCAGCACCACCGCCGCCCTTGTCGTCCGAGTCCTTTGCAGATTTGCGTACGTCTTTCCAACTAAGAAAGGTGCGTAGGCGGGAGACTTTTGCGCGGTCGTGACGGATGAGGAAGATGAGGTCGTCGGTATTGATGCTGCGGACGCCGCGACGAGCGGCCAGGGCGGTTGCGCGAGTGAGCATTTCGACGACTTGCTGCTGGACAATGGCTTCGATGAGTGTCGTCGTTTCAGGGGCGGCTTCGGCAGTCTCACCAGAGACGAACATCATCTGCTGGATCTCGGTGCGGTATTTGGCCGCTTTGTCCTTGTCGGCCATGGTGAGAGTGGAGGGGTTTAGGTTGAAGCCTGGTCAGGGTGTCGCGTGGAAGAGGGATGTGGTTGACTGAAAGGCGGATGAGATGTTGAGTGGGAGGCGATAGAGCTGTGGGTACGTAAGAATGTCAGTGTCGCATGGTGAATATGTGTGCATGGACAAGTTATTGTCGATGGACAGTTGATGGATGATGAACGAGGAGGCATGACGGACAGGGTGAGTGCGGGGAGAGGGTCTCGATCTTTTTGTCATTTCCATCTCGGTGCTTCCTCCCATCTTGGTGCTTCTTTCCTCATCCACACACACAGCAACCATGTTCTACGCAATCGGCCTGGGTCTGGCAGACGAAAAGGACGTGTCGGTCAAGGGTCTCGAGATCATCAAGCGCGCCGAGCGTGTCTACCTCGAGGCCTATACCGCCGTCCTGCTTGTCGAGAAGGAAGTCCTGGTACGCCCTCTTGCTGCCCACATGCGCAAACACGCACTAATCGCAATCGCAGTAGNNGAAGCTTACTATGGCCGCCAAGTAATCATCGCCGACCGCGAGATGGTCGAATCATCCTCAGACGAGATCCTCGAAGGCGCCGACAAGGTCGACATTGCATTTTTGGTCGTCGGCGATCCCTTCTCAGCTACCACCCACACCGACTTCATCATCCGTGCCCGCGAGAAGAACATTCCCACACGCATCCTGCCCAACGCCTCCATCCTGACTGGCGTCGGCTGCACCGGTCTCTCGCTCTACAACTTTGGTCAGACCGTCTCCATGGTCTTCTTTACAGACAACTGGAAGCCCGCAAGTTACTACGACCGCGTCAAGGAGAACGTCGCCCTGGGTCTACACACTCTGGTCTTGCTTGACATCAAGGTCAAGGAGCCCAACCTCGAATCTCTGGCCAGAGGCAGAATCGTCTACGAGCCTCCACGCTTCATGACCGTCGCCCAATGCGCCCAACAGATGATCGAGACCGAGGAAGAGAAGGGTGAGGGCATCTGCTCAAAAGACAGGCTGGCTGTTGGTGTAGCCCGCGTCGGTGCCGACGATCAAGAAATCGTCGCCGGCACTCTGGAGCAGCTGGCCGACGCTGACTTGGGCAAGCCCCTGCACAGTCTGGTTCTCATTGGAAAGCGCATGCACGACATGGAGAAGGACTACGTTCGCGGGTACGCCGTCGACAAAAAGGTCTTTGACCAAGTCTTCGCAAGGGACTACCACCAGTCATAGGCTCTCAGCCACTCTCTTGTACATGTTGAATAAACTCTTTTACAAATTAACGTTTCTCTGGACACTAATACAGTGCAAGGCTGTCCTCGTTCAACTTTCCGAATAGATCCTCCAAGTCTGCGCTGATACCCATGATTTCTTGCGCCAGTGAGCCAGTCACAAGTGCTGTCATTTACGTTAGTACAGGTTATCGGGGAACATGTCGGTCAAACTCACCATAAGCATACAACAACTCATAATCCTCCTCGGTAGCAAGAGAAGCCTTGTCACTATCCCTTCTAAACTCGAAAATCTTCGCCAACAGTCTATCTCTCGTGTGATCGATGTTGGGCAACACGTCGTTGAGCGGATACTCTAGCTTGACAGAACTAGCCAACACGGAGAACAAATGGCTGATTCTCGCCGACAGAGCAAACCTCTCAGCTCGAGTATACCTAAGCACTTCTGCCTCTCCGGGACTAGCCTTGAGATCCTTGGCTATCACCATGTTCATGGCGTGGAAATTGTCCAACATGCGCTTCGTCCTTTCCAAGATCTTGCCAAACACCTTGTCAGGGAACGGTGCTCGGAACTCAAACTCGGAAGCTGCGGCTTTGCGGAGTGCCTCCAGTTGCGCGAGGAAGGTTTGCAGTTCGGATTCTTCACGTATATCCATGTATGCTGACGCGGGCTCGCCGAGCAGAAACATAGCCAGCGGATCTCTGCGCCAGATCAGTGACATGCGTAGCCAAAGCAAGCAGATGCCGTTCTTGAGCTTGCGACGAGCCGAGATGGGCCAGATGACTCTTGTCACGACGATGCCCCACAGACAACCTGCAATGACCGCCACGAAACGATGGAGTACGATTCCCCAGATCTCGGGATTTATACCGCCTTCATCGTCGTCGTCATCATTGTCCTTGGCTGACAGCGAGTATGCGTATAGAGCGGACAGGTTATATGTAAGGAGAATGAAGCGTCCCATAGGTCCTTTTCCCTGCACCAGGATGATGTAGAAACAGCCAAGCGACATTAGCCAGCCAAAGAAACCGAGAAGCCAAGGGCTATCATCTGAAATGATCCAGGCCACGATTGCGAGTACAGCACCCATGGCTGTGCCAATGAAACGCTCGATACCTGTCGTGTTGGAGGCTCCTATCGTCATCGAGCAGACAACCATGTAGGAAACGAGGCCCCACTCTCCGCGCCAGTGTTGGTAGAATGGTCGAGACCACACCATGAACGACGGCAAAGCGAAGAGTGCTGCGCCCACACCAACCTTTATCGCGAATCGAATGTCATCTCGTCGGATGAACTTGAACATGCGATAAATTTGGTGGCTGAACGGTTCCTTGATGTTGTGTCCTGCTCTAGCAAAAGTGTCCGCTTGGAGGATGGGCTTGATGATATCAGTCGTCAATGCTTCGTCGGGTTCGTGAACCAGCGATAGACCTGCTTCCTCATTCGCGGTCTTGTCGCTCGAGTGTCTTCTCCAGAAGGCCATCCAGTTCCAGGAACGTGCCCGGTCTTCTTGTTCTACCTCTTCTTTCAATTCTTCCAAGATCTCAAGATACTTGAGTGTGTCTTCGGCAAAATCAACCATTGCTGCAGCATAGTGTCCACAGCTTGCAGCAACTTCTTCCAGATCAGCCACACGCTCCAGAGACTTGGCATTCGTGATCTCCTTGTTGCGGTACAACGTAGATAATGCTTCTTTTCTGGCATTGTTGAACAGCTCAATAGCCTGAGCAAGACTTGTTCTGAAATTGACATTGACAGCGATTGCATCGTCGGTCCCAGGTTGAAACGGCAGTTCGTCCAGAATCGACTTCAGAGTCCAGGCCAAAGACTTCATTGGCGGTCCTAATTGGGTTATGAATGTTGTAAACATATCAGAAGGCGACAAGGAAGGTCTCGGATCCCGAGTGTTGCTGGTGAAGCTTGGAGATATGGGACTGAATGGGATTGGCTCATCTGCTGGCGACTCGGGAGTCTCACTGATTGGTGTCAATGTCCCTCGAATCTCCCCAGGTTCTCCTACAAGCTGCGAGACTCCCAAGAAGGACGACGACATCGATGCCATCGCCGAGTCTGATCGATTGATGTATGGTGAAGACTTGATGAGCGTGAACTGCGTGTTTGCTGCACTATAAAGACCACCAATACTCTGAGAGAGCCCTTGCAGACATTTGACAAGTTTGACCTCGATGCGATATTCCTTTNNTTCTCTGCCGAGCATGTAATGCTCGTATTTGGCTTCGATCAGGTTCTTCTTCATCGAAGTTTCGTTAGCTTTGCAATCCTTATCGACTTGCTTGTAGGCGGCACCCTGCATTTCTGTCTCTGAACCGGTCAGGAATGCTCTTGTAATAGCAATAAGTTTGTCTCCTAGCGAATCGGTTGTCTTGACAAAGTCACGGTGCAACTCTTTCTTGGCGTAACGGGGTTTGATGAGTAGATTGACTGCCGTGGTAGCTGCCATACCGAGTAGGACCATACGCAAGACCTGGAATACCTTATCCTCGGAAAACTTGGCAGCTTGAATGGATCCTTCCTTGGTCAAAATGGTAATGATGGCCAGCGAGGCGAGACTGCACCCAACGTTGACGGTTGGGTGCCCAAGTCGTTGTTTGAGCCAACCGATGAAGCCTAGACCACCAGCGCAGAAAACCACTAGAACAATGGCATGGCCAAGAACCAAAAGATCGCGCTTGCCGAGAGCCATACTGATAGCCATACTAGTGAAAGACACGAACGCCGCGTACACAAAGGCAATCAAAGCAATGCCAACTGCTTCGATCATGCTGCCGACTGTCCTCGAAGGATGAAAGTAGACCGTAACAGTCGCGACGACGTGTTTGCCATCTTGCTTTCCGAGGAAGGTCGAGACGAAGGGAAGAAATGTAGCCAGAGATCCCAGAAGATAGGCTATAGAGCACTTGAATATACCCTGCCCGAGATTAGAAGCCCAGAAATCGACAGAATTGTCTCGCCAGCGGTAGATAGGTCTTAGAATGGCATTTGGCTCATGGGCTGGTCGTGATGGCACGTCAAGATCTGCGCCCAACAGGCCCTCACGTTCCTCTGGTGACCCGGTTTCTTCGCGAGCATCATCTCCTAACGTCGGCAACGAAAAGGCGCGTCTAACGCGCTCTCCGGTCCGTGGTAGAATCAGTGTTGCATTTCTAAGNCTTCATGGTCGTCAGTGGTAAGCACGTGGCGGCGGAAGCAGCCATGAACTCACGTTGCGAGGATTGAAATGACGGCCCAAGGACGAGGCTTGCCTAGCGCTTCCGGATTGCATTACTCACTGGAAGCAAGCAGACATATTTTTCTGTCTATTCACATATGAGTATGTTTAGATGTTTTGGAAAATATATAGGATGTCGGCGGGTTGCCTAGCGGTCGACGTCTATGATCTGCACGTATGACTGGCGAATTTGTCCTTGGCAGTAGATCGGGCCGATCTCGAAATCGATAATCTGGTTAATCGCAAAGAGCCTCATCTCTCGATGTTGACCTAAAGAGATGCAATCTCGACACCGACATTCGAGCTCGATCGTCGATTGTAACAACTAACTCAGAAGCAAGAAGTCCGCATGAATATTGTTGTATCGAGTCGGGTATCTTTACAATAGTACAGACGATACTGGTAACAACACTTTGTGTGTATTAGAAAAAGCTGCTGTTCGAAGAGAGAATAACATAAATGAACAAGAACAAGACTAAGCTTCTCGCAATGCAACATGCCTCTACCCAGGGAAATGAAACATGATTCGCTTGCAGGGGATGAACATCATAAAGTACACCAAAAGAAAACTCCTCGCCGGCCCTGAATGCCTTTGCCTCTACGCCGTAACAATGCAATGTATCAACTCATGCAAAGATTATCTTTCCGAGTTTCGCTTAATCACAGCCAACCTCATCTTCGTCAATCCAATTGATTCCGTATCTTGGGACAGACTGAGTAGAGTCTCTTGCAGAGATCTCTATTTGGCAAGCTCCCTTCGCGCCAATCTCTTAGCGGTGGCAACTTCGAGCTTGCGTCTGAACTCCATGTTCGCGATGCTCCTTGCTAGCTCTCGATCTCGACTTGACGCCTGTCCAACATCGAGACCCTATCTCGATGATTCCTGGCTTGCATTTCTCGATTGCTGACTCGGCGTCTGAGGCAACAGCTTGATCTGCTTGATGAGATAACTCTTCTCATCCGAGAACTGGTCATCCTCTGTGCGATCGGCCAAGAAGTTTGGCAAGAAATCCAACAGGCGTTGACGATTCATGGTCAATAGACGCTTGACGTCGGGTGATTTGTTGGGGTTTGCGGCAAAGATTTTGAACACGTGGAAAGCCTCATACTGCACCATTTTGCGATCGTCCTTGAGCTGCCACATTATGAGCTTGAGGTTGTCGCCAGACTCAACATAGCGGGTCATGATTTCGTAAAATTGGCGGTCCAGCAGAACTTCACCAAGCAGTTTGATGGATTGGCGCTTGGTGACATAACTCTCTGATTTTATTAGAATGTTGTTGTACTTGTCGAAGAACTGGTCGAAGTTGGTGTCAATATACTTGGCGACCATGGGCTTGTGTCTTATCAGAATTTGNCTGTCAATCATGATCAGTATCTTGCTTTAGCGTAGAATGTGGGAGCGACCCACGCGGAAAGTGTCGAAAGCATCGGTGCTGACTTCGAACAAACTCTTGTCGATCCAATCAAAGAACTTCCAAAACACACCCTGGCCCGAGGCAGGCTGATCTGTGTCGATGCTGCCAAGATCCAGAGGCTGGCCGTGTAGGCTCGGTTCGTCGTAGAGAATCAGTGCTGTGACAGCATCATGTTTCAGAGCTTCTTTCAGTATTCCTCCACAGGGCATAGCACTTTCGCGACGATCGTAGCCATTGCAAAGCGCAATGATGACTTCGGGACGGGTAGTGATGATGTATTGAAGGGCAATTGGTTGGTCTTCGCCCGGTTGCTTGTATCGCAGGACGTTGGAGATGATGGTTTGGGTATCTTTGCGCGATTCGAAGGGTAGACGGTGGATGTTCTCGGCGAGGACTCGTAGAAGATCTTCGGTAACGAGGAGGTTCACCAGCTGGAATACCTGGTCGGGGCTGACGTCGAGTTCTGTGCGCAGTCGTCAGTCGTCCTGTGTTTGTCTGTCGATTGGCTTTAGCCGCTGCATACCGGGCGTGCCTTGAAGGATGACCTTCATCTGGCCAAGATTCCGTGCCACTTCTTCCTCGATCTGACCGTCGTCAGCCCAGTCCAGTTCGCTCGGGTCGTAGTGGTCGGATACCTTTTGTGAAGGCTTGTCCTCAGCAATTAGCTTCAGTATCAAATCTTTGGTCGACCGGGTCAACTCCTGGTTGGACCTGGCCTTGCTGCGGCCAAACAAGAACGCCATGCTGCTGCTTGTCTTGTGTCTTGTGCGCTGCTCCGTCTGGGAATTCTGAGCTGTGGGCGGAGGTTGTTGCACAAGGGGGATTACAACGCCAACCGAACAAAAGAATTCTCTGGCAGGATGCTAACGTGAGGGAAGAGAAGGCAAGAAGCAAGGATAACAGAAGAATACAACAAAAGGGACCGCAAACAGGTCGTCACCGCTATGTGTGTTTACAGTGGTAGATAGACTTTCCTAAACACCGTCACTCCGAGACTTGGCGTGTCAGGCGGCCCCAACTTCTTTGAATGTTTCATGCCATGCTGCCATCATCGAGTAAAATCGCTTGCACTATCAAAATGTCCTTTCAGCCGCGCGCTTGCTTCAATATGCGCATCGTTGACAGGAGCTAATCAGGTGTTCAACAATCCATCATGTAGTGATTCCATTCATGAACGATCTCCTCTACAAAGCGAACGGACCTCGGGCTCAGAGATAACAAGAAGAAACTGGAATCAGGCTACCCATAGCTGGCACGGGTGTTGTCCTAGACTCCTGGAAACGATTATGCGCTCCCATGCTAGCTATGAAAGAGGATGAACGAAAGTCTTGCTTTCTTCTGATAATGGCTCAAACATAGAGCATGAGTATAGGCTGATGACTATGTAGATTTGGCATCCGCTCCAGATGCCGTTGCGTATCTACTACACAATATCGAAAATTCAGATGGAGCTCCGGGAGATTATGCTCGGCAATGACCGGTACTAGAAGCCAGTTACCTGGTCAAAAAAGCTTTGCTCCCGCCACTATCAAAGGTAAGTAGGAAGTTGCTAATCGGAGATGATGAGACCTACTTCGTCAGCTTTCATCCTGTCACCACTTTCGTAGACGATGAGGCTTTGCACCAGTTCTATTGCATCCAATGAAGCATTGGGTAATAGCTCTGTCCAAGCTTTGGATGGGTACTGTACAAAGGCCATCTTGCCCCAGTCTGGTAGGCTTTTGGCTTCCNNTGCAGGAGTCAGCTTGTGACTCTTTATGTTACTTCTGTGCAAACTTACAGGCCATTTCTCGAGATCCGGAGTTCCCAGCGTAGAAAAGATGCTCTTGATCAAGGCAAGATCGCTTCCAAGATCACCAGAATCGAACAAGGTTTGAGAGCCCAAGCTCACCACTTGAGCAACCACACAACCAGTTGCCCACATGTCAAGACTGGTGTTGTACCACTGATTACCAAACATGAGTTCCGGGGGCCGGTAGCTCGTCGTGCCTACGTCCATGATCTTCTCCTTCGCGGGCTCAGATGATGCATCATCAGCTGTCCATGCGATGCCAAAGTCAGAGATGTAGGCCGGTCCAGACGGACTTTTGAGCAAAATATTGGACGGCTTTATATCTCGGTGAATTATTCCGCAACTGTGTATGTGCTCAAGACCTTGCATCAATTGTGAGAGAATGATTTTCTGGTCTCTTGGTTGCAGCCTGCCCTTGCTGAGTTGATCGTCAAGGGTATATGGCATGAAGGGGAAGGCCAATACGAGTCGACTGCCAGGTTGTTGGAAACTCTCAACAAGTTCCACAACGAAGTCATGGCGAGCCTGTTCCAGTAGTCGTACCTCACGTACAGAGTCATGAGGTGGCTCTGTGGCAGATGGATTCGTGACTTTGAGAGCAACCAAACAAGGATGTCTCTCGAAGCCAATGGTTTTTGGAGTGATGCCACAATCGGCCTGAGCTATAGCTTTGTAAACCTCAGAGAATAGGCCGTCGCTGTGGTGAACTGCATTTGTATAACGACCGATTGTTACACCGCCGGCCGGCAACACGAGATCGCTTTCCACTACTTCGCTGGATTGTTCACGTGCGCTCGAGCTCAATGACAAGTCACGAACTACGGCATCAATACGAGATTGGTAATCTTGNCTAGACATGAGGGTATCAGAAATGAGAAAGCTCGGAAAGGGGAACATTGTATTATTGATTACCAGATTATCCGAACTATCAAAAGTGGTCTGCTCTAAACTCGTAGCTTGGTCCTGGGCATGACTGGGAGAGAGGTCAGTATCAGCGAGCCTGAGGGCAGCTTGANNCTGAGGCATGGTCAGCAGTCTGCATGGCGGATGCGGTGAATTACGCTTGACTTGCACTTTTGATATAGTCTCGAATCTCTCCAGGAAGGTCAAGCTGGGAGGCATGGCTGAAAGATTGCAGAAGCTGACAAAACAAGATGATGTTGGCTATTGAAAATGGCTTGTTGTGGCTGTCTCGGGTCGAGCGAAGGGGCATTGAGTGGGTCCAGATTTTGAGTTTTGCGGGGAGCCATCCATGATGTCGTCCGCTCGGTCCTGCCGGCGGCGAGTTTAGCAGCTGGCGCTCGCTCTGCCGAAGGCTTGAGACGTCCCTCTGCTCTCTTCTAGCACCTTGCAAGCAGATTTTGCTCGACTTACAGGCCACAGCTTCGGAGACTAGAAACCTCTGTGGAGGGCTAGAGATAGACGGCGTCCGAACAAAGAAGTGCATTCTTTTGCCGCCTCTCCCAGCGTCGCTTCTCTACGACGACTTGCGACACAGCCGTGTGACCGCCAAAAACCTTTACGGCACGATGCGCTTCACTCAACTCCCCTTGATCATCGCCTCGGCCGCTGTCGTCTCTATACCTACTGTCCTTGCTGCCGATGGAGGCTTGACCGGCCCTTCGTCCAAGGTCGCGGCCAACGGACTCGAAATCGTGACGGCCAACCCCAAGGCATGCAAACGACCTACCAAATCCGGCGACGAGATTAGTGTACACTACCGCGGAAAACTACAATCCGATGGCACCAAATTCGACGAGTCATACAATCGTGGAGTGCCTCTTAGCTTCAAGCTCGGTGCTGGAGAAGTGATAAAAGGATGGGACCAAGGTCTATTAGGCATGTGTGTTGGCGAACAAAGGAAGCTGGTCATCCCTCCGGAACTGGCCTATGGCCATAGCGATCTGGGAATTATTCCCCCGGATAGCACTTTGAGTATGTTTCGCCTTGCCATCATGTGATCACTGTTCACGAGCTGACACGCTTAACAGNTCTTCGATACAGAACTCATCCAGATAGCTGGTGTACCTGCCGAGATGGACGAGCCAGCCATCAGGCCCGAGGAACTTCTACCACCTCCTCCCATTCCGCAAGACGGGTTGCCTCCGCCACCGCCTCCCGGCAGCGAGAAGGGTCCCATGGTTCAAGCACAGGATGGTGAATGTAAACTGTTGGGCCCCTTTGCACTGATCGTCCAGGCCGCACTAGGCGCACTCGCTCTGCTCTCGCTTGTGTTCAAACGTTGGAGAGAACGTCCCAGACGCCCACTCAAGATCTGGTTCTTCGATGTCTCCAAACAGGTCGCCGGTACTTTTTTGCTCCATCTCGCTAATCTGGGCATGTCCATGTTCTCGTCGGGAAAATTTGACCTGGCTAGCACAAAACCCGAGGACATCTCGGCAAGCGTTTCTGCTGTCACTGCTGACGACGGCAAGATGCCAAATCCTTGTTCATTCTATCTTTTGAACCTTGCTATTGATGTTCGTAAACCTCACTCAATCTCGAGGGGTTCGTGCTGACAATCTCACAGANCCACTATTGGTATCCCCGTCCTTGTCATATTGTTACGCGTTCTACACAGTCTTTTCGCAAAAACTCCCATCGCAAATCCACCAGAGTCCATCAAGTCTGGTTACTACGGCAATCCACCGCGCGCTACCTGGTGGCTCAAGCAGTCTATCATCTACTTCATTGGACTGTTTGGCATGAAACTCTTCGTCTTCTTGCTCTTTGCAATGCTTCCATGGTTGCCATGGGTCGGCGACTGGGCGTTACGCTGGACCGAAGGCAACGAGGCTCTTCAGATCGCGTTTGTGATGTTCATCTTCCCTGTGGCTATGAACGGCATCCAATACTACATCATCGACAGCTTCATCAAAGGCAAGGAATCAGATAGGGAAGGTTTCCAAGCAGTGCCTACCGAGGACGACGACGAGCACAGCAGCAGAGACGGTGATGATGTAGAGGACGAAGATCGATCCAAGAGAAGGGACAGAGTCACCACGGCGGAGCATGTTGCTGAGGCTAACCCCACAGCAGTGCCTTCTTATGATCACGATTCGGACGCTGAAGCCTCGAGCGGAGGAAGCTCGAATCGTAGGAAGTAGCAAAACCACTGCCCCGGACGACTGTAGATAGTATGAGTCTTTATGAAGACGTTTCTCATCATGCATCAGGTTCATTTGTTGGATCTTCCAATGGGGCTCCTTGACCGTCGCCGAAGTGATTGACGTGATACACGGTGCGAAGAACGGTGTCTGTGATCTCCATCTCGACTTCGGCTCCTATGCCGCCTGTTCGAGTCTCCCTTGTCGCCACGGCTGCGCGTTTCTTCTTTCCGGTCATGTCTGGTCATGTCTTCGAGTGAGAAGCCTTCGAGACTGCCCACGCTTTGACTTCGTTCTTTGCGATCACGTTTGTGTCGACGCTCTCTCCTCCTTCGCCTGTCTTCTCTCTGAGCTTGTTCTAGCTCTCTCAATTCGCGTTCCTTCTGCATCTTCCATTTCTCCCTGTCCGTCTCAGCCTGCTTGAGCTGTGTCTGTGCATTGCGCATGAATGCCATGGGATCGTTGGAAGTCAACCTTGTTTGCTCCCTGTCCCTACGACTTGGGTCTTCATTCCCCCAGACATCCTTACTGGGTTCTCGGGTATCGGTACCTTGTTTGGAGGACGAAACATACCATGGTGCCGAGGATGTCGACTGCTTGAATCCGGCCGCATTTGAGAAGCGTATGGTGTACTGATCTTCAAACTCACGAGCCTTCTTTGCCTTGTCAGCTTCTGCTTCGGCATTGCGAGAATCAGCCAACAAAGCACGCTCGTTAGGCGCTGCGAAGAGTTGGATATGACCAGCGTGATCTGTCAATGACACATCATCTTCATGCCTGCTTTTGTCGCTGTTGCTTAGCTTTTCACGGGCAGCAGCTCCAGTAGCGGCGTCTTCTCTGGCAATCCTCATTTCTCTGTCGGTATCATCCTCGCCTCTCAAACGCCTTCGTTTGCGATCCCGACCATCATCACCGTGTCGAGGCCGGCGGGTACGATCGCTTTCTCCAGGTGGTGATGCCCTTGTTGTTGGTGGCGGCACCTCACCTCTCAGGATTGCAGTCCGACGAGCGGCATCTTCTTCCTGCATGCGTCTTTCATCCTCTTCCTCTCTGGCTTGGGCGGCGGCTTCATCTCGACGCACGCGATCGACGTTGTCTCGATTGTAAACGTTCCAAGACTTTTTGCCCAACAAGTGTAGAACCATGGCGTCGCGGCACGCAGGACCGTGAGAGTCAGACCAGGTCACACTGGTCTTCCAGCGGCCGTTGTGTCAAAAAGGAAGCACGCTGCTTTGTGGTGGCTTGACGTGTGAGGGTCAAACGGCGTGGAGCTGTGAACGACGAATCAGAGATGGGCGGGCCAGATTCCGTGGCCGAGTGGAGCACAACGGTTCGGCGCGGGCTCGAAAAGGCTGTGATGACTCGCGTCTGTGGGAGGAGCGTGAACGTATTATTGAGCCCAGCGAACTGGTGATGGACTAAAACCAAACGAGCTGCGTTGCATGAGCCGTCTGCCTCTTCTGTCGCCGTGCTACTTCGTGCGACTGTAATGTCTTTTCTCTCTCGCTCTCTGCTGTCCCTGGCCGTCTTGTGTCTTCTGCCCTCTGCTGTCCCTCCGTCTTTGTGCTGTCCGTAGAAGACTCGCGGTCCTCTCAGCTCTCAAGCCAACACCAGCGACTCGACGCGCCAATTGCCAACGGCCACAAAGAGACAGCATACGGTTACCCGCGTCGCACCTTCCTTCGAGCGGCCGCCCCAGCCATTTCTCTCGTCCAGTGTCCACAACCCAAGAACCTTCCCTGGCTCAAGCGATCCGCTTAATTGCAGGGGGCTCGGACGCTTAATCTCACATACTTTTTCCCACCTTTTCCAAGAGCAACAAGACAAGACTGACGAGGCTCGCTGTCGACATCTCTAACAAACCAACTGCTCGTGCTCTGCCCTCAACCACCCTCTTCGACGCCCGAGTCAACTTCATATATCGTCCCGCTCGGCAATCGCGTCAGCCGTGGCTAGTCACAGCTCGAGCATTACCTGACACGCCAATCGCACGTCATGCCGACATATTTGATCCATGGCTTTCGCTGGCCGCGACCACTTATCCGCATCCATATCATTCTCCAGAACCTTGATGATGCCGCTGCGGAATGGCTCATCGCGCCTGCGACGACCGAGACACTGCTCGAAAACTTTACCGAATTGTGGCCGCAGACTGTTACGAACCTGCCCAACCTTCGCTTCGTAGAACAATTCGATACCACCGATGAGTCTCCGGCTGCCTGTTCACAACCATACGCCTACGTTGCAGACATCTGCGAACAGGTCAAGTTGGGCATTGAGGTGGACGAGGTTCGGGGAAAGGTCTAGGCGATGAACAATGGAACGCCCTCATGGAGTTGAGAGACAAGCTCGCGCCGGATGAAAAGGTTGGCTGGTTCGTGGTTGTCTGTGGGGACGAAGATCGCACAGATACAGGCCTGGAAGAGGAGGAAGAGGAGGAAGCCTATGCGACAAATACGACATTGCCGGTCGGGCTACCAGTTCGGGGAGCGGCGCATACTCGACCGGTCACGTCCAAAGAAGGCGGCTATAATGGAGCTACGCCCGAGACTACCTACACCAACTACAGCGACACGACGAGTTCACGGCGTAGCAGACAAAGCAGAAATAGCAGCGAAGTATGCTTCAAGCCCAACAAGACACGGCTACCAGACAACCCACTAACAAACGTGCAGCGTACCCCTACCGTCACGACAGCACCAACAGCAAGTCCCAGTCTTGAGTCACCACGCGAGAAGAAAGGTCTACGCAAGATGTTCAGTATGGTGAGACAGAAGAGCATGTCGAGTCTGCGTAGCAAGAAGAGGTGAGAGGATATATCCCCAGAACGCGACCAAGGATACTGACTGTACTAGCTCCAAGAGCCTACGCGAAACAGCGCGTAGCGATTCGGGCTCAGCACCACCACCAGTGCCAGCAGTACCGTCCATGGCTCAATCGCCCAGACCATAACCCCTGTACAGATTCGCGACTGGTCAATCTGCACGCGAGAATCAAGACCATTGGCATCGGGGTTTTCTTTTCTTCATAGCCCTGGGAAAGGACTTGGGGCGATTGTACAAGACCTATGCATTGGACATGTCTTCTTAGCGAGCGGGACTCTTAAAAGGCGTACTTGGGCAGTGGTTCTACAGACTTACAGGCAACAGCATCTACACAGATATTAGATAATTCGAGTAGTCTCTATGAAATATGATTGATATGGGAACGTGGTGGTTGATGTGCAGACAGCTCAGAAGGGAAGGTGAAGGCGAGGGCGGTGGCCGGCGCGAACCCCGCAGACGTCAGACGATGGCTGGGGGGTTCGCGGGTTGATGCATACCAGCTCGACCATTCATTCATCACAAACAATCAACCACTCACTCGAGTTGGAGAGCCTAGTCGTCATGGCGCCAGCATCTACCTTAGTTGTATGAAACCAGCAGACTCCCGAAACCGCAAATATAACACAAGAACCGGCGACTGACACGTGCCCAAACAGAACAAGCTCAAAGTCCAGCTCAAGCTGTCAATCTCGCGCCTACGCATGGTGCAGCAAAAGGACACGGCAATCGCCAAACAGCAACGTCGCGCCATGGCCCAGCTGCTCGAGCAAGGCAAAGAGGAGTCCGCCCGCATCCGCGTCGAAAACATCATCCGCAGCGACCTGACCACCGAACTGCTCGAGATCCTCGAACTATACTGCGAACTACTACTCGCGCGTGCCGGGCTCCTGGAAGCCAAAGAGTGCGATGCAGGGCTGGAAGAGGCGGTCAGAAGTATCATCTTTGCGGCACCCAGGACCGACGTCAAAGAGTTGCACAATGTCAGGGCGCTGTTGGCTGAGAAGTTTGGCAAGGACTTTGTGCTGGACGCGACAGAGAACAAAGACGAGAAGGTTGCGAAGCGTGTCGCGGATCGCTTGAGGGTGGAGCCGCCCAAGCCCGAGTTGGTCGAGGCCTATCTGTCGACTATTGCGGATGCCTACAACGTCGATTGGCCCAGGGGTCGTCTGGCAGCCAGAGAAGCGGCTGCTAACCAAGGGGATGATGACGACGACGATGAGAACTCTAGCGGTGGACGAAAAGTGCCGGCTCTGGAAGCACCCGAAGGTACAGAACCACTGGTCGCGGCAACTCCTCCACGTAACCTGGGTCCAAAGAGTCCTGTTAGTGTTGTGCCGCCGAGTCCATCAACGGATAATGTGTCCCCGCGCATCAAGCTACCAGGGCCGCCGGATCTCAAACCTTCGGCCAAGATGGTAAAGGCAAACAAGCCCGACACGACGGGTCCTGGAGGCAAGATTCCAGATGTGAACGAATTAGCAGCGCGGTTTGCCCAGCTGAAGAGATAGCGCCCTTCATGCTTCTCAATCTAGAGTCTCGAGGGTCTGATCCGGTTGAGACATGATCCACTAATATCTTTTCTTGCCCTGTGCATGCCCAACCTCTTCTTAGAACCTGTCACTGTGAACAATTAGTGTCTAGTACATGGAAACGGGAGATGCGTATCTATTTTGCAGATCTGCCAAACCTGACTGTTATAGCGATTGTTAGTTTGTATCACGACTGAATAAACATTTTTCAGGTCAACCACGTCGTGGACCGCCGAAGTTCGCAAATATCCACTTTCTCTGGTCACAAACAGTTCACAGGTAGATACGATCAAAGACGAATGTGCTAATTCGAAAGCTTGAACTTTGTTCGAATTGAGGCGAAGATAAGGGTAAAATGTAAAGAAGATCCGACGGACACATCCAAAAAGGAGCACTCCGACTACATCATTCCTATATGCAATGTGTCATCCAGACATACATGCTCAGTCAGCATCGCTTAGATGCACTGAGAGTAGTAGTCGTTCTGGGCCTTGCAAGTCGAGCCAGACTCGCAGACTGTGGCTCCAGTGTAGCCCTTGCCGCCACACTGCTGGTACTTCTTGACAGTGCCGCTGGAGCCAGTAGCTGTGGGAGCAGCGCTGGTGGACTTGACGGAAGTGACCATGGTGGTAGGGTTGGCAGACGAAGCAGAGGTGACGGGGACCTTGGCCGAGGCGCTTGAGCTAGTCTTGGGGGCAGCAGAGGTGGCAGCGGCAGAAGTTCCGGCAGCAGAAGAGGCGGGTGCGGAGCCGGAACCGCTGGGCCAGACGGCAGGGCCAGGGGGCTGGTAGTTGACGGGGATGGGGTAGTAGATGCTCAGCTCAAGGCTGTCTTCGTGGCCAGTGTAGACACCGGGGATCTTGACGGTAGGGGTAGGCTTGGCGGTAGAGCTGCCGGAAACCTCAATTTGAGCGCAAGAGATGTAGAATTGGGCACCACCGAAGGACGAGGCGCTGTGGAGACCGATGTGCTCGATGCGGAGGAGGTACTGGCCAGCGGGGGTGTCCTTGGGTAGGTCGAAGGTGACCTTGCTGAGGTGGTCGGCCTTGAAAGTAAGACCGTTGTCACCCTCCTTGAAAGTGTTGGCACCCATGGTGTAGATCTGTCAATTGAGGGCACAGTTAGCATGGTTCTTGTATAGAGAGTGGTATGCTGTAACAACTGTTGCATTATAGAGAGCCATCCAAAGAGTTGAGGGTTACCATGGAGAATCTGCAGTAAGAGCAGCCTCCAATGGATGCCCACTCGATCCTTGAAGAGAACTCTGCAATGCAACGGAGGTTCAGAACGGACACAGGAGTTAAAACACCCCTTGAGGACTATTAACTTGTGCTTACCTTGAACCAGTCACCAGATCCGTCGTATTTGGAGGCATCGCCATCGGCCTTGGACATGTAAACGTTGAGGGGGCCAGGGTGTTGGATGGGAGTGTCGACGGCGAAACCAACAGTGTCACCAGCGGCAACCTTGTAGGTCTTGGTCTGGGCACCGGTGTCGAGACCACCAGCGTTACAGATGAGATCCTTCGAGGTGACATCGGTAACGGGCGAATTCATGTTGCTGTTCTGGCGAACATACTCGTACTCCTTGGTAACCACGTCTCCAACGATGAACTGGTTGAAGCGGTAGTGGGCCATTGCGGTTTGAGCCAGAGCGGCAGCAGCCATGATGGTAGCGAAGGAGCGCATCTTGTAATGTTTGTTGTGTACACCGCAAGGGTCTTCTTGAGGAACGAAAGGTGGTAGAACGAATGAATTTGTGGTTGGTGAGTGAAGAAGAACGGACGACCAGCGACCAGATTGGAAGAGAAAGAATGAATGAGGCTTGAATGCTTGATTGAGAGGACATGTTGGTCGAGAGAAGAGGTTTTATATACTGACCTACTCACTATACTCACTGCTGAACCCACTGCTGAAGTGGGGGCATACCCTAGGATCCTGTTTCAGATGGTTCGGTTATGCTGTAAGCGAAGCGGCAGAATGTGATCTGTTTCGTGTAAAAGCTTCAACGACAGCAGTTTACTGAGACCAGTCCGATTCCTCAATAGCTTATATACTCTAAAGAGCTTGGCGAGGCTATTCGATGTATATCCTGGAGGATTGTTGTCTTTCATGGTTGGCGCTCTATAGGCCACATGAGCAAGAATGAACGGCATTTGCGTTGATATTCAATGCCTCTAATCCTAAGGTACGGTGTATACCGGATATGCTTTTACCTTGCAAGCGAGATTAAAAGGCCATGTACATGTTGATCACACCGCGATTGAAGATGTGATACAGGACAGCGCGAAGAGAGATCTGGATGGAACTGGAGTGGAGAAAGCAGCGGCTCGTGCCAAGCCTTGGCATCTGCGGGCCGTTCCCGGAAGTGTGTTTCAGCCAGCAGGAGAACCTCTCGTTGCGCCTTGTCAACACATGGGGACCCACTGTGTTTTGTGAGGATTAAGTTCTCTCTCGCATATCGGGCGTCTACTGGGCTTACGTTTTGTTCATCGATCGTGCGCGAAAAGAATTCGAGTAGAGGACAGTGTGCTAGCGAACCGCAGACTTACCATCACCGCCAATGCTCGAGAGGATCACCTGAGGTTTCCCATGGTCAAGTTAATCTAGGCTATGCACCAAAGTCATCAACACAGTACGTGTAACTATTGCACCTCCTGAAGAGACATTCTCTGATTATCAAGAAGCCGCCACCAGTAGCTATGAATAAGAAGAAGGCGTGCACCGAATGTAGGCAGCAGAAGGTTTGACACGTCAACACCAAGCCAACATGGGCGAGTCGCTCTGAGCTTAGCATCTACCACAGGCTAAATGCGATGCATACTTGAACTCAAGCGATGCTTGTTCGCGATGTAAACGAGTCGGGTTGCAATGCACCATCTCCGATCCGTTCAAGAGAGAGAATAAACGCCAGTATGTGATCACGAGGAAGGTACCACCCTCATCGCTTATGCCTTTACAGGAGATTATCAGAGCTTGAGCAAGAGACAGACACTCTACGGAAGCGTCTCATGACAGAAGATGTCCAATCCGGCGTCATCGAGCCCGTGCAAACAGAGCGCCACGACCACTCTAATATACCTTCTCACTCTCAAGCTTCATCAGCGAGATACTACAGTGTCTCTAGTGGAGAATCGCCTTTCCAGACTCTTGGCTCAACATCTCTCGCTACGCCTTCTAATGCAACTAACAATGCAACATTATATGGGCAAGCACTAATGACAACCCCTCGAACGTTGGATGGAGTGACCGTATCCGCCAGTGATATCAATGGTATCTTCGATCTGTACTTTCGGGAGTACTCACAATTCCTACCCGTCCTCGAACCTATGCCGTCGCCAGATTTGTGCTATCAGCAATCTTCTGTGCTATTCTGGATCATCATTGGAACTGCTTGCAGAAGCTATTCACGAAACCCAACTCTTCTAAGCGCACTCACGAGAGGCATCACTAATGCGGCCTTACTGTCCGTAAACACCACTGGATCACCTTTGCAGCGTGTTCAGGCGCTTCTGCTGTTGGTCACATGGCCTCTTCCCGACGCTGTCGAGACTAACCAACAAGAGATGACCTATGTCTTTGCCGGTCTTCTACTGCATCTGGCGCAAAGAAGTGGGCTACATGTGCCTGCCGGCTCTGACGAGTTTTTCAGAGCCAAAACACCCAATCTTCCGGACATAGGCATAGCTCGTCGAAATGAGCTCTGGGCACAAATCGTACTGACTTATCAAAGGTGAGTACGAGATTAGCAGCATTCCCGTGTGCTAAGGTGTTCAAGATGCATGGTTGTAAAATGCACAGTGCTAGCAAGCAGCACAGCGAGATTCTTAGAGTAACGTCATCTTCGCACGTCTCAGTGGCCACGCCTCTGTCTGGAAGGTAACTGTGTACTTCTATAGCTCATGATGGCACCACATGTCATTGTGATAGAAGAGTCGGTTTTGAGGTTGCGATAGTCTTTTGCACACGGGAAGGTGCATTTTCGTACGTTACTAATAGTTTTGCAGGAGCTGCATATGCAAAGGTTTCTTAGCACGCACTTCTTTCGACATGTCTCCTGAGATGAGCCAGAGTCACTCTCGGCAGCAAACACTATCCTCAGCACTGAAGCTGCGCATCAAGTGGCAGGATCTATGTGTCCAATGCGGCTCGGCTGTGTCAGAAAATGGAATACGCAACTTGACTCCTGATCAAGATCGCGCGCTTTCAATCATTATCAAAACGTATGAACTCCAGGTTAGAGATTTAGAGTCTACTGCCTCAGATGGTAAGTGTCCAGAAAACCTTATCCGCGCGTAACGCTTCAGTTACAACGAAACTCGGGCTGCTATCACACAGTGTGTCGTGTACGCTGACACATTCCAGACTCTGACCGACTTGAATGCAACATTGCTCGATTTTACATCCGAAGTTTCTACTTTTTGAAGCAGGACAAGACATCATATGCCGCCAGCTTCGACAAGATCCAGCAAACTGCCCGCCAAATCATCGCCAAGGTGGAAAGGCTCATTCACAGTGTCTCGAATCCAGTATCGATACCGAACTATATTGTCTGCGCTCTTCTGTTTGCCGCCTACGCCCTCCTCCGCATCTTGAAATCATCTATTCCTTTTCTCTCTGGCGAGTGTGAGGAAGCAAAGTCATCGCTCTTTACCACCATCAGTTTGTTAAAGCGCCTCTCTATAGATGCCAACGACATGTGTTCCAAATCATGCACATTTCTTACACAACTATGGAATAGTCCGAGGGCGTTCAAGAAAGCAGATGGGACTGATATGCTGGATCTGAGAGCGAGGAGCCGGCTCAATGGCAGCCATGTCGTTGATGCCATTCTCTGGTGGCGAGAGGAAAATGATTCGCACTTCAGACTGCAGATGCAGACCTTGAAAAATAGCTCTATAGGTAAGTCTTCGACACAGTGATCTGAAGATGTTTCACACACTGACCTTCAAAAGATCCGACAGATCCACTAAGATCGGGCGCTCAATCTGGCCATCCAGTCGAGAAAGAACAACAACAGCCAACGACGATTGATTTTGATACCTCTTTGTTCGACTTTGACTACTTCATGAGCGGCGATCTTTCTCTATCACAAGACCTCCTCAACTTCCCAGGTTTAGATATCATGGGATCAAGCAATACATAGTCCACTTCTTTCTACACAAGTTCACAACATTCATATACTTTAGATCTTGCATCTCATCTAACAAGTGGAATGCCGTGGCGGTGAAATGTCATCTGTGCTTGTCGTTCTATACCGCCTTGCTATGACTACTCGGGTAATCTGTCAGTCTATAAAGCCGTCCCCAATTATTTTCGTCTTTCTCCTGCGTCATTCATCGAGCACCCCCTTCCAAGAGTTGCATTCTATCTCAGTAACTCTTATTTCTTGGCCTCTCTCTGCTCTAGCTTCGTCTTTTCCGCAGCACGCCATGCAGGTCCCCAATTCATAACTGCCCACAAACAAGGTGTCGTCAACACCCAGAGAAAGGCAACCGCTGTACTCGCCCATCCAATGCCAATAGCATCGACCAAAGGCATTGCAAAGGCTGTAAAGGCAGCACCCATGCCACATCTAGCCAGATTATTCGCTGCGGATGCCGTGCCCGGCTGATGCAAGTTGATGTCGACGATCAAAGTACTAAACACGTTGAAAGCTCCCGTAGTGAAGTTGCCGACAAAGAACAACATGATCAGTGGACCTGCCAACGAAGTCTTGTAATCCATTACCCAGCCATAGGTTATGGTGACAACGGCCGAAGCATAAATTGCTGGGATACCGATTTGCAGACGCGCCTTCTCGATGGGGAAGGCGTCAGATTCTTTGGCGTTTGGAAGAGATTCACTGGAGGGATCGAGCTGATGCGTAAGGCGTTTGTAGTTGCGGTCCAGAAGTATGCCGACAGAGAAGCGAGACGCCATGCATCCAACACCAAAAGGCAAATAGCAAAGGCCGACTTGCAAGGTGTTCAAACCATATTCCTGGGAGAGTTGGTCGGTCAGGGTGATCAGAACAATGTAGAAGCCTGCGTACAAGAAGGCGCCGCAGAGTAGTATAAGGCCATCTTCCTTTTTGAATATGATGAGTAGCGAGGTGAATGGATTTGGCCTCTTTTTGGAGCGCTGCAGCGTTCCGGTTTGTTCGGCAACATTCTTGTTCCTCAGGCATGACCACAACGCTCGGTTCCATCTCTGCGGTGGAACAGATCCATTTCCGACGACAGCTCTGCAGGTCTCGGGTAGGAAACAGAGTGTTACGATCAACATGACTCCAGAAAAGATGGCTAAGAACCAAAAGATAGATGGCCAGCCAAGATAGGTTTCCAGCAGACCGCCGATTGTAGGGCCTATAGCAGGTCCGAGCATAATCCCAACACTTGCATACGCAACCCATTTGCCTCTTTCCGCTCTTGTTGAGATATCGGCGACGACGGCCTGACCCAAAGCGACCGTGGCTGCCGAACCAGAGCTTTGGACGCAACGGAGGACCAGTAGGGCGGCATACGATCTTTGACATGCTAGTGCGATATTTGCTACTGTTGAGACAACAAGACAACCGAAGTAAGCAGGTCTTCTACCCTTGACGTCGGACAGGTTGCCAAAGAAGGTCGGACCAATGGCCTGAAAGATNCTGGAGCATGTTGTCAATGTCTGAACTTCTCGCAGTACAGGACAATGGCTTACCAAATAAGTCGTTACTGTCAGGTTGATGTCCGACGTCGAGACAGACAAATCTCTCGCAAGTGTGCCGATAGCTGGAAAGTAAATGCTCGCTGATAATGGAGACAGCAGACCGATGAAAGATATGGTTAAGACGATGAGTTTCTTTTCTGTGTTGGTGAAAGTCGAGAAGGGAGGTGCAGGATCCGTATCAGATGATGTTGTGCCAATTGCCTTTTCAACGTCGACAACTGTATTGTTGGATGTTTCTTCGTTGCTTGGTTGTGTCTGATCAACAGTGGTCGAAGCCAGGTTTGCGCTTGCCTGTTGCATGATGATACTGGATGTTAGATAGTACCACGTATTTTCGTTGACGGATGCCAGAGACTGTGAGCTTGTTATGGAAACAATGAGCAAAGACCATGTTTATCAGCAGCGCAGGTTGTAGTCATATAACCAAGTGTGGTGCATCGACCGGCCCTGGACGCCGGTTCAGGCCCGGTTCAGGCTGTGACTCCCACCATCCTTCTTCCATTGTGCTGTCAGGACAGACGTCAGAGAATTAATTGCAATCATCAGTCTCTCCGATTTTAGTGTCCACAGAGTTGATGCTGGAAAACAAGACGAAGATCTTTAGTGGTAATTGTCCGACCGTTGTTGTACCAAATAAAAGGAAGACACATGAAAGCTGGTGAAGAGTGGGGTGAGAAAGAAGATAGATTTTGCGAATAAGAACCAATCATTGCGCCGTGAACTTTCTTCCTGGGAAAATGAAAATGGTATCCCCGTATAACTACTAGATTACAAATGCAGAACTCCCTCTAGAAATGCTTTTACAGCATCAAGCTGAGGGGGTTCTCAATGGCGGCCTTGAGCTCCTTCATGAACTCACCACCAACGGCACCGTCAACAACCTTGTGGTCGAAAGAACCGGTGATGACGATCTGCTCGTCCCACTCGATGCCGTCCTCGTTTTCAGAGGGGATGGCGACCTTCTTCACGGCGCCAACGGCGATGATGCAGGCCTGGGGAGGGTTGATGACAGCAGTGAATCTGTCAATGGCAGCGTTCATACCCATGTTGGAAATGGTGATGGTACCGCCCTGGTACTCCTCAGGCTTAAGCTTGCCGTCACGGGCACGCTTGCCGAGCTCCTTGATCTGGCTGGAGATGGACTCGAGACCGGTACCGTTGACGTTCTTGACAATGGGGGTCATGAGACCGACGGGGGTAGCGACAGCGACCGAGACGTCAACAGTGTTGTGTTGACGAACGAAGACGTTGCCGTTCTCCTCACGCCAGCTGGAGTTGGCAGCAGGGACCTTGCGGGCAGCGGCGGCGAGAGCCTTGACGAGGAAGTCGTTGACCGAAAGCTTGTACTTGGCGTCGGCAGCCGAGTTCAGGGCCTGGCGGAGCTTCATGAGCTTGCTGACAGAGATGGACGAGGCGACAAAGTAGTGGGGGTTCTCGTTCATGGACTGGGTCAGACGAGCGGCAATGGTCTTGCGCATGGACGAGGCAGGGACGTCCTCGTAGGTGGGGACACCAGCGGGGACAGCGCCAGCGGTGGCAGCGGGCTTGAACTTCTCAATGTCCTCCTTGGTGACGCGACCACCGGGGCCAGTGCCCTTGACCTGGCTGATTGCAACACCCTTCTCGAGAGCGAGCTTCTGGGCAGCGGGGCTGAGCTTGGGCTGGCGCTCAAGGGCGGTCTGGAGGCGCTCGCCGGTCGACTCGGACTCCTGGGCCTGGGGAGCGGGGGATGACTGAGCGGGGGCGGGAGCAGTGCTGGAAGAGTTGGATGGGGGCTCAGAGGCGTTGGCAGCCTCCTGTCCACTGCCCTCCTTGGCCTCCTTCTCACCACCAGCGTCCTCGACGGTGAAAGAGTCGAAGGCTGAGACATCGGTACCCTCCTCGGCCATGACGGCGATGGGCTGCGACAGTGTCAGTAAGAGGGTTGGTCGCTCTGCTCGAAGCTTGTATTCTCTTACGTTTCCGACAGCAACATCCTTTGCGCCCGAGTCCTTGAGGACCTTGACCAAAACACCCTCCTCTTGGAACTCGAAATCCATCTGGGCCTTGTCGGTCTCGATCTCGACCAGGACATCACCGGGAGCCAGAGCATCACCGGCCTTCTTCTGCCAGGTACCAATGTTTCCGGCGGTCATGGTGGGTGAAAGGGCGGGCATGCTGATGACGGTGTGAGGGGGNAAGGCTGCATTGAGGACTTGTCAGCGGTTGCGGTGGTCGCAGGGTACGGGGTGCATACACTTGGAGGCATAGTATCTGCTAAGAGCACCGAAGACGGCGGGAGTTGCGACAGACTCTCTGGCTCTCAGTGACTGCAGGCACAGTCTTCCCGATGCGCGGGCAAGCAGAGCTGCGGCCGACATTGTGTGTGGTGTGTGGGGATGGGAGTAATGGGGAGGAGAGGAAGGAGAGATATGCGAGGACCAGGATCTCTGCCACCGAGCACAACGAACGTCGAGATGTAGGAGGAGCGAGGAGAAGGTGTTTCTGTGAAGCTCTCAACAAAGGCCATCTCGGACATTTTCCCACTCGACGACTTGCTCCGAAGGGTCTTGGCAGCCGAAAGGGTCAAGATTCGTGCCGACTTTTGCCTACCTGCCCGTCCACAAGAACAATCTCAAACCTGCTGTACCAAACCCACTGCTGACGAATGTAGCCGTTGAACACAGTCTAGACTCGAGCAGCAATGTAGCCTCACTACCGGCTTCGAAGAATACGACTACAGCCAAAGACCCGTCTTGGAAAGTGCAGTCGGGTGAGATTGTGCCTTCGGAAGTACAGCCGGCACCACCAGCACGGCCAGCCAACATGATAAGATTTGGGCATGCCCGGGCGGCGCGTAGACCTGCAGCAACTCAACAAACGCACGACACCACAGTTTGATATATCTGTAAGGTCTCTAGCCAGTACAAGTCCGAGCACGAGGCTTCAAGCACCTGCGGACAAGTCCTTTGTCGCTTCTTGGGAAAGTGGCCTATTCATAGACGGCTTGGCGGCATCTGGCTTGATTGGCCGCAGCGTCGTACTCCCCCCATAGTTGTATTATTGCCTACCTAGATTGAGAGCTGTCCATTAAAGACTCCACCCAACGACTATACGTCCTGACTGGATTGCCCCGTCACATGTCGCATTGCTGTATAGCGAATTGAAAAAGCAGGCATGGCAGATACTGAGGCTCCTGCTCCTCAACACATGGAGCCTGATGTCGCTCTCGACCAGCCTCAAGCAGATGGCCCGCCGCAGCCCGACATGGACTCAAGCCAGGAACTGCATGATGTACCCCTAGATACTGCTCCGGACTCGCGAGCAGATACACCTCCTGTTCTCACATACGAGCCCGACGAGCCAACACGGCAACAAGACGACGCAGCCATTGAGACACCACATCCGGAAACTCAACCTGACCTTCCGTCAGAACAACCCGAGCAACAACTCCCGACCATCACCACTCCCCTACCAGAGCCTACATCAACACCACAGTCCGAAGATGCTCCCAACCATGTCGTCGATCCTCGTCTCATCCAGCCTAGTCGCCAACGCACCGACTCGCAGTCCACCACTGCTACCTCTCGCTCGACAACTCGTTCATCCATGGTCTTTGTCGTGAGCGCTCTAGAGAAAATCGCTGCTTCCAAGGATGCTCGTAAGGAAAAGCCCTTGGCCGACGCTACTCAGCGTGCCTTGACCACAATCAAGAGCCAGGGGGATCCGACCCAGACGGATCCCGAGATTCTGTTCGCGCCACTGCAATTGGCCAGTCGCGCGAACACCGTCGCTATAGTAACTACTGCTTTGGACTGCATCGGCAAGCTCATTAGCTACTCTTACTTTTCCGTTCCTTCAGATCCGAACAATGAGAACCAGCAGCCCCTACCGCTCATCGAGCGTGCCATCGATACGATATGCGACTGCTTTCAAGGCGAGACCACACCCGCCGAGGTGCAGATGCAGATTCTTAAATCTCTATTGGCTGCCATCCTCAACGACAAGATTGTGGTCCATGGCGCAGGCTTACTCAAGAGTGTCCGTCAAACATACAACATATTCCTGCTGTCCAAGAATAGCTCCAACCAACAGATTGCTCAAGGTACCTTGACACAGATGGTTGGAACCGTCTTTGAGAGAGTAAAAACACGCATTGCTGGGCGCGCTGCCAGAGTCGAGACCTCTAAATCACCCCACGCCAACGATTCTGGTGAAAACATCGAGTTGCTTTCTGATGGTGCTGAAAGCGAGCTACCACGAGCTTCTACTGACATGCAAGAAGACGAGGAAGAGGATGTTGATACGACCAGAATGACTCTGCAGACATTCGAAACTAAGAAGAGTTTCGATGACGCTCGGATAGCGGACAATGCTCCCACCATGGTCACTCGCCTCAAACGATCAAGAATGCCTGCCCGGACCGCTTCTGGCAACGACGGCGTGCCCGCCATTACCGTACAGCCCGATGGCTCTGACATTACTGAGGAGGACGAGGAAGACGAAATTTTCATCAAAGACGCCTTCCTAGTGTTCCGCGCAATGTGCAAGCTCAGCACAAAAACACTTCGTGTCGAGGAGACTGTCGATCTCAGATCCCAAGGCATGCGGTCCAAGCTATTATCCCTGCACATCATACAGACTACCATCTTCAACCATCATGCCATCTTCACTTCGCCATTTGCGACTATTCGCAGCAGCTCGAATAACGATCCCACGAGTTTTACTCAGGCAATAAAGCAATATCTTTGCCTTAGTTTGAGTCGCAATGGAGCTAGCTCAGTCAACAAAGTGTTTGAGATCAGCTGTGAGATCTTCTGGCTCATGATTCGCTACTTGCGTGTCACGCTCAAAAGAGAAATCGAGGTTTTCCTCAAGGAGGTTTATCTAGCAATTCTGGACAAGAGGACGGCACCTGCGTTCCAAAAGCAATGCATCATTACCGTCTTGACTAGGCTGGCTTCAGATCCGAGAGCACTAGTTGAAATCTATCTCAACTATGACTGTGATCGAGCAGCACTCGATAACTTCTACCAGCGTATCATCGAGCATCTTTCCAGGATTGCCAGTTCGCCTGTGCAGGTCACGGCGCAGCAAGAACTGCTGTATATTGAGCAACAATCAAAGCATGGCAATGCTATGTCCGAGTGGCTAGCGCAAAGCACTCTGCCTCCATCCCTTACGACTTCTACAATCGCTGGTACTTCAGATGCCAACCAGGATATACCTTCAGATTACATCATGAAGCAGAACTCCCTCGAGTGTTTGGTTGAGACATTACGTTCCATGGTCAACTGGTCTCAGCAGGGACTGAATGATGTTGCTGCATCACTGTCAAATCCCGAGTCACGTAATTCGATCGAAGACATTAGAGATTCAATCGATGCTCGCGAAAATGGGGTTTCTCAGTCACCGATGTTACCGAGTGTGGAGATTCCTCCAAATGCCGTGTCTGGCACTCCCTTAGCTGAGGATGATCCTGCCGAGCTTGAGCGAGTCAAACAACACAAGACCGCACTTAATAATGCCATCAAGCAGTTCAACTTCAAGCCCAAGAAGGGTGTCAAGGTCCTGATTGCCGGTGGATTTATCTCCTCAGATTCGCCCCAAGACATCGCTCGATTCCTCATCACCAACGACAGGTTAGACAAGAAAGCCCTTGGTGAATACCTAGGAGAAGGTGAACCAGAAAACATCGCCATCATGCATGCTTTCGTAGACAGCATGAACTTCACCAAGACCCGATTCGTCGATGCTCTTCGAAACTTCCTGCAAAGTTTCCGTCTACCTGGAGAGGCTCAAAAGATCGATCGTCTGATGTTGAAGTTTGCCGAAAGATACACTGGAGGCAACCCCAATGCGTTTGCAAACGCCGATACTGCTTACGTGCTAGCCTACTCTGTCGTCATGCTAAACACCGACCAGCACAGTGCACAAGTCAAGGTTCGCATGACGCCTGAAGATTTCATCAAGAACAACCGTGGTATCAACGATGGCCAGAGTTTGCCAGATGACTACCTCAAGTCTATCTTCGAGGAAATTGCCCAAAATGAAATTGTCCTGGATACTGAGCGGGAGAATGCTGCCAATCTGGGCATGCTACCTCAGGGCGCTGGTAGCTTGGCTGCAAACATTGGTCAAGCGGTTGCCAACTTCGGGCGTGATTTGCAGAGAGAGGCGTATGCTCAAGCTTCAGACCAAATGGCCACCAAGACAGAGCAGCTCTTCAAGAACCTCATGAAAGCACAGCGTCGTGGGGCTGCCAGGTCATCTCTAGTGCGATTCATTCCTGCATCCTCATTCAAGCACGTTGGCCCAATGTTCGAAGTAACTTGGATGTCTTTCCTGACTGCGCTCTCCGGCGGAACCCAGGAAACGAACAACATCGAAAGGATCAAGCTCTGCATGGAGGGTCAAAAGTTGGCCATCCGCATTTGCTGCTTGTTCGACCTTACAGATCCCCGACAGGCTTTCATCGCTTCCCTAACTCGTTTCACAAATCTTTACAACATTGGAGAGATGAAAGCTAAGAATATCGAGGCGCTCAAAGCCGTTCTTGATGTTGCCCAAAATGAAGGCAACTTGCTCAAGGACTCTTGGCGAGACGTTCTCACATGCATAAGTCAGCTCGACAGGTTCCAACTCATCTCCACTGGTGTTAGTGAGGGTGATGTGCCTGATATGCTGAGGACTCATTCTCCTGCGAGCACCTCTAATCGCAAATCTCTTGGTGTTCCTCCTCGTCACCGCAACAGGAATTCTGTCAGTAACATAAACTACCAGCCCGATATTGCTGAAGAAAGTAGATCTGCAGATATGGTTCGCAGTGTTGACCGTATTTTCACCAACACTGCTAATCTGTCTGGAGAGGCCATTGTGCACTTTGTCACGGCCCTGACCCAAGTCAGCTGGCAGGAAATTCAATCTTCTGGCAATAGCGAGTCTCCCCGGACTTACAGTCTTCAGAAGCTTGTTGAGATCAGTGGCTACAACATGACCCGTGTTCGTTTCGAGTGGACAAGCATCTGGCAAGTGCTAGGTGAGCATTTCATTCAGGTCGGCTGCCACAACAACACGAACGTCGTTTACTTTGCGCTCAACTCATTGAGGCAATTGTCCATGCGTTTCATGGAGATCGAAGAACTGCCTGGGTTCAAATTCCAGAAGGACTTTTTGAAGCCTTTCGAGCACATTCTCAGTAACGCCACCCAAGTCCCCGTCAAAGATATGGTCTTGCGCTGTCTAATCCAGATGATCCAAGCTAGAGGTGACAACATTCGCTCTGGTTGGAAGACTATGTTTGGTGTCTTCACGGTTGCAGCTCGTGAGCCTTATGGTATGTATTTTGTGTTTGTCAGAGATGACTTGGTCTAACACTTTTCAGAATCGATAGTAAATCTCGCCTACGATAATGTCACTCAGGTCTACAACGACCGATTCGCCGTGGTTATTACCCAGGGTGCCTTTGCTGACCTTATCGTCTGCTTGACAGAGTTTTCCAAGAACCACAAGTTCCAGAAGAAGTCTCTGCAAGCCATTGAGATGCTCAAGTCTTCCGTATCAAAGATGCTTCGTACGCCCGAGTGCCCGCTCAGTGTCAAAGCCAGCACTATCAAAGACGCTCCTACGGCAGAGGGTATGCCCAAACAGCCTACCAGACAGACTCAAGAAGAGCAATTCTGGTTCCCTGTTCTGTTTGCCTTCCACGATGTTTTGATGACCGGCGACGATCTTGAGGTTCGGTCTAGGTATGTTCATTCTATTCGAGCTGCTGGCCTGCAAACGCTAACAANNTCCAGGGCGCTCAACTACCTGTTCGAGACATTGACACGCTATGGTGGCGACTTCCCTCGCGAATTCTGGGACACTCTATGGCGCCAGCTGCTGTACCCTATTTTCATGGTTCTCAAGTCGAAATCAGAGATGTCAAAGGCTCTCAACCACGAAGAGCTTTCGGTATGGCTATCGACAACCATGATTCAAGCGCTCCGCAACATGATCAGTCTTTTCACACATTTCTTCGAATCCCTGGAGTACATGCTTGATCGATTCTTGGACCTTCTGGCACTCTGCATCTGTCAAGAAAATGACACCTTGGCTAGAATTGGCAGCAATTGCTTGCAACAGCTGATTCTCCAAAATGTTCAGAAATTCACTCCTGAGCATTGGGAAAAGGTTGTTGGTGCTTTTGTTGACTTGTTCGCACGAACTGAAGCGACGGCTCTCTTCTCCGCAGCAACTTCTTCCTCTTACAGGAAAGACTCGAGTGCCTCGAACGGCCTTGCCATGCCCGAAATATCCTCCGCAGACCCCGCATCTATACCAGCAGAGAGCCCTCTCAACCTCAATGGCGAGGAGCTTCCGACAACTGAGGCAACGCCCAGACGTCCTCGTGGCAATACCACGGCTACTATGCAGTCCGATCGAAGTCTTTCGCCCTCGAAGCAGGCACAGATCGGAGATGGTAACGAACTTGAATCCTTCAACAACACATCGCAAACACCCAACGCGCCGGTCGTCGTCACTGCAGCACGCCGCCGCTTCTTCAACCAAATAATCACCAAGTGTGTTTTGCAATTGCTGATGATTGACACGGTTAGCGAGTTGTTTTCCAACGACTCAGTCTACGCTGCCATTCCTTCTCATCTCTTGCTGCGCTTGATGTCACTGCTCAAGAAGTCTTACCACTTCGCCAAACGCTTCAACGAGGATCGCGATTTGCGCACCAAGTTGTTCAGGGAAGGTTTCATGCGTCAGCCACCAAACCTGCTCAAGCAGGAATCTGGATCGGCTTCCGTTTATGTTAGCATTCTGCTACGCATGTTTTCTGACGACGGAGAAGAGCGCAAAGCATCGCGTGCCGAGACAGAGCAGGCACTCATCCCTTTGTGTGCCGATATTGTGAGCTCGTATATTGAGCTTGACGAGGATACACAACAACGTAACATCATCACTTGGCGGCCCGTTGTAGTTGATGTGCTTGAAGGATACACAGCCTTCCATACGGAGGATTTTGAACGTCATGCCACCACTTTCACACCACTTGGTGTTGGCCTCATGAATCGCGATATGGGTCCCGAGCTCCAACGAGCAGTACAAGGACTCTGGACTCGTGTCACTGAGATCAAGTTCGGCGTGAAAACGCTTGCTCATACTAGCAAGACAACGTCGGGACTGGTCAGCCCAAGTAAAGCGTCGATGTTCAGCGGACGTCGTTCAAGCAGAGGAAGTCGTTAGGGATATTGGGGCTTGTAGGATATGTATACAGGCGTTGCGGAGTGAACAGTGCCGTCCTGTAGTGATACAGCTTGCCTGATGAGAGGCAATTAGAAGAAGAAGAAGCAAAAGTAGAGTTGTATACCAAGAAGTTTTGCATACCAGGTCAATTTTCGGCCAAGGAGCGATGGAGTAAATATCATCAGGTTCGTCGGGTGCTCTGATTTTGATAATCACTGAAAGCATGTTCTTGGACGGACCAGCAGCTTCTGAACAACATCACCGACGGCGATAAGAGCGCAGAGTGAGTGACCAAAGACGCTCAGACCTCAGTCACAGCATCAGAGCTTCACTGATACCTGGGAGGAAGGCGCGTTGACGGTAGGCTCCAGCACCTGCCCTCGTCACTCTCCTTCAACCGCGCATTTTGGCAGCCGCTTCTCCACCTCTCCACTTCTCTCTTCATCTTCAACCTCTCTCACAGTTCATCCTGCCTTGACGTCTTCCATCAACCCATCTCAGAGAGTTGATATGGCTCGTTCGACTCGCAGCTCGGCCGCTGTTGCGCCCACGGTATGTTGGTACCAACATCCCCATTCGATTCCATGTGCGTGGCTCGATACCAACAGTGGCAGAAACTCAAGGCAGCTACCGCAAAGGCCACAATCCCGCAAAAGAAAGAAGCCAAGGAAGTCCCGGATCCAACCCCAGTCGACTATTCCGATAGTGATGTCGAACCTGCCGAAGACTTCAAGGACACTTTGACTACCAAGAGCGATCGTATGGTCCGAAAGGTTCAGTGCACGATCCCTGGTGGCACTACTGCAATTGTGAGCCAGTGCAAGTCAGCAATCTCGATACCCTTCTGACAATCATGATAGCGCGAGAAGAACAAGAAAAGGTTCACTCAGACTGTCGAACTCTCGTCCAAGAAGCCTTTCTCCTTGGAACCTGTTCTCATGACCCAAGGCCCATACGCTGGACGCCACGTTCTTGTGATACAGCCCGAGCCTGATGAGAATGAGAAGTTTCCATTCCTAGATCTGCCTGCAGAGATCCGCAACATGGTCTACTCTCTGGTCCTCGAGCGCCCTGGCTGGTACGTTCGTCTTTCAGGAAAGCAATCTAGAGTCATCAATACCCACTGGTACGACGAGAGAGGCAGATACATGCCACAACAGAGCTATCCTTACAGTACTAGCCTGATGCGCGTGAACAAGCAAATCAGTAATGAATCGTCGCCCTATCTATTCAGTCGTCACACTTTCAAGTTCACAGACTCTACGATGCTGCAAAGGTTCCTTGAATACATCGGCCCAGAACGGGTCAAGTCTTTCGTCTCGGTCGAGGTTTCTCAACAGTATGCTGTCTCTTCCAGGAAAGCGTACCATCTGTTGTCTCCTGCAAGTGGTCTCGCAAAGCTCGAACTCGAGTACTGGCACAGGTACTATGGTTACTCTTCTCGGCCGGATTGGCCTTCTATCCTATTGCCGTTGATGCAGTCTCTCTGCTCAGAAGGCGGCAAAAGTCGAGAGGAGGCCTATGATATCGTCACAATTCCAGGTGCGGTGACAGGTCGTTGCATGACACATGGTCATTTCATCGCACGTGTCAACAAGGATTGCGATAAGGAAGTGAGGGCTTATGATGACTTCTACAAGAAGTTGCGCAATGATCTAGATAGCGCCATGGACAAAGCCGATGCAAAGAAGGAGGCGATCAAAAGGGGTTCGCCGGTCAAGACTAGGTCTGGGCGTAAGACGAAGGCGGTCGATTACTCAGGTATGGAGGAGGAATAAGAGGGAGAGCAAGAGATCCTCAGCGGCGATGACTGTCAGTCGCGACAGAAGTCCTTTATTGCTATCACGAAAACACTCATGGCTCAAGTCGGCACGCAGATATGATACTTTATAGCTCTTTCATGATACAACCAATCGGTACCCGACTGATGTCGCATTGCTCCTCATGAGAATGCACTATATTTCTGAGAGATGAAGCAGTACTCTGGGAGATGCGATCTTTGTAGTCCTGCATATCACAGACCACTATGTGTTGCAGTAAGAAGAAGAAGACCAGACAAGATGATGTAGCCTTTGGGGCTCCAACGTAGTCGGATAAAGAATACACACTTGTTTTGAGCAACAGGACAATATCGACGAAGAGGCCAGCATACTATCGGCTTTCTTTGATTTCCAGAAACATCGTGCATTCACATTACTCCATATCATTGTTGGAAGGAGGAGAATGAAAAGATTGTAAAACTGCTTTCATGCATTAATGGTGTTCGTGAGTGCTTTTCTATCTCGTACGTGCAACCGAAAAAGAAAAAAAGGAGAATCGTCCGTTTCACGCCCCCTTCCTTGCAGATCATACCAATCATTCTCATCAAAAACAAAAAGGGAAAGAGAGCAGGTAAAGAGATAACAGAGGTCTAAATGTTTTATTCGTTATTTGGGTTTCTTGATCCCTTCCCAAATGTCCTGGATTGTCCTTGGGCTTTTCGTCGAAGAAGGTGAGACAGGAGGGATGGAAGGTTTGGCAACACCAGTGGTTTTGCCACTATTCTATGCGTCTTGCATTTCGGCGTCCTTCTTCTCCTGCTCCTCGCGCTGGGCGGCCATCTTTGCTGCGGCAGCGGCGGCGGCGGCCTGCTCTTGCTGGGCTTGCTGGATGGCTTCTTGCTCGGCGCGCTTCTTTGCGGCGGCCTCCTCCTGGGCCTTGAGGGCGGCTTGGCGCTCCTCCTCGAACTTGTCGAGGTAGCGCTGGGCAATGGGTCCGCCAATGGCGCGGATCTCGTCAATCTTGGATTGGTAGACGGCCTTGGTGGCGTCGTCACCCTCGTCGTAGAGCCAGTCCNNTGGAGAAAGAAAAATGTTAGTACTTGGACAGGTGTGATGGATGTGGTTTGTAGAACTCACCTCGCTAGTCTCGAGCTTCTCCTTCAGCTTAGTCTTCTCGTCGTCGCTGGAGAACTCGGCGTACTCCTCGTCAATCTTTGCGCGCATTTCGTAGATGTAGGCCTCAAGCTCGTTCTTCTTGTCCTCGGTGTCGGCGACAAGCTTGTCCTCCATGATCATGCTGTGCTCCTTCTCGGAGAAATCGGCAATGGCTTGCACGTCGAGAGAGGCGGTGCCAGAAGACAGAGGAAGGTCACCCTTCTTGACCTGCTTCTTGACCTTGCGGGTCTTGGGCTCCTTGTCAGTGTCCATGCCCTGTGAATCGATGTCAGTACTAGGCATAATGATGGGGCGCTTGCTCTCTCTTTCTTGATCGGATTGAGATTGCAAAGTCGCCTTGTCTTGAAAACTCACATCTTCGCCCTCAATGGGCTCCTCGACCTCCATGTCCTCAACGTAGTATCCAGACTCAACGTTCAAGATACCGTTCAAGTTCAATCTGGCCTTGAGCTTGCAGATCATGAAGTCGTCCTTCTCGTCGGCCTTGACGCCCTTGACGCTGAATCTGCCGATCCAGGGGTTCATCTTGCCGGGGAGCATCTCAGGCTTGGCGTACTTGGCCTCAAGGTCGAAGGCCTGCTTTCTGTAGAAGGTAAGGATCTTGGTCGAGGGCATGACGTTGCCGCGGTTGAAGACGGTAAGCGAGGTGTCCTCATCGGGGATCTCGGCGCTCTTCTCCCAGGTGAACTCAATGGGGTAGTTGCAGATGTCGTGGATCGAGAAGTCGCGGACACGGAAAACGGGGGACAGGATGGCGCAGGCGAAAGCGCAACCACGGGCGATGGCCTCGTCGGCGTTGAGGGTGAAGGACAGCTGCTTGCCGAAGAAGTCCTGGATGGCGGCCTTGAGGGCGGGGACACGGGTGCAGCCACCAACAAGCTCGATGGTGTCGATGTCCTCGACCTTCAGCTTGGCCTCAGCAAGAGCCTGCTCAAGAGGAGCAGTGCTGCGGGCGAGAAGGGGCTTCATGATCTCCTCGAGCTCCTCTCTCTTGAGGAAGCCGCGGACATCGACATCGTTCATCAAAGACTCAATGTTGATGGGGGCACCAGCGTTGGCGGAAAGGACCTTCTTCAGCTTCTCGCAAGCGGCGACAACACGGAGCTTGGCCTTGGGGTTCTCGTTGATGTCAACCTTGAACTTCTCCTTGAACTCGGCGGCAAAGTGGTCGACAATGGCCTTGTCGAAGTTGCGACCACCGAAGTGACGGTCGTAGGCGGTCGAGATGACCTTGAGCTCTCCCTTGCGGAACTCGACAATGGAGACGGTGTAGTTGCTGTGACCAATGTCGACAAAGGCGACTCTCTTGGGCTTCTCCTCGGGACCAGGCAGGTCAGTCTTGGTGATACCCCAGCCGAGGGCAGTGGCGGTGGTCTCGTTGATCAGACGCAGGATCTTGAGGCCGGAAATCTCGGCAGCATCGATGATGGCTCTTCTTTGGGCGTCGGTGTACCAGGCGGGGACGGCGATGACCATGTCGTTGACGGGGAGCTTGAGCTCGGCAGAGGCGGTCTGCTTGGCCCTTGTGAGGAACATGGCGGTCAACTGGGTGGCAGTGAACTGCTCCTTCTTGCCCTGGTATGAGATCTCGGCGCCAACCTGGCCGTTGACGTCGACCAGCTTGCACGAGACGTGCTCTTGCTCAATGGCGACATCGGGGTCCTTCAGCGATCGGCCAGCGAGACGGGTGAGGGAACCGACGGTGTTCTTGAGGTTGGAGACTTCCTGTGTCTTTGCGGTCTCGCCGAGGTAGCGAGACTTGGGGCCGAAACCAACCAGGGCGGGAGTTGCGCGGTTAGAGACTTCGTTTGTGATAACATCGACACCACGGTTTCTTGCGACAGCNCTGTTGCGCAACGTGTCAGTAGGTGCTCGAGTGCAGAGCAAACAGGCACAAAGACTTACAATGACGGCATTTTGTGTGCCAAAGTCAAGACCGACGACACTGGGCGCAAAGGGTCAGTTGAAGCTGCGACATGTGGCGGCCAAGGGCGCAACTCACGACATGATGGATGTGTGGTGTGTAGTGATAAGAAAGAACTTTTGTAGGGGTCAAACAAGAGTCGTCTATACGGCGACAGGGGGTATCTCAATCAAAGAAAAGGCGCTTGAATAGTCTGGAGAGATTGCAGAGCAGGAGCAGGTGGGATAGAGGGGCTCTCTCGGTAGCGCTGTCGTCGTTGGGACCCAAAACACGATTTTTTCGAATCTTCTCGGCGTTTCGAGACGCACGGTCTCCGAGTGACGTTGGCGCGCTTTGTTGAGAGTGTAACCCGGACCATGTATACCTTATGGCGACAACACGGTACGTGTGAGTCGTCATGTGAGAACACTGGATCTCAAAACTGAAGACACGCGTGGAAGGTATCACTTGTGAAGCTTCAGTAAACTTTGGTCGCTCGTACCCCGGTTTGGCTGCTGTTGAGAGTGCTTTTAGATCTTGACCAGAACTTGGGCATAAACACCAAGCAGAGCAGGTAAGTCCGTCGACCACGACCAACTAAGCAAGATTTGTCTCGCTATCAGCACTTATGTACAGCATCGACCCATGTTCGTCTATTTAGAGTCTAGTGCGATGAATCTCCGGCATTGGTCAACAAGAGTCGTCAGGAACATCTTCTTATTTGCCATCAACCTGCACCTTAGCGACCTTGTCAGCAGAACCAGCCAACCTGTCCAAAGCTTCTCCATCCGCCCTCAATGTAACCCAATCTTCCATCTGCTCGGCTCCCAACATCTTGTAGAAGTCCAAAGATGGCTTGTTCCACTTTAAGCAACACCACTCTAGCCTCTTGCCGCCGATTCTCTTGACCTCCTTTGCCAATGCTCCGATAAGTAGCTTTCCGTAGCCCTTGTTGCGGTGTTCAGGGAGCACGAACAAATCTTCGAGGTAGACTCCAGGTGCTGCCCACCAGGTTGAGTAGTTGTTGAAGTACAATCCCATGCCAGCCACTTCATCGCTCGGCGTACGGATCAAGAGGACTTTGGCGTAGCCAGAGCCAGAGGGAGGTTCGCCTCTAGAAGGTGCGAAGCATAGAGTTGATGCTAGTGATTCCTCAGTTGCATGGCATGACGAGAGAGCCTTCTCGTAGTCGGCGAGTGCACGGATGAGACTCAGGATATGAGGCACGTCNTGCTGTACGTTTAGAACATGGTTATGTATGACAAGTAACGAGCACAACAATATGTGCTACGATTGCTTGTGTCCACATTCGTGTTCTAACTCACCTTCTCGAACAGCGTGACTGATGGTAGGTTGGTTGGACATGGTTAAGATAGACAAGTTTCTGATTGCCAGGGATGTGTAGAGTTGCTCAAGTAGGAGTAAGTAGTCAAGAATGCACAGGAGATTCGGGTCAATGGGTAGCAATGTTGTTGAGAGAAAAGAACGCCCTGTCCATGACATCCAGACATAAATATTGACCATTGCCCCGGATTCTTGGCAGTGACGATCGTGGCAGCCGTTCGTGCATGCTTTGGAAAGAACGTGCTTTTATGGTTAAGATTGTGGTCTGAAATATGGTTGTTCTTCTATGTGAGACGTCTTTCGAATATAAGATACAAAACCATAATCGTTCCCAGCCGCATTGATACGTCGTATGGTACTCCAAAGTGGTGGAATACTAGCAATCGGAAACTCTGTGTGTTACTAGAGCCTTATGACCGTATCCTGCTCCACCAAGTGACACCACTCGTTCTGTCTATGCAATCATGAACTAAGGGCCAAAGATAGACCGGATGGATCTACTCAGTGAAATAAACCAGTTGAGGTTGTTTCTCTGCAAAATTTTTTGTCAGCAATGGTTTCTTTGACAAAATCATGTGTGATGATATGTGGACGGCAAGCCAATGAGTCAGGTTGTCAGAGATGTATCTATCGTCAAGGTTGTTCAGACAATGTAGATAAGTATTCGTAAGATCTGTTCATCATGCAATGGCTTTCCGAAGGGGGAGGTAAGAGAGTGATACTAACCTTTGAAAGCGTAGACGGTGGCGCGTCACCGTTGAATGGCGGCTCTGACCACGGGTAATCATGGCCTCAATGAGGGTGTATTGAGACAACACCAGCAGATGAGAGTCAAGCTCTGTTGCTATGAATGCTTGTCGAACACAAGGCTAGCGACGAGCAAGATTACTGACCACAGACGGATATACCTGGCAATGCCAGCTGTGCACGTTCAAGTGAATCAGGTCTTGTCCAAAACCAGTTCATCGGTGGCATTCGCGATTTTCGCTTGGTTGAGAACATTGCAACCCCATTCAACTGACCACTTTTTGGACTTTGCATTCCATGACATTACAGGACACTGTGCAAANACCGTGGCCCAGCATCTCCTCATCGAGCGCGGGGTGATTCTACGGGCATGGAAGGATTTTGTCACATTGTTAATAACAACATCAGGCGAGTTGAGCTGCACAAGCCCAAGGGCGAGCTCGAGTGCAGAAGGAAAGGTGCTTCCTGAAGCAGGCATGGGGCGACGGGGAAGTGGACCTTGGAACTTGATCTTTCCTAATGCGAGATCACGCAAGCGTTCCCACTCGACAACAGGAAGAGGCACAACTGTTCGCTCCAAGACATGGGCATACCAGTCCCGGACAAGTCTGGCAATACGTCTCTTGGGCAGGGGTTTTNNCTCCCAGCTGTTCGTCTCGGGTATCTTCAGAGACCATGATCGGAGAAGAGGACGAACAATGTTGGGCGGAGAAGCCAGTTTTTGAGAGTCAAGAAGGGCGATGTGTTGAGGAGAGAGCTTCGGCAGGGTGTCGGGCTTGAGGTCAGCATCGGCAGGCGGCTTGTATTGCAAGTCGCGCAAGATCTCGTGTCGTCTCTTGCCAATGCGAGCATAGGTCAGATGCAGAACTTTGAGCAGAGGCTTCAGCTCTCCTTGGTTGGCGCGACGCAGCTCGGACAGGCCTTTCCGGGCATGGTCGAGCTGCTCGCGTCTCCGTGCTGTCAAGAGGTCGTCAGGTTTGTGTGCAGGCGTGTAGTCTCGGAAGCGCGCGACGGCATGGGTGGCTATGTAGATGCGAGCTTGGCAGTCGGGGAGATAGGTGGCTTCGCGCAAGATTGCGCGCAGCAGATGTCGGGCCTCACTGCATTGTTGGTTGGTGAAGAGCGGCGGCATTGGTGTCGAGGTGCAGGCGGGCGCGACGCTGTCTGTCGCAGCAAAATTGGCGGGGCCGGGTGCCAAAAGGATCGACCCGGTGGACACAAGTCTTCGCCGAAAGCTGTGCATTGTGCCTGGCGTCTTGGGCGAATTTCAGGCCCAAGCCAGCCGTCGCTCTCGATCAATTGCCTTGTACCTGCTTTGCGCCCACCCTCGCCATGCGTAAGAGGTTTCACGGTCTGAAGAAACNNCCGTATGCCACTCGCCCTCTGTCCCCTCGCGCACCCACTGACAGCGCGCAGAAAGTCCGAGCCGACTGGTCAAAATGGTCCTTGTATAACATCTCGCGCCTTCAAACTCCCTACGCCGCTTCAAAGACCTTCTTCCAGCAAAAATGGCTAGCAAAGTCCCTGACCCGTGCATACCACGGCGAGCAGATTCGTGAAGGAAAATGGACTCGCATGTTTGACCGTCGCCTCCCCGCCGTCGTTCCCATGGACTACAAACTCCTCGCCCGCACAGATGGCTCCGAGCAGGCTACCGGCCGTGGCTCTGGTCTCACCATCAGAAAGAGAAAGGAGGACTCGGAGCAATCAGAAAGGCCAAAGCCTCCGCAAAGGACTCCATACATGCACATGACATATTTCCCTACTGAGCGCAGACTGGATACTGCCGTCTGGCGTGCTCTGTTTGCCAGCAGCGTCCGTCAGGCAAGGCAATTCGTTGTTCACGGCTCTGTCAAGGTTAACGGAAAGAAGGTATCGGCACCCCAAGCTAGACATTTAGTTCGCAAGCTGACATGTATAGNNATGCAACATCCGGGCTACCTTCTCAATCCGGGCGACATGTTTTCAGTAGAACCCGAACGCGTGCTCTACGCTACTGGCGCACGCAAGCACAACAAGAACTCCCCGGACACACTGCAAGGCCGCGAAGAGCCCGATGAGGTCGAGCAGATCGTTGATGACGATGCCGAGGCTGTTCTCGACGAGTCCGAGAACAAGGACAGCGAGGACGGCTCAAAGGCATCTGCCAAAACTACCAAGACAATTCTATCAGCCGACGAGGATCCCAAGGCCGCTCTCAAGTCGTTGCTTGCTCGCGCACAAGACATTACCAGAGACAGCAAGGAAGGCTTGTCTGGCAAGCGCAAGCAGGATCTACGCGCCTTCGCCAAGTCTGTCAAGCAAACCATGTCCCGTCTACGACCCTCGGGAATTGCTAAGCCTGGTACCGAGACCATTGACACATTGGAGGAGACGCTAAAGGCCATCGCTGCCAAGGTGCCCGTCGAAGGTGCACCAGCAGAGGCTGCCCTGCCCGACCAGCAACAGAAACCGGTCAAGAGAGAAGATGCGTTCCGCGCACGCAAAGACGCCGAGCTACTACACGCCGCGCTTGCGCGTGCAAACGAGAACCCGATTGATGCATCAAAGCCATATGCTACACCGTGGAGACCGCGTGAGTTTATGAGTGCATTTGCATTCATCCCGCGGTACTTGGAGGTCAACCAAAAGATTTGCAGCGCCGTCTACCTCCGTCACCCCGTCGCTCGACCTGGCTTGGCTGAAGTACCCACACCGTTCGCCAACGAGACAATGGCTCTTGCATTCAACTGGTACCTCCGCAGACGTTGAACGACTTGGATGTGGTGTCTTTCAGCTTGTACATGTTCAAAAATCGATTGGGGCGGCGTTATATGCACATCTATGTACTATAGCAAACGGAATGGGACAGGGCCCAAGAATGAGACGAGCCAATTGGCCTACTTTTCTGATATACAGTGGATATCCAACGTGCTGTCTCGAAGAAGCTGAAGAGATGCCCCTGAAAATCTGCAAGACATCGATCGATCAGGGCAACAAGAGTAGAATACACTTTGATAGTGCTATCTGTGCCAGAGCCGACGACCCACCGGCGGCCAATAGGCGTGCGTTTGCGGGCGGTGCACGGGCCAGCAGAGCAACACGAAGACTCCCAGTCGCGTCTCTCGCGACTGGCGCATCTTGCTCAGCCGAACGCTGGAGACATGAGTGGTGAGGTGACATTTTCGGTTGCTCTCTCTACACAATCCACTCTGCACACCGCCTGCCCGGAAACCACTTCTCCTCTGCACTGTAGTCACCTGTAAAGGCCACTAGCCGATATGGCTCATCACACGAACCGAACTCCGCACGACCAAGGCCACTACTCGATGCCATACGGCTCCCAGACAGCTCAGTATGCTGTCGCCCAGTCACCCGGCATGGCCCAGACTTTCAAGGCTCTGCAGGATGCCGGCTACGGTCAAGGAGCTTCAGCACCTGCTCCTCAGCAGAACATGCGTCCCACTTTTGAAAAGCCCACCATATATACCGTGAGCTAACCGATACCTGCTCGTCACTTGTGACCGACTGACGGCGAAGCTAGGNCTGTGTACTCGGGCGTTCAGGTCTATGAAATGGAAGTGAACAACATTGCTTGCATGCGACGACGTTCCGACGGCTGGCTCAATGCCACTCAGATCCTCAAGGTTGCTGGTGTCGACAAGGGAAAGCGCACAAAAGTTCTGGAGAAGGAAATTCTACCTGGCGAGCACGAGAAGGTCCAAGGTGGATACGGCAAATACCAAGGCACCTGGATCAACTACCGCAGAGGTCGCGAGTTCTGCCGTCAGTACGGTGTCGAGGATCTGCTTCTCCCCTTACTGGAACACGACCTTGATGGGTCTGGCGCTGGTCAGACTACCGAGACGCCGACCAAGGAACAAGCCATGGCCGCCAACCGAAAAAGATTCTACGCCGCAGGTGCTCAAGATAGAAATGGATCCGCTACTTCAAACACCTTCTTCCAAAACATTTCTTCCATGTCTTCTGTCGCTCTCGCTGCCCTGAACAAGGCTGCCCGCCTCAATTCGCCAGCGCGCCCGAGTCACATGAGACGATCTTCCCAACAACAACAACAAAACACTTCTCACAGCATCATGGCTGACGCAAGCTACCAAGTTCCCGACTCTGGCTACAACACACAGAGCGCTGCATGGAGAACCGCACCCGGTGGTCAAGAGCCCCCGAGAAAGCGTATGAGACCCAACGATGATATCCCTGTCGACGCTTCGATAATGTCACTCGATCCAACAGAGCCTGGTGAATCCTTCCTCCAGAGTACCCAGCAGTATCTCGAAGAAAACGTCAACGGTTCAGATGAACCCGTCACACTTCCTCCATTACCAGTGCCCATGGGCATCGACGAAGAAAACAAACGCCTGTTACTCCTTGACCTATTCGCCGAATCATCAAGACAAGACTTCGCTTCACATCCGGCCCTCCTGTCTCTATCACCGCAGGACTTGGACATACCTCTGGACCCTTCGGCAAACACTGCTCTACATTGGGCTGCAACGCTATCGAGAGTACCATTACTACGACTGTTGATTCAGAAGGGTGCCAACATATTCAGGGGCAATGCTGCAGGACAGAGTGCCCTGATCTCCGCTGTCCTGGTTAACAACTGTTGCGAGCATTCCTCTTTCCCCGACGTTTTGGAGCTTCTAAGTCCTCTGATCGAGGTCAGAGATGCTCAGGCGCGTACCATTCTCCATCACATTGCTGTGTCTTGTGGCATCAAAGGCAGAGCTCCTAGCAGCAAGTACTATTTAGAGGCTTTGTTGGAGTTCTTGGTCCGCAGTGTATCAAAGCCTGCACCGGTCGAGAATGGCTCTGCAACTCCCGGACAGGCAGGCAAAGAGCGCATGAATCTGATGCGCTTCCTCACGCATATAGTCAATGCACGAGACAAGGCGGGCAATACTGCGCTGAATCTCGCCGCCAGAATTGGCAACAGAGGTATTATCCAGCAGCTCCTCGAAGTCAAGGCCGACCCAACCATTCCCAATCAGAAAGGCATAACAGCCCGCGATTTTGGTGTGGGCGTCGAAGACGAGAACGGACAAGCAAACGCAGGATTCAACAATGCATCAAACATTGATCCGATATTCTCACAAGCACCCAACCGTGCGCCATCTCAGAACGCAACCACGGAAGGCGCGAACGAGAAAGAGCCGACACCTGTCTCCAACACAAACGTCATCGAAGAACAAAACCAGGATGTCATTTCTTCACTCACGAGTATGCTCACTGCGAATCTCGCTCAGCACAAACAACTACTTGCCGAGAAGACTACTCAGATTGACAAGCTCAATGCTCAAATACAAGAGTTGTCAGCAGTAGCAAAGACAGAGAGTGATCAACTAGCAACTCTTCAGCGCCGTGCCAAATCTCGTAGTGAAGCTCAACTCAAGATCGCGAACTTGAAGCGCATCCTTGAGGAACGTCACCGCAATGGCAGAAAGGTAACAAAGACAAACACCGTAGTAGGTGATGCAGACAGCTCTGTCTCCTCCGTGCTTGCAATCGTGGACAATCTGCCATCCGAAGCTTCAGATCCAGCACTGGCAGTGCAAAAACTGGCTCCGCCACTTCAGCAACAAGTTCTCAGCAACACACCCTCAATTGCCGAGCTACGCACTCTCAAGAAACTCTACGAGACAAACAACGACCGTCTACACCAAAAATCCACGCAGCTAAAATCACGCTCTTCACAGCTCGAACATCTGTACCGCAAAGTTGTATCTTTGTGTACCGGTGTCGCTGAAGACAAGGTCGAGGATCAACTAGGTGCGCTTCTGGCGGCCGTCGAGTCAGAGAAGGGAGCACTCGGAAGGGAAGAAGCAGGCAGAGTCAGGGAGTTTTTGATCAAGGTCGAAGGCGTTGGTGGTGGCAGCGAGGTCGTTGCCGTGTAAAAAGAAGAGCGCATGAGAAAAGTCCATATGGGAAGGAGGGAGGATAGGAGCATCAACCGCATAGCGAGGTTCATGGCGTAGGAGTCGGGATTACACGAATGATATCGGACAATTGCTCTCTTGATTCCTTGCTCTTGACGTGTGGTATCGTCGCACACGACGCACTACCTTGATGCAACTTTATAAGTCAAGCATAGGCTCTCAATGGCTAGCAAACGTTGACTGGTCAGTAGTTTGTGCATCGAATCGGCTAGTAACAGCAAATGCCGTTGACAGAGGAACGCACCTTCTCTGTCAATCGTTCTTTTCTTATCCAATGTCACATGCTTTTTGTGTCTGTGGTTGTCGCTTCCAGTCTTGCCAACTCTCGTGGAAATCTTGTGCCAGGAAGCTCCTCTTCGAGCAACGTGTGCATTTAATTACCAAGATCTTCTCCCTTATCGGCGCATGCGCGATCTATCTTTAGGCTTCCGGGCAGGATAGAGCATGGACATGTGCACTGAGCTTGGATGCGAACGCCTATAAAATCAATCAATCCGAAACACGAGGCTCTCGCAGTAGTTCGATTGGATGCCTGTCACCTCAGGCTGGAGAGGACCTAGGAATGCTGTGATTGATGCAGTGGTTCAGGGAAGTGGACAGAGGCGTTACTTTCGAATCATGGCCGTGGCGGTGGAGAAGAGTTCAGATCACCATGACATATTGTACCTCAAGTGTGTACAAATTCCTGTACTATATGCCGGGCAAGGAATTTACCATATCGAAGATTATGGAGACAGAAGCATGTGAGTATGGAAGTTTTGAACATTGTGGACATTATGATCGTATAATAACATCTCTCACGAACAAGTGCCTATCGGCAAAGTCCTTAACAAAGTCTGGGAAGCGCACCAGGACCGCACTCTTGCCAGTTCTTGATTTTCTCACAACTCCAGCTGGTGGTGATATTGGGGTCAAAGTCAGGTCCCTTGTAGGTAGTGCGGTAAGGGAACTTGCAGTGACTGCGCTCAAAAGCAACACCCTGGTTGGGGTCGTCATTAACAAACTTTGTACCGGTAATGGTGTCAGGAGCAACACCCTTCTCAGTCCATGCCACCAGTTGATCGATAGCGCTGTGACGGCCATTTCTGCCAGCAGCGATTTGGCCAAACTCCCACGCGCCAATTCCTCCAGAGCTGCAGTGATCACCGCCGCTGATACGGAAGAAGCGGAAGAATTGGTCAAGCTCCCCATCAGTGGCGCCCATAGTTTTGGCAACATGGAGGTAGTAGCGTTGGGAATTCTCGCCGGCGATGTTGGGATCGGCGAGACCGTGGTACATCATCAATTTGCCGCCAGCCTCGCGGAAGTTGCTGAGATCGCCGTTCCAGGTCGAGATGTTTCCGTGCAGGACATCTGTCTCGTCGGCCTTGGTGTAGGTATCCTGCCCCAAAGTGGTAGGGTCCCAATAGCTGTTGTTGTATACTGCATTAGCAATCCAGTTTGCAGCATTGCCAATAACGCTACCAGAGAACAGGCCTTGTTGAGATGCAACCAATTCGGCTCCGAGCGACAGAGAGGGGTAGAGCAGGTTCCCATTCTGATCGTACAATTCCGAGTAAACGTCGTTGACAGTCTGAATCTGAGTCTGAGTAAGACAGCGAGAGTCTGAACTGGTACCGCAACGTAGTTTTGAGGAATCAAACTCGCAGATGGTAGGATCTTCAATGATGCCATCTGCGACGCCATCCAATGGCTCATCGCATTGTCTGAGAATCTCCTCGTGAACATGGACCCATTGATCCTTAGAAAGAGCTCTGGAGTCCTTGCCAAACCCAGTGATCAGTAAGAACCTGGAAGTCCAGTCTGAAAGATGGTTGAAGTCAGCAGCAGCGGACCCAGCAAGAATACCATCGAAGTCGTCAGGAAACTCTTGAGCAGACTTCAATCCTTGACGACCGCCAGTGCTGCATCCGACGTAGTAGGAGTAGCTAGCCGGTTGATCGTAGTACTGTTTGATGACCTGCTTCGCAGCAACAACAGCAAGATGTCTTGAGCGGTATGAGAGGTCAATCACTGCCTCGTTGTTGTTGAGCAATTTTGATCCATCGGCAGTTGTTGAGTTGTGGCCTCCATTGTCTCCAACAGTGGCGTATGATAGCGAGCTCATGTACTTCATGTCTTTGTATTCCACGCAACCAGCCAGACCACCATTGTAAGTATGCAAGAGCCTGCCGTTCCATGGATTGTTTCCTGAGGGAAGCCAAACCTCTACATAGTTGTGAGAAGTAGGGCTAGTAGCAACAGTCAAAACGACTCTGCACATATCAATTTCAGTCTGAGTTTCGGAAAAGCAGACACTTTGATCACCATCGATCTTGATAGTCTCTCCAGCAGTGTGATAGCTGCAGGATGCCAGAGAAGCATCGACACCCTCGAACGAGAGGTGATCGACTAGATTATCACAAGTGACCGCGGCGGAAGCAAGGCCAATGGAGGTGGCCGCCAAAACGAATGACTTGAACATATTGATTGAACCAAAGGAGTGACAAAGAACGAAGGGAAAGAGATGCAAAGGAAAAATCAGTACTCAGGCAGGAACGACCTGCTTTTGAGTACCTACTTGCCTCGCGTTTTTTCCAGTGCCAATCGTCCGTGCCGTAATCTGCGGGTATCTGAGTAGCTACTTCCCATGCAGTGGTGCAGCGAGATCGTCTGAGCTGGGAAGAGATTCATGATCTTCAGGCACATCCGGGCCGGCTGTGGCCTTCCGACAGGACGTGCCCAGGGTGCTTGTGTTACAGAAAACGTCGATCTTGAAAGCCATGCTCAGACTGGCTAATGTCCACCATTTGACATGACAGGAGCCGATAACATATAGATCAGTTGTAAACATCTCGGAAGACGCATGGATGTTGTCAAGACCATCCGCCCTGACTTTGTTGTGATGCATCGATGTGGACATGGATGTTGCGGTTGATGAGCCGCAAATTTGTGGGTTCCATACCAACCTCCTTCAACCCTAAATAGACCTCCAACCAGCCAAGCATTCACATTGCGTAGCCTCAAAGAACACTTTTAATCTACTTGGAAAGCAAAGTATTTCAGAGAAAGTCAACAACTTCGATTTCGAAGAGGATTCAAATCGGGTTCTACCTGGTAGAACAATTGCTGTCTATGCACAAGCAATGGAGTGTTCGTTATGATATGGGCAGACGTTCGGTAACAACATCGTTTGCGTCGTTTCTTCCGCTCTGCAAGTTTGCAACAGCCCATCTTTCTCCACTCTCTTCATATTGCTAGCAAAGATCTGAGCTCTACATTACAAGCGTACCTGTCTGTCGGATGTCCATCGAAGAAGCGCCAACGTAGATCTTGAAGTCACCAGTCGGCAGAGCCCACTCTTGTGCAGTCACATCCCAGAAAGAAAGATCTCTACGACGCAGTGAGAATTTCACTTGGCCGTGTTCATCCCTCTTGAGTTCAATACGTTCGAAGCCACGGAGAGCTTTGATGGGCTGGTCTGCTTCGGAGTCCTCTGGGTAGCCGATATAAAGTTGTGGAATCTCGGCGCCTTCACGCGAACCATTATTCTTCACGACAACATCAACNCTATCGCAGTCAGTACGAACCTCAAGGCTTGTGTTGGCTTAATTTACCTCTGCAACAACTTCGAACAAGTCCGCACGACCTCCAATCTCAAGGGGTCCCTTCGAGTGGTATGAAAGATTGGACATGATCCGGGTGGTTTTGAGATCAGTATAGTCAAAAGAGGTGTACGATAGACCATGGCCAAATCCATATCGAGCAGTGGTGTTGCTGTGCTCGAAATACTTGTAGTCGATATAGTTGCCCTCGGAATATGTGCAGTTTTTGGTGTAGCAAATATCCACATTGTAGTCGCTTTCATTCTTTGCAATCGTGTGTATGAGCCTACCCGACGGATTCACCTCGCCGTAGAGTACATCAGTGACAGAGTTACCACTTTCTTGTCCAAGCGGACCAGAGTAAAGTACGGCGGTGACGTTCTCATTTTCAATCCATTGGTCTACCAGACGGATTCCAGTTGTGGTGATGACGACGATGGTGTTGTTGCAATTGGCAGCCACAGTATTTACCATCATGTCTTGATCATTGTTGTAAAGCTCAGTACGATCGGCACCTTCACCTGACAGAGCATTGATGAAGACAAGACAAGCATCGCTGGCAGCTGCATAGCCTGCGTAAGAGGCATCGACAGCGGTCTCCGATGAGGATAGAGTGACCAGAGTGTTGCCAGAGCTGCTTGCAGTATAAGTGTCGTTCAGAATCCATTTGACGTTAGTATGCTCCTTGCTTGCTCTCAACGTGATAGCCGCCTCAGGAGTGATGAGATAGGGCAACGAAGATTGAGCAGAGCCGGAGTCGCTGGCAAGATGGCCATCGTAGGTAGGTCCAGAACCTTGGACTGTGAACTGCATGTTCGGTCCACCCATCACCGGTCCGGCGTTGGCACCGAAGAGTGTCAATCTTCTAGGCTTGTGGAGGGGGAGACCACCTTGGTTCTTGAGAAGGACGATTGACTTGGCACCGTTTTCCCGAATGATCTCAGCGTGGTTAGACATAGTGTCAACGTAGTCATCATANCTAGAGTGATGTCAGCGTGTGTCTCTCGTTTTGTCTTTCGGTGCACATACTCCTGCCTTTGATGGTTGCTCTCCGTTATCCAGATTGGCTTTGTAGTAGGCGATCACATTGCGAATGACCATGTCGTTCAGACGAGTCTCAGTGAGAGAGCCGTTGTTGAGGAAGGCTTTGACGGTTNNTGATGCTGACCAAGTGCTACTGGACCCATAGTCTAGCCCACCCACAATGGAACCATACGCCGTCTTTTGAGCCATGGTATCAGGAAACACGAAGCCCGGGAAGCCAAGATCAGTTTTGAGTGTATTCATAAGAAGAGACTTATCTTCGCAAGCCGCAGAACCGTTGACTTCAGTCATTGCACACATTACAGCACCAGTACCAGCNTGCGGTTTGTTAGCGTAAGACTCAATTGCCATTGCAAGCAACATACCCTTGATGATGTCGTACCATGGCCAAAGGTAAGTCTCCCTGAACGTCTTGTCGTCTATATTGGATGAATAGGGAGCAGAATCGGTAGAAGACTCGGCGGATTCAGTGTCAGGAGAGTTGTCTGCTCTGAGTCTGAGGGTCATGCCGGACGGAGCAGAGCCTGAGGGAGCAGAGCCTGAGGGAGCAGAGCTTGAGAGAGCAGAGCCAGAGAACATAGAGCCGCTCCCCATAACTCCACCCATACCGCCACTTGAAGAGCTGCGGTTGGTTTCTTGCTCATATAGGATGAAGTGCTGATGTAAAGTTAGTGAGTTTCGANNGTGACGAAGACAAACGTATCATACCTTGCCACCTGCAATGACACCACCAGCTCGATAGGCTCTAGCGCTGATACCACCAAGGATTCCATTGAAGTAACTGTCGGGTCCGAACGACTCGCCATTTCGACCGCCCCAAGCTGTTCTGCCCATGGGGTTGGACACGGGTCCGGCCAAGAGCTGCAGTCCCTTTTGGTAAAATTCGGTGGCTACAGCTTTACCTTGCTTGTAGACAGCATCTTTATCCCAAGTCATAGCCAGCGCACAAGTCATGGAGAACGCGCTTTCATAATAGAAGTTTTCCGCCCCTTGTGGACCATCAGACTGAGCAAGGGCTGTCCAATTGGCTGAACCGTCGGAGAGAGATCCAGCTCCAATGATAGTAATCTTTTCCTCGACTGTGAGCTGCGAGACGAAGTTCTGAGCTTTGTTGAAGGCAGTCTGCCAATCTCCGAGAGACACAAGTCCATTGGTGATAAGACCTTCCTCTGTAGTGTTGACGGATGCGGAGCAAAGAGTTGCAGCACCCAAAACGGCTACGGCGGTTCTCATGGCAGGATGAATGGTGTACCGGGTGGTAATGAACGAGGAAATAAAGCGAATGTACAGAAGTTCTATCAAGTCAGAGAGCAACTGTTCCATGATATAAAAGTCCATCCATTATGAGAGTCGATAGAGTTGACTGTGAAATAAAATGCTGTCGTAAGCATATAGCCGAAGTCAGAGGTCTCTCTAGGGCATAGGGCCTGAGAACATGGGATAATCAGTTGTTGATCGATTCTTTAAAACCATGGGTATCGCCACGAGGCCTACATCTCGACCTCGAAGACTGATAAAGCGTTACAAAGGTCACTCTAACCATTTCTGAGCTATCCGCTGAAAATGGAATCGATCAATCCAAACGGATTCGAGCTCTGTAAATTTACCTGTATATGGCCGTAGCCGCGCAGTCTCGACCTTACCAAGCTCTGACTGGTTGTTGTGACCGATGGCTCTTTCCTCATAGATGGACCTTTGTTTCAGACTAGCAATCTGCAGGTGCAAACCGGGGGCTTTGATGACGCATATAAGAATGCCCTAAGTGGTGGACGGATTGGTCGATGGTCGCGTTATTGTCGTCGCATGGACGCATCTCTAGAACTCCAGTGCCACGCGTAAGCAATCTCTTGCTTGGGAGAGGCAGTGTCAAAGCCTCGTCGCAAAATTTCACTATGTCGTGGACCGAAGGGCGTTGCGGCAGAATGCACAGCACAAACCTCGATGCAAGGAGGTTGTGGAGAGAAACCGCTGAATGACGAAGTTCAGCGTGACTGCCCAAGTTGGAAAATCATGATGATGCGGGCACAGCCACAGCCACAATTTGCACATGAGGTTCAAGTAAGGTAGAGAATTTCTCAGAACAGGTAGAAGCCTGAGACGCGAACCGTGCACCTAGTCTATGGGGCAGTATATTCGCGGATATGCTAGGTATACCGGGGCCCCTCCCTCCCTCGTAGCGGGAAGCTCGAGGGCGCTTCTTATCATATCTATCCTAGCCCTCCGGCCTCCGGGGGGAGTGCGTAAGATAGTAATAGGCCTCGCGCTTATAGGGCTCGCTAAGGGACGGGTCCGGCGAGGGGTGCTTCATAGTTTTTGGACTTTTGTGGGTCTACCTGTTCTGAGAAATTCTCTACCTTAGCTGACCTGCAACCCGTGCACATGACATGGCGTCTTGAATCCATACATCGTGCATCACCGCTCATGCCCAAATCTCATACCTGATCACAGTTGCATCATTGTCCCCAGACTCCGCAGGCCACATATCGCAGATCAAGTAGTAGCTAAAGATGCGAACACCGCTGCTCGCGCTGTTTGCTTTGATGGCATGCGTATGCCGCGCCTCTCGCTACGTCCTCTACCTGACAGGGCAGCATCCAGTCTTTCCTGCGGACGTTCATCTCGCGGATGTTACGCATGTTGTATTGGCTTTTGTGAAATCTTCGAATTTCATCGGAAAGAGTCCCTCCTCTTGGGATCCTTTCACATCTGTTGAAAGCGTCCGCGCCAAGTTTCCTAAGAACAAGGATGTTTCCGTTATGATAGCTATAGGTGGATGGGGGGACACCAATGGCTTTTCAGCGGCTGCCGCTTCACAAATGGGCAGGAACGCATTTGCTGCGAACGTAAAAGCTATGCTTGATTCAACTCAGGCGGACGGCGTCGACATCGATTGGGAGTATCCTGGCGGAAACGGCGAAGACTACAAGCAAATCCCAAACTCCCAAAAGAGCTGGGAGGTCGAAGCGTATCCAAAGCTGCTCGCCGAGATCCGAGCAGCCATTGGACCTGACAAAATCATGTCTGCAGCAGTTCCGTAAGTCTATGAACATGTACTCACTCATGAGTCGGGCTGCGTCAGCCTGCCAAAGCACCGTCCTGGCTTGACTTCTACAGTCTCTCATCTCGTATCTCTTGGTTCACCAGCGAGCGGAAGCAAAGACTGCTTACCTTGAAGCCGAGACATCGATAGCAAGTCTCGTTCGGGAGCATTGATGATGTGCATGTAGGACTGGTCGTCCACGATGTTCACAGCTGACAGAGTCTTTCCGTCATTTCCTGTTCACCTTCCAGGCAGACAAGCCGGCGCATCTCGACTCATGATGCGGCACAATCCTTCTAGAGGCATCATGCTAACGCATATCAAGGGGCAAACCAATCGATATTCAGGTCGCATTTACGAAAGACACGCTTGCTAGCGCAACGGAACATCTTGACTTTCTCAACATCATGACATATGATCTTTTCAACAGGCGAGACAACGTTACTATGCATCACACCGGCATTAACAATTCGATGGTTGCGGTAGACACATACCTGATGAACGGCGTTCCTCCTGAGAAAGCGAATCTAGGGTTTGCCTTCTATGTCAAATGGTATCGAACAGATGGCGACTGTAGCCATGAGCCCGTAGGCTGCAAGACGGCATTGATGGAGGACCCGAAGACAGGAAAGGATCTAGGTCAAAGTGGATCCTTCTCATGGCATGACAAGGTACCCAAAGAGCTTGAGAAATCATTCCACACAGCTTTGAATAAAAGAGATTGGGACGACGATGGTAACTACTACTGGGATGCAGAAGAAAACATTTTCTGGTCATGGGAGACGCCTGCATCTATGGCAGAAAAGTTTCCGATCATTGTGAAGCATCGCAAGCTTGGAGGTGTCTTCGCGTGGGGCTTAGGAGAAGATGCGGACGCGTTCCTTCACCTAAAGACGCTGAACGCTCTTTACAGGAAATATCTCAAGCTGTATGTTCCTTCCAGCCGTCACCTGGAGCAATACTGATCGCACAAATAGCAAGCCGAAAAGTGCCAAGTCCGAGAGAGACGAACTCTGATTGATGATTGTAGCGCAACTTGCATGATGTAGCTATTGTTATCGCAAGAAAATTGGGTTGACAGAGAGGCAGAAGAGTTAGCGCCTCTTTCTAAGGTACAGGGTCGCCTTCATGATTCATCGGAGCAGAGGCCGTTACCCCAAGAATGGCAGTTTGAGCCTCTTTCTTGCATCTGTCTTCCGAAGCTTCGGCATATGAACCAAAACCTTTACGCAAAGTCTCTTTTTGCTACATGAATGAAAGAATTGCTTAAACGATATCAAGTCTGGCTTGTCGAAATCCTGTACCTTACGATCAGGCGGGTCTTGAGAGTGATCGCGATCTCAAGACACCACCAGCCGCCGTATCGAGAGATCACAATGTTGAGATAGAATGCTTTATGGACATTGGATGGCAGTCCTCCCTCGTTGCGTATCAACTGGGTCGTACCGCTGCTGCCGCCCGCTCTGTGCGCTGGGGCACTTGATCACTGTGCCTTAATTATCACACATTCACCATGGCGATTGGCAGAGAGGAAATGTAGGAGAGCATGGCTACTATTGTCGACTATCACACAGCGGATCGAGTCTTGCATCAGCCATCGACGACAAAGGATGATGATTCCGACCCCTTCGGACCATCACGATTCGTCAAGCTGCATTTCCGAAACGACAGCCGTTATCTCCCATGCCTATTCCGCCTACAAGCCCATGATAGGGCTTATTACCACGGGTTGGGCACTCAACACGAGAAAAAATTGCGCCCATGACGGAGAAAATGCTCATCTTCTCTCTTACCAACAACGGCATTCTGGGGTTCGGGGTGCCAATCAGCCGGGATCCTCTGCGTCATCTCTACGAACGCGCCTCTTCATCCTCAGCCTCTCCTGCTATGCGCATGTTTTTCCTCTGGTTAGCCTCGCGGCCGTTACGTGTAGCCGGCGGAACGCGACAGTGACAAGCATGCTAATTTTGCAACTGCTGCCGGCCTTTTGGACGACCTTTAGTGCGACGACTCTCTTGGCCTACGAATGATCGAGCAACACGATGGAACAAAGGAAAAAGTCGGCGCAGCCTGGTGACCAACTTTTCGATCCCAGTATCATCCTGCGGGGTGGAAATAAACACATTGAGAGTCTTGGGGATGCCGCTGACCTCGAGGCTTTCATAAAACTTGAATGTTCGCAAGAAATCAGGGAAATGCATTTAGAAATTTGGCCAACATTCCAGCGCAATTCTTGCCGAATGCGACGACATTTGATCGCTTTCCTGCATCCGGGGAGACTGTGGCTAGTAGAAGAGCCGCCAAAGTGTGACAGGGATGTGGATCCTTCGCCATCATTATTCAGAGTTGTGTGCTTATGAGGTAGGCTCTCCGGCCCGTTCATGCAATAAGCAGGTCTTCCAATCCTATTTATCGGGTTGCAACGCAAAGCACAAAGCGCTTATATAGCGCCCCTGCCTATCCTCGATCAAATTTCTCCAAAGCATCTACCTTTGTTGGAAATTATATATGTCCGACCTGACCAATTGCTTTGTCTGGTCTTGCTACTCAGATCACACCTCCTCGAACTCGACCTTAGACTCAACCTCAACATCAACCACCTTTACACCCAAGTCACTAGTATCCCAACCACAGTCAACATGCGCGCCCAAGGTTCTTACTTTCCCGTCTTCCAACCTCCGGACAGTATGCCAGATCTACAAGGCAGGACTGCTATCGTTACGGGAGGTGCATGTGGGATTGGGTATGTGTATACTTCATCCTCCCAGCTTTGATATGTCTTATCTGACAAATTCAACAGCAGTGAAATCGCTCGAGCCCTCGTCATTCACAAATGCCGAGTCATAATGGTGAATGTCCACGAAAAGCAGAGCACCGAGGCACTCTCCACCATCCGCGATGAAGTTGGCTCAGACGCACCTCTTGAACATCGATACTGCGACATGACGGACCTCATACAAGTACAAGAAGTGTTCTCGGTTCTATGCGACGAGCTACCTCGACTGGATCTGTGTATATTCGGCTCAGGGATTGACCAGGCCCACTTCACAACCGATCTACACTGCATAGATGCTTACTTCGGCATGATGTGGCTGGGTCATTTTTACGCCAGCAACCTCCTCTGGCCTTTACTTCGCAGAACCTCCAGGATACACAGCACACCGGCCCCTCGAGTCATCTTCGAGGCCCCGGAACAGCAACGTCTACAAAGCCTTTCCGACGGCTCATCTAGTGACGAAGAAGACTCACGCCGCTCTGCTTACAATGCCGAAGTGTGTTCTGAGATTTTTCGCCGCTCGAAAACGAGTCTGTTACTCGGTGTCAGGCATGGTCTCGCCGAGCGTGTTGTCAAGCGCCATCACGACAAGATTTATGCACTTGCCGTCCAACCGTCGAAGAACTTGGCAGATGCAGGCAGGCAACCTAGAAGGGACAGCCATTGGCAACCCTCAACCCTGTGCGATCACGTTCTCGACACTCTTTCCAAAGATACTAGCTTCACGGTACGCAGCAGCTCGCGTATAGTCCTCTATGCAGCCACATCATCCGATGTCGAGAGCAAGTACTTGAATGGCGCATATCTAGTCGATGTTGTAAGTCGTTTGTTCCAACCCTGCTTTTGTACATATTGCTGACGTAGGCACTCTAGGNGCGTTTCAGGACGAGAGAAAGATCTAGCCGCCGATCCTTCCTTGGGCCCTGGCTTCTGGGACATTAGCGAGAGAGCCATCAAGGCAGTGGTGGGCAAAGATGCCATGGTGCCTTGGGACCACGAGTGGGTGAAGTCACCAAAAGATGTGTCTGCATAAGTGCTAGTGAGGCTTTACGAATATAACGAATTTCTCTTTCTCATCAGCCTCGTTCCCACCAATGTGTCTTTCGTAACAATCCACAATTGCATCGAGTCCCAAGTCTTCCCAAAAAAGCGAATTGATGTTCAGGGGCAGCAGTCACCAAGAAAACCAGGTTTGCGGGCCGCACCTGCCGAATGCAACGACGATCTTGGGGTGTGATGCGGAGAGCAGAATCAATTTCTCGGCCTCGGCTGCAGGAGCCGACGTGGAGGTGGTGAGAGGGCGGAAAAGCAAAAATCGCGACTCCAAACCTGCAGACAGATTGTACTTGTCGACTTGTGTGCGATCCTCAGGGCAGGGAGTACTCGAGTACGTTTACGCAAGGTACCTGCTAACACCTGGTTTTGAGAACGGATTTATGAATCTCGTTTAGGTACTTGCCTCTATGCCATCGATTGCGTGCTAGTGTCAGTACCGTAGGTGCGGCCTAGACTCTGCTAAATGTCAGGTCATGATGATGAGCTGTGATCGGGTTGTATAAGGATCAAAGAGACATGTGATAGGGCTTGCAACAGGATGCGACGACATGGCTCAACTGTCGATACCGAATGCAAACCAATATCATCCTGGCGCGATCCTTTAGGTCTCATAACCCCGCTGTTACGCGTGGACGACGGAAGAATAGGCAGGGTCAAAGAGAAAAAAGCATGTCATACGAGGCCAAGAATTTTGTTTGATGGGAGCCAAACACCACCGCCATAAACGCCTCGCTAATACCAAGAAATGTATGGCAACAGAAACAACAGACGAGCACCATGATAGGAAAGATGATATCATATCTCCTGTCCAACAGCATATGCACCAGCAAAGTCCATGCCCGCAATCTGACCTTGCAGTTGGTCAATCTCCTTGGTCAAATCCTCGACATTACCAGCCAGACTAGCCACTTCATCAAACCTCCTTCGTTTGTTGGCATCAGCAATCATGCCTTCGACGAAGAATTTTTGTTCCTCGAGGACTATCATCCTCTCTCGAAGTTCTTTCTCCTCGGCTTCCAAGGCGGTGACCTGGGCGGATGACGAGCTACTCGCTCGACTGCCCTGGGGCCTGGTCTGATCGTTCCTGATGGCAGCCAAAGGATTCGCCGAGGACTTGGCTTGCGATTTGCCGTGTGGGGTTGCATGTTGGAGCAGTTTGGGTAAGGATTTGAGGGGAAGCATGTGTATGTGGAGGAAAGTGGTCGCCTGTGCATAAATGGCCTTTTGTAAACGGTCCTGCGTCTGGCTCTCGGTGGGCAAGTCTCTGATCCGTCTGGCCGCAACGTCGTATTGTGTGAATGCATCCATAAGCCGCCTGCGTACTTTGGTGGCATCGTTCAACTGAGTCGGTGTTGGAGGCTTCTCGGGATCTTGCAAGGCCTGAAGAAGTTTTTGGAACTTTGGCAACAGAAGGCGAATGCCACGCTCGAACTGGACAAGGTTCTCGTAAGCCCGCTGATCCGGAGGTCGTATCGAGAGTTGACGGGCAAAGTCGGATTTGCTAAAAATTGTGTGCTGGCAGTCCTTGCACATACGCACATCGACGGCCACTTGACCAACAGACTTCTCCAAACCATTAGTTTTGAGAGGCGCATCGACATTCAAGCCAATTTCGGAGGAACAGCTCGTGGCTGGATCGCCGCACACGACTCTTCCACATATCCGGCAATGATGGCGACGGAAAGAGTATTGAGAAAACTGTTGCTGGCAGAAAGGACAATGCGGGACTAGGGCGTCGTCTTCCCAGGTTACAACCGACTGCTCCAAAGTGCGGATGTGATTCTTAGAGCCAGCGAGAGACCACAGGAAGCTACTAGTGCTTTGGTCATTCTCAGGCGGAGGTGGATTGGCCAACAATTGTGTCAGTCTCGAGAGGCGCTTCTCCAAGCGGCTCACTTCGAGATATGCTTTGTCTACGGTGCGTCTACGGACAGCAGCGAACTCTTGGGTGTGATCGCGCTCGAGTCCGGAGTGATCGTTGTAACCCGGGCGACTCTTGTAACAAGTCTCGCACACGCGACACCACAAGCCGCGAACGGGCTCGTGTTGGGCCGAGCGAGACAGCTTCATCTGATACATGGTGTGTTCCTCGCAGAAAAGCTTACCGCAGTGTCTACAGTTGATGTTGCCGTTTGTGCTTCCAAGACGCTTTCCGCACAAGGGGTCTGAACAAGAGTCGTGGCCTGAAGAACGCTGCCAGTGTGCTTTGGTGACGACATGATCAGGATCCAGGCGGGTTTCTGGTAGGACAGCAGGGGCTTGGGCAGGGGTGTTATAGCCCGAGTTCGAGGAGGGTAGAGGGGTGGTCGAGGCGAGTTGTGTGGGAGCAGTGGCGTTGGACTCGAAGACGTCGAGGCCTTTTAGTTTCTGGTTGAGGACGGCGAGCGGCTGGAAGCGCTTTGCCTTTTTCATCTGTTGTTCGAACCAGTTCTTGACTTCATCTTGCTCGACTTCCTGCAGGTTCTGGTGGTTGTCGTCGAGGTGTCGGTTGAGTTGCAGGAGCGTGACCATGTGCTCGTTGCAGATGGGACAGACGAGGCGCGAGCTGGCGGCAGCGGGGCCGACGGGGCCATTGTTGGAGTCGAGGGCGACTCTGGAGGCGATGTCGTCGGTCTCGGTGGTGCTTGTGTGGGAGCTGGACGCCAGCGACAGGGAGCTTTCCGAGGGCGTGAGCTGGTGCGGGCGCTGGGGCGCGACGGCGGGCGACAGCGAGCGGCCGCTGCCCAGGACTCGTCCTCCGCCTAGGGTCCTTCGCGATGCCATGGTATAGGAACGGCACGAGGCCGGCAAGTTGCTTTCCAAGACTCAAGCTTGTCGACTACACCGCCCCTGGCCCCTCGGTCTCGGTGGCTGTCGGCCCGTTGCATGGACCAGATGTTCGACATTCGGTATCATGCGATGCCGCCCAAGACGAGCTTTCCCGCGGGGTTTGCCTTTCTTATCGCCAATCGACAAATAATCTTCTGGTCTTGTTACTGCTCTTTCCGTCAAATCTCTTCTCACTCTCACACCCTCTCTACACTATGGCCAAGTTCCCGGAAATCGAGGGCGGCGGCTCCCTGATGCTCGCCTGGCAGATCCGCAACAAGCTGGTTCTGATGGTCGGCGGCGGCGAGGTCAGTCGCTCGTGACGCATATCTTACCTTGGGTCTTGACATTGACCAAAAGTCAAGGTAGCCGCCGGTCGCATCTTGAACCTCCTCAACTCGGATGCCAAAATCCGTCTCATCAGCCCTCGTGACGGCCTCAACGATGAGGTCGCCCACCGCGTCGAACAGGGTCTCGTCGAATACATTGATCGCACCTTCGAGCCCTCGGACCTTGACGACCCCGCCATTGCCATGGTCATGACCGCCATCGACGACCCAGAAGCCTCGACCATGATCTGGAAGTTGTGTAAAGAGAAGAGGATTGTTGCCAACATTGCAGATGTCCCACCAGAGTGCGACTTCTACTTTGGAAGCCAGTATAGAGACGGTCCTTTGCAGATCATGGTCAGCACTAGCGGCAATGGCCCCAGGATGGCAAACATTGTTCGCAGAAGAATTGCTGCCAGCTTGCCTCCCAACATGGGTGAAGCCATCAAGAAGGTCGGTGCTCTGAGGAAGAAGCTGAGACTAGTCGCTCCTGGTAACGAAGAGGGGCCCAAGAGAATGAAGTGGTATGTATACCCCTCACTGTGCCAGCAACTATAAAAGGCTAATGCCCTGTAGGNNATGATCAAGGTCTGCGATAAATGGTCCCTCGAGGACTTTTGCACAATGGAGGAGCGCGACATGGAGGCTCTACTCGAGAGTTATGCGCCAGATGTCGTCCCTTCTTTCGAACAAGTTCGATTAGGCGAAGATCCTAATGTTTGGGAATTCGATGGCTCTTTTGGTTTTGCTGTCTAGATTTCATGAGCATGCGCATGGTTTTAGGTATGGCGTCCGGTTTAGATTTTGGGAATACCAGTCATGGTTGGCAATAGATGTGTGGTTTTGTTTCGCTTCGATGTATTATTATTTTCTTCAGAATCGTCAGTGTCATGGAGTGGTTGTCTGACGCGCCGACTGATTTGGATTTCCGCTTCCTTCCAATCCCAACTTTGACTCCACGACATTCATCCTCAGACCATCAACAACACAACATGGCCTCAACCAATGCACAGGTCCCGAGTTATGATGAAGAAGTCGACTTCCAAGCGCTGGCGATGATTGATCCCGGGTTTGCCAAATTCTATGATGACGCAAACGGACACGTCGATTTTCAAGATCCAAAGGCATTGCAGCAAGTCATCTATCGTCCTCAATAACTGTGATTTGTGAATACTGACTGCGATCAGANNCAGCTCACAAAAAGTATCTTGAGACGAGACTTTAATCTCGAGCTTGACCTGCCCGATGACAGATTATGTCCTCCGGTCCCCGTCAGGTACAACTATATTCGATGGCTCCAAGAGTTGATGGACACAACCAGCGATGTCGATATTGAAGATCCCTCCAAGCAAAAAGTCACTGGCTTGGACATGTAAGTGCTCTGCCAGCCAGTACACATCGGGAGCCTGTCCTCACAACGCTGTATCAGTGGCATTGGTGCATCATGCATTTACAGCCTGCTGGCTTGTTCCTCACGACCATCCTGGAATATGCTTGGTACTGATATCGATCCCCAAAACTTTTCATACGCCAATGGGAATATTGAAAGAAACAGATTGGACGAGAGAATCCAAACGAAGCTAAATACTGCTCAAGACGTGTTGATTTCACCTCAAGCATTTGACCTCGACAGACTCGATTTTACTATGTGTAATCCGCCCTTTTATTCAAGCGCTGAAGACCTGGCAGTCTCGAGTGCAGGGAAGTCCGGCCCTCCTAGTGCCGTATGCACAGGCGCAGAAATCGAGATGATATGTCCCGGAGGCGATGCCGGATTTGTGCTGCGTATGGTTGAGGAGAGCAGGGAACTGAAAGATTGTGTCAGATGGTACACGAGTATGCTCGGAAAGCTCTCTAGTGTGCATCAAGTCATCGATCGACTCAAGGAGATTGGCGTCAACAATTGGGCTGTTACACTGCTTCGAGCAGGGAACAAGACTCGGAGGTGGGCTGTAGGATGGAGCTATGGAGATAGGAGACCGAGTAACGTGAGTAGACTGCGAATTTTGACTTGTAGCTATGGTACTAACAGATACAGGNCGGTTGCCAGAGGCAGTGATGTCGGCACTCACATTCTGCCATACCCAACAGCTCAAACCATTCACACCATCGGATTCACGAGGCAAGAAGCAGCTGATCTGCTCAACAAAATTCTGCAGGCGCTCGACATACAGTGGTCCTGGCAGTCTAAGAACTGGGCTGGTCATGGTATTGCTACTCAGAACGTATGGTCACGCTCAGCAAGACGTAAGCGCAAGAGAGTAGAGATGGACCAGGAGGACGGGCATGGAGCAACAGTACAAGGCGAGGTGATCAAACCTACAGATCCGGTCAAGGTCTCGTTGAAATTCGATATTGAAGTGAAAGAGGGCGACATGGAAGTTCGCTGGCTCCAAGGAAAAGACAACATCCTCTTCGAAAGCTTCTGCGGCATGCTGAAGAGATCTATGAAGCAGAAGTAACGGCGAGTGAGCAGAACCATTTCATCATCACCCAAATCGGCTAAGTATGATTGTCATGATTAGCATTGATCTGAGAGGACCTCATGTTCGGATGGGTGTGTTTTCCAGCGCCCAAGATTGACGGTGACCCTGGCTGATGACATGCACAATGACGCACGGCTTGCAAAGTGGCTGCCACTTTATTCCCGGCTCGGCAAAACATCTTATCAGTCGTTCGCGATGCCGACACGCGACACAATTTTTCCTCAACCAGTGTCCCGCTCCCTCCTCTTGGTCAACCGTCGTACCTAATGATCTTTTCTCTATTGGAATGATGTGTGCAGCATTCGGATACGTCAAAGGCATTCAATAACACTTACACCTGGATATTTCATAACCCAATCGTCTGTGATTCCTTTTTGACGATTCGTTTTTTCTCTGCAGTGAACCGCGGATAATTGGAACCAGCAAATCACCGGCCAGCGATAACATCTTCTGGAATTGCCACAAAAAATACTTGATAAGTCTACAACTCTGCGCGGTATCGCCGCGTGAGAATTGACCGATCTCCTGTTGGAAATCGACTCGAGGATACGCAACAGCTATCTGTAGCACAGACAGCTGGCACAGGAACTACTGTTGTACAATGGACCACTTCAACTCTACCAATGAAGAGCTTGCGGGCACCATCCGCCTGTTCAAGGATTCGGATTCGACATCCTCGGATAAGATCTTGTTGCTTCCTCAGCCCACGGAATCGCCCAATGATCCGTTGAACTGGAGTTACTGGCGAAGAATGTGGTCGGCTGCTTTGGTGTTGTACATTACTGCTTTGACTGCCGCTACATCCAACAGTGCTGGTGCGGCAGGTACAGCATTGGTAGATAATTATGGGATTGGATGGGGAGTTCAAAATACTGCAGCCGGCGTTCTGTTCCTGGGTATTGGCTATTCATGCCTGGCACTGTCTTCTGCCAACTGGTTGTATGGCAGACGCGTTTCGTACATTATCTGTCTAATCGCGTCTATCATTGGCAGCGCCTGGTTCGCTCGGTCCGATAGCAAGGTGGACACGATTCTTTGCCAGTTGTTTTTGGGGATTTCCGAGTCTGTTGCCGAGGCCACTGCACAGCTCTCACTGACAGACGTCACCTTCCAACATCAGCGTGGCTCTGTTTTGGGAGTCTATGTGCTTGCAACCTCCGTTGGAACTTTCCTTGGTCCTATGATCTCTGGTTTTATCGCCGACAGTCCGCTTGGCTGGCGCTGGATGGGCTGGTTTGCTTTGATAATCTCTGGTTGCACTCTCTTCGTCTTCTATTTTGGTCTAGAGGAGACCGCCTTTGACCGTGACAGTGTTTTGGATGGTCTGGCCACTGGACGAAGCTCCGCCGAGACCGAAATGTCTGGCGAGAAGAAGACGGTCGCAGATCCCACATCTGTGATTGTCGGCGACGAAACCAACAGCGATCATCAACTCAGGAAGGGCAATTTGATTCCCAATGGCTCTGACTTGGTCCCCAAATCTTACTGGCAGCGCGTCGCCCTCATCACTCCGTCACCTACTTTGATCGGAACTGGGTTCAAGCAATACATGCGTCGTACATTTCACACCCTGCGTATCTTCTACTTCCCAGCCGTCATTTACTCTGGTCTGCAATGGGGTATGCAAGACGCCTTCCTCTCCTTCTACATGACCGTTGAAGACGACAACTGGACCTCTGAACCTTACAACTATGGCGACCGTGCAGATGCCATTATGTGTATCCCCACTCTCATCGGTGCCATCATCGGCTGTGTATACGGAGGTTGGTTCTCCGATGTCTTTGTGCGCTGGATGGCAAAACGCCGCAACAACATCTCCGAGGCTGAAGACCGCCTTTGGCTCATGTACCTACCTGCTATCATCTCTCCAATCGGTCTTATCCTCTTTGGTATGGGAACTCAACGCATCTGGCCTTGGCCAGTACCGTACGTCGCGCTGGGGTTCATTGGTTTCGGATTTGGCTGTGGAGGCGATCTGACCATGGCCTATCTCATGGACTGCTACCCTGACGCAGTGTTGGAGGGCATGGTTGGTGTCGCCGTTTACAACAACTCGCTGGCTTGTATCTTCACTTTCGTCTGCTCGATCTGGCTCGATGCTCACAGTCTGACTCAAGTCTTTGTCACACTGGGTTGTGTGAGCTTTGGCGTTATGTTCCTCGGTACAATTTTCATGATGTGGTTTGGCAAGGCTACCCGTCGGTGGACCGCTGGCAAGTACAAGGAGTTCCTATACATCAGAGGATCTGTGTAGATTCGAAAAAGTTGTTCACCTTTGGCGTTTTCTGTATACTCTTCTTGTCAAACCCTTTTTCATGTGTATACTTTGACACTGCTTTAATATAACTAGGAATAATGACAATAGAACCATCACTTGTAACCACATGAGCCACACAGAGACGTACACCTTCGCCTGAGGAGGACAAGATGAAGCATAAAGATGTAATGCGACGATCATGGTTCAACGCAAGAAATCCCTGTTCATTTATTCGGATCAGAAATTGGTGATCCCCAAACATTCCACGTCGCTGAGCTAGAACTGCTTCGCTCAGAAGAAGGAGGACGACGGTTGTATGTCTGCCTCCGACATAGTAATCGATCTCGCAAGCCTCGTCTCGGCTCTTCAGGGATGGGATCACCCATTATTGCTCTGATGGTGGCTGCAGAAGCTCCTGCTGTGGGCTGTTGGGTCGTTGGCTTCTTGCTTGGTTGATTGAGCTGGTATGCAGGTGGTGTATCCGAGGCCAAAGACTCATTGTAAGTCGGCAAAGTGGTTCTTGTGGTATCTGTACTCGCTCGTCGTTGTTGCTCAGTCTCGGATCCGCTACACGACTCGTTGTCAGGTTTTGTGTCTTTGTTGTTTTGGTCTGTCATCTTCCGGTTGAGCTAGCAGTGATTTTCATCGAGTTGCGTCGCAGAATCTGAACAAGTCGGAGGTATGCTTATGTATGTGAGAATGCATCTTTGCACCTTGGCGACCAAGCCTTGCTCTGAATCAGCAGAGGTGTATATTGCCGTGATACCCATGATATGATGTCAGCTAGGCAGATTGACACCCAGCTCGGAAACATTCTATCGATATATATTATCCTGTTGAGAAAATCCATCCAAGTCGCCTCAATGGTCTAGTGGTATGATTCCTGCTTTGGGTATATCTAAATTGCAGGAGGTCCCCGATTCGATCTCGGGTTGAGGCCTTTTTTTCCATGTAGTTGGACTAGCCCATCATTTTGTCCACCACGTCCTGTATATTCTGCTCGTCAGGAGCGGGCTGCGTAATTGAGAAAGCCAATTCGAGAGAAGTAACAGAAGCTATCCTTTTGCAATTGAGCTTTGACGCCGAGGCGGTGTTGTTTTGTTCTGGAGACGTGGAGAGCAACAATCCCTCATAAACATGACCAAGGCCGATCCTCTTACTTTCTTGTCTACTCTGCGAGCATGGCAACTCAAACATCTGGCATTTCTCACTGGTCTAAATTCTACAGGAACAAAAGCGCAATTATGTAGGACACTGGCAGACTACACGTACAAGCATCCTCTCCCTAGCCCTCGATGCAGGATCCTCAGTGTGGACATGGGCGTCAAGAATCTCGCATTCTGCCTACTGGATCTACACAGATTGCCCCAGGATCCTGATCAGATTAATGCGCAAGCCGGCGACAGAAGGCTATCTTTACATCTCTCGGACTGGAAACGCCTGGATGTGTCAGAGAGACTGATGGCTAGACAGACGGATGCATCGTCAGTAACTTCATCACAGAAACCTGAGTGTCCAATTGGCGAGGATGAAGGAACGACTGAGGTCATTTCCGAAGACCGGTCCAATATGTATGCGCCTTCATCGCTCTCCAAGATTGCGTTCAGTTTAGCAACCGAATTTCTGCGATACAAACCAGACTATATCCTGATAGAACGCCAGAGATTCCGCTCTGGCGGTGGACCAGCCATCCAAGAATGGACTGTTCGAGTGAACATGCTGGAGAGCATGCTATGGGCATCTCTGGAAACCATGCGACATGGCCATGACAGGGCAGATTTGGCTCAAGACCAGAGGTTTCCTGACGTCCTAGAGATGAGCCCACGACGTGTTGGCATGTTCTGGTTAACTCGTGGAGACTTCTTCCCAACACCAGCAGATATAGCTACGTCACTCATGGTGTCACAAGACACGGCAAAGTCAATGGAAACGGAAATCAAGAAGAAGTCTTTTGAGAAAAAGGACAAGATTGCATTGGCTCGACACTGGCTATCGCTGTCGTTGACCACGGACGAATTGACGGTCGATGCAGGCCTAGCTCCAATGGTTGCTTCGTTCTGTTCGCCAAGAGAACGACAAAGTCGGCGGCGAAGCAAAGACGATGAGAAGGAAGAAGAGGTCAAAGATGCATCTGCCATTTCTGGTAAACTAGATGATCTGGCAGACTGTCTCGTGCAGGCCGTGACATTTGCTCTCTGGGAGCAGAATCGCGCAAGAGTCCGGGAGCACATCAATTCTTAGAGAAAAACGAAGATGGCAGATGTGAGGTTATGTTTCAGGCTTCATGATTCAGCGTCGTCGCTCTTCTTGCCCATGGCGGCTCTCAACTTCTCCTCGTTCTCTGAGATGGGCGAGCGACCCTTCAGTTTTTCGGGATGCGTGACCGACTTGGACGGGCCCAAGAACTGTTCTCTAGCACCGTGGGTCAGCTCGGACAGGGTACTACCACCTTGGTCTAGCTTCTCGCCCCGACCGTGTCTTCTCCTGCTCTCGGCCAGTAGATCGAGACCTTCACCACCACTGTCGGCGTCGCGATGTCTCTGAGCGTTTGCTTTGGCGGCGCGGATGGAAGTTCTGGTGTAGACGAACAGCAGGCAAGCCATTGTGAAAGCAGCGGCGGGAGCAATGATTGTGCGCGAGTTGAAGGGCATCTTGCGACGAGGATAAGGTGAGGCTGGACGGCTCATTTCGGTGGTGCCCGCAGGCCCTTTTGGCACGGATAGTCTGCCACCCATGGTTGGTGAGTTTGGTGCTTACAGAGATGAGGCCCTTTCACATGGAAGAGAGAGACAGAGCTGCGTGAGCAGGTGGTGTGACAGGAAGGCCCGGCTTGATCATGATGCCGCTGCTTGCTTGCATCCTCATAGTCCGTGCACGGCCGGCTTTTAGGTTTAGAGGCCGTGGTTCACGCCGAGGGGCAGCTCCCTTGACTGGCACCTTCTTATGCCTGCCCCATCTGCTGCTCGTCGAGAATCTAATCAGCGTCTCAGACGTCAATTGCAAATCAGGCCTGCAGTTTAGCTTTGTCATCGTCCTTGTGCTGCATTCAAGCTCAAACCCTTCTGTCCATTTCCCATCCCACGTTTGCCGGCCATCGTTCATTGGTGGCGCTAGAGTGATTGACGTAAGCAAAGCCCGCCTTTGTATTTTCTATTTCACATCAACCTTCCACCGTTGCCCCCTCGTCGTCACTCATCTGCTTTACTATATTATATGCGCGCCTTCAGTACTTCCCCGCGGTTCCTCTACACCATACCGACGGCCTCCTCTCGACTCCACAATCTGACCCGTCAATTCTCTACTACTCGTCCCACCATGGCTCCTACTCCCAAAGAATGTGACTTCCTTGTCATTGGTATCGGTAGCGGTGGTCTTGCTGCTGCTAGAAGAGCTAGTGGCATGTACGGCATGAAGACCATTGCCGTCGAGAACTCCAGACTTGGTGGTACCTGTGTCAACGTCGGGTACGTCGCATTGTCTTCCTCATCGCAACTTCCTCTCTAACACAGTCCCGTAGATNGTGTGCCCAAGAAGGTTACCTGGAACGCCGCCGCCATTCAAGAGACCATCCACGAAGCCAAGGCCTATGGCTTCTCTATTCAGGAGACCGCTCCCTTCGACTGGACCACTTTCAAGCACAAGCGTGACGCCTATGTGAAGCGCCTCAACGGGATCTACGAGAAGAACCTCAAGAACGACAAGGTCGAATACCTCAACGGAACTGCCTCTTTCGTCTCCAAGGATGTCGTCAAGATTGTTGGCCAGGACGGCCAGGAACAACAGGTTCGCGCAAAGAAGATTCTTGTTGCTGTCGGCGGTCGCCCCAGCACAATCGACGTCGAGGGTGCCGAGCTCGGTATCAACAGTGACGGCTTCTTCGACCTCGAGAAGCAGCCCAAGAAGGTCGCTGTCGTTGGCGCTGGTTACATCGCTGTCGAGATGGCTGGCATGTTCCACCACCTCGGTACTGAGACTCACCTGTTCATCCGTCACGACAAGTTTTTGCGCACTTTCGACCCCATGATTCAGGACAAGATCATGGACGAGTACAAGCGTCAAGGTCTCCACATCCACACCAACAGCTCTCAGAGCAAGCTCGAGGATCTGGGCAATGGCATGAAGAAGTTGCACTACAAGGACGACCAGGGCGAGAACACCATGGATGTTGACTGCGTCCTGTGGGCTATCGGTCGTACACCCGAGGTCGAGAAGCTCAATCTGGAAGTCACTGGTGTCGAGCTTGACGACAAGAACCACATCAAGGTTGACAAGTACCAAAACACCAATGTTGATGGCATCTACGCCTTGGGAGATGTCTGCAACGCTGGTATGGAACTTACCCCTGTTGCCATCGCCGCCGGCCGTCGTCTCGGAGACCGTCTCTTTGGCGGCAAGAAGGACGCTCACCTCGACTACACCAATGTTCCTTCGGTCGTCTTCTCTCACCCTACTGTTGGCAGTATCGGTCTGACCGAGCCCGAGGCTCGCGAGAAGTTCGGTGACTCTGTCAAGATCTACACTTCCAGCTTCACAGCTATGTATTACGCCATGATGGAGCCCGAAGACAAGGGTCCTACCGCCTACAAGCTCATCTGTGAGGGTCCTAATGAAAGAGTCGTTGGTCTGCACATCCTTGGCCAGGGCAGTGACGAGATCCTCCAAGGCTTCGGTGTTGCCATTAAGATGGGTGCCACCAAGGCCGATTTCGACAGCTGTGTTGCCATCCACCCTACATCTGCCGAGGAGTTGGTGACTATGCGATAAATGTCATGTACAAAAGATATAAATTAATAAACGCCTATATACGACAATATCAGAGAAATTCAAATCAGATCGCACAATGCTCTTATATGGAATCAATGGCTTCGATGTTGCAGCCATTAAGTAGATGTAACACGACTGCCAGGCTCTGGTGTGAACACAGCGGTTTCTTTACACACAATACTCAAAGATCACGATCTTTCATGTAAGAAGCAAGTTGACGAGGCAAGTACATCGATGTCGTTCCTGCCTAGATAATGACCTTCAGCCCCCATCCCCCTGTTAACCCTCTAGCAACCACAAAAGCAGCACTGGCAGCAACATAACAAGCCCCCGCAAAAGCAATCAAGCCATCGTAATCCTGCCTTCCTCCTTTGCCCAATATAGCACCAGCGATGGGAATACCTATCAATGTTCCGAAACTGCTAATTGTAAACGTGGTACCCGTCCTCTTCCCGATATCCTCGGTTTTGCAGACTTGCTGAATGCAGACTGGCGTCAAGGAGATTGCTGCACCGGACCAGAAGCCAAAGAGTACGGTATATGCGATGATGGCTGCGTGAGAGGAAGACCCAATCAACCAGAGTAGAAAAGTCAATAGACAGCATATTACCGCCGTGACGGTCATGGTGTTGAGACGTCCGTAGCGATCGGCGATGTAGCCAGGCAGCAAGCGGCCAGGTATAGCAGCGGCATTGAGGATAGGGATAAGTGCATACGCCAACTCCTGTTTCATGCCCGCGTCCAATGCCTGATCAACCAGAAACGTATACGGAATAAAGACTGCAAACTCGACGAGGAAGATGGCAGCAGTCGTGGCAGCATAAGGCGGATCTCTGAGTGCAAGAATATCAATTTTGGCGCCTTTGATCTTGTTGGGCGGTAACCGGCTGCGAAGGAGCAGACAAGCAATTGCACACAATGCTGCACTGATGAAGCCAATGATGCGTATCGCCCAGCCGAATCCAATCTTCGGTGCCAGAAAGAGAATGATGAGTGAAAAGGCAAGACCGCCTGTTCCGCCAGCCGTACATGCAATTCCCATGGCAAAGCCCCTTCGGGCGTGGAACCAATGGCCTATGGCAGAGACAGCTGTGGTGAAGAGACAACAAGTGCTCAAGCCACCCAAAACTCCAAAGGACAGAATGATCTGGTAGTACTCGGTGCTCACGCTAAGTGTCATCAACGACACCACCAATCCAACACTTCCAGTCATGACCAGCACCCTTGCTCCATAGACATCAAAAAGTGGGCCAATTTGCACACCGGCAAAGTACAAGAAGAACGGAAACGTGGAAAAGATCCAGCCTACAGAGGACGAAGAATACGAAGACAGTTGATGCGTGGAGATCCAAGCATGTAAAGTACCGATGGTGTTTAGAAGGCCCATGCCGGCCGTCATGGCGCACCAGGATCCTAAAACTACTAGCCAAGCTTCAAGACCTCCTTCGGGATATTCTTCCAAGTCATTGTCGACGGTGGATGGCGTTTGATCTCCAGAAACGTTGTGTTCGTAAGGTAATACTTTTTCGGAAGTGGGCTGATGCTGAAGTGGATGGTCTGCTTCCTGGGTCCTTTGTTCTTGAGTTGATTTTTCGTCCATTGTCTTTGTGTTCGTCTCTCTCTTTAGGGACTCGGATGTGTTGTCCGTCATCTTTTTGAACTTGTCCAGAACTTGGAAAGCGATCAAAAGTGCGTTGAAAGTTGGCGTTGCGGGCTTTTTTGTTTGTCCTCAGACAAGAGCTATCAAGTCAGCCGCAAACGTTACCCGTTTGTGCTGTGTAGCATCGCTAGAGGAGGGCAAAATAGTAGTATCATCAGAGCGGACTACAGAAGCGTGAGTCTCATAGTCGCTGACAAACATCGTCGTTGACGGTTCGGCCAAACTAGGAAAATGTCCGTAGCGGATGTTGGACGCAGATCGTCTCTTTTCTTTTTTTCTTTTTCTCTCTCTTTTTCCCCTCTCACATAACCAACTTGGCAAGTCAGACAGGCGGCTGGCATTTTTGTTAAATGGGACAGTCGAAGATCAGACGAGAATATGCATTTTTATTGGGTCAAGAGTTGAGTATCAGGAAGTACAGGCACATGTCACTGATAAAGTCCATATTCTTCGTTCTTTTCCGTGGATTGAAGGACTCTCGCTTCTGCTTCATCTGTAGAAGCGTCCAATATTTTCTTTTCCTCATTCTTCCTCGGACTCACTCTCGCTCTCCACGTCGACCTGCGGCTGTCTCTCCCAAGTGATGTCAGGTTTGATGTCAGGTTTGATGTCAATCTCCTCCTTGACTGGCTGGTGATCAAGTTGGAGCTCTCCGTTCCTGGACTCATAGACGATGTCCGCTCCAAGCTTCTTATTGCATTCATCTTCGCAGCTTTCTTCGCCGTTGTCAATCTCGAGCTCAAAACTTACTCGCTGCACAAAGTCAACTTTGCGAGTGACCTCATGAATAGGGACCAAAGCTGCTGTAACACGATCTGGAGCGTCGAATACTTGGATACCGGTAGCCTCTGCTCTTTCCGCACGTGATTTTAGTATGACAATAGCTGCTTCGAGACTAGGCTTGTTCCTGATTCTCCTTGGTTTGTCGTCCGAGGTATCATCGAAAAACCAAAGAAAGGTGGGTTTATCGTCTAAGGGGTTACCGAAAACGAGTTCGTGAACATATGGCTCGATGAGTCGACCCCTCTCGAACAGATTGTCGACAATTCCGAAGCGATCACGCTCAAGGACGAGGGCTTGGTCAACTATCGCAACACGTGTTATGAAAATAATGAGGCCCACGGAGTTGTTTCCTCCGGCGTTGCTGCTCTGAGCTGTGGTAATTTGGCTGGACGCTTTCCCGGTGCCATTATGAATCGAGTTCATGTTTGGTAGCTTCATACTCCAGCTTGCTTGAGAGCCCGATGTTGTTGCGGACGGACTAGGTGGCATGGACATGGAGGTGGTATTTGGAAACGGAGTGCTGGAAGTTCTTGGCCGCTTGTTCAGAACTTGGTAGCCATCGTCGTCGTCGTCACTGTCGGCATCATCGTCAGCACGGGTTTCGCGCTTCAGCTGTTTCCTTTGATGCTTAGAAACGTGTTTTCGAGTAAAAGAAATAAACTGTTGAACCACGTTCTTCATGTCGAAGGGTCTCGTGTATGGTGGAGATCGACTGATGAGCTCTGTATCGAACCAAGTAGGTGGTACTGGACCGTGCCGGTTTACAAACAGATCGGGTCGATCTCGAATCAAGTTGATTTGCACCGTGTGTCTCAGCTTGGCGTGAGGCCCAATAATAGGGAATCTTTTNGAGAGATCGAAATGATTCTGAACCTCTGTATAGGTATGGTCCCTTGCTTCAATATACTCTTCCTCTGTCCATGCGAAGAAGTTCATGTAGAAAACCTTGAGCTTCTTCTTGCTGCTTCCCACAAAGGATCTGAGGCTTTGGAATGTCCAGGTGGAGACATCTTCTTCATCGAAGAGCACTTCGAGTGGTGTCATGACTGCTGATGAAGTATAATCTCACTGACGGATGTAGCGTGTGGAGCGATTAATATGTCTAGATGGGCGTAGGTTGAGGAGAGCGGATCCGAAGTGCCAGAGGACGTGATAGAAATTGACAAAGAGGCCAAGATGAGGAGGGTGAAGAACGGGCGTCTAGCAGCAAAGGCGTTTCAGTGGCTCTGCAAGAGAGCGGTAGATTTAGTTGACCAGTGAGGTGCGAACTGATGTTTTGTGGACGAGTTACCACGGCCAGTAGAGGAGTGAAGACAGCAGTAAATCTAGAGTTTGGCTGTGGACGATCCGATCGATGACAGTCTGTAAGCTTAGTGTGTTTGTGAGGTGGAGAGAAGTGTGATGATTCCAAAATCAAATCTTGCTGTGAAGACCAGTGAAGATTTGGTATACCTCTTCACAAGAGGTGGTGATAAAGCTTTCTGGAGTTTGTTGAGGGAAATCCCAAAAGAGTAAAAGCTGTACAAGAGTAAGAGGCTGTAGTCGTGAAATTGAAAAGAGATAAGGCGAGTCTGGAGATTTTCTAGCTGTAGAGTGCCTGCTCTGAGGAAGGCACGAACGTCAATCATCCTCACTCGCTTCTGGTGCAGATTCCGTAGTCGGGAAAACGAAATTTGACAAGTTGATCAAGTTGATCGTGTGCTCAGAGTGGCCAGATGCCTTGGGTTCTGATTTTCGTAGATTTGTAAAAGGCATATCATAGTTGGCTGAGACCATGTTACCATTCCCTTCCTCCGATGCTTTTTCTCCCAGTCCTCCCCTCCTGGTGTATTGATGACGAACCAAAGATCCCGCTTGAACGCACGACAAAACAAAATAAAACATAAACAGAGATGCAGAACTACCTTGTCTCTCTGTTGAAGCCACGGGCTCTCATAGAAGCCTCGATGGCACTCCAGATCTCTTCGACGGTTTCACGGTCTCTCCATCTCTGTTGAGCGGTCTGGCCCTCACGATATGCATCGATGCCCACATTTAACACACCTCTACCCCAGCCCTTGATTGTGTCGGGCAGAAGCTCGTTACGCCAGCCAACGTAGACACCCAGGGAATGACTGAAGAGCTCGGCGGGTTGACTCCACTTGTAACCCTTGAATTGCCAGGCTTGGCCAGTCGTGAAGACGGCGACGACGCGATTCCAATAGTCGGGCTTGAAGTTATCAGGCGACTCGACGAGGATGAAACGCAGAGGGCGGGTGGGCTCGATTGATGGCATGACACGGTTGACGTGGAGGATGTTGAGGGTGGTCGAGGTAGTGGATGTAGGAGGTGTGTAGACGCCGTCCATGAGGAAAGACTTGACGTTGGACAGGCGGAGGAGAGACGACGCTGAAGGAGAGAGGAGAATGATAGGCTCAGGACGGCGGCCACTGGAAGGCTTTGCAGGACGAATGGCAGGAGCTGGCGTGATGAGGGCGGGAGTGGGAGCAGAGGCCTTGGAACGGCCCAAGAAAGCTTCTGCATACTTGCGCACATGGGAGAAGTCNCTATGGTGTCGAGTCAGTATGGTTGCTCGGAAGAGAGGTGCGCATCAAGGACGTACGGTAGGCTTGCTGCCTCTGAGAATCGAGTTGCGATCGCCCGTCTTGCGCTCTAGAGCGTAAATGTCGCGTAACTTATCGTCCTCGGCCCTCGCGTCTTGCATGACCACGTCGCCGTCTCCGCTAGCCATTTTTGCGGCATCGTGCGCTTGGGCACGCGTCTGACGGTTGTCATCTAGACTTTTGATGAATTCGCTGTCGTTCTCGCCAGACAACCAGTTGATAAGGTCAAGCTTCTCTGCAAAGACCAGGTTGCGCACTTCGCCAAGGCCATTTGATGTACGCGCCGTGTTTAGCTCCTGGGTTGCAGCAATGTAGTCTCCAGTGCTCTTGTCCTTGTTCTGCCAACACCAAAAAATACTGGCCAGGTCGAGGGCGCCATTGGTTTGCGAGACAAATCTCGTTGCTGTCGTCAGCGAGAGCGCAGTGTGCTGGACGCCATCGGTAGCGGATTGTGTGTTGAAGAGCAGGTGCGATGCTTCGGTCAAAGGCGCAATGTCGCTGGCTGACGAGGCGTCGGCGCTGCGTGTCGGCAGAGGCGGTGACGAGGCCGCCAGACTCGTCCGGAACAAGTTCAGCGCATCGGTTTCGCCTACGCTCATGTTGTCGATTCGTTTATGTCGAGATGATCAAGTTGGGTCTCGGTGTTGGCCAGGTAGATGGTATTCCAGTCCAGCTTCAGACGCGGAAGGTCTGCCGCGCCTTGGCATTCACCTCTGTATCCATGTCACTTCCATGTTTCATCTGCGAGTAGCTCCGATTTTCAAGCAGTGATGAGATACTGTGATTCAGTGCTCGCACTATTCGATAGCTAGGTATCCACACTGCCTATCTGAACAAAGAAGCCATGCATCATTCGGTCAGCCATCTCATCGATCAAGCCAGCATGTTTTTGAACGTAGTCGTCCTCCCATCTTTGCTCGCTTTCCTCCCTGCTACCATGCTTCCTTTGCCATGTATTGGGCAAAGCAGCTGTCCATGCATCGGATTTCTGGGATGAGTAGGGCAGAGCGGACTGCTAGGCAGATGCTCCGGCACATCACCAGCAATGTCTTCCTCGTCATCTTCCGCTTCCATGTCCACCTGTTTCATCTTTTGCGAAAAATAATCTGGCACCCTATTGTCTTCCTTTGTACCGTGCTCGCGATCTTGCTTCACTTCCTACGGAGAGCTCGGCTTTCGTCTGAGTTCTGTCGATCCTGCGACCGAATCGCGTCGTGTTTCTGCTTCATCGCCTACGCCTGGAGGGCTGGTGTAATCGAAAAAGAATCCTCGTGACCTTGAATTTGGACTCTGCGTTCCCCTGCCCATTGGCGGTGTATTGACTCTCTGCATCTCAGATGGTAGAAAGCTCAGTCCGGGTACTGGTCGGTGTGTGTATTCTCGTCCATCCGCACCAACATACGAGTCCTTGCGCCTCAAAGCACTGCCTTTGACTGTGCTCACGGTTTGGACAGACACATGTGTGTTTCTTCTTCGACAAGAGCGAATACCAAATAGGCCGAAGCAACGCGGTCCAGGTGAGGGTGATCTTGACATGATAGAGGGCTGTATCGATTGACGTCGATACGAACTTTCGGGTCGCAGTATCTTGGTCGCTTCCCTTCTGATTGGAGCTGGCACAATACTGTGCACAGTCAATACTCGCAAAAATCCCTGCTTCGGTGCATCTTCAAGTGCCGGAGGTGCTATCGTTTCTTCTTGTCCCTGGTTGACGGATTCCGCAGTTGAGCCAACCGTACTGACAAACGAAACTGGATTACCCGGGTGACGAGGTCTTGAGTGTGTACCTCGTGTGGCAATAGAATCGCTTGATTTTGGTTGTGTGGCGATGCGTGGTTTGGGTCCTTGAGATGCTCCGCTTCGATGATGACCTTTGGAAGAACTGCTGGTGGAAGTCTTGTGGATTGCGGTACCGATGGAATGTCCCGGTGCCATAGAAGCCTTTGCACGGCGGGCTTTGAGCTTGGAATTATAGAAGGAGATGTGTGGAGGAGCTGCGCCTTGACGACTCGAAGACATGTCGCTGGATTTGTTCAATGTTTCAGAGAAGGTCATGGATTTGAGTGGAGGTTGAAAGCCAGGACTGGGTGGAGCTGACTGCATAACGATAGCAGGTGAAGATACGATGGTGCGAGGTGGGGCTGGACGATGCGTAGTTGCAAGTGAGAGGTGTGGAGGAGCTACCATGACTTTTTTGAAGTTCTTTTTGGTGATACGCTCCCTCTGGAGGACGTGAGCAAAGCTGCTGGCCTCCGATGACGACCATTTGTCGCTCGAGAAGGATGTCGGGGTAGGTACAGCAGCGGCAGTTGACGATGATAGTTTATGTTGTGCAGGGTGTAGTCTAGAAATTGTCAGTCTCTCGTTCTCGAACACTGAAAATAGGTGATGCTCTGACTCGATAGTTGGAGTTCCAGTTAATGCATAGTCATCCTGATTGTCATGTTTGGACAGAGCAAAGAAGCCGTCGTTAGCGAGCGCAGTATTAGGGAGTTTCAAAGCCCCTTGAGAGTGTTCTCCCAAGCGAAGGGGTCTTCTGATCTCGAAAGGGTTGACTGAGGAGAGTTGTGTCTTTGGTGATGGCTGTGGTGATGGTGCGTGTGGAGGGCGTAGTCCTGATCCGGAGGGTAGGGATAACGAGCCCTCATGCCATCCCTCGAAGAAGTGCGATAGTGAGTTCTTCTCGAGGGAAGGGGTTCGTCTAGGCTGCTCTGGCTGCCGCTGCTGCTGCTCGACGAATCCGACTCGGACAGGCTTCTGCGATTGCGAGGCCATTGCTTATCGCGGCTGGGAGACTCGTGCTTCTCTTCTGATCTGAAGATACCACCGGGATTGGCGAAACAGAGGCCTGCAAGAACCACTGCAAATAATGAGAAGATGCCGCGTTGGAAGGTTCGCTTGTCGTCGACGTAGTCGTAGTAAGGCATTGTCTCTGGAGCTGGGGAAGACGAAGAATTGCTTTCAACAGCGTTCGAGCATCCGATGGGTTGAAGAAAAGAATCTAGGTGTGCGCAGAGGAGAAAGTGCGCTATCACGTTATTTTTCCAGACACGAGGTCATTCAGTCCTGTTTGCGACTCTGAGTGGAAGGAACAGCCAGGTTGCGGCTTCCTCATCTGCCACACTCGCGAAGCTGCACTTGTCGACGTCCAGGCTTCTCGTTTGCACGCCTAGAATACCTACATGTTTGTTATTGCTTGATTGTGCAGTCGTCTGTCGATAGCGGTGCTAAGGTATTGCTGGCGACTATCTAGCAAAGATTGGGCTTCTCTTTCTGAACAGATACTTGAGCTACCTCAAGTACAATCTTAAAGTCGTCGCTACCCGAGTCAGCTCATGGTATGCTCAACATTCGTACAGTCAGCCATGGAGACCACGCGTGGTGTGTCGGCCAGGACGAGAGCCAACCACTGAAACACCTCACTGATGATGGCTCTGGCTCTCAAGCACGAGAGCGCAAGTCAGGACTGCCGCCGATGATTGTTGCGAGACCCGGTACTCAAGTAACCTCAAAGATCATCCTGCGGTGAGAAGCCAACGCCACCAATCGACATGTCTTAAGATTAAGGGGTCACGGGACCGGCGCAATAGAGCGCCAATCAGTTGCCGCTCATCAAATATCATCTCCGTGTCGACATAACACAAAACCCACGCGTTCCTCTACGCGTTCGTTTGCCTGTATCACAGTCTGGACCGATTTGAAGGGAGGAAAGAAGAAATAAGCCAGAACAATGTCGACACAAGCGCCCGTGTCAACGGCCCCGCAGCAGCCACTTGCGGAACCGACCACAATCATTCCCGAGTGGGACTCTAATGCTGTGCAGACATACAAAGCTGGAGTCACGGCAACGACACAAACAGAAAATCGTCCTGGTGCAAAGACTGTGTTGCAGGAGAAGCTCAATGCCGTCCTTCCTCGATCGCGGTCATACTGTGGTCTCAAGCGACGCACTTTCCTCATCATTCTTGCCTGCACGGTTCTAGCATTGCTTGCTCTCATCATCGGTCTAGCTGTCGGCTTGACGAGACATTCGAGAGNNGGTAACTGCGTCATCTATCGATATTTGTGGCATCGGCTGACGTTTCGAAGTGGTCAAAATCTACCGTTGCCAACAAATAGCGAACAGCATGAAGGAGACCTCACATATTACGCCACGGGCTTGGGTAGTTGTGGCATCACATCTTCTGATAGCGACATGATCGTTGCCGTGTCTCATTACGTCTTCGATGCAGCATCCAAAAGCTCCAATCCCAACCAGAATCCTCTGTGTGGTCTGAAGCTCAGAGCTTCGAGATATGATGAGCAGGTTGGAGAGAAGAGAAGTGTTGATCTGAAGGTCGTCGATCGATGTAAGTCTTGTCTTTGACTGACGGAGTCTTGGGAAGCGTGTACTGACTCGTTCACAGGCGTTGGTTGCCAGGCTACAGACATTGATGTGTCTCCAGCAGCTTTCGACAGACTTGCAGCCAGAGCCAGTGGGAGAGTCGAAGTGACTTGGGCATGGCTATCCCCTCAGGCCACTGCCTGAACACTTCCGATCTTGAACCCGAGATTCACGTTGGCGATAAAGAGAGACAAAATTTGATGAAAGACATGATCAATTCGTAGCACACACCGAGGTGCTTCTGATTCCGCAGGTTCAGCCTGCACTTTTTCTATGAAGAGACAAACTCTGCGATCAATTGAATATCGACACAGTTGCGAGGTGTAGTAACGTTCATCCATCTATACGAGATGGCAGTAGCTTTGCCCCATTCCAGAGCCTGGTCGCAAGCTNNGCTCGAGAAAATATGGTCAGCACTGGATCCACGACAGAATAACAGACATCGTGACTCACCATACCAAGACACCCTCTGAGATGCCCAATCCACGATTCCACCCTCATTAACAAAGACGCCCTTGGTTCCCTGCTGGCCGGAGAAGATTTGCGCAATCGAAGTATTCGAGTACGAGAGCAACGGATACAGCACGAAGCCCTGGGGGTTCACATTGCCAAAGACCAAGCTGCTGTTGCTGGCATTCGTCGTATCAGTCAAATGACCCACGATAGCATCGCTCTTTGAAGGTCGAAGGGTTGCATAGTAGCCTGGCGGATAGGCATACTCGGCGTACATGTACCCAAGGGTAATCGAAGTGTCGTTCAATTGTTGAGCACGGATGATGAAGGTGTCTGAGTTCAGAGAAACAGGTGGCAGGGTTGTGTTTGTGGTTGTGGTGTTGGAGAGAGCAGTCGTGTTGATCTGTCTAGGCAGTACCGCTGCGGTGACGGCGCTGACACCGAGGACCAGCGAGGTGATTGTTTTTGTGAAGTACATGATTTTTTTGGATAATGGTAATGTGATAAAGAGGTGGGATAGAAGCAGAACAGCAACAATGTGACAGAAGAGTTCTTATATTCTGTAGGACACCAGAGGGAGAAAAGTTGCAGAAGCGCCAATGCTCAACAGTTCTCTGCTCGCTGTATGACGATCTTATGCGGGTGTCCGTTCACGTCGCTCGTAACCAGACGACTCGGACCTGTTTGTGGCCCTCTCGATATGCAAGTACTACATATGCCAAGCAAGCGAGCTTTTCGATACCTGTCTATCGATTCTCTTTGCATTCACTGTTGCAGAGTGCTGCTCTAAAGGACAAGTGACAGATTGATCACCTGGAACTGCCAATTATGACATGTATCAGCCTCGACATCGATGCTATTTTCTACATGAGGTTGTCCTTGTGTCTCACTCTGCGACGTCAGAGGTACAAATATAAACTTTTGCAACGCTTTTCCTCCAGTCTCCTGTCGATCACTGCATGACGAATCGTCCACGACGAAGCCGAGCAGCACGGCTGGATATAACAATTGAACAAACGCGACGAGAAATGTCCTTTGTCCTTCTACGTAGCTGACGGAACATGCAACAAACACTGAATTGAGTCGCAGAATAACATGAAAACACTTGATCGGCGATTTACTCGTTCGTACGTACGGTACAGCAATTGTCCCCAGTCCACATGGCAAGCGGTGCAACCCTGGCTCGAGATATCAAACTCTTTCTGTTGTGCTACCATAACGATTTCCTGGATGCTTGTTCCGTCATCTTCGTGCCGGATCTAGTTGGTATGAAGAGAGTCGTACTTGCTCAAAGGAGACGGGTAGTATCAATAATGAAGGTAGGAAACAAATACGAGAACAGGACTCGCCACGCTGTATATGAAGCACAGAACTCTCAAAACTCCAACAACTACTTTTCGAGTTTCGCCCTCGACGTAGACTCCAAAAAAAGGCTCCAACCCGAAATATCGTACAAACTCCAGACCAGATCAGTCTAAATAACCGAAGAAGCATGCGGAAGATGGTCGCGAGCTTCAAACACACTCCCACTCGGCAAAGACACACCACCTGGCACTCCGGTCCGCCAATACAAGACCCCTGTAAACACCTCTTTCTCCAACTTTGATTACAGTCTCCCACGTACTCCCCAATCCCTCTTCTTCCTCTTCTGTTCCTCTGCCACTGCTACTGCCTCCATACTCTTGTTTCCTTGTGAATCGGATGATCTTGCCCGAAGGAGATTGAATCGCTAGTTTGGCAGGTTTCTGTTGTTTTTCGCTCAGGCTCGAGGATTCAGAGAGCATGCTGCCGGTGTGAGATATCCCTGCTGAAGAGGACGCCATGGACATTGCCGAGGAGGGACGGTTGTATGGAGCGGGCGAGGTGGAGCGGAGGCCTAGTGCTGAGTTGCTTCTTGCTCTGCTCGATGCTGCGTTGTTGGAGCCACCCCATGTGTCGGGCGAGAAGCGAGAGAGTGAAGATGGGTGTTGACGCACGCAGAACACGAAGGTGTTGTTGATGACCAAGCGAGCGCATTGAGGTTGTGCAACATATAGGTCGTGACGTTGGGCATGAGGAGTGGGGTGGCGGGTGAGGAAAGTATAGGGTGGGTTTTGCCCAGTGTGGAGGAGTGGCACTGCTAGGGCGAGAGCATGCGGGTTGTCCTTGATGCTATGCATGAGACCTCGTTTGCCGGCGTAGATTTTTAAAATACCTTCACCTTCGTCGCCCGGCAAAAGCGCTTTGACAACATAACTCTTTCGACCAGAGATCCAGGTGGGTTGAGCGAGAGCAATCTTTCTCGTCACGTCGCCCGATTCAAAGAGGTCACCGTCCATGTCGCGGGCGAAAGCTCGGGCTTCGACCTCTGCAACGATCTCCACATCTTCAGGGACAGTGAGTTGGAGGTGTGCCATCTCTAAGTTCTCGAGGTATGCAACTGAGGTGTCGTAGTTTGTAAGCTCAATGTGATGACGGAAGTAAGGCGGACATGCGCATGGTAGCGAGATGAGGACTTCATGAGGGACAGGAGGCACAATATGCTGTTGCTCGGGTAGAAGTGGGATGTGAGTGTAACAGATCTCCATGGGTCGTGTGAGGAAGAACCAATGATCTGCGACCGTGTTATTTGCTGAGCTGTACATGCTTCTCTTGGGGTTTGTAGGGTTGGCCAGAGAGCAGTCCATGATGCGCCATTCACCATCAATGATGACGGCATTCCAGAAGTGGTTTGGTCTTGCGATGGTTTCCAAATCAAGACGTTCTCCGGGTCCTTTGAGATAGCCACGAACGACTTCTGCATGGAGACCTACAGCAGAGCAGAGGTCGCGTACAAGCACAGCAATCTCTTCTCCACAGCCGCGCTTGGTCTGCAAGACGCGTCTGGTATCGATTTGACCTTCAAAATCTTCTTCCCAAGTGATGCGCTCGGCGACCCACGTGAAGATGGCACGAAGACGTTGAACATCGCTACGATAGGGCCTGCAAAGATAGCTCTGCGCCAGTGATGTCGGAGTGACCATTTGAGGTAGAGCAGAAATGAATCTTGTGCCCTTGTCCACCAAACCAAGACTCGGAGCCGCAAAGTCTGTTGGTTCAGTGATGGCAAGTCCATCAAGACCTTCATCCCCCTCGGTCCGCTCCAATAGCTCCTCAACTGGATTGAGAACGAGAATGTCCATCATTTCGCAGCGTTCGATGCGTTCAACTCTTTCGTTTCTGCTCAGTGAATTGGAGCGATTGACATCACGCCTGACCTGCATCCATCCATCGCCACCTCCAAGACCCATATCACGATGTGCTGTCGATGTAAGTGCAGGTGGCGAAGAAGGCATACCACCAGAGATAGAGGTGACGCCATCAGGTATGATGCTCTTTCTGGGCGAGGCGGCTCGGCTCGGGGGTCTGCCAGATGCGATTGTGCTTCTTGCATTGGCTGCTCCAGTCTTTGCCGTCGTCTTTGCTGTATCGATCATCTTTCTGAAGAAACCACTCTTTCTGGCTTTGGGAGCCGAAAGACCCCCAAGCACTCCGGCAGTCTCGAATGGATTAGTAGTCCAATCGGCGACAGGAGTTGGCGCAGGCTGCGTGGCATGACTCGAATGAAAGCTGATGCCAGTTTCTGGAGATTGAGGCCGTGATTGCATGGCGGTCTTGGGGCGTTCCTCCTTGCTACACTCTGCCTGGAGATCACCGTACGATCTCGAACTCAATGCGCTCAGCGGTCTTCTTCCTTTCACACTTCCAGTCAAACCCCACTTGCGCCTGGCAAAGCTACCAGCACTAGTGGCGCTAAAGGCACCTGCAGAGTGGCCGCTCATGATGCTGGTACTAGTGATTTGAGTGCTCGTAGTGCTGGCTGTGGAAGTACTGTTGGTACCCGAAGAGGAGCTGGTTGCATTGGTCTTGCTTGTTTGCGTTCTGCGGAGTTGCTGTCTGCTTGCAAGGTCGTAGACAGATTTTCGCGGGCTGGGACTTCCAGGAACTTGAGTGCTAAATCGAACACTACCTGAACTGCTCAGGCTACTGGATGTTGTAGGTCTACTGTCACTTTGAGCAGCACCCCCAACAGTCGGAAGATCGGCTCCAGTGGATTTTGTTCGTCTCAAGCGACTCTCCATACGTGAGACGTACTCATCCAATGCAGGCGGACCATCTCTCGAGGGCGGCAAAGAGGGAATAGAATCGTGGTCTTCTTGTACGTTTGCCAGTCTGTTGGGACTTGCTTCCCTACGGTACATGTCCATGGCAGACTTTGCTCTGGCTTGGTGGGCAGATCGGGAACGTATGAGGTCGAATGCGTCCGGAGACCAGATTCCGTTGGGACTTTCGGGACCAGGGGCAGGCGATGATCTTCCAGCAACACTGCTCATGTCATGCAGAGAAGACATGACATCGGCCATAGCATCGCGTAGCGGGNNAGACGGAGTCATTCCAGAAGACTGGCCGTCTCTCGAGTGGCCTCCAGGTGTAGTGTAGCCATTGTTTAGATCAGCTTCGTGGGAAGGACGCGGGGAGACAGGCCTGCTCTGTTGATGAAGAATACGATGAGGCGGTGGTGCAGGAGGCGGAGGAGAGGATGCATCGTCTTGCGGGACTGGTGAAGGCTGTCTTGAAATTTGNGTGCATTGGTGGTGGCGCGGGTGAGGCTGTTCTGAAATAATCATAGTCTTGTGGGGGCCTGTATGCTTGATATTGACCTGGCGCAGCCATGGGAGTAGGAGTAGGAGAAGGAGATGGTGAATGATGGAATTGAGAAAGAGCAGGAGATGCGGCGCGAAAAGGCGAATTGCTTTGATGAAAGGGAGCGGGTGACATGGCTCGGTATGGATTCGGTGAGGCAGCTCGACTGTACAAATCGGCGTTCGTNNGTTGGGAGAAGCAGCACGATACATGGCAGCATTAGGTGAGGCATGTCGACTGTACATGGCCGAGTTGGGCGAAGCCTGTCCACTGTACATGGTCGACGGATTAGGAGAGGGGGAGCGATACATGTCTTGAGGGTTGGGCGAAGCAGGACGATACACGGCTGAAGGAGCAGGTGATGTCGCTCTGTACATGGCCGAGGGCGCAGGTGAAGATGTCCTGTACATGGCAGATGGAGCTGGCGAAGTAGGGCGGTAGAAAGCCGAAGGAGCAGGAGAGACTGATCGATACAAGGTGGTGGGCGCTGGGGAAGAAGCTCTGTACATGTCTCCTGGCGACGGGGGTCTGCTAGCAGAGGCGCGCGGCAGTGGAGAAGGCAGACGGAACGTCGACTCTTCCTTTAGTGGTGAGGACTGGGGTTTCTTGTCAGAGCCAGGAGCCTTTGCCGTCTTCATGCTCGAGTACGGGCTGAACTTCTTCTTGACCGCTCTGTCTTCTGGTGTGCTGCCACGCGAATTGCAGCCGTCATCGCGATATCCAAACTCTTTGTACCCTTGGAATGGTTTCCGAAAGACGCTCTTTGACTTTTGCGGCGCAGCGACGGTCGTGGGCGGCGAAACATTGCGGCGGATGGGAGCTGGTTGGAACTTCTCGTCGAGCACCTGGACAAAGTTGGAGGGAAACAGGCCAACCATGCGCCGGTCGCGCCGTAGACGACCCATCCACCACGAACCATCGCCTGCATTGAGACACTCGATTAAATCTCCTTCGATGAAGCCCAGGTCTTTCTTGGTCTGTAGAAAAGGTCAGCCAGTGTTGAGCTCCCAAGCCGTCGTCGAGACGTTGCCCACCTCTCCACCCCAAGAATAGACGGCTTTGCACCAGCAGGGGAACTTGGTCGGTATTGACTGGCCCGCCATGTTGCGCAACTAGGTGGTTGAGCCAGGTTGTTTGTGTTGATGTGATGTCCAGTCAAGAGGTCGCGTTGTTTATGTCGACGGTCCAGCAACCAGAAACGGGCTCCTCCAGAAGAAATGAATGACGGCCGAATCGCAAAAGTGCAAGAAGCAGATAGGATTGACGGATTTCTTCATGCGACCGCCTGGACGGCCTTGTGCGTGTTATGGCGGCGCCTGTCGTGGAGTTCAAAAATGGTGGTTGTCAAGGAAGTGTTGATTGTTTACGTCTTGAAGCGCCAGCCGTCTGTGACACCACAGCCACCCACATGTTGCGACCCGTGAAGCGTCCGATCTGCCCCATCGAATTCGACAAGATCCATAGTTTTCAGCTCAACTCGGTGAACAACACGCCCGCCATCCTTGTATGCTCGTCCCTTGCGACCCTTGTGCCTTTTTGTTTATACTTTTGTTTTCCGTGTCCCTATCCCCGCTCGCTGCCACAACAAAGCATGCCCTTGCTGCAAGAGTCACAACCTCCGAGGATCAGATAAGCTCTTGCAACCATGGTCCTCGCGCCTGTGTGAACCTCGTCCTCGAGCACAAGGTTAGGTTTGCTCCACATGCGAGCATTGGCAAATACCCACTTACACTACTGCATCTGCCCTGGTAGGCCCTTCCTTGCTGCATCCCATCGCCAGCCACACGGTTTTCAGCAGATCCCTCACATTTCAAGAGTCTCACGAGCACTTTTGCAAATCATCCGAACCACGTTTCATCAATGCTTCCTCCTCGATCGGGAGCGCCTGCTTGTTTTGTACACGTCGTGTGCATCGTCCTGGTATCATATCTAGTTAGACTCCGTGAATCCCTTCAACTCCGTTGTTGTTGTTGTTGCGCCTAGAAACCTGCCCCACGCTGCAATGCATTCACCAAAAATGACGCGCTAATCGTCTCACGCTTTTTCTACACCGCCATGTCCTTGTCAAGCACAACGGATACCAGCCCTGCTCTTCCGCTCTCGCATACCCGTGCGCCGAGCACCTCGCCAATGGCTTCCGTCAAGCGTTTCTTTAGTTCTGCACCTTCGGGATGTCCGTTGGTCATGTTTGCCGAGTGTTGCTCCAAGAGCTCCAACGACCGAAGCAGCACCAATGCAACCTTTTCGGCTTGATCCTTCTTGTGTTCGTCTGCCAGACCCTGCTTGAGCACCTGGTCATAGGCTTTGAGGTTGGGAAGAATAAGTGTTCGTATACCTGCTGCTCCAGAGATGCCTCGTAGGCCAAGGATGGCTCCGTAGTGTGTGCCAAAAGGTTTGTGCGAGTCGAGGAAGTCCTTCAGACATGAACGTGCGATGCGAGGTTTGAGTGTACCCGAAGTCTGGCCATATTGTTTGGCAATGGCCGTCAGTAAAGAGGCAGAAAAGTCGCGGAGTGCAAAGTGCGCCTCGGGGCCATCGGTGGATGTTGATCCAAGGTGTTTTCCGATCAGGCATGTAAGAACCGGAGGAATCAGCGAAGCAACGTATGGAGCAATGTATAGGCTGGGGTTCTCTAGCAGAGCAGCCAGCAGCTGCATCATCTGCCTGAGGACAAACAAGCTCTTGAGATTGTGTGTGACCTTATCTGCGACGAATTGAACAAAGTATGGCACCAGCTGATGAAGACCAGGATCAGTACGCAAGCTTGCGAATGCTGAAATGCGAAACTCCTCGTTGGTCTCGTCCAGAATGGCGCTGCAGATGCGTTCAAAGTATAGTTGTAATTCTTTTGATATGACATGTTTGACCAGAGGCTTGACGGCAACATTGTCGTTTCCACCGATGGCAGCTAGGTTGGGGTTCGCGCCAGGACCTTTGGGTAGGAGCTCTTGGTGTCGCTGATCGGCGGAGGTGGGGTTTTGAGGGATCGAGGGTTGTACGCCTTCTACGGCGAGCCAGTGTGCTGTANNGATGATGTCAGTTGAGAGTGATGGTAGATTCTAGGGCAACAGACCTGTTAGGGACATCTCGCGCGGCACCTTTGGTAGCGGAGCGTTGATGAACTTCTCAAAGTCGATTTCTTCGTCTTCAACGTAATACAATGGTTGTCCAGGGCCTATTGATGCCTCACCAAAGCGCAGAGGTCTCGTAGCTTCGTAACCATAGAGAGGCTCAACATCAAGCAGGCGCAAGGCCTGTGAAATGTCTTGTGTGCTCAGAGTAGTTCTCTTCGCATTGCGCATGAATTTGAGGGCTTCTTCCAGGATTTGGCTGACGCGATATTCGACATCCTGAGCGAGTTGAGTGACAACGTCATGGTTGAGAGCTCCAACACCAACAGACTCGGCGACGTCTGTGATGTTGTCTGGATTCCAGACCGGGTTCGACATTGAGGCGGGAAGGGCGGCAGTGATGGAGACCAGGCCACGTGCAGTAGAGAGCTTTCAGGAGTGCTTCGGTGGTGATTGACTAGGTGGTGAAGTGGATTCAAGGTACTGTGTTTGGCTCGCGCGTGGTGTTCTGGTCGTGATGATGTGCAGCAAACACGGCAGTGGCTTCGTACACCCGTAAGTGAGTGGGCGTAAGACTAAATCTCGCTTGTGCTACAGTAGAGGGCACAAGGAGCACCGATCCAGATAGTGATGGGCTAGTAGAGTTGACTAGCAAGATTGAGTGGAGTTGTGTCAAAAGCGCTCAGTTCCAGCCCGCGTCAAAGACCAAGCCCGCAGCTCGGAAGACGCAACTTCCCAAGACGGCGGCCTTTCCCGCGTTTCGCGACGCCAAGCATTCTGCTTCCTGCCCTCCTTTTGCTAGACCCTCCATCGGTTGCACTTTCCTGCCCCTCATTTTGCTCTCGAGCTCTAGCTCGAGTCTTTGCTTCTCTCTCCCGTCGAGCTCCATCATGGTCCTTGATCCACTGAGCCAACCGATCCTGTCTAACAAGCCTCGATTGCACTGACACAACGCGTGTTTACGTGCCGCAGTTGCGCTATCAACACGCCATCACTATGTCTGTCAATCTGATGCTCATGTCATATTGTACCTTAATGTCCATTAATTGTCATCATCCACATCTAACAAGTAGCGATCTGACTGCTGCTCGGTAATCTTCCAAGTGAGCGACGATGTCTACATATAGCGTGGAGATCCCACGCTTAGGCGAGAGACACTTGTACAGACTATCTGTCGACGGAGCTGCATGGCGCTACACCCACGTTGTATCCTTGACAAGGTCAGCATTAGTGAGCTTTGTCCTTCCCGTTGGGGTCGCGCTCAAGAGCATGTGGTCAAGACTCGACAGAGAATCCCTCGAGTCTGAGCAGCCCGTCCCGTGCGGCATAATCTTCTCTCAAAGTCCTCTTCTTCAAACGATCATGACGTTTCCGAGAGACCCTTTCAGTATGCTAGAGTTCAGCCGTCTGAGCACTGTCGGGACTGGTTCTGGTGCTATTTGGTAACGCTAATGGTCTTGACCGCGACCATCAGATCCACAATTGCGCTCCTTCCACACCTGCATATCCGATCCACTGTCCCGAACACATTGTCTGCCAGTCTTTTACTTGTCATTCCATTGTAAGACTAGAACATTGCGACCATCTGTTTGACGTCAAGGCTTTATTCCGAGGCATTGATAGTCGTTCAGTGGATAATAAATACCCTGTCGGCTCCCTTCACAAGCATGTACATCGTCTTTTTCCTTCAATCCACTTCTACCATGCCTTCCATCACTCTTCTTGCTCTCCTGGGCACCGTGGCTTCTGCAGCCAAAGTCTGCACCAATGTGACTGTTCCCGTCTACATCAATGCAAGACAGGCCGTCTTTGACGTTCCTACCTTCGAGTCAAACTTCGATGCAGTCAAGTTTTCTCTTGACTTTACCAACATCGGCATGAACTACACCGACGTTGTCACTACCGGATTCCAGACTGTCACTGGAAAGTACAACATCAGCGCCAAGTACTGCAAGCCTCAAGGTGACAACAAGGCCAACCCCGTTGTTCAGGTCTTGACTCACGGTATTGGCTTTGATAAGAGCTACTGGGACTTGTCCTACAACAACTACAACTACTCTTACATTGATGTCGCCGTTGCTGCTGGCTACCACACTGTTTCAATCGACAGATTCGGAATTGGCAATTCTTCCCACGCCGATCCTCTCAACATTGTTCAGGCTCCTGCTGAGGTTTCTGCTCTGCATGAAATCACTTCGATGCTCCGTAATGGCACCTTTCCTCAAGTCCACCAGAAGTTTGGCAAAGTGGTGCACGGTAAGTGAACTCTGTCTTGGCTGTGCGTTTTCTTTTCATGAGACTGATGAGGGGTTTTCANNGTCGGACACTCTTTCGGCTCCCTCCAGAGCTACCTCTTGACCGCTCTTTACCCTGGTTCTTCTGACGGTGTTGCTCTCACGGGATTTTCCATGAATGGCACCTGGCTCGGTCAGACTCTTGCTGACTGGAACCTTCATCTCGCTCGTCTCAACCAGCCTTTACGCTTTGGCAATCAATCCGTCTCGCGCACCAAGACCAACACTGCTTGGCTCAGCCAAAACGTCATCTCAATCCTTCAGTCTGCTCTCAGTGCTGTTGGTATCAACTTTTCGAGCTCTGATATTTGGCAAGAAATCGCCACCACTGAGGTTGGTGACATTATCAACGGCTGGAATGCTACCGTGGCACCTGTTGCACAGAACTTGCCTACTGGATACCTTACCTGGAGCGATCTGACTTGTGAGTTCTGACTTTGACGCTGCATTGCTCTCAACTAACGAATCTCGAGCANNAACATTTTTGCATTCTTGTACCCTGGTTACTTTGATGTTGGCGCCGCTCTCTATGCTGAAAGTACTAAACAGCCTGTTACTCTCGGAGAGATCTTCACTCTTGCCAATGGTGCTCCTGCTACCTCTCCCCACACTGGTCCTGCTCTTGTCTTGACTGGTCGTCAAGGTGAGTTTTCTAATGCCTGAAACTCTTTAGATCTTGGAAGCTAACAGATACTGGACGTGATCTACTGCGGAGGCGACTGCCTCGCTACTGGTGGTGCTGCTGCTAGTATTCCTGCTGGTGTTGCTAAGGCATTTCCTAATGCTAGCAAATTCGAGGCATATATTCACCCCAACACCGGTCATGGAATTAACTTCCACTACAACGGTAAGTAGTCGTCTCACCAGATGCACGAACGTTCAAAGCGCGGGGTGACAAGATTCTAACATCTTTCTGTCATTACAGCTACCGGTGCCTACAATGTCATCCAGAACTTCTTTGCCTCTAACGGTCTCCAGAGCTCATAGATCCTCTCCGTGTGTTGCACATAGTTACAGTGTAGCCACAGAAATGCACAATAATTTTTGACAAACGAGCAAGATCCATGGAGATACCATTATCCTTGGACATCTCTATGGCCACACCTCTACCTATGAAAGTCACTATGCATTTCTATAGCATATACTAACAGTATATGTCAGTGTGGGAGAGAAGTCAATCGCAAGGCTGTGACTATCTTGAGACGAGGATGAAGCAAAGAAAGCTCTCTTCACCTGCACTCGATTGCTACTCAGACTCCAGCCGAATCCATGTCATGACAGCATGATGCAGCGACACGAATTCTTGATATGCATACAAGTAATCATTCGGGTTTTTTTTTTCCAATCCAGAAATTTCTTTTTCTTCTGCTATATCCTGATATTACCGTGCATCGAACTATTGAAATATGTACCGTACGGGCGTATCATGTCGTATGGGGAAGGCCTGAGATGGAACTATAATGGTGTTTCAATATACCTTAGCCTCGTGGCACGAAAAGCACTGCAGTTCTCATGCACGGCGGCTGTCGGTCAGGTACCCGATCCGAGCTTGACCCTTCTCCCCTTGCTTTCCAAGATACAACATCACCTTATCTCACCGCGACGAGATCAGAAAGAAGTGGCTTGCATACAATCACACTAGTTTTGTGTTTCCCAAGACCTGTTGTTTGGGTTGCATGACCATGAATCCTCGTTTTGAATGCTAAACCTTTTCTCAACGACCATAGAGATAGTCGAGCAAGCAGGTAAAGTCCTTGGATTTGATATGCCTAGGGCTGTTGTGGATACGCACTGGCTCGCGAGCAAGGCACGGGGCGTGCGCCAGTTGCCGCCACCCGAACAGAGCCCGTGGCTGCCGTTCAAGGCCCGCTCTCTCATCTTCTTTGCCGTTCTCGCCGACCGGTTTGAGAGTGGGACACCGAGTCCGGCGGCAATGTCGATCTGGCTTCTCATCGTGACTCTAAACAGTCTCCTATCCTAGCAAAATACTAGATGTGTGATTTTATGTTAAAACATCCGGGCTCCTGAGTCCTTGACGCCTAGGGTCGCCTGCTCTGTCAAGCAGACGAGCATAAGCAACATCATGATCTTCCCCTTTAACCACTTATCAAAACTCGCTTAATAGAGTAACCGACTGCAGGCGAAGTGGAGTCTTTCCCTTTGGATCTGCAGAGAAAGGATTAGACACGATATGGCCCTTGCGCCTATCCCGGTTCTCTTTTCGCGTGCAATATATTGCCATGCAGCCACCCCTTTGACAATCGTTCGCAACACGGAGTGATACTAAGGCCACAATTCTTGGTCTGACGATGCATGAAAGAAGAGTTCGGATGTGATTGCTGCTTTCCTGGTCGGAAGATGTCTAGACTTGTCAATATGCTGCTAAGCATCCAATAGTGCATTCACTGACCATCTCAGATACTATATTCACAACCTTATTCAGACTCTCGGCCATCTCGGCGCCTCCAATTTCATGGCGTAAACGAGAAAAATGGCGCAACACAGATGCATTGCGCAATCAGCTCCTACAACTCGTCAAATAGCAAAACCCGAACGCCACAGTCAAGAGATACGAGTTGTACGCTCTCAGCAATCGTCAAATTCTGACTTTGTATGGAAGCGATTTGAGCGTGTCTGTGACACAGGACTACGACTATCTCGCCCCTGTGCTATCTGGTTGAATATGATATATGTATTTGGCATCAGTATGCCAATCTGATAGTCAATTGTAGAGGACCAGGGCTTTACTTTTGTTATGACTTTCCCAACCCCACGCCGAAACTCCATCATGATCATGACGATATGCAATAATAATTTGCCGATTGTAAGGTGAAAGTAGCTCACATGTCCGCCTTGGCGGCAGCCTTTCTCTTCTCATTCGTCCTCTGAATATCCTTGAAGAACTTGCTCGTCGGTTTGTTCTTCTTGAGCTCCTTGTTTCTACTCTTGTTGTACTCGATGTATGCCATGTCCTTGCCACCAGCGTATTCGGAGAGGGCGCCAGCCGTACGACGCACACCGGGTTTGCCCTTTGGTCCCTTGTGCATTTGTCTTCCACTGAAAAGATCGTCTTGGATGTTTNNTTCAACACTGCCACTTTCCTCGCCAGCCATTAGGACGTCTTCGAGAAGTTCCATGCGTGAAGACGTGTCGCGGAAGTGGAGGCCTTCAACCTTGTCGATACCTGTAAGGTGGGTAATGACTTTGAAGGAGTAGCCTTGGTCGACCAGGAAGGCTTGACGTTTCGAGGAATAGTACATTTCGTTTGTGTCCTTAGAAACAAGTGAGTAGAAGAATGCGTTGAAACCCTCGTCGTTTCTGCGCTTCGCACGCAAGATGCGGCCTAAACGTTGAGCTTCTTGGCGACGAGANGCTGAGGTTATTAGCATTCGTCAATGTTGATAGTATACTGCAACTTACCCATAATGACTGGAAACTTGAATCAGGCAAGTAGCCTCTGGCAGATCTAGACTGGTGTCTCCAATCTTGGACAAGAAGATCGTTCGCACTGATTCGTTCTGTTGGAAGTTCTGCAAAACCATTTCACGCTCTCTTTGTGGCGTGTCTCCGTAGATATAAGGCTTCTTCAGACGTTTGGCATATTTCTCGAGAGCATATACGTTGTCAGAAAAGACAATAATTTTATCTCCTCTTTTTTCGTGATAGTCTATCAGGAATTGACAGGCTTGGAACTTCCTGGGATTCATGGTGGAGAGCAGGGAGCGCTTGTTGGTAGTACGAGCCTTGAGGTATTCGCCATAGAACTCGGTTGTCATTGGACACCAGACTTCAGCGCATTGGACACGAGCAATGTGGCCTTCCTCCGACAATTGTAGCCAGTTGGCCTCATACAATTTGGGACCAATGAGAAAGTTCAAATCCTTGATCTTGTCATCTTCTCGTAGTAAGGTAGCAGTCAGTCCGAGTTTTGAGTGTGATCTGATTTTGGATGTGACACGTCGAAACATTTCAGCAGGCACGACGTGAACCTCGTCGAGAACCATCAAACCCCACTCTCGATTCTGGATAAAGTCCATTACTTGCTGACTGTCGTGAGCTCTTCGAGTATTTTGAGTGACCATACTGTAAGTGCAAACGATGATGCCTGCTCGTTGGTTAAGCTTCTCCTTTTCGCCCGAAGTGAAGATGGCGATATCATCCGGGTTGATATTTGACCACTTCAAGAATTCGTTCTTCCACTGATAAGCACTCATGGCAGAAGTGCACAAGACGATGGCAGATTTCTTGACTGTACAAGCAGCAGTGATACCGACCAGAGTCTTGCCGGCACCGCAAGGTAAAACAATGATCCCACTTCTGGCACGACCATTGCCAAACATTTTGCTGAGAGCGTGTTCTTGATAGTATCTGATTTGAGCCATAGGCCGCAAATCAATGTCGAGGTTTGCATTGATGTCGTCGTTTCGGAAATCGTATTCGTTTGTCAGAGGTAATCCCAAAGTGACATTGCATTGTTGTTGAACTGCTTGAATCTTTTCACCATCAATTTCGAACGAGTGGACTTCATCACCCTCGTCATCATCGTCTTCATCTCTGAGGTAGGCTGTCATGTCTTGTTCTGCTTCATCCTTTTTATCGTCCTCGTCTTCGTCGTCATCGTCATCGTCCTTTTTGCAGCCTTTCTCTGTGCTTGAGCTNTCGGCTTGCTTGACGCCAGCAGCGTCCTTTGTTCCTGGAATGACTAGACCTCCTAGTTGAGGAGCCTTTTCTTGAATCAATTCATCGGTTTCGTGAATTCTGGCCGGACCAACGACAGGATCGCGCAAAAGCATTTGCAGGACAGACGCATCCTGGCTTTCAATGTAATATCTGTTGTGCTTTAGGACCAGACGAATCTTTCCATATGACTGAGTAGAAGTGAAGATGAATTCTTTGAGACTGTCGGGGAGCTTTGTTTTTGAAAAGACCTCGAGTTGGCGGATAATGTCGTCGGTGGTGAGGCCGACCGAGACGGCGGCAAACAGACTGTGGCCAGTGATGGTGTATTCGTGGACGTTTGTGGTTCGCGACTGGGGCTCGGCAATGTTGATTAGGAAATTCTGAGCCTGCTTGAAGGAAGGAGAAAAGGTTTCGACGACGATTCTGCCCTTTTCGGGATCGAGCCAGAGCGGACGCACGGCGTGGTCGGGTTTCAGTTCGAGGGAGGAGAGTTCCTTGTCGCTGCGAAAGAGACGAGTGGCTTGATCTGATTCCTGTGGCCTTGGATTCTTGGAGCGGTACGAGGATGGCTGGAACTTCTTGACAGTCTCTTCGTAGTCGTCGTTCTGAGGCGTGTAATCGTCTGGGTCGTCGGACATGTATTCGTCGTCGCTACTGCCCATGCTGACGGGCGTGTTGACACCCGACGCCACACGCTTGGATGGGCGGGAGCCGGTGGCGGCGGCGGCCTTGCGTTTGGGCGGCATAGCGAGCGTGTCTGGGCGAGGGAGAGAATGTCAGATGGCTAGATGGTGTTTCTTTGATAGATGGGAATATGACGGCTCCACGTGCTGTAGCCTAGAGTTTGTGGATGACAGATGACGGAATGCTCTACAATAGAGGGCGGAGTTGAAGCTTTGGTGAATCCAAAGGCCCTTGTTTCCGCTAACACCGGGCATTGTTTGCGACGGCAGTGACATATGCCGGCTTGTGATAGCGATACTATTGATATTATGAATCTGATTCGGTGTGCATGAACGAGGCAGTCTTGTAACCAGGCATGCGAATGGAAGGAGCCGGCTACAACTGCTTGTTTGGCAGGGAAGGTGCGGCTGGGGCTGCCTCCAAGGTGAATCTCAGGTGATGCAACCATTTGTCTGCCACGACTTTGCCCGATTCTTCTGCACTTGACCTTTGTCTTGTTTGTGACCACCCACGCTACCTACAACTGCCAATTCAAACACCCGTATACCAACCATGAATACTGTAAGCTCCCCCGAATGCTGTGTCGCACGCCTCAGCCCGCTAACTTGCCCCACAGGTCAGATCTGTCGGGTACGCTTCAGCAACAAAAAGTCCAAATCGCTTCACAATCCTTCTGACACGACCTCTCCTCACAGTTACGGCTGGGGTGTCCTCATCGTCGCGGGCGGCGGTGCATACTACTTTGCTAAGAAGAGCATCAACAAGGATCGTGCCGAGCGCGCAGAAGCAGACAACAAGAGACGCATGCAAATGCGCGAACTTCAAAATCGATACCCCGTCCCACCTCAAAAGCAAGACAGCCACGCAAACCCGAGCAAAGAAGCCACCGAAGACATGTCACCCGCCTCGGGACACGCTGCTGAGAGTGGAGGTCACAGTCCCTTCGAGAGCTCTGCGCCATACAGGAGCAAANAGGGCGATCGCTTCAGCTAGTTACAAACCTCACGAATGCTCGCGCCCTGACGATTACTCAACATTTGTACTCCGTTATACACCTCCCATAGGACTTGCTCCGATTTCTCTGTAAAGAAAACATCATGCTATAGCATCTGGAGTTCATTCGGTATTTGATCTTTCTATTGCCAACCAAGGCATACACAGCCGACCACAAGGGCTGTCTTTCCAATTCCTGGATATCATGAGTAACAAAATCACCACTCTTCTCGCTCATAAACCTATGCTCCAACGCCCAGTGTTCATGCAAAGCCGTGCCAGGCTAGTTCCTGAAACGCCATATCCTTGAAAGCTACCATCATCTCGTGTGCAAATTCTGTGTATCATGTTCTTAAGATTTGCGACCAAGACCAGCATAGTCTTCGAGGCGAGAACCATATGCAAGACAATCTCTGTAGCTGAGAGGCCGNCCTATGAGTCTTGTCAGTTGAACCGTATGTTGGCTTCCGCTCTGGTCAAGCTCTCACATCTTTGCATAGGTCGTGTCGTCGCGTGTACGTCTGCTCATCTCTGCCGCTCCGGCAAATGGCGCACTAAAGGCGAGTGTACAGTATCCCATGATTCCGACGAGCTTGACCCGGTCTTTAGGACTCATGGTGTGAAAGTGAGTGGTTCCTGAGCGGATGCTTTGCATAAGCGCTGCTGATGGGGATGTCATGGTGCTCGTGGTTTCGATAAAAGCAGGTGGTCTTTGAATCCTTTGTTAGTTGTGTGGGCAGCAACAATACACGGGGCAACACTCACATATGACCTCTAGTTGGTGGAGAAACAAAAAGTGGTAGTGAATATTAGCAAGCGTTCAAGATACCCTCGAACCTTTTGTGGCAGCGAAACCCGTCCTTTTATACCTCAACACCACCTTGATGAACCTAAAAGTATCACATGCAGTGGCTGCCTCATATGGCGCAAAGACTGCCTGAATCATACCATTCCAACAAGGGCCCCACTTGAACATGGCCTGTGGAGCAACGATTCCGCCAAAATGACAAGATGTCACGCCATCTCTCATGCCCATCTGCCCGACCGAAAGGAGGACTATTCTCTTGCTTTTACACAGTCTCTTGCCGCAGATTCTTTCCGACTCTATTCAGAGTTTCGGTGTCTTGTTCCGGCATGTTTCGATCAAAATTAGATTTGAGCACATTGTCAGAGCGGTGGTTACAAGCGGAAGTCATGGTCGGCATGTTTGGAGAGACAAACGACCTTGAATCGTGGGGCCGATGGCTTGATGCCCGGACACGCCCGAACGCGACCCTGACAGTGTACTCTGTGGGGTAAATGTTTCTTGTGTTCCAGTCGTCGTTCATTATTACACACCCTGATGTTCACCACATCTTTTCACAACATGGTACATCATGCTGGGTTGCACGCGGGCCCTCAAATACATGTTTTTTCCAGTCATATCGCCATACTGTGTCAGCTCTATGATAGTTGCTCTATCAGATTTGTCTTGACTCGCCGTCAAACCCTGAAACTGATGCGTTGATCACTTCAGCTGCAAACGCGTCACATCCGCTCATGCGTACGCCAGACGCGCCAAGCGGTGGAAAATGGTCTGAGGATGTTCAAAACCCGGTTGAGGAGGTTGGATCAGATAAGATCATGTATCTTTAGGATACCCACTGATCATCTCAGAACTGCGTCATTGACTGGAGCTCCCAAATCTACAACCTCCTCTCCTCGTGTTTTAGCAGCTTCTTTTCCTAGACATCAGCCAAGCTGTCTGACAAAACACACAACTGAACAGTTGGATCAGAACGTCAAATGTCTACAGGAGCATTGCCACCGAAAAAGGCAGCCGAGAAGACCCTCGAGACTGGCGTGCACCATCTCGAAGAAGACTTGCAATTGACCTTTCTCAAGAACATCTATGGTGCCCTACTAATCTCGGCAGGAGGCTTGCTGTCCCTCACCTTGGTTACTGGTACTCCGGGCTTGTCCGAGACCAATCCTGGACTCCCAAGGATTTTGCAGGGCATCACGTTCCCCATTGGCCTTGTCCTGGTTTATCTCGTGGGAGCTGAATTGTACACTGGGTATCCCATGTGGTGAGTTTTGGTTATTCACGAAACATACACAATCTAATACGACATGTAGGNNTTCGTAATGACTGCTCTCGAGCGAAAGGGTTCTCCGTTTCAATACATACGTGTCGGTATAGCATCCTGGCTTGGAAACCTCGTCGGCTCCCTAATATTTGCTGGCCTCTTTACCCATCTCACGGAGATCCTCAGTGAAGACCCTTTTAAGAGTGGTACCGTCTCCATGGTTTCTGAAGATATCATCGAGTCGCAATGGCACATCATCTTTCTCCGCGCCATTCTCTGTGGCTGGCTGGTAACCTTCTCCATGATGTTGGGCACGCAAAATCAAGATGGCATTAGCAAAGCCCTGGCTCTGCATTTGCCCTTCTTCATTTCGACAGCGGCAAAGTGCCCACACACAGTCGAGTACATGTATCTCGGCTCCACTGCCATGTTCCTTGGCTCTCGCATGTCGGTGGGCATGTTCATTTGGAAGTGTCTGATTCCCATTACCTTGGGAAATACCATTGGCGGGGGCCTATTTACGGGTGCCTATTCTTGGTGGGTGCATCTATACTGTGATGACAAGAAAGCTGCTCATGGTGATGGAAATGGCTGGGGCAATGTCAGACTTGATGACGATGAGTAAAGGACCTAGCAACTTTGATGAGCATTTGAGTTTGTGTACAAGAGGACAGGGAGGTGTTTTCCAAAAGAATGCGACTTTTTGCTGCTTAAAATGCCGAGCTGTCACTCATCTGGAGACCACGTCGTGTGGGACCTCCAAATACGTTCCAGATCCATCAGAGACCAATCCCACTGCACGTTTACAGTGCACCAAGGGTGTGAACCAGGGAAAACTTGCATGTCTTACAGCTAAAGGTTTGCCCAACTAGAAAGCTTCTGGCTCCCCAGATCGACCTTCCCTCAAAAATTGCAGAGAAGCAGGATGGAGGTATGGCGTGGTTAGAGTGCGTTTGTCTAGTGGGCCAGGAAAGGGTTTCACTCGTCTGCCCCACATGGTGAATCGTGAAGAGCACAAAAGGGGAACATGGGGTATTTTGGTTATTTTGAAAAGACTGCTTGTCAAATCTTGTCGTGATTCTCATAACATAAGATCCTTATGCTTCGCTTTGAACTCGTCCAAAATGGCATTACTCCTTATTTCTTGCTAGTGTCCTCCTTCAAGCTGACAATGCGGTTCAGAATGATGTTTTCGGCCGAGCTGTCCTTGTCGACACAGAAGTATGCGGTGCGCAAACCCTGGAAGCGTACAGCCTCCGGGCCAGTGTTGCCCTTGGCTTCGCCTTCCTCCTTGGGCCAGGGTGCACGCTGTTGAATGTCAAAGAAGCCAGCCTCAATCATGGCATTCTTGTGCACAATCTCGCTATCGGGGTTGACGTTCTCATAGTAGCCGCCCTTCTTCCAGTCGAGCTCGTTGGGTCGAGGGTTCTTGAAGAGGGAGTTGAAAATACGAGCCTCAGCCCTGATTGGCGATTTGTGAGCTGCCGACTCACCAATCCAGTGAATGCGGGCCTTGCCTGCGGGCACTTCGGCACCATATTCGGCACGAATCTCATTGACCTTGCCGTCCTCGCCCTTTGTGAATGATGTGCAGCGCAGAGGATGCTCGGCATAGAGTAGACCAACAGACTTGCCTGGGGCAAGACGGAAGAAGTCTGGGTCGTCGACCTCGCGGAAGTCATCGCGGTCAATGTAGATGGTCTTGGTGAATGGAAGCTTGTGCATACCCTTCTCCTTATCCTTGGGGTCAAAGGGCACCTCACGCTCCTCGAGGTAGTCTTCGGCAAGGTTGTCAATGACGACCTTGATGGGGTCGAGGACAACAATCAAACGTGGCACAGTACGCTCGAGGTAGGTGCGAATTGAGGCGTCCAGCATGTGCATCTTGGTGTCGGCATTGGCCTTTGTCACACCAAGGTCCAGGACGAACTTCTTTAGGGCGCCAGGAGGAACACCACGACGACGGAGAGCGACAAGAGTGAAGAGACGAGGATCGTCCCAACCACGGACAACAGGAGGAATGGTCTGAGTGCCTGCGACAGGCTTGGACACGGCAGTCTCGGCGCCGACTTCTTCCTCGCCAGTCTCTGCGATTTGAAGCTCATCGGCAGCTCCAGCAAGCTCGTCCTCTTCAGAAGGCTGCTGACCACCAGCATTGACGCCCTCGACCAGCATTTGAATTCTACGCTTGGAGAGGATGGTGCCCTCAACGTTGAGTCTGCCATATTCGCGCTGCATGGGGCCCTTTTCTTCGGAAGCGGGAAGCTTGTGGTCAAGAGCTTCGAGGAGCCAGTTGTAGGCAGGGCGAAGAGTCTCGAATTCGACGGTGCACAAGGAGTGGGTGATGCCCTCAAAGCTATCGCACAGACAGTGGGTGAATTCATAGGTGGGATAGATTCTCCACTTGTGACCGGTGCGGTGGTGGTAGTTTTGGTCCTTGACTCTGTAGGCGGCAACGTCCCACATGGAGGGATTCTCGGCCAGCGTCTTTAGCTTGGCCTTTTCCTTCTTCGTCTCCGGCGAGTCTTGGTCGGTGACGGCGTAGTCCTCTGGCTTGGTACCAAGGTATTGCTTCATGCGCAGAAGAGCCTGACCAGCCTTGTACTTGCCGTCCCTCATGGCACGAAACTCTTCCAGAGACTCGGCAACAGGTCTGCTCCAGTGGCTACAGACGGAACGTGGGCCATGATCAGAACCNCCTCTTCCCTTTTGAACTTCTTCGGCAGTACAGTGGCAGACGTAGGCCTTGTTGCGGTTGATAAGCTCTTCGGCCAGGCGGTACAGCTCGTCAAAGTTGTCGCTGCTGTAGGTGATGTTGGCGGGCTCGAAACCAAGCCAGCTGACCATGTCCTTGATGCTGGTGAAGTAGCGTTCCTCCTCCTTGGCAGGGTTGGTGTCGTCGAAGCGGAGGTTGCACTTGCCGCCATAGGCTCTGGCGAAACCAAAGTTGACGGTAATGGCCTTTGCGTGGCCAATGTGCAGGTAGCCATTGGGCTCGGGAGGGAAACGGGTCTGGACGTCTTGGACGGGCTTCTCGTTGTAGACGCCCTTGAGCCAGCCTTGCTTGAAGTTGGCATTGGGGTCGGCGGGAGCAGCAGGCGTGCTTGCGGCTTGCGGCTGTTTGGCAGGAGCGGCTTCCTTGTGCTTTTCCTTTGCCGCCTTTGCAGCTGCCTTTTTGGCCGCCTTTTCGGCTGCGCGCTTGGAGATCTTGGGCTCTTCGGGGGCTGCGTCGGCCATGGTGCGTGTCGTGTGCGTGTCTTGTGCTGGTCCCAGACACTGCAGGGAGGGAAGGAGATAAATTATTGCTCACTCGGTTGCTGCTTGCTTGTTGTCCCGCGCCGCGATAAGCTGATAAGCTCTGGCCACGACTTTTGACCAGCAGCGCTGCCCGAACTTCTTGAGCCTTCGATGCTTCCATGAGGCGACGTGTAGATAGCTTGACTGCTGCAACTTAGCCATATCCCCTGACATCCGCCATCATGTATGTTCCTCCTCGCCGTCCCTCGTGACTCTTACTGACCCCATGTCTCCTTCCAGGGCGCCGCTCGTGGATAATGCCCAGGTCAAGTCTGCCTCGCTCCACAACCCGCTGCCTCTGCCATTGCACACC